TTTGTGCAGGTAATAGAAAATGAAAATGATGATTGGACAGTTTGCATCCTGTTATTCACTTTGTAAGCAGGTGGTAGTTTAAGCCAAGTCATATACAGGTGTTGCAATAATCAGGAAGGGGAAATAGTCCTTGGAGAATAAGGGCTTGTCAAGTCCAAGGTAAGAAAAGTAGTTACAATGAATAAGCCTTGTTGAGTCTAGAAATAACTCTTTTTCCATCCCCCCTTGTACTATAATTTAGTCCCTTGTGTTAGTTGCTAAGTAGAGTTACCAAGGGAAGTCTTGGCGTGTGTCTTGTTTCCATTAACACGACTTTCTCAAAGAACCTTTAGAGATTTGTTGATTTGATGGGACTGAAGTTGCATCCTTCCCCAGTGGTTAATTAGTACGTTTATGGCTCTGGATAACACCTCAACTTGACATGAGCTTTAATTTCTAATCATGCATTCAGGGTGGTTTCTGCCCAGGCCAGCGGTGCTATGAATGGAAGATGACATATTTAGCATGGCATGGCTGCTTTATTGCATACATCTGTCCAATTATCTGGTCTCATGGTACTGACTCATTCACATTCTGAACATTGCATCCACATTTCATTCATCTCCGCTCCGTCCATTTGTTACTTTACCCATATTGAGGATAGTGTGGTCTTATGGGTATGCATGAAGGCAGGAGCATGACTGGATTCTTCTGACTGACATGGCCCGAATGGCGCACTGACCAATGCCAGGGGACAAGAAGTGCACAATTACACAACAGATTAATATTTGCTGCCCCTCTCTGTCTTCACTAATCATACTAACTTAAGTATATTTAGCAGTCATTCAATAAATATGTATAATTTCAGTCTGATCAATCTGAACAAATATTCCTTTTCAAAAAATTTCTAAAACTCATTTTTCTATTACTTATTAATCACAAAAAGAGCAAAAGAAAAGACCAGATTTGTCTTGTGGACTCTGAGTTTTGAGGTCTGACCTCCTGACATTTTTGGAGTTTCAGACAGTGTTTTAAGTTTCTAATATTGGATTCCCTCAGGATAAAACTTTGCTGCTTCTGGCTTTAACCGTCAGAGGTTTAATGAGGAGAATCAGCTGTGAAACAAGCCACAGTTCACTGGAGGCATGAAAAAAACAGGTATATCACAAATTAATCTTCAAACAGTTTGAAATGATATTATATAATTAGGTATAACACGTGCTGTACTGCTAGGTAGTAAGTTTCTGAAACAAAGTGCATACAGTCATCTTAATTTTTATGTTGCAACACCAAAATAGAGTCCAATTTTAAAATAATAATCTACTTTGACTAAAAATTCTTACATCAGAAATATATTATATTCATAGCCACAGATTACACAGATAGTCAATATTTGGTGATACGAAGTCTAAAATCAGTGGGTTTTAACAGAATAGTATATGATCCTGCATAGAAAGAATCAGAAGTAGCCAGAGGTGTTTTGGCAAACTCAATAACCTCAGCACAGCTCGTAGCCTGCCTGTGAAGATACATGCAGTCCAGGCAGCTAAAGTCTATTTCTGGATGAACAATTCTTAGAGAAGAAGACAAAACTCTCTGAGAATCCAAGCTCTAACATCTAAAAAGAAGACTCGTGGTTGGCAAAAGTACTATGCTTTGTGTAACACTCTATGTACATCTAAAAAATGAAATCTCAGATTTGGTCCCTACATTTTTAGAAAAATGTTTTTCACTATTTACATGAAGTATATGACTGAGCTGATTTTGGATCTTAATTATAGATTTCTCCTGATACAGTGTGAGATGTTTTCCTAGACTTCTTCAAGCAGGCCTCCAGTGTAATTACAGACAAAGAGTCATGCCATCCAAATGGCCTCATCAATATGCAGTGTGGGCTGTATGTTAATGTCTGTAGGAGGTGATACAGCATGTGATGTGGCACTTGATCACTGTGCATGTTTCATATAGAACCACACAACGACCACCTCCAGTCTGTGGTCGTCACATGTCTTTTTCTTAAGTCTAAAGGGTTACATGGTGAGTCCCATTTCTGTTTTTTCTCTGAATGCAATTTTGTTAAATTAAATCATGCTAATAGGGTTAAGTGGCCCAATTACAGAGTTGGATTAAACATTAAAACAGCAAGGCAATGTCGACCAAACTCACACAGGGTGATAGGAGGATGACAAAATGGGTTATCTCAGGCTAAAGAGCGCTGAAAGCATGTCCAAATACATGAAATCATAAAAAAATGATCATACCAGGCACTAATTCTTAACTTTAATCTGAAAGACTATTTCCCGGCAAAATTCACACACTTCTAAACTCAGTCCAAGATTGTTCTTTGTCCAACCCCTTGCCTAACTAATTTCTTCTTCTTATTTCCTCTTTGCCTCAGCTAGATATCTGTGCTAAAAAACTGATAGATAAGGCTGGTAACACAGTCTGTGTTATTATTATCTGTGTTATTGATTTTTTAAGCTTCTATTTTAAGATATAAGACTAACATATAAGCTGCCTTATTTTCTGTCATCCTTCAGAGTTGGCATATGATCCATGAATCCACTCATTTGTCAAATGTGGTGGGAGTGTGCGTTTAGTTATCATAAATATTACACTGCTTGGCATGAGAATCATTTAAAAGCCAGTCTCTTCATTTTCATTTATTTACCTCCAGTTGTACAATGAACCAAGTGCGTACCACTGCAAGATATTTCTAGTAAACATGCATGAGTTTGCTATGGCAGCTTTCGCTCAGGATTTCAACCAAAGTATACGGGTACAGTGTGTAAAAATAGCACTTTTCATCTACTTCCATAATTTCAAAATGTCAAGAGGCCTTATTCTCTGCATTATAATTTTATCAGGTGTAAACGCTAAACCAAGATGTCTGACTTTAAGGTATCCAAACATCAGTAATCATGAACTATATGTTAAGATGGACAACACGCCTCCACCTCTGTTGTACTGAAGTAAAACCAGAATCCCTCCCAGTAGATGCTAACATGTTTAGCTTGGGTCTGTAGGTGGAGCTGGGAAAATTAATGTTTAGCCTCATCCTGTTTAAGTTAGTGGTCAAGTCCTCAGACCACAGTATGACAGATTCGTGTGTTAATTTGTAGCAAACAATAATAGCTGTGCTTGAGTTTCATAGTTCCCTCTCTTTTGGTTGATAAGTTAACACACACAGTTAAGTTAAATTGCCTCACTCCCAGTTGGCATGCACTGGGCAAAAACTGGGTTATTCACCAAAGTATGATTGCCTTTGCTACACCAGCATTTTGAACAGTGCAATATCTTGTGACCTCCTAGAGCTGCTGGTATGACTGTTAACTCTTAGATTTATTTAGGCATATATATACATCCACGTTCCCCCCATCTGGAAGGCCTTGTTCCTAGCGTTTTTCTGGTCAAGTGTCACCCTTCTGATGTTCCAGTGCATGTTATGTCTTTTAGAATCAGAAATATATATCCTAAGGACAGATCGCCATTCAAAGTCAGCACTATTATGATCGGTGTTTAAGCTTACTGAAATGTTGCCATCAAATGACCTTGTTGTAAGAAAAAATGAACTTGTGCGACTTTATGATGAAAAAAATTGTCTGCAAAAGTTGAAAAGCCTCTGTCTACTGAAAGACACCCAGGAGAAAGTGCAGTTCTGTCGATGTTCAGACGAGTGAATGGCTCTTGCTGCCGTATAAAGGACCTGCTGAGGACTTGATGAAGCCGGATGGTGAACAGTGAGGATGACAGAGCCCCAGCAATGTTTCTCTCACCTCTGCTGTTTGGTACAGTTTGAGTCCTGCTGAGATTTATATTAGCAGTTGAAATTAAAGTTATGTCTTGTGGAGGAGGAACAGCTGCTTAAAGAGTCCTTGTCTCTTTTTATAAATTAGCCTTGAACAAAGATGCCAAGATGTGTTTGAATCAAATGCCTTTGAAGTTGTAAGTTAGTGAATATTGACGAGGGGGAACTTGCAAATAATTTCAGAAGGAAAAAAGTAAATGAAAAATGCAGCATGAGACCCTCAACTCTGGTCAAGTCCCTAAATTTTATTATGCTTACTGTTGTATTTTTGTGACCAGCCCCCACAACCACAAAGACTTTTGACATTTATCTTTCATGCAACAGATAATCTTATAGAAATCTACAAACAGCATGCTTGTCTGTCTATTCTTGAGATTCAAATTTGTGTAGGCGGCACCATAGGAGGAGGGCCTTTTAACATTTCCTTTCTGTTGTCATCTTTAATACTCTTACCATGGGTTTACAGCTGTTAATGAAACAGGCTAAAATGATAACTTATGGATCCTTATGACCTCCAAAATCAAACAAGACCATCAGCAACAAGACAAACTTTTTCTATATTGTGAAGTTTTGATCCTGGAGCCACATTCAGGGGATAAGTGTCAGACCAGAGGATTGACAAAACATTAAGATGTAATGGCTTTTTTTTTTTTTAATGTCCACAACATATACATAGTCACACTCGGTGGCTAAAGACAGTAAGAAGAAGACTTTTTGTTAGGAAACCAAATTTATACATGTCCACAAGGTCATGTTGGGTATAATCCACAATCTATCTTCTGTCCTCCATGTGTTTATGCTAATTATACTTTACATGTATATCAACCACCTTTTTTTTTCTTTTTTTTTCAATTGTTTAAAAAATCATCAGGTCCTGCCTCCATGGGCCATTGGAAAGTATTACCTCCTGAGCAGGAGCCTTTCAAGGAGTAGATTTTTTACCCCAAAACTTAAGTTAAACCGTGGTTTCTGTCGTTGGTACACACACAGTTCCTATGTCTCAGGAAGTCCGTGAGGGAAATAAGGACTCATCCAACCCAGACATCCAACCCTGCTCTCCTTGTTTCCTTTATTTTATCATTTTATTTTACATATACGTCTTTTATGTTTAACATTTATCTGCTGTAAATTTTACAAACCTTTGTAACCACAGTTGAACTGTTAATACAACATATTGAATCTGTCAACACAAGCTTTATTTCATTTGATCCTATTTTTGTTTTTTGTTCAATAAGATAATAAAACAATTCCAGCTTTTACTGCCTTTTTATTGTTGGCTTAACTCTTTGTCATGGAAAAAAGACCTTCGGGTAAAGTCATTCTCACCAGACCTTGAGAAAGTCACAGCATAATAGGAGGAACAGTTTGAACTTGTTCTGCCATATTATAATTCATGGCTAAAGCAAAAAGCAAGCACAACTACAGAGTAGACTGCGAGAGGCTGTATTTCAAATGCATGTTTGGAAAAACTAGGGGTTTTAACTGTATTCATTTGTCCTTTGTATCCTTTAAAATAAGCTCTCGAGTCTTTCTAGTTCCCTTTAACGTTTTGTAATAATCCTGAAAACAGTATTCTTGATCACAAATTGGACTCAACATAATGTACCGTTTATACCTTCTACAAAATGATGAATTTGTGTTTCTCCATATGTAATAATCAGAGCGGGATTAAAAAAATATTAAATAAATTTAATAAATTTGGTTATTCAGCCTCAAAGAAAAGTGAAAAAACTGGGCATAACCCCTCGTGAAAAACACTGGCCGTCTTTTCATCATGGGTAATTATTCCGTTCAAATAGCATATATTTCTCTCCAGGCAGAGAGGGCTTGGGCTGAATGGTTGCTGCCACCACATAATGGTCCTTAGACGTTTGTTTCCTAGGCAACGTGGGGAGGGCATGTGGAGAGGGAGGTATAAAATCACTGGCAGCTCCTCTCTGAGTCCTACTCCGAGGTGAATGCACTCGCTGTAAACACAGGGAGCCTCGGAGAACTTGTTACACACTCTTTCTCTCCCGATTTAAAGCTGACTTAAGGAATCAACAAGTGGCTGATCCACAATGATGCGGCCAAAAGATTTGCGCCAGGGCTCTGGCACTAAAACCTTTTTGGATGCCATGCATGGTGGAAAAGTTCACCTGGCACGCTTCATCTTGGACGCCTTGGACGGACGCATTATCAACTCCAAGACAGAAAACAGCCGCACCCCGCTCATGTTCGCTGTCTGCTTACAAGACCCAGGAACCAGGGCCAAGTTCACCCGACTACTGCTGGAGAAAGGGGCTGATGTGAACTGCCAAGACGAGGATGGCCGCACAGCCCTGAGCCATGCCTGTGAGATGGGTCACCTGGATGTGGTGAAGCTTCTTGTGCAGTTTAACGCTGACCCAGATTCTTCTGATGCCTGGGGTAACAGCGCTCTGATGTACGCTGCCTTTTCTGGGCACAGTCAGGTCCTGGAGTTTTTGGTTCGGGCTTTCAAAAGACTGGGACTGAGGATGGACAGAACCAATAATGCTGGTCACTCTGCCATTGAGGTGGCCAACTTCTTCGGACACAGCCAATGTGTGCAGATTCTGAACTTTTCTTGCAGGAGGAGTGTTTGCACAGATGATCCACTCCCCGATTCCATTAGTGATGGAGACAACCGGCTGCCCAACAGGCTCCCCAGGTATCTCCTGGAGAGGTTCTCAAAGCAGTTAAACAATAATGAAGATCAGTTGCCAGAGGTATTTCAGAGACAGCTGAAGATTGGAGACAGCAGCAGGCTTTGGAACCGCTTCAGATGTCCCAGGAGTCTGTCTCAAGAGGAGAACCATTCGAACAGCTGGGTCCTGCCTCCTCAGGTAGAGAAAAGCCAGATTGAGGGGGATATTTTCACTGCCAAACAACTGCAAAACTGCCCGCTTAGAGAGCCAAGAGGGGCCAAAACACTGAACTCTCTGCCTGAATCAAGCCAGAAGGATGACAGCCGAGACACTGGACTCCAAGAGCAAACAGCAGTGAGTTTTCCTCTCTGGGGTAAAGCAAAGTCATTTAACCTGGACCTTCTGAACGGCAGAAAGCAGTCCTATCAGGGTGATGTGTGCGACATGAGCCTGTCGGCCAGCAAATTAAAGAGAGCCTCACTGCAGGATGAGAGATGCCTGATAGACAAGATTGAATGTCAAGGAAACACCCGTGGCCTGACAAATGATGCTGACAAAACTGTCTTGGTGCCAAAACCTCTTTCAAACAGCAAGAGTCAGCCAGAGGGAGCACTGGAGGAGAGTGTCCAGTCACAGGAAGAAGAGGAGACTAACACGGCTCCATTAAACAGAAGAGAGCAGCTGAAGAGGGGAAGCTTCGGCCTGAGCAGCAGACACAACAAGCTGCTGTTCGCCAGAGGAGAGATGGAGTCCGGGAAGATCTCGAGCCGTGCGCCGGGGTTCATGGGCCTGGGGACGAGACTGCTGCGTCGGTTCACAGCCCCAGATTTCATGAGGATGGTGATAGACTGTTCATCAGGCTCCTCAAACAGCCGAGGGCGGATGTCCCGCTCTGAGACCTTCCCCTGCTCTCATACACATCAGCAGGTGAACAACCAGCCGAGTGTTGACAGCATCAGCGGAGTGAAATGTGAGTTTGAAAGCAGCTCGTCTCAGTCGACCCTTGGTTAGAATAAAAGCAGTCATTGATGGCCGGGAAATAATAATAGCACTTATATTTCACAATGCAGTATGATTGCTTGGCGACTTCATCTATTTATGAAGACAAATGATGATGTTTCTCTTAAATTGCAGTTTTTAAATGTTAATCAAGGAAAAAATGTAAAGCTTTACTGTTTTCAAAATGTTATTCTTTATTCAAAGTAATTTATGAACGAGCATAATATCCATCTGTGGGAATAAAATAATATTTTTGTTCACATATAAAAGATTTATATTACATGGATTAAAATGTATTTGATATTGTTATGTATTTATAAGACCTGTTGTATGTATTTTGCTTTAAAGATGTTGTAGCGGCTGTTCACTGTATAATTCATGCCTAATACCTAATAAATACTTTAAAACAGCAGCTCATTCAGCCTTACATGAATTCATGCATGTGTTTGAGGAAAATGCAGGATCAAAGGAATCCATTTCAATATGCATCATTTATTGATTTATACAAAATTAAAATGTGTAATTCTCTTTTTCATGAATGATCCACACAGAGATAGAAATACATGAAACATGTCCACATGTATCCGTGTCAGAATACAAAGACTATGTGCAAAGTGTTTCTCAGCAGGTGGACGTCCTGCAGCATCACATGCCAGGCCTGTGTGCTTTAACTAGGCAAACAAATGCATACACACACACGCACACACATACACACGCACACACACAGACATATCAGTAAAGAACACACATACACGCAGACACACACACACACACACACACTCTCGTGGTTTTTAAAAAGTCTTTCACAATACAAAGTGGGCTTTATCAGAAGCAAACACTGAGATGTCACCTCCCACACACACACACACACACACACACACACACACACACACACACACACACACACATGCTCACACATGCGCACACATATACAACTATACACTCACATTTCAGTAAAGAAAAGTAAATTTTTTTTAATTCATCTCATATAATTTACTGCTGTAGATCAGCAGAAATAAGAACTAATGTTCAGTATTTATTTACATTATTAATTTATCTGCTTATGCTCCAAGTCCATACGTATTAATGAAACATTTTTTTAACTTCACATCATATAAACAACCCACAACAACACCTTTTGGAAATAAATATAAATATGTAAAAGAGGAGTACTGCTGATTTTCAAATAGCCCAATAGTAGCAGCTGGGCTTTAATCTACCCATTTATTATGCTAATAAAGCAGAATTGTCTTTCACATCCCAGTTTGGTTCATATTCAAGCATTCACATCAGGCCAGGTGCGCCTCCGTTTGGCCATGCAAAGAGTCGACAGCCAGTGTTTGTGGAGTTTGCTGGCGGCAGGTTGTTGTCCGGTTTCTACAGCAGAGAGGGTCTGTGAATGTGCAGAGGTAACTATCCTTAGTTCCTTTATAATGTCACGACAAGCTACTGTGGTTTGAACCAGACACCAGCTTCAGAGGCTTTACAAGGCTATCATAACACCCACCATGAACACTATAAAGGGTCATTATAGTAGTATGTGTAGTTACGTGGAACATTTATATTCAGTTGATATGCACCATTTTGATTTGTGTCGTATTGACTCTGACTGAATGTCACAGGAAGCTTATTGATAGTCGGATCAAACCGAGTTGAGATGTGAGGAACTGCATGCTGCCTTTTACTCCTAAAGTGCTTCTCTCATGCCCAAGACCATGCGCTGCGTGTCAGCCAAACTTGATACCCTTCCATTATCACGCCAACAGCAACGTGCTGTCTGGGTCTTCTCCAGAGCTAATCACCCGTCGTTTTGGGTGGAAGAGGATTTACACCAGGATGCTGCTTCTCCTCCCAGGCCTGGGCAGGTCAGACTGAAGGTGAGTGCTGGGGAGCCAGAGTCCCCACAGGGTCAGCAACGGGACATGCGCTTTCGATACTGCTCCACCAGTGGGACCAGGCACTGAGGTGAGCCACTCTGCAGCAGGAACGGATGCTCCAGCAGGTCAGTGGCACTGGCCCGGTCTAGGGGTTCCCGGGTCAGCATTCTGTCCAGGAAGTCTTTAAGAACTGGTGAAATCTAAACAAGAAAGCATTGAGAACATTTATTTCATATAAGGAACAGTGCATTATTTCTAGTATCACTGTTGAGATGGCATTAGTTTTATACTTTACTTAGTATTACGATTAACTTTTCTAGTAACAGCAAAATGGCAACACCTCAGAATGAAAATGAGGGAATTTGTGAAAGAAATTGATCAGCTGATTACCTTCTATCCATCCATCGTCAGAATGGGTATTATACTTTGACTGTTTTTGCCCACCTATGCATTTTTGACAAACTGCTTTGCAACATACTGTACCTCCACCTCATGCTATACATGCCCAAGGAAGGGCAGTGAGCCCTCTCAGAACAGAACTATACAATCAAATATAACTTACTGCATTCAAATAATAATTATCTTTGATGACAGTGGTCCTGAATGAAACAAAAGCTGGACAAAGTGAAAGTTTGACAACAACTTCACATGCTGAATATTGAAAAATAAACAAAAGAAGATTCTGTGATGAAGAAGTGGAGGACCAGTGACAAGTATAAAGTCAAATCCTGAGTTATTACAACTCAGATGATGGACTGTTTACCCTTTGTGTCATAAATTAAATTAGCACAAACTCTGTGGTGTGGTGGACAATAAGTATAACTAAAAAACAGAAGGAGAAAGCAGAGGACTGTGTTGGGATATATGTTTTCATACCTGGGTGACATTTCGTACAGTTGGAGCCAGCTCATCCCTCAGTCTCTTCATAGCTGCTACAGGAGTTTCACTGAAGTACGGAGGCTCACCGTCCACCATCTCAACCACCATGATTCCCATTGACCAAACATCCACCTGGTGCACCACCACACATTCAAGTTATGTAACAGGTCTTATCGGACAGGTGCTTCTTGTTGCATTTACGCTACATGAGGGAGGTCACGCTGTTATTTTGCATGTGGGAGTTTGAACGTGTGCCTGCTCACCTCAGTGCCATATGGTGATTTAGAGATGACCTCAGGTGCCATCCAATAGGGTGTCCCCACTAAAGACTTCCTCTTTGGGATGTCCTTGCTGATCTGAGCACAGAAGCCAAAATCTGAAAGCTTGACCTGGGTGAATAGAGAGAGGTCTTACAATACAGATTGTAAAAAAGAAAGAGAAAATGAGAGGGATAAAAACAGAAATAAATGTCATCAGTACCCTTCCATCTAATGTGAGTAGTATGGAGTCGCTCTTGATGTCTCTGTGGATGACTCCCTGTGAATGGAGATAGGCCAGGGCTTGCAGAACAGCTTCACAGACTGTAGCAATCTGCTCCTCACTCAGCCTGCAGAATAACACACACATACATACAACATTTCACATTTTTCCATGACAGATTATGAGGAATCAGCAGCCGAGAAAAGTCCAAATCCATGAATCACAGCACATCAAAGGCGATGAAAAAGAGAGTAGGGTTCAAAACAACAACACCCACATGGCACAATGACAAAAATATTCAGTCCTCATGAATGTTATGTGACTCCTGGCATTTGCAAAGTGAAATGAAAAAAAACATATGTCTTTTTCATACAGAAGTCAAGGTCAGGAACCCACAAAAACAAAGATAACAAAAGGTAACCATCACCTCCAACAAACCCCTGAATTCTCCCATATGATAGATAGATAGATAGATAGATAGATAGATAGATAGATAGATAGATAGATAGATAGATAGATAGATAGATAGATAGATAGATAGATAGATAGATAGATAGATAGATAGATAGATAGATAGATAGATAGATAGATAGATAGATAGACTTTATTGATCCCAAACTGGGAAATTCTCAAAAGGGTTCTGGCAGTGGTGGGATGCATTGGTTATATTCAAAGACATCTCTAAAACCCTTTCTACAAAAAGGTCACACATAAATGAAGGCTCTTACTCTGCTCCCTATACAACTTAAAATACAGAAAAATATTCAGCACCAGACTGCAGCCAACTAAAGACTCATATTCTGGATAATTCTGTCCATACACTGAGTTTCTCAATGCCTGTCAAACATTGGCTGTGACAGCCGGCTTATTTTAAGTGTCATCTGTCCAGAGGGAAAAATTCACATCCCTTCAAGTCCAGCGATTTATCCTTCGAGTCATGCCTTAAGGATTGGGCCAGCCATCTGCTAATGGTATATGATACAGTGACAGCTCAGAGCAAATATACTTTGACAAACTCAGCTCCTTGCTCCTGGTCCATGTGTTTTCTCATTTTGATTACAATTAAACTACCTTGCAGCACATGAAAATGAAAATTTGAACCAGAATTAAACTTCCCCTACTGCATCTAAAAAAGCACATGCAGTATTAGATAATGTCACTGAATTATTCCTTCTCCCTGGAGAAAAAAGCAGCAGCAACCCAAGGCTGAATGGATGTCTTTGTCAGTGTTTGTGCAGCTGGTTTCAGCACAGATCATTCAGCTGTTGATGCCACACTACCCCCTTGTGGTTGATGAAGTTAGTAAAGATGATATCATAACCAAACTGGTTGCAATATGATGCTTTCTTAAGAGGAATGAAGTTTAGCTCACAGTGCTGTTTGTACCTTGTTTCAGACACAATGTTGGTCAGTGCTCCTCCCTGCAGATACTCCATAATGACCCAGAGCTCTTCCTCCACCAGGGCTGACTTAAACATCTCTACTACGTTCCTGTGCTGGTAGTCTCTCATGATGACCACCTAGGAGAAGAATTACAGAAATTAGGATATTAATATGAAGTGACAGATGAATATTAAGTAAGCCTAACACTCAGTGGCTACATTTTGTTTCACCTAACTATGTAGTATATTTCTAAAAGAAGAAGAAGAAGAAGAGTGGCTGAGAGATCATTTCTATACAGAATTGTCAGAGTTAGAGTGCCGGTTTCACTCAGCTGGTAGAGCAGGCGACCTTTGTAGAGAGGCAACAGTTCTCCTCACACTGGTCATAAGATAGATTCCCAGTCCTGACCTGATTTAGTGCATGTCCTCCTTCACTCTCTCCTCATACTTCCAGCTCCTTTCTCTCATGCTTTCCTATCAAATAAACATTACAAAACTGAATAAAGGGAGTAAGTTGGTGCTAAAGAGGCCATTAGCACAACTGATGTAACATGAATTTTGTCCTTACATCTATATGTTTGGATCAACCCAAACTCTGAGACTTTTTTAAGATAGTATAATAAACTTTTGTTTTGTGTTAATGAGGGCATGCCCTTTAGGCACCTTTAACGCTCTCATAATTAGTATTACCATGCGTTCTTTTAAACTCAATATATCAATAATTTCAATTTTTTTTTTCTGTGAAGAATAAAAACAAAGACTAAAATGTATTCAAGCATGGTCTGTTTCCAATATATATAGCTATTTGACTCTGTGTGCCATATTTACTTTCAACCACCTTTTTGTAGATACTGGGGGCAAAGAGGGACACAGTACTAAAGAAAGAGCCTCTTTCAGCTTTCAAATTAACCATGGTTTTTAAAGAGAATCACTTTAAATGCCTCCCTCAATGTAGAACTGGTAGTTACCACAGACAGCAACCACACAGAGAATGCATTAAGGCTAACCACTTTGCAGATCTACATACAGGTTAACTTGTGGCTGGCTTAAACACCCTGCATATTCATCCAGGCTTTACACTTGGTTTACATGTGAGAGTCTGATTGTGTGTGTGTTAAATAACACCATCTAAGGAAAATCAATTTCTTCATGACTGCTGCAAGGACAAACTGGAAAATCAAGATAACTTGAAGACATGTTGTTAAAGATTTGCGCTGCTTGCCTTGATATAGATTTTGCTTCACAAGTCTTTGTTTAGCACAGTTTTATAAAGAGGCGAGTTCTTAGTTAGCATGGATCCATCAAGCGCCAAACTTTGGTGTAAAAAGTGAAGTCAACATGAGGGTGAAAAAACCCTGCAGTTCCACAATTGTCCACTTAAGTTCAAAAGCCAAGGAGACCCTATTGAAATCTGCTTAGAATGGCCATTTTGCTCTCTATGCCCCTGTATACACACCATCTGAAAAGAAATTGATTTTTTTTTGTAACTTATCCGTTTGAATAATTTTGAGGCCTCTAGTTAGGCACTACTTTAATATGTACAGTTAGTGGCATGATGAGTTGACTAACTGGTTGTTGGGACGTTGTAGTTGTTTGCCAAGAGGGCAAAAGTGCAGTGCAAACAGTAGCAAACCTAAATTTTGTTGCCTAAGCAGGATCTTATTTTGCACGTTTGAACACTGTACCTCATTAAAGAGCAACTCTCTCCTCTGCTGCCGCCTCAAGTCCATCATCTTCACCGCTACCTGCCGACCACTGTGCTTCTCTGTAGCAATACACACCACACCGGTCGAGCCCTCCCCGATCTTCACAAAATTTTCCAAGTAAGACCGAGGATCCCCTTTATCTACGACCATCTGCAGTGCTGCTTTGAATTGCTCATGGGTCACTTTAGGTGGGTCTGGTGGCGGTCTGGGTGAAGGGTGTTGTGGGGGCCTGAAGGCAGGGGAGCAGGTTCCTGGGGGACTGGTGGCTAAAGAGCCTGTTGGGGAGGGTCGGGGCTGGGAGGGGCTGTCTTGCCTGGGGTAAGGAGGGGCTGGGCATCCAGAATGTCTAAGGAAAGGGTCAGGTCCATTTGGCCTCAGTCCCATGTTGGGAGACAAGCCCAGTGTGTAGCTTGCGGAAGAACGAACTGTCCGTTGCGGTCTGATGCCGCCCACTAGAGGACTGCTGTTTCCAGTGGGAAGAAAACCAGAGTGGTACCGTGCTGCTGGCTCTGCCTACAGGAGGAAGAAATACGAATGAGGGACATTAAAAGAGAGAGCTGAAGCAGAGCTGGCCGACTGCCTGAGATTGAAGACCTGCTTTTAATATGAATGTAAATCTAGTCCTCCACTCTCACTGTGCATCCACTTCACCTGACATGACCCATGTAAAGATCTTTCTGTAAGGACCCAAGTACCATGCTGGGATCTTGCCAAATACACCATATCTCAACTTTACAGCCCCACCAACTCTTAAAACCAACATTCCATAATTTAATTCTAGGATCTGAAAATATCCCACCCAAGAACTTTAATCACCTTTAGTTTAAAGCAAATCAATACGTTGCTAGGCTAAGGTTTCCACGGACTGCACTGAGCATGAGCATGAGCATGACACTTTGAAACTCAGAGACTCATAGCTAACCTGCAGAGAAGTACCATGATGTGAACAGACTAAGTATGAATATGCAAAAAGAGTTCATTGTTGAGTTTAATGTATTATGATGTATGCAGCTCATGGTCAAATACTCAAGAAGCTGCTGCAATGTCAGACATACTGTACCTTCAGGTCATAGGAGGAGAACGGCCTCCCGGGGCTGTTCTGTGGGTGCATGTACATCGGAGGGTTTGGCCGCAGCTCCGTGGTGACCGTCCCTTGGTCCCCATGGGGCGGCTGAACAGTCATAGCAGGGCTGTAAAAACAAGCTATTGGTCTTTGACTTGGTGGCACCCCCCTGGGCAGCTGGAAATCTCTCTTCCATATCACTCTCTCCTGAGGACTGCCCACCTCGCCGCTCATGTATGCCCCATGACTCAGCATCGGGATGTTCTGGGACAGCACCGGTTGCGAGGGTCCCTCCATGGAGTTGATGCTGACTTCGTAGGTGGACTTCGCCTTTGGTAAGATCCCATTGGGCTGCAGGGTGATGCTCTTCTTCATGCCCAAGTAAGGAGTGTTGGTCTCACTGTGTATGTTCCTTGCCCTTTCCCTCCAGGGATCATCACCTGCGTCCTCGTCGTCATCTTCATCTTGGGTCAGGCCCTCATACTGGTAGGGGTCTCCTTCATTCACCTCCCCAAGTCGTCCAAGAGACTGAGCCCTTTTCCTAGCTGAGGGGCTGCTTTTCCTCAGAGAGTTGGAACTCGTCACAGAGAGGCGGCTCATGTCGTTGATCATGGCTGCGATGTAGTCCCCGTGACCGATCATACTCCCACGCACAATGGTCTGAAAGAGGAGAAGCGTTTATCTTTATCACATTGTGCACACCATGATCACATTATGGAAAGAGTCTGGGCTGAAAGGAATAATGAGGCTGACATAATCATTGCTCAGAGGCGAGTTAAATTTAGACTTGAGAATCTGTAAAGGACATCTTTGTCATTTTTCAAAGACGGCAACTTAAATCATCTCCCCAGTGGCTTTTTCTGACAATACAGGGACAAATATATGAGGAAACGGTCAAGAGATACAAAACAAAAATACTCTCTACAACTGCTCCGGTGTCGAAACTGTAAGATATTGCAGATAACTGTTTGTATAACCTTTAAGAGATGGTATGCATACCTAGCAGGCATGCAAAGAGGAAAGTCCAAACTTGTCTTTACAGAAAATGTTCTTTACGCCAAAATTGTGTTACTGGTGCAGCTTTAAGTGAGAGAGCATGGTGGTTCATTAGAGACTCTCAGGGTAGAGTCATGCTCAGTTCACAGTCAGTCAACAGCCTCTCCTGTTTCTCTGGTGTAGTGCCATTACTTGTGCACAGGGGGGTGGAGGTCAGATGACATCTCACCTGTGGTAAAACCTCTCAGAGAGGGAGGGATGGTAGGTAATAATAGATGAGTGAGATGTCCTAGTTTTCAGAGATCCTGTGATAAGTTTGAAAATGACATGTTGCTTCAACCCAATATTCTGGTGTTTTTTTCTCTTTTCCTCACAGAATAAAATAGTCTCTCTGCTAGTTAACAAGTCTTATGATGGGCATAGTTACATTTAGTACTGTGTCCACAAAAAGCTACAAATGCTGATATCACAATTATTTGTGTTCCTGAGCGACTAATTTTCAAGTCAGTTCAAATCTTAAGTAAATCATGTCAAAGTAGTTTCCAGAGAGTGGATAACATTTTCAAAGCTAGCACCACCAGCCTTCTGCAGTACTCCAACCATATGCTGGTTGCGCATTGCTTAATCAAGTGGTCGTACAAAGCCTGCATACGACATTATCTAATCTTTTTGGACACCATAAAAAGCTATTTGTCATCTGTGCTGGTTTGCGTCTGTTAGTACAGCATCATAGCGTCACGGTTGTAGCCATCAGCTAGTCATCAATAGCAATTTCAGGCAAACAATAATACGAATGTGGTAACACTTTACTTGACGCCTATCTCTGTAACGCATTATAGATATATGTGTAATGAATTATAATCACGTTATAGCACTGTATAACTATAGTTATAAACACTCATAAATGATCATAATGCTTTATAACAATAATCATAACCCATTATAAAGCATTTTATCGTGACTTACAAGGTCAGGTATTACAGCTTGTTATGCTTATTTTTTAGAGAGCCTTATGATAATTAATGAGTGTTTATAATGTTTGTTATACAGGTTTATGAGCAAATTAACACATCATAAATATATGTTTAATTCATTATCTATGTGGGTAATGTCAGTGAGTTGTTAACAGTTATAGCACATTATAATACCTGACCTTGTAAGTCATGATCAAATGCTTTATAATATGTTATTATTACTGCTATAAAGCATTATGATCATTTATGTGTGTTTATAACTACAGTTACACAGTGCATTAACGTGATTAAAACGCATTATACATGTATTTATAATGCGTTACAGAGATAGGCATCAAGTAAAGTGTTACTAAAAAGGTTCATAATTTGTTTAACTGATAAGTAATTCTGGTGCAAAGGAGCAGGGGAGATAAGGTTTAGTTTTTCAGCTTACTAAAAGTGCTGACCCTTAATTATAATATCTGTCTCTTTATAAAACAATATAAGATTAACTGTTTTAAACATTATTTCCCTCCTTTTTTTTTTTTTTTGCAATGATAGGTTCTGGATGATACATTTGAATCACAAATTTAACCAATACGCTGACATGATAGCTCTTGTATGGAACTTATCACGTCAAGCCTTTGCTGAAATGTTTCTTTTTTTATTCTTTTCCATTTGAAGGGTCACAAACAGCATCTACAGTAAGCTCTGTGAAGTGTAGGAATCCTTAGATCTGCAGCCTTTATCATTCACTGGCATTTCCTTTGCTGTACCTGCACTTTTTATCCCTTCAGCTTGACATCCTTGCGAAGGCACCATGGACTGTTATTAATTGCCTGTGTGGTGTAATAAATCTTGCAGCCCCTCGGAGTATTCAACATTGTAGTGTCAGTGTACACAGCAGGGTCATTAGCCCAGCCCCAGGACAGATAGGAATGCAAAAAGATGAGGGGGAGCCGGGCTTCCTTTTGCGCTGTCATCAGAGGATTATAGCATTTTCTGAGACAGCAGAATCCCTCTGTTCAATACCAACAGCAGCTTATCTTTATGCATCAGTCGCTCTCTGATTAAATGCTAAATCTTTAGCATCACGACTTATTGTAAGAGCTCACTCAACAAAAGCTCCATACTGAAGGATGTGCAATACAGTTATCGGTTTAAGGTAAGGCCAAAGGATCAATAAAGGGAAGGTTTGGTTTACCTTCTTTGGCCTCAGTTCCACTTCTGTGATCCTGGAAGGGTCCACCATGGGCCTGGGCCTGCGCAGGTTCTCTATTAGGCTCTGCCATTGAGTTGGCAGGCCCACAAAGCAGCCCCGCTTGGCGTCAAACGAAGTGTGGACACGGTGCTCAAAGTTCTTGGGCGCTGATATCTCAGGCCTCTTCTTTTTCTTCTTGCGAAACATCCTCAGGTACAGTAGGGGGACAGCTTGCCTGTTTCAAATTGTCCCTGTGAGAAAAAATGATTTGAAATCCTTAATAACATTACCCAACATAATGCACAGCAAACACAATCCTGACATTTGAATAAAAGCAAATCCCTTCTGCCTTGCTGATTACAACATTTCTGCCACTGTTAGACCAATGTCCTTTATTATTTTCTCTCCAACCAGCTGTATCAAAAATAAAATGTGACAACAGATGATCTTTCCGCATGGGAGTAAATACACAAATAGCTCATCTAAAAAGCTGTTCCATGCCTGGGATGTTTGTGTCCCATTCTGCCTTGCTGCCTGTCATAAGCTTGTGCCTCTGAGAATGGCTCCAAGGAGAGCAAATACATTTGTAAGCACATGTGTAATGAAGGATATCTGGTCAATTAAGGCTTATTCATTCTGTGTGCCATTTAACTGATGAGCACTCGGCTGGGCTGGCTGGTGCCCGTAGGCTTTCAATGCATTAGCAGGACAAGAAGTACACACACAGACACACACTTGTGCACAAAAAAAAAAGACTCACACAAACACAAATAAACTATGGCAGGCTATCCTTCATAAATCCTTTATAACCTTTCCTATCACATCCTGATTAGTAGCTTGTTTGCCCTTGATTCCAGTGAGGTAACCATTTAATCCTTAAATGGATAGCTAACAGCTAACTCGGGTTAACAGTATTAAGCTTTATTTCCATTCAAATGTAGGAACATAATTAAATACACTTTATACATCTCATTTTCTGAACTGCACAGCTGCATGGGGGGATAATCACTTAAATTTAACTCTCATGATTAGCATTAATGCTGTTTCATGTAGCTCACAGTATGGAGGCTACTCAGGCTAGAAGTCATGCTAGAAGCGTGCCTCTGGGGCTGGTAGTGCTGGTTTGTTGGTCTGCATGTCGGTTCTCCCATGACAGGAGTGAAGAGGACAAATGATGTAATAGGCTGCATTCAATGACATGGAATAAGGCGTTGCTGCCATGCATATTTCATGCAAGTGGTCTGATACATCATGCACGACAAAGCACTTAGAATACAAGGGACACAGGAGGATTGCACATATCTACTGTCTCTGCAAAGTCCCCCATTGTGCAAATGTGTGAGCACAGTTGTCGGTAGGGATAGCAGTTTGTTAGTTAATCAGACTGACAGCTGTTCTTAGGATGCTGGAGGATACGCTTTTACTGTCTACATTGAACTGTTTCAGCATCTCCTTGATGTAAACACAAGTCTCCCAAATTCTTGGTTATGGTGACTGATGGTTGACATTCTTGAGTAGGTTTTTATGAAGTTCTGGTGGATGGATCCTTGTAGCTTTGATCCAATATTCAAGTGCCCAATCTCACAGCAGAATAAAACATAATTACAGCCATTCACGATTGATGGTTTAAGTCTTGGTTGACCACACTCCATGACCTGTTTTCCCAACAAATGTCCATATAACAATTGTATGTAAATGCTTTTAACTATGCCTGTCTCAATTTTAACTAGATTCATAAAAACATGATGAAATATATAAAAAATGTTTTATGCAATGTTTATTTATATGTATGTCAATCAGTATCATTCCCAAGGATGTTTTAAACAGTAGAAAAACATCCCAAATATACTGCAAATCAAAGTTCAGCACTGATTTGACAGCATGGTGGTAAAAAACAATTTACAGTAACCCTAGTTTTTTCATATTGTACCTTATTTCTTTTTTCCAGACAGCTGTTTGTTATGAATAATCTGTTCTGATTATAAGGCTTGGAGATATGCATGATTGTACATCATTAAGGATGAAGTCACATGGTAGATGGTTGCCAGTAGGCAAACGATCTGTCTCAGCTCCATCTCTGCACTGGTTGACTTAGTTGAAGTCAACATTTTCATTATGGCTACCACCATCTTTGGGCTTCATAACGCTTTAAGGGGTGTCACAGGGGCTATGTCCTTTTTTTTTTTTACCAGCCTATGATTAAACTGCAATGATTAATGTAGTCAACATTTTGCCTCTCTGACAAAAGCTGACTTTTTCTTGTTTATTTAGCGTAGATCTTAAATGTTGGGGTGTATACAGCAAATACAGAGGTACACACAATGTCCCTAAACTATTTGGTGCAAGTAGGAGTTGTGTATATTAGTTTTGTAGTCATTCACAGCTCAGCAGGTGATCACACTGTCCGCCTCTCCTCTCTCTCCACCTCCGCCCTCAGAGCAGCACGCCTCTAATCGGCCCCAACCACGCCTGTTATGAGCTGTTTCAGTGACTACCACACACTCCTCATCTTGCCGCATCACAGGAGGGTAAAAGGAGGTCAAGCGTACCGGTCACATTCGTTAAACCTGCCTCATTTTGGAAAGGCAGAGTAAGGATGGAGGCGTGGGGGATGTGTCATTCTCCAAGGATAGTTCAATCACACAGCTAATATGCTAGGTGTTGCATAAGTGTATCTCTCTGTGCTCTCCCTATGTACATAATGTGATGCTGAGAAGAACTTTAATTCCATCTGACAGGGACATTATGGTGCAAGGCCTCTCAGGAGGTGGGGAGAGAGGAGTTGGGGCCATGATTACAGACAGAACTGGATGTATTAGAGAGACAGGGACCCAGTTTCTTCCCAACAGACACAAAAACGCTTTTAAGCCCCAATTTAGGTTGTTTTTGAAATAACAAACGCCTGAAAAAACAAGCCGCAGAAAAAAGTCCTGATCTGCTTTAGCCTCGTTTTCCACTGCACCAGAGACTATCTGCTTGGATAGCTGGAAATTTGCTGAAGTTGGCATTGCCTGAACAAATATTTACGCATGTATCCTTTTACAAGCAGATCAATCAATATTTACTCATGAGTCAAATGCACACTGCTTACAGTCTCTCACTGCCAGAAATAATGGGGTGATACCGGCACAAATAGGATGGCTGCTCTAAGCCTACTTTATCAAACTTCATCAGTTCAAAGAAACAGAGAGGAGAACATATCACAGCATTCATTATTCATCCTCGATTTGCCTCCCCCTGAAGACTCTGAAAACCCGAGCTATCCAGTGTGGTAGAAGAGGAAAGTAGAAACACGCTTTGTTGATCCAGGCCTGCATGAGCAAAACAAATTGAAGAGTTGATGCAATTATTGATTCACAAGTTTAATCACATACAACTGGCCTCATATTGACCTCTCTAACTCTACCATGCTTAGAAATGTCTTCATAACAATATACTATTGATTTCTAACCCAGTCTGGTTGTACATATGCACAGCGCTGATCTTACACAGCATTGCACGCATAATCCCGCTTTCTGGTCACATCTCCTTTAAACTGCGAGGACTTGACCCTATGCCTCAGTGGCTTGTCTTGAATCTATCAAAGTGCTGAGGCAAAACTAAGCCAGCTTCTGTCAGGGATATGAAGAGCCAAAGAGGATGAGGTCACTCCAAAACTACATGTGCTACAAGAGGAATTTCCACTTCTACAACTGCGTGCAGTTTCAAAAATTAAATTTGTCCTGATGCATGACCCGAAAATCCAGATATCTGCTCATTGAGAAATAAAATATGACTTCATTAAAATCACATGAGCATAAAACTGTTGTAGGAAGTCTGCTTGTGAAGTCTGACTAAACACAAACCTTTAAAAATAAGTGATGGAGCGTGAAAATTGTGCAAAATTAGCAGAAAGTTCAATTTTTTCCTGCAGAGTCATAACTTAATAAAGCGAGCGTTCTTATTCAGGGATATAAATAATCCAATTACAGACTTTTCTGACCAATCGAACAGCACTTCTAGGCTTCTAAAGGTATGCAGAAATACAACAAGGTGATCATATATTTTCAACAGACATGACAGAGGAGAGGTGAGGACATGCTTACATTCCTCTCATGTTCAAACCCAGAGCAGGAGTCGAGGATGAGTGGGAGGGGATCTAGAGATAAGAGAGATATTGGATTTGCTCGATGTTAGCGCTCGCAGCTCTGTTGACTGTTTTTTTTTTTTTTCCTATTTGCCCTGATTTCTGCTTCTATCTTTTTTGTTGGCATGCAAGCAGGAATGTAGAGAGTGTGCAGGTGACTGTGCTCACAGGATTAGTGTGGTGTTCAGTCCTTTACTGATCTAATTTTAGGACACAACCCCCCCACCCCACCCCCCACCCACCCCTTTAAGCACCAGACGCGTGTTTATTTTGCACAGGATTTATGTCAAATAGTTAGGTGAGGGTGGGAGACGATGGATATGAGGTAATCCTCTTTTTGTGTTTGTCAATGGATGTATAAGCGTAATCCAGCTAACCTGAATTACAGGGAACAACATCTTTTTCAGAGCGGTAAAGATAGCATCAAGGTCTTAGGTGCTGTTTTTGGACTGTGCTGTGCAGCGTGGGGGGCTTTGAGATTGCTCTTCTATCAGCTTCATTATGATGACCGTTCTGCCCTTTGAAGGTAATGAGACTGCCTCTAGAGGGGGGCGAAGGGGGGTCTTGGTTGGTCATCTCCTCCTAGAAACACACACACACACATATGTACTTACACACTCACACATTTAAGGGCATAAAAAACAGTACACAAGCGCCGGACGTGACTGGACAGTACAATAGTGTTTATGATTTAAGTTGATGTCTGCTTTCTCTTTGAAGTCACCTCTGCAGACATGAAGGGATTGTCAATAGGAGATGACAAGTGATGTAATAAGCTGTGCTCAGTGACATGGAATAACACATTGCTGCAATGCATATTTCATGCTAGTTGTCGGTTACATCATACACAACAAATTGCCAGAAATAAAGGGAACATTGAGGAATGGTGCAGATTTTATGCCTCTATAAAGTCAAGATCATGTGAATGTGGAAATGAATGTGCACTCTTTTGAACTTTTGGCCTTAGTATTGCCAGATATGTCAGTTCTACCCATAGACTGTGTATACTATGGACAACTTGGTTCCGCCTTCTGCAAGTATGCGGATTTGAAGCCGAAAAGCTCTCTGTATTTCCGTGATTTTTCTTCATTCCTGAAACCAACATTGAGCAGTAGCATTGTAGCACTCCACCACTTGCGCAGTAGCACTGTACGCATTCACGAGAGAGACGCCAAGAGTCTCTGTGATGACGCTTGGCTCAAACAGCGGATCCCCAGGGTGAGCTACGCAATTTTCATACGCCCACAGGTTTTATCAAGTGTCAGTCATAGAAAACATGAACCCCCTAATAACTTTTAAAATGGAGCTGTACAGAAAAAAAGAGGACTTGAGCACAAACCAGTCTTAAAATAACTACATGTCAACATCACAAGCAGGGGGGAGAAAAATTTATGTTCTGTGTGATAAATTTCTAAAGTTTGTCCACAGCCCCATAAGGATTGCTGCGGAAGGTGGGATTAATGACCTATACTGCAGCCCGTCAGCAGAGGGTGCTGTTCCCAGAGTGGCTTCACCCAGTGAAGAGGCAGACAGCGTCCTTCTATATACAGTCTATGGTTCTACCCGATATCCCAAAAACTACCATACTCATTCCAGCTAATCATTGCTCCAAGTGGAAAAAAAATTTGCCTATGTCCCCCACTTTTTCATTTGTTGTTGTGTGTATCACGCAGGCAATAGCAGTAAATAATTTGTGTTGTGTATTTGAAAGTAAGCCAAAGATGATGCTAATTCCATATATTTGCTTGGAACAGCTTAAGTTCAGCAGAAAACCTCTGCAACTCTAAACCTGTCCAATTTTCCATCAAGCCATCAGGCTTTCACTGAAGGCCTGACAAGTTTTTTAATTTAAAAAAGCTTCAAATATAGGTTTGAGGTATGGCCGTGGATGCCCAGGTGCAGAAATGTCAGATTACTCTGCAGCAGCCGTTATTACTGCTTGATCTAAATAAACTGCTTGATCTGAGTGTGTTGAACTGAGCTCTGCAATCAAACCGTTCACAAATGGAGATGCACGAAGCACCAGTGCGGCAACAACACTTGGACAAAACTAACACAGGACTACATAAACACAATTTGTTGACTTTGAGATCAGATTTTAGAGGAGAAAATAAAATAAAGTTGAAAAAGAGAAGGATATTTGTCTTTGGAATGCAGTAAATAAAAAGCAAGTTCACCACTAAAATAATACTCGAGTAAAGTTCAAATGCTCAAAAAACACATTCAAGTACTTCAGTGTTTAAGTAGATCAAGTAAATGCACCCAGTAGTACTGTCTACACCTGACCATGGGTTATGTGTTTTAGGTGCTTTCATGAATTGCAAAAGAAACTGCAAAATGAAGAGGAGAGGAGAGGGTACTGGCAGCTGGTAATAAGTCCTGGTACACCAAGGAGTTAAATTTAGAAGTGGCAGTACTGTGAACCTCAGCATACCAACCCACTAAAAGCACAGCGTACAGGCTTATTGTAAAACATTCATGATTTGGTAGCTGGTCTCACTTTCTTGACATCTCACATCACACATTGACTGGTTTTACATTTTATAGTTTAAGTCCTTCTAGCATGCTAAAACCTGGTAATTATTATATTAACTGTAGGGCCCTTTTAGCAGCATGCTGGCGTTATTATAATGTTTAACCATGTCAACATGGTCACAATACTGAGCCTGCTAACATGTCATGAAAGAGTCCACCCTTTAGCATGCTCAAGTAAAATAGTTGGCAAAACATGCATTGCTGATAAGCTAGTTCACAGCCAACAATCTGAAATAAAATATCACTTTTTTAAGGATAATACCCTCAAAGTAGGACAAACTATGCCAACGTTATCAATTAGTTTGACAGAAGAAAGAGAAAGAAAAAGAAACCCTGCTTTTTGGCATACTGTATATAAATGGATGTTATATGTGTTCACTGTGAACCCAAAAGATTTAGCGCTCCCTCTACTGAGTGGCTGCAGAAGAGTTCAGAAGCCCCACCCCCTGGTGTTATCAGATGGAGAAAGGGTCAGATGAGTTTTTTTCTTACATAGTTTTTCTCATCACTGTTAGCTCTTATCATAATGATTTATGTATAAGTGTTCACTTTCTGAAAAGTTGAGTTAAAGTTAGTTGTTTTATTTCAAAAAGACTAACTGTTCTGTTGACATTGCAGGATCCTAATAGCGGATAAGTGAAGCAGAGGACTGACAAAGAGGGTCACAATGACACCAACACCAATTATTCAACTTTCCATATCCATAAATGTCCACTTAAATCAACACAACAATCTCTTCTGCTGAATCATGGACAAAGTCGCTCTGACATAACCCTTCGGTTTTTGAAATGTTATTATGAAGCCCAGTGATGACAGTCACCATATTGGAAATGACAACTCAACTTTATTTTTGACCGATTAAACCACAAAGACGTATAGCTGGTCTTCTTAGCAAACAAACTTTTAATGGTGTTGTCAGTCATTCAGCCATGCCCCCAAGAATGCAAACCTGTGTAACTCTTAGCTTTCATGTAATCCAAACAGATGAGTTGTTCCATGATTCATCCATCTATCTTGTGGGGAAATTAAAGGAATGAGCTTTGAGACCAAATCATTTTGGTCATGTTTATTTCTGCTGTTGAAATTGCAATTCTTGGGATTTTGCTGCCAGCCTCGGCTGGACTGCAGTTTTTTGCACTTTCAGATAACATTTGTTCTAAGGAGATTAAAACTGACTGAGATGGTTATAAAATAATTTAACTTGCTGGACATCAACATGAGTTAGGGTTGCCATTATGAATATGCCTCGTCAACCGCATTATTAGCCTGGGGCACCACTACAGAACTGTTTTTGAAGAGCCTCCACTGTGGCTTCAAACTTTTATTCTTCTGTTTGTAGTGTCAAAAGATTTCATAAGACATGCATGGCATCAAAACAAGCTAGTCGAGGTTACAGGAAGTTGAAAAATCTAGGAAATGCACTGTGACATTTTTGTAAGGTGGCTGGCAAAACCTATATTGTCCTTGAGGTATTTATTTTACAGAGGGAAGTTTCACTCAGGGTAAGGACACAATGTACAGCATACCAAAGGGAATATGACAGTATATGTGCTCCTTCTATTTATTTTTTATGAGATATAAAGAACCAACATATTTTAATGGAAGAGAGTTGATGTAACAAATAGAGACAATAATTTTGGGTAAAACAGCAAAATGCTTTCAGGCCCTGCTTTTAAGTTTCAGTTTGTAAGATCAGCCATAAAGCTTTGACCCACATTCACAAAGAGACTTCATTGATAGTGACATATCCTGTGTCACAGAACTTGAAGCAATGCGTCATGTGTAGGCCCTCACTCAAACCTCTGTATAAGAAAATGCAGGTTGGAAACAGTTCGAGGCCATGGAGCAAAACTATCCAGAGGAAGTCAACACATCAAAAAGCTTGTCTGTCATTTTTTTACATGCACTGAATGAGGAAAAAGAGCCTGAGGTTTGGAACTGTACAGTATAGTTATATGTCCGTGCCCGACAATGTGGGCTGTCAGTTCTTCAAGGGCAGACGTCCACGCAGGAGTGTTCATCAGTCTAGTGTTAATATTGACAGGATGGAACAAGAAATGAGAGGTCAAGACAGAGGAGAGGAGGAGTTGGGGAGGAAAGGAGAGTGAGGACACTTAGAGATAGTGACAGAAAAGGAATGAAAATGATAAAAGGGAACCTAGCAAAGGAACAGACATAAAATAAAATAAAAATACAGGATAGACATAGATTCAAACTGTCAGTGCCCTGGATATAAATCTTTAATGTTTTTTTTTCTCTGTCTAATTTAGGGGCACAACGTTGTGAAAAGCATCCCTCTCTCCTTTTCTGAAGACGTAACCTCTTTTCTCCACCGTCTTGGGAAGCTTTGTTAGCAGTAAACAAGCCACAGTAGAGGGGATCTGAGGACATCGACAGAGTGCATACATCATTCTGTCACCTGACACATTGGCACCGATTCTCACGGATGAGAAAATGGACGAGAAAATGTGTTTGTTCTGCCCTGCAGCGAGGAATGAAGACATAAATGCAGAGTAAAAGCCGTAGTCTCTATCTGCTCCAAGCACCTTAACATAATGAGATTGTAAAAGAAACACTTCTGATGTCCTGGGGCTTTTATGGGATGTTCTACTGATGCTGACACATCACTAGGACAATGCACTCTTAGCTCAGGAAGCATCTGATCTAACAACATGTGTACCAAGGGCTGGAGTCAGGATTGTAGGGACATGCAGCACTGACCAACACTCTGTTTAATTAAAGATCCTCTTGGCTCTGACAAGTGCTTTGAACAATTTGATGCTCTGCTGATAGGAAAGTATGATCAGCCTGGACCAATGATACGGGCCCAACTCGTCTCTCTTGGGTCTAATTTATTGATGCACCGGGCTTCAGAGCGAGCTTTACTGTACGCGCATGTGCTTATGAAAGCTTTGATTTACATTTTTTTAGCCCAGGCCTCAGCGTGTCTCTTCCAGGGACAAAGCACCAACCATTTTTAACCTGAGACTCCTCTATGGTATCAATCTGCTCTGATTCTGTTGCTGTCCTCCTCTGTCACCCAGCATGGGTGCTGTTCCAGCCCTGAGAGCCGAGGCATGTCATGCTGTCCCAATTTGGACTCAGATGCTGTTTTAAATCCTTACTGCCTGACATCTCATGGCCAGAGGAGATGCTAAGCTACTAATTCACGCGATCCACTCCTTCAGATGACATCAACATGACAAGAATATTCCTGAAAACAATCATGGGCACAGCAGGGGGGGCATGAGGCTGCTGAACCACCTACACCTGCGTGCATGTGTATTTAAGTGGTTCCTTTCACTTCCTGTCTTGTCAGTGCAACACTACTTGCACTGAGGAGCCTGTGCTGCCAGTTTGGGTTGCACCATGAGGCTGTCAGAGTGTGATAGCAAAGATGGGCTGCAAGAAACAGCCTCCCAAAAAATAGAAGACGCTGGAGCGTGCACTTCATCCTCACTGGAGCAGATATCCAGCTGCGTATGCATGCAACAAAAAGACCTTCTCTGTCACCTCCTCTGCCCTTTCCGTCCTCCTCCTGCTTGAATATCAATGAGCAACTTGAGACACAAACACATGGTAGTTAAAGGAGTAAAGAGCCACAGTTACATCATGTTCAGACACTGATTCTGCCTCAATAGCACCCGGTTAAGTCAGAACTCTTAGGTAGGGTATGATTGTTGTGCTTCTGTTAGCAAGAGTAAGTGCAGATATTGGATCAAAACTAAAATCTATACGCTGCTTTTAATGGATTCTCACTTGGGTTTTTGCCGCTGATAGGGGGAGTTTTTGGTCCAATTATCAGCAAAACATGTAGGACCCAAAAAATAGAATCCTTCTTTTCCTAATGTCTAAAATCAAGAGTCAAATGAAGCCCAAATCAAACATCTCCTCCTTCGTTTATTCAAGCTCTCGTACAACTGATTTCTGCGTTCGCAGATCAAAGTGAATGCTAAGAAAATATGTAACATCAGTCTCCAACCCTGTGCCTATTTTAACCACAATATGCACATACTCAAATGTCTATGTACAGAAGCAGCTCGAATCCTCATGCATTGGTAGGACCAAAAAGATCACCTGAGAACACACACCTACACACACAAAGCAGTAAAAACAGGAAGCTCCTGTCCACGGTGCCCACAGCAGATGCACAGACTGTATTTGTGCAGCAGGATCCATGTCTAGAAGGAGACAGTTCACAGCTTTTTGTGTCCTGCTCCCTGATTTAAAGGTTGAAGAAAGAGGCGAAGGAGACACAGGAAGGGGATGTGGGGATTTTGAGGAGGAGGGGTGAGAGGAAGGTGAAGGCTTTTTGAGATGCAGCCCACTGAATACATCCAGCAACCCCTTCCTGTATTCCCCTTTTCTCCCCCACATCAGCACCTGGCTGCGCTGCATTCTCCTCACAGCTACCTTCTTCTCCATCTCGCTCCTCCACAGATGTTGCCTACCGACTGCACACACTAGCCTGCTCTTTATCAATGACATTAAGCCTCTTATCCTTTTTATCCCCCCACCCACCCCCCTCTTCTTTACCCCACTCTGCTCGGTGTGGGGAGAGGAAACAGGACTCTGGAGGGATAAATCATTGTTAGTAGAGGAGGGGGAAAAAAATCAGTCATCCCCCCTTACCTTTGCTGTCTGGTGAAGAGGAGAGCCTCTCTCCTCCTGGAAGGATTGGAAGCCAGAGTGCGCACACACTCACACTCACATACACTATTATACAAAAGCTCACTCACATTCACAAACGCATGGACTCACACGGACATACACGCTCTCTCCCTCTGTTATGCACAGAACGATGAGGAGGAAGAGGAGGAAGAGGGCTGGCTCTCAAGCGAGTGCACACTGCAGGCTGCCGCTTGCCTGGGAAAGCCTGATGCGTTCCTCCCTCCAGGCAGGAGCACACATTCCCATCTCAAAGGCTCTTTGTTGGGGCTGATTCATCCCCGGCTTGGTGGCTGAGTGGTGGTCGGCGTAATGCTGCCTGCTCCTGCGGACACAGGGTGACCGCACAAAGAAAGGGACAAAGCCATGAAGAGGAAAGGCAGCATCCAGGAGGAGAGAGTATCACGGCCCCATACTGCTCCTTCCATCCCCCCCTCTCCCTCTCCTTCTCCTGCTCGCTCTGTCTCTCTCTCTCTCACACACACACACGCTCCCTCCCACCTCCCTTTTCCTCTCTTTCTCTCTCTTTATCACTTCCCTCCTTCTCTGCCTCCTCCCACTCCCTTATTGGGCTGCAAGAGAACTGATAGCAGCATGTGTATGTGTCTTTTTAAAGGCTGGTTTCTGGTGACTGTAAGGAGAGGAGAGGCTCCTCCACACCTCATCACCTGGGATACCTTTTACCCACCTCCCTGCCTTCCCTCTGTCTCCTTCGCATGTAATGTGGGTGACATGAGAACACAAGGGTGCTACGCTTACCCAGTGTGCTGCTGTTCAGTCAAATGTATTATCCATGGAGTGACAGGGTCAGGGTTGGCAGATGGCAGGAGGGGTTGTGTGTTTGTGTGAGCTACAACTACTAAAATATCTTTTTAGTTCAGTATGAACAACACAACTAAATGCACAAGAAACTTAAGCGTAAGACCGCCTTGATCCAACACGTCCATTATTTGACTCAAACATTCCCCTCTCTTTCCACCACAATCATTTCCTGAATAATTCATACAGCAGCTAAGAACAGACACAAAGCAGGAAAATGTATTAGGGTCAAATCAGCCGGAGATGGCTTGCACAGTGAGCCATATTTGGGGCATATGTGTTATACATGCTGTTTGGATATGAGAGATGCATGCAAAGGCAGCCAAACAAGCTGAAATCATAATGTTCCTTCTTAAACATCAAATAAAGCCGTGGAAGAGAGGCGCCACAAAACCAATCTGCATAACAATGACAGATTTGACTGTTGGGGGTATTGCAGACACAAGCCCTCCTTCTCTTTCAGTCTCTGTTGTCATTGGTATTTATGACTGACTTGGCTGCATTAACATTACACATGAATAACTTTCCTTTAACTTTAGAGCTCTAAACAGCAACAAAATGGTCTTAAAACAGATGTCTGTTTTGTGCAAAAATTGAAGTTAAAAGAGAAGCATCCCTGTCTGCTCTGGCTCCATGCTGAGTCATTAAAATGGATCAAAGCTGACTGATTCAAAACCTTGAACTTCCCCTAATGCTTTTTTTAAAAGGTTTATTTAGGTTAATGCTGTAAATATTTGCATCGTTTTAAATGTAATCATTTTTATTGATTTTATTGAAATTCCTTTAGGTTTTATTTAATTTTTTTTTACTCATCTCTTTTATATGTCTCATTATGTCTTACATTTGTTATGGCTGAAACTCGGACCTCATTTCATTTGAATCCTTTAAAACCTTAAGCTTTATCCTTCCTTGTAAAACCAACAAATGTTATATATAACATTTATATATGACAGAATATTGCAATCATTGCTTAAATTGAATTTTTTTTCTCCACATTTTCTTTTAGCAGGCACTGTTGCTTAAATGCATGTGAAGCCTGGTTTAATTTCTTGAATTTTATTTTCTAAAACATTTGGTAATACAAGGGCAACACATGGTGTGTTTCACCTCTTTGCTTATAGAGCATTCTGTTTCTTTAGCGTATAAATACATTATAATGAGGACAAAGATTTCTATTGGCTCACAAGGGGTTAAGAGGTTTTTTCAGATGTATTTGTCAGCTCTGCTTGACTTAATGATCTGACCAAAGAGGGCTTACAGTGACACAGAAAAGTCTTAAATCAGGCTTTCATTAAAATGAAAGCCCAGGGGCCGCATAAGTGATACAGCTTTAATTGTTTGCATTTCAATTCCCTCTATTGTTTAGAATGAATCTGTAAGGATTACACCAGGGGTTATCTGGGTTCAACACAGCTAAAGTACAATTTCTTGTTGAAAGCCATTAATGTTTTCCAACAACCTTTAAATCTGTTTTAATTTTGAAAAAGTTAAGAAGCTGTAGTAGAAATTAAGACAAAGCTCACACTATTCTCCTAATGGGAGCTCATTTCAGATCAGATTTTTTAAGAAGCCTTTTATATCAAAATCTTAATATTAAAGGCCAAATTTCAAATTATTCATGGCTGATTTCATCATAATTACAAGCTAAAAGTCAAATAACCCAGTTAATTCAAATGGCTTGCCAATCCTACTTTAGATACATTTAAAAATATAAAAGATAGCAGTCGAAACTATGTGATCAGTAAAAACCAAGACACAAGCTTCAAAAATGAGTCAAAGTCTGCGAATGTCAACATCTAGAATTTCTCTTCAGTCAGAATTATTTATTTGCACTTACCTACAAACATTACTCTAAAGGTTAAGGCTGCATCTTCTGTAACCAATTTAAAGTGATAGTAAATTAACGTTCATTATTGAATTCAACAAAAGTGAAAATATTGGAGGGTGGGTCAAAAGTGTGGGAGTGACAGTCATCAATTAAAGCTGTTAAAGGGATTTTTAATCTGTTTTTTGTTTGTCTGTTTGTTTTTTCCCTGCAATAAACAGGCTTCTTTACTTTTCACCCCCCAAAAGCGGACAGAACTTTTTATTTGCTGCTGCACTCATGAGCATGATTTACAAAGCCTAGTTCTGCTTGTTGCAAAATGTTTTTGATCTTTTCAGTTAGGTATTTGAGAAACTTTCTGTGAACTGGTGCATGTAAACACAAACTTTACAAATAGGTTAAGAGCTCTGACTGTAACACAGGGCTCACACAGACCCCGAGTGTTCTTGTCCATCAAAATAAGAGTGCTGAACAAAAGCTCTTCTCTGAGGGCCTGTCGGAAGCACATTAAGGAAAGGTAGCCTGCGTGTACATCTGTCTGCTGCGGAGAGTGCTATGGATTTTCTGTCTGAGGCTAAAATCATACTCACTGGCTGCTCGCTCCAATGGGATGAGCTTTTAATAAGTCCTGCCAAATAGCAGGCCATAGAGAATGCATTATGATGTGGTTATACTGTGTTATTATAATGGGAGTGCATCATATTGCCAACCATTTATCACTGAATTTTCATGTCTCCTTTAGTGCTAAGCCAACATTTTAAATAGATGGTTTGGGAACTCACCAGATGTGATGATGATCTTTGCTGGCAGTGTCATATTTCCAGTGTGAGATTACAGTCCGTTCCTCCAGAGTTCTATATGCTTGTAGAGCAGGAGCACTCTGTTCCATAGAACATCAGGACATTGACTGACCTCCTGAGGATAACCAAGTCCTTCTCTGCCCACAACTGCAAAGGCTGGATTTCACTTGCTAATGAGCCATCCACCTATCTTCGAACCATTCATCAAAGTCTGCCCTGCCAGCTGCCTGTGTGAAGTACATCCCATCATCACAGTAGATTAGGTTTACTCCCACTGCTTTAGTCAGAGGGCTCCTGGGTAATCTCGTCTGAACAATGATTAACATGGGGCAAAACTTGTGCTTCTTATTTGTTGGGATTCCTAACAAGGAGCAAGGGAAGATAAATTCATGTGTGTATCTGACTTTGAAGCCATAATGTTGCGGTTGCATTTTGAGTTGTGGCTGTTTTTACTGACCCTGAAGACTGTAAAAAAGGTTAAAGCCAGCACTAAATTATAGATGTGCTCAGTGTGTAACTATTTCAAGGAGCACTATACATTCTTAGACACAAATTCCCCCATCTAATAGTGCACTATTATAAACTACCTGTCTATTAAAAAATGATCAAACACTTTTAATACTCATCAACAAGACAGTGAAGCAAGTTTATTGAACATCAGTGAAAAATGGCCTTGATGGGATATGATAAAAACCAATCCAATCCGCTAACTGTAGCCCTCTTTCAGATGAAACAGATTTGAGGAATTAGAACCTAAAAACAGCTCTAAAGGATCCGGTCAAGAAAATTGGGTGAAAAGAAATCAATTTAAATTCTGTATTAAAAAAAGAGCAATATTTCTGCAGCTGAGAATTGAACTGTTGTGGAAAAATGTGTTTCGTATTTAGTCTAAGTTACCGTAAAACATGCATTTAATAAAGTAGATAAAGTACTACAAGTTCTAGACTCTGTTAAAACATTGTGGATGTTAAAGTTTTTCTGTTATTCAGTGAATTCACCACACTAAAACACTGTAACCTCTTCTGACAGTTTCAAAACAAGCCTTACCCATTTGTCTTTTGACCTTTCTGAAACCTAGATGCCAATCGACCAAATATTTACATCAAACAACACAGCAGTAGTCACATGATACTTACTAGAAGCCTCATGTCTAAAAGACAAATCCATGACAAAGAGCTGTCGAGTTGTCTTCTTAGCATACACTGGACTCACTGGCACAGGCTTGATCCTGTTCACTTTTGACCTCCTTTTGTGAGTCCTGGTGAGTCTTTTTGAAGTAGCGTTCTGCACGCAGCTCCTCAAAGCAGAACTCAGTGGCGCCACTGAGCAGCAGCTCTTTACAGTACATGCTCTGCTCCTGCAGTTTTCCTGATTCGGCTTCCTTCTGGTGCTGATGGTGCTCCTGTAGTCTCTTAAGGGGAGTTTCCTCTCTGCAGGGCTTACGGGACGATAAAACTGTGTTCACCGCCGGGTTGATCTTACATGGAGTCCTGAGAGGATGAGAGAGATGATGCCAAAGAAAGTCAAATAAATCATGAGGCTTTGGCTCAAGAAAGACAACCTACGAGACCATTTAATCCCAATTCTTTACTATATATCAACTATAAAGAAAAAAGAAACACAAGAACTAGTCATGTAAATAAAACTGAAGCACACAAGCAGGATTATGGTTTCATCTTTAATATGAAACAAACTATTTTAAGATACTCTTTGTAGATGTCCATGTATATTCTTGAGGCTTCTGTCATTATTCTGTTGTAATGTCATAACTTTTCTTTTCCTGTCTTGAAAGTAAGTTTTTCCAAACTATTACTGCTTCTCAGTTTCTTGTTGTTTTTCTTTATATACTTTATAAAAACATTGCTTTCATGGTGTGCAAAGGTAAGGTTTTTTGTAGTCCTTTACTACCTTCTGTAGAGGCATCAATATTAAACTAATTCTGTTTCTTAGTCAGTTGAAATTCTTCCCAGAGTATTAGAAATGTAGATATCCAATATTCAAATGCATAAGTTGATACATATCTTCCTGGTTGAATAACTGCTCGATCTAACGATCATTAATAGTCACTTTTATTAAGAATATGTTCTCTTTTATAATAAGTACAACTTGAGTGTGTTATGTAAGTGTTTATCAGTTAAAGAGACGAATCAAAGTTACATGTTATATTTCTGAAGTCACTCACATGGTTGGCGGCTGGTCTGACTCTTCAACAAATGGTTGAAATGTGGGTTTTGGAGGTGGTGGAGCCATAACAGTGCGTCCAAATTTTGACTTCTGGGGCATCTATGTTACATGATCATTAGATTAATATCACTTTTTAATAACCAAGACACTGGAATCAATGACCACAACAGATGCACGTCTCATACCTTGACATCACACCATCTTTCTGGCCTCTGTTCATTCTCCTTTGCCGCGGCAGTGGGAGGAGCCACCCACGACTCCAACTTAGGTTCTGAAGGGCCAGCGCTTGAAGTCTTATTCTCATCAAAGATCACTAACTGACTGTTTGATGCATTGCCGAGGATGGGAGCGCCGAGTGACTGCAGGCCTCTAGAGACACCTGTTCACAAAGTTCTTAAATGTTAAGATTCAGACACATTTTTGATAACATCATCAAATTCATTAAGTTTGGAGCAGTTATTGTTCCAAGTTAAAATCATATAACATATTATATAATATTGATTTGCATGCTCACTTCTGACTGCAGAACCAGTTCTATTGACAGGAGCAATGGCTTTCTTCTTCCCCCTATGTTTCAGATCAGCAAGAGAAACTCGCTCTGGTTGTTTAGGCTCATCGTCGCTGTCATCTTCCACATTCATCAATACCTGTCGGGACACACGTGCCTGCAAAGCCCTGAGGATGAAAACACAGAAATGTTTTAATATGCAGGTTTTTTTTGCATGTAGAACAAAATCAAAAATTCAAGAGTATTATTTTTACTTGTGAAACTGCATGAGCTTCTCATGCGGCTCAGCAGACTTCTTGAATCCCTCCTGGAAGACCAAGTCTGCTTTGCGGGAGTTTCCTTGGTTCTCGTATTCCTCAGACCATGCAATGTAGAGTGATGCTTGTGTGACTCCTATCCCTTGTGCTTGCATGTACCTGTAAATATCCAAGGGCTCGGAGCAGTTCTCCGCCTAATGACCCACCAGACACCAGATGGGAAAGGTTATTGCTTCTGTCATTATTATTGCATTTTGTCAAAAAAAGAAAAAAATGTAGTCAAAGGATTACACATACAAATTTTATCCAGAGATCAACATAGCGGGGGTCATTGTGATATTTCTCTTCCTCAGTGAATTTGGTCACAGCTCGTTCCAGTAATGTGGCGAGATTGCTCTCCTTTCCTCCCTGAGGGAAAGTCTGCTCAGTCCACTTAATGTACCTGTCAAAGTTAATGCCAGGACAAGATTTTAAATGAATCTTTTCTTAAAATCGGAAAGAGCACATGCAATTATGTTTGTCTACATGTGTGACTCACCGATCCCATACATCAAGCGGATCCTCTCCTTCATACATTCGCAGCTCAGACTCAAAGGCTCTAGGGGAAAAAAAGTTAAAAAACTCCATCAACATCTGAAACTATGATGTCTAAAATAAAGCAAAGAGCATGTTGTAAAGAGCATGCATACTGTCTCTGCTGGTTGACGGCAGAGCTGGGTCCATCCTGTTGTTGACTGAGTGCCTGATGTAAGGCTGATATGGCTCTACCCCGCCTAAGTGGCTGGATGTTTTCTTTGCAAAGCTCCCAATCCACGTCTCCTCCTTCTGCCATCGTGGAAATTAGAGCATAGAAACTAGGAAAACACAGAAAACACAGACATTTTTTAACGTTTATCAATAAAACACTTTAATTTTCTTCTTTTCCTCAAGATTGATCATTTTTTTTCCATAAAGGTTCATTTCAAGGGGTTTTGTCCTATAACTGCCAGTCACACACACACAAAAAAAAACAAATAACCAAAGCACCTTTAAAAATTTTTAATGTATTGTGTCATGCATTTGTGGCTTTTTATATATTGATCGACTTTAACTGGGTTGTATTTTGTTGGTCTAAGATTGAAAAATCATTGACAGTAGACAAAGCTTCACCGTGGACTTAGGGCTGGGCAATAAAACCATATAATGATATATATCAAAAATTAATTTCCCTCGATATCAATATGAAACATGTTCAATATGCTTTTCAATAGCTGATATTCTGCCATGTTTTGGTAGATTATGCGAACAGCCAATAAAAAGGGGAGTTGCTCCGGGTTGCGCTGAACCAATCATGTACTGAATAAGAACCAAGTAGCAAACAACTACATAGAAGCAGGATGCAGCTACACACAACCATAGCATCTTAACACGTGAAGCTGACAGCACTGTCGGTGAGAAAAAAGAAAATGAGTGCTACCCCCAGCAAAGTTGCAGATGAAAGCTCAACAGTGGATGACATTGTCGACAAAACTGGCACTAAAACGTCGGTGGTGCGGAGGTATTTTGACGCGCCTGACTATACATATCAAGCAACAAGCATGATGCGATTTTGCGACTTTCCGGAGGGGAAAAGATGCATCACGGTCGGAAGCGAGAAGACTGACACAACAGCAGACTCACTGTTTTCAGTTCTGATTAGACACTAGTGTTGAAATGGCTGTCTGTCATGATAGCATTTACTGAATCGGGGCCAGTACCAGATAAGCACATTAAACTATGATCCATAAACGTAAGGTAACAACCGGGACCTAATGGTGCTGTGACAGCAACGCGATTGAGTTTGAGACAGTGAAAATACATATGGTATGTTGTATAGGTTAGCGTATGAGCTAAAGTTACTTCGCACAGATGAAAGTTAAAACAAAGACGTTTAGCAAACTGTTAAAGATGCTATGATTTTCCACAAGTTGTCCTTCAGGCAGTTATCATATTTGTGTCTTTTAATCAAAAAGCACTCTGTTCTCCAACACATAAACAATCAGCTGGTCGGCCATGTTGGATATACCGGTGAATCAGACGTCGCGAAAGCACGCAATCTGACTGGTCAGAAGTGGACACACAGTATGCAAAGCTTTATAAAAATCTAGCATCATACGAAAAAATAAATGCCGCAATATTGCAGGACGGGAAAACGTCGCTGATGTGAACGCTTGTATTGACAGGATACGGGTTGGAAAAAAATATTGACGTCCGAAATAATTGCACAAAAAAAAAAACGCTCTCGGAGTGAAAGGACCTTAAGAGTGACAGGGAACATTTAAGATTAACAAGTGATTTTTTTTTAATATTGTGATATATATCGACTGATATGAAAATATATATTGTGATAAACTGTTCTCTTATTGTCCAGCCCTACATGGACTACAGCTCTCCTCAATTTTATTAAAGAATCACTTTTTCAATGTATCGATTAGATGCTGTTCAGTCTGTAGACCTAGAGCCTCATGTATGAGCTAAACCGGTAAAAGAGTTTTGGATCAGTGCAGATCTTATACTTTGTCAACTTATTCATTACTTTGTGGTACTATCATTTTGCTAGGGGTAGCAGGGTTGACAGTATTGGGGACAAGCTTCTTAATATAATATTCGGATAAGAAATCAGATTAATTTAAAAGGTAGGATTTGAGTATTAAGCAATACTGAGTTGACACTCTCCAGTCAGCCAGCTGTCAGGCAGATGTTGGGTTTTTAGTTTTACCTAGCAGCTGATGTTATGTAAAATGAAGAGAAATACAGCGTTTTACCCGAAAACACAAAAGTACAAGTAAAATACAGTATTTTAAAAGATACTTAAATGTCCGAGTACAGAAAGAAGCCCCTCAACTACAGTAACCTGCGTAAATGCAGTAAGTAAGTTCCCACCCTCGGAAACTACATCATTATACTTTTTATAAGGGACTGGCGTGGAGGGTCAAACAGGCTAGCTAGCTTATGTTAGCATTGATGTGGCAGTTTTCGCTGTTGCTCAGTTTTGTTTTATAATATCACAGCCCTTTGAATTAATGCATCCAGTATTTAAGAAAACGTAGCTTTTCATACCGCTCACACGGCTCCTTTCTCCCGTTTTTAGGTTATAACAGCGTAAACGTCGTGGCCTTGCTGCAGCAGATTGGTGCTATTCGGCGGTCGGTTGTGTGTTTTGAACAAAGACCGCGAGACGCATTGGAGTACGCTGATTGGAGGAACCATAAACCGGATGTTGTAGGGGGGTGTCACAACTCGTCTTCCGGATTATATCCTGTTTTGAGTAAAGCAGCGTATTCAGGCTGAAATGGTGATTTTAGGTGAGTGATAATAGTGTGATTTCTTTTTCAGGTTCATACGCCAGAGCAGAACCAGCCTGTTAAATTATTGTCTGCGACACATGTTGGCATGGACAACCGTTGTTATGGTTGTACCTCGAAGTTCAGTCTCTTCAAGAAGGAGGTAAGGCTGGCTCATAGTTATAAGACTAATAACAACACATCGTACTCACACATATTTAACATCTACAGTGTTATTTACAGTGTTATTTACATTGTGGTGTTCTTCTAGCTGGGCTGTAAGAGCTGTGGCCGCGCCTACTGCTCCAGCTGTCTGACTTTCAGTGCTGTGGTGCCTCGCTGTGGAAACACCCAGCAGAAGGTCTGCAAACAGTGCTATGGTAATCTGACCAGGTAAAGGTCAAACTCTGCTATCAAATCTGAAAGTATCTCACAGTAAGCATGATCATTTGTGACGTTAAAAGCTGGATGGCTCTCAATTTTCTGAAATTAAATGAGAGTAAGGCTGAAGTAATTGTCTTTGGACCACATGGCAGCTGCCCCAGAGCAGATCTGTCCCCCTAACCTTTGAGCCCTTTCTTAAAGACTCTGTAAAAAATCTGGTAGTTATAATGGATAGAGATTTTAAAATGGATCTACAGATAAACACAGTTGTCCTTTCTTAAACAAGGTCAAGTCATTTTTTATCTTTTAGTGATTTTGAGAAGGTTATGTGTGCCTTTATCATAACTCATCTTGATTATTGTAATGCACTTTATTTTGGTGCCAGCCCAACCTCTCTTGATCGTTTACAGCTTGATCAAAACGCTGCAGCTCGTGTTTTATCTCGCCGCTGTAAATATGAACACATTTCCCCTGTTTTAGCCTCTCTTCACTGGCTTCCTGTGCATTTTAGGATTGATTTTAAAATTTTATTATTAACTTATAAATCTTTGAATGGGCTTGCTCCTTTTTTATCTCTCTGACCTTTTAAAACCCCATATTTCATCTCGGACTCTCAGATCCTCTGACCAGTGCCTTTTGACTGTCCCTAGGTCAGGATTAAAGTTCAGGGGTGACTGGCCTTTTTTTCATTGCAAGCTCTGGAATGCTCTTCCTCTTCATGTCAGACTGTCCCCCTCATTGCCTGTTTTTAAATCAAATTTGAAAATGCACTTTTACTCCCTGGCTTTTAACTCCTTAGAACTTGGCATTTTAATCATGTTTTTACTGAACCACCTATGTCCCCCTGTTTTTAATGTGGTCCTGTGTCTTTGTTTTATTGTCTGTTTTTATTGTTTTTAATTTTTACTGTACAGCACTTTGGTCAGCGCTTTGTTGTTTTTAAATGTGCTTTATAAATAAACCTGGATTGGATTGGATATTCTGATCATTTTTTGTTTACTGAAATTTAGCGGACCGTCCCCAAACAATGCTGGGAAATGGTCACCCCCTGAGAATTACAAAAAGTGAGTACACTATGAAGCAAGAAGAAAATAGTAAACATACCTTTTTGACACAGCTGCGTGGGAATAAATAAAAGTAATATTTTTACATAGGCGAGTGGCCGCACTGGAGGCCAAGCAGGGTGGACAGCCCACACAGCCTCTTGCACTTAAAGGCAACAGAAACGGCAAAGAGCTCATACCAACCAGAGGCCTGAGTAAAGAAGATCAGGCTATTGCTGAAAGACTTCAAAAGCTGAAAGAAGATACCAAGCCAAGTAATGCACTTAGAAATTTAACCATTGCATTTCATCTTTTAGTTACAGTGTCAAATTTTTGTTTTTTGTCATCACAAAACTTTAATGAACTGTAATATTTTTACCTCATCACACAGAGTCTGTCCCTTCTGATAAAGAGCTTGAATCTCGCCTTGCTGCTTTGAAAGCTCCCAGCGAGCCTGTGCCTACTCTGGGAGAGATGGAGGACCGCCTGGCTGCTCTGCGGGGTCAGTCTCCGCCATCCAAAGCTCCTCCACCAGTAAGATAAAAATTCTCCTTAATTCCTTGTAACATATTTCTTTTTTATTTTAGAAACTTGCAATGATTGATGACGAGTATGAATGCTTCTGTTCTCAAGGTGCACAAGCCTCCAGATAACAGGACTCAGACTGAGCAAGCTAATGACCTGATTACTCAGATGACAGCGGAAGTGGCCATTGACAATGAGCAATCAAATCCTGAATGCAGTAAGATGTTACTGCCCTCACTGGTTCACCTCATATTGAATCAATAAAAATGCCATAGCAGAGTTTTAGTCAGGCATAACATTTGTCAGGTGAGACAAATCAATCAAACCTATCTCTCATCTTAATGTACTTATACCTGTTCATTGTTTTACAGGCGTAGATGACCGTATGAATGATCTTAACAAAGGAGAGGGGGGAACGTTGACTGAAAATCTGGAGGAGAATGAAGACGCAGGCAAGCAGCTCGAGGCAGAGAAGTCCCGTTTACTGGAGGAGGCTATGGAAGAGTTGAGAAGGGAAAGCCATTCCCAGGATCAGATCCTGGACATGGCCAAGAGGCTTGCACAGCTCAAGGGGCAAGACCCAGACAAAGGTACACAGAATTTTGAGCTTTACTTTCTTCACCTTATCTTTTTTCTTAAGTTTCAAGCAGTATTGTCAGAAAGTAGAAGAAGAGCTCTTGGTTCTATCCCTGTTGTATTTTTAATGTCATGTGTAGTTACCAAGGAGGACTTTCAGCATCCCGACAGTGAGGAAGAGACCGAGGAAGAGGCTGTGAGGAGAGTGTTAAAACAGGTTTGTGCTGTATCACAATATATTTTAATTACCAAACCTATTTCAAGATTACATTATTACCACTGAGTGCATATGTTATTGTCTAAGATGGCTGGGAAGTCCAGAACCTGTTCAGGAGGCCACAAGGGGCTGCTGTTATACCATTTTAATAATTTGTGATATAGATAGACGCTGAAAACTTATGTTACGAACTTGTTTCAGCTCTCTGAAGAGGCTGCATTGGATGAGGCCAGTGGCTACAACATTCCTTTGGAGCATAGTGGACCAAGGAACACAGAAAAGAAGAAAACCTTGAAAAAAGCAGTATGGAAAAACATCCGTAGTACAATAAGATTAATTTTGAAACCTTAAGTATGAATGGTATTTGATCTTATGTTGATATGATGTGTTTCAAGACCCGTGCATCGGCATCCACGAGTCGAGTTTCACCAGCTGCTGTTGCACATTCGCCATCAGACAGTGACGACGAAGAGCTTCCCTGGTGCTGTATCTGTAACTTAGACGCAACCCTTCGCTGTCACACCTGTGAGGGTGACCTGTACTGCAATCGCTGCTTCAGGTGAGGGAGTATCTATTTATTAACAGAAATGCTTCATATTTATAGCTCCATGAGAGAGATCTTTGCACTAGTGCCAAAGTAGCATGGCTGTGATTTGGAATGCATACCATGACCCAGAAAGATTCAGGCAAGTGGCTGCCATACCATTAAGCAGCATGAATATAAAGTATTTAGAGTGATGAATTATCAATCTGTTCTCCATTATCCCACCCCCAGGGAAGGCCATGATAAATATGACAGGATGGAGCATCACACCAGCAGCTACACTGCACCAAAGAAGAAGAAAAAGAAGAAGAAGACATGATAGAGAGACTGTGCTGAAGGTGTTTGCCTTATCTAGCTTTGGACAGGTAGAACTGCTAGAACTGTGCTTTAGACTTAAGTGACCTATCAGTAAATAAATCAAGTATCAGAAAATTAAAATATTACCTGTCATTAAGGCAAAACATTTGCTTGACATTTTTGCCCCTAATTATTTAACCCTATCAGACCAAAGGGGCTTTGAATATGCGTCTTTGCTGACCGCAGGAAAAGCAGCTTCTCCTCTTTGGGTTTACCGACAAAAGAAAAAAACCCCAACAGAGTCACATTTATTGCATAAAAACTGGAGGTTAATACAACTTAAATATAAGGGCAATGGCTGTATACAATCCTTAAAAACATACCTGTAGCTGCCATTTTTCTGAAATGTATAAAAGTAAGAAAGTCTTGCAGAGGCTGCTATGTAGTGTTAGTATTCAACGAACAACACAGTAAAAGTGAGAAGTTTTTTAATGTCACTTGTCCTACTTACCAGAGGCAACAAAGGCTCATCTCGCATCACATTGCATTTGTCACCATTTGAATTAAAAAAGAAAAATCTTGACAAGGCATACTGAAAGCGGGCACATCATGTCCTCATCTGGGATGATGTAGGATCCCAGACTACTGTCAGCTCTGCACTGAAGGAGCACAGAGGAGTCTGTATAAAAGGATTACTGAGGGCTTTGTTTTCTTTTGGCAGCCTCTGCAGTCACTCTTGTAATCTATGTTTGGCTGAGAGTCTGACATGAGTATTGCCTTTCTTGTCCTTGTGTGTAATTTCATTATTAAGGATGCAGAGGTGTTAGGTGCTGTGTCACGTCTCTGAGGGATTGCTGCATTTCTTAGCAGTTATATTTTTATAACTCGTGTCTTTTTTTTTCTTCCTCTGTGTGGGCGACAGCTGGGGCTGGAACTGTTAGGTTTTAGTCATTGGGCCTTTTTTATACGCTTCTGTCACATTCTTGTGAACACTACACTTCAGGAATGCCTGAAGAGATTTTCCTTAATTTTGACCCTGAACTCAAAGATGAACCAACTCAAAGGTTAAAGGTCATTGTGACCTGCTTTAGCTATTAATAAGAAATTGATTTGCTTGTTTAACATGAATTTCTACAAATGGTGGTAGTAATTGGACAAACTGATGACGTGATGACAAAGGCTTGACGCAGTGGTAACAGGTTCGATTACACGCCACAGCCCACTGGGCTACCAGTGCAAAAGAGGTGAACTTTACAGTGGAATCATGATGCTCAGGAATTAGACTTTTCTGTCCATCTCAGCTGCTTTAATCTTGTACTGTACTTTGAACCTGTAAGTGAAACACCTGACCCCTTTAAATTTGGCATAAACACCCACTTTAATAAACAAGATATCTCATTAAACCTTAGGATTGAGTTAATTACCTTTATTTATTTCTAAAAAAGAGAAATGTCCATATTTCTAAGAAGTATGTTCATTTGTACTCTCAATATTTGATGGGGGTGCCTTTTAGCTTAAACTGCTACATAATTTTTGCACGGTGTGGAAGAATAGATTAGCCTGTGGTTGAGGTCAGGCTAGTTGGCTGATTACTAAGCACTGCAAAATCATGGCCAGCAAACTATTTTTTTTAGTAGGTTGGTGCTGTGAGCAGGTGCTAAGTCCCCAATAAATGAGTCAGTAGATTTTGACTTTGGACTTGATAGAACACAGTAGACCATAACCAGCAGAGGACATGGCATCCCAAATCATTACAGTGTTGTGGAAACTTCACACCGGACTTCACACAATGAATTCAGTTTCGTGTTTTAGAGTCCACGGCATTTGATTAGCATGTGAAATCCAAAATTTTACTTTCATATGAAATCAGACTCAACCATGGAGCTATTGTCAGTTTTTTGTTCCCTAAGCTTAAAGCTCTTGTCTCTTAGCTTAAGGCAGGAGTTGTCTCTGGTTCAGGAATAGCTTGATATTAGGAATGTGGCAGTTACCTGAAGACATCTGTGTGTAGTGGCTCTTGATGTGCTGGAGCAAGCCTCAGGTCACCTTATGTGAATCTCTGCTAAGTTCTAAAATTAACTTTTTTTCCTGATCTGAAAAACTGTGGTCATACTCATACACCATTTTTCCTCATTTCTGTTCCGGTAAACTTTCTATCGATATCCTTCCATTCATCCCTCTGACCTTCTGTTGCTTGTGGACGACTGTCAGGTCTGCAGTCCTCCCCATGATTGTGTGTTTTTCTGAATTTGACCAAGAGATACATGGTGTACATTCTGTATGAAAAGTGAGCCCCTCGAACTTGATATGAGGCATTCCTGTAATTTTTAATAAATATTTTTATGAACTGTAGACCAGAACTATCAAAATTAAAATTAGAAAATACATGAACTATTTGAACCTAACTGTAAGAAGTCTACAATATATGTTACATCTTAGTCCAATCATGTGTTAGATTGATAAATTTATAAACTTCATTTACAGCAGTTAAACAAGATGGAAATAGATCAACAGCTGAATTAAGAGAAACAAAATAATATAAGTAAATCTGAATCAACAGCTTTTTTTTTTAACACAAAGTAAACGGTACACGTTAGAAGCCGAGAAAGATGAATTTCAAACTTGTTTCTTCTTCCTCTTTCAACAACTTAAACTAAAACCCAAAACACACAGAAACACTGATGGTGGTAGACTGTAGCTCTACTTGTTAGCAGAGTCATACTTACATGAGATAACTTTAGTTCTTGATCACTGATGTCATCATATTGCCAGTAGACATTATCAGAATTGTAGTCTTGCAGTGCGAAGGGCCTCAGTGTTATAAGGGCAGGATTATAAGTGAGGGCAAAACATGTAGAGGACTATAATGGAGCCCTCAGCTGAGAGACCCTCTGTGTACGGCAGAGAGTATGCGGGAGTGCTGTTTCATCAGCGTGCATTACTGTCAAGCTAAAGGAGGGGAAACCATAATTACACTCTCCTCTGGGGGGCTTTGCTCCATTAAGGTTTGCATGGAGGCTGTTACTGTGTTTGCCTTTTCTGGCCATGTCAGACTCACCACAGACAGGAAATGGATGTGGGTAATGGATGCATGCTTAATGGACCCTTCCTGCTGCTGATTTCACTGTGTTTACTCCTAGAGCTGACATGTCAACATCTCTTTTGTTTCCATCAGTCTGCTGAAAAATTTACACCAGTAAAACAAAAGCTTGAGTTCTGGGAACGATCCACTGAGAGTCATGCTACTGTAAAGCCTTACGCTTGTCTCTGGACAGTAGGACATTATTCTTTAAAGGCAGTGAGTGTTTTTACAGCAGTTTTCAAGTTTGAGTGTGGTAACAGGATAGTTTAATTGGTACTGTAAATTGATTAGCACAATGGACCTGTCGATATTTATTTGTGTCTGTTGAATTAGTAATATCTGATGACACAGTGATGTTGGTCAACTGCTTTGTCTGAAATAACATGAACCCTTTCCCATAAACCATCTACAGCCTTGTCTTGAAAATGTTCTATTTTATTTCAACATACAACACTGTTATCAGAACAAAAATGTATGTACATAAACAGGCAACTGAAAATGTGCAGTTCTACACAAAAAAAAACAGTCCATCTGAGTCATAGTCAGAACAGCTTTTATCACATGTGCATTATTGGGATATTTATGGGTGACAAATGTAATAGCAGTCCATAAATTAAATATTAATAATAATAAAAAAAATCCATTGAAAACCCGACTGCTCTGGAGTTAGGCTGATGCTGAGCCAGGAGGGGACGCAGAAAGAGTCCCACGGACATATGAAGCGCACAAACAGGCATCCAAACAATTAATGCATGGGCTGTGGGAAGATAGGAGGCTCCACATTGTCTCAATTCTTTATTTGACCTATAATTATTTCTTCAAGGGACCGGACATTTTGCGTAGACCCTTTATTCTGTAGAGCAGTCCGTTGATAAAATCCTAAAGGGAGGATGGAGAAAATTGATTTGATTGATTTTTCTGCATGCAGCCTTCGCAGACAACACAACAGCAACAGTAAGTAACTTTAACCTCCTAAGACCCGAACTCTTGCAAGGCATGCATTTTTATTTTCTCTTTAATATTTAGGCTAATTGGGACCTGATGAGTGTAAAAACGAAGAATGATCTTTTTACATGATGTAGTTTCTGAGAAAAATGATGTCCACATCTGAGGACATTCGTTTTAAATTTTGAGAGAAGGCCCTTGTGAACAAAATTTAATATTGTGGTCTTGACAACCAAAAATGTGATGTCCAAACATGTGGACGCCAGGTCTTAGGAGGTTAAAAATTTAACTCTATGTGATTTTTTGTGTTGCAAAGAGATTGTTTTTCTTACCTCTTTTGGCTTCCCGCATTCCTGCAACAACTCCTAACAACCAAAACAAACACAAATAAGCTCTAAAACAACATTGGACATTGCTTTTGAATGGCAAACATTTCAACACTGGATCCCAGCCAGGGTCAAGTGCTTGTTGAGCTATTAACTCACAGTGCAAACACTTGAGTATGTAACCAGGTGTCAGGAGGGGAAAAAATGTGTCAAAAGGGTCAAATTCTTTCAAAGTTTGGTTGATCTTTCATTTAAGAGCTGCAGTTTTGTGTATCACTTCTTTAAAGCAACAACTAACCACAGTTGTAAATAATTGTTCGTGAAATGTGACATGTCACTTTGCACAAACTTACATGCAGCCTGCTCCTCTGGCCCTCATCTGTCAGCTCCAGGAGTTCATCGATGTCGATCTCTAACTCAGGAATCTCTTCCTCCTGCACAAGCCAAGAGGGGGTAAAAGTTAGAACCTGCATTATAATATATTGTCAGCTCTTGTGCTTCTTCATGCTCCAAAAGCCTGTGCAAACATTGTACATCAAGAGCTGCGTGCCATCCTTTCACTCACTGTGGTGTGGGTGTCCACACCACTGAGCAGAGCCATTCAGAAGAATAAGAGAGTGGAAGATGTGACCCAGGATGTGATAGTGCAACAGTTGCAGGCGGTAAAGGCTTTTGAATAGCTACATTTTTAAGGGTTCACACTGCTAATCCCATGAGTGTCCCACTGTTGGTGGAGTGAAAAAAGTCTTTGGTGTATTTTCATGACAAGAATTAAATTTTTCTGATCTTTTATGGTTGCTCTCATTGATGATATAATTGATATACTTAATTTTACTTGGATGAAAGCCAAAAAGCATTGAGGCATGAATCCAGGAAGGCACAATGAGGTCAAACTTGCCACATGCCACCATCAGATTTCATGGATGATTTCTCCTGCTAGTATTTAGTTCAGCTTATAGTGAGATATCATTTACGGTTGTTAGGTTTTCTGAAGGATGTATTAGGCTCAGCAATTTGGCTGCTCATTATACGTGTCTGAATCCAAATAAAAACAGGTCTCCCAATCTTCCTGAGGAAAATAAACCACCTTTCCCTTAGAGATACGTATTAAATAAACAATATCTTGCAGCTATGTAAAAGTTGTACACCATAGCTATGTAAAAATAGTGGAAAAATGAGTGCTCAGTCCTCATCTATGAAAAGCAAAAATAGTACAGTAATCAATCAACATCCCAAGCTTTTATCCACCCTACATTTTCAGAGCAGATTAACTACCCGGACTGGAGGAACACTCGCGAACACTCAGATATCAAGCATCAGCAGGTTTACACTTATTTCTGACAAGTGGCGCCTCTTTTTAAGGAGAATATTTTCCGGTTGGGGAATTTTCATGGCTGCTGTGGATGGGGGCTTGCTCTGCTTTCTGGATGAGGGGAGAGCTAATCAATGTGGAAGTGCTGAGTGGCAGAAAAGATGGGCCCACCTTCAGAGTCCCCCGTGCCCCCTCTAATTGATACTTGCTGCCAATTTGGGCCTTGTGTGATTCTGCTGATGTGTGCAGGAGACACGCAGGGATGAGTCCATGTTACTCTGCTGTGCGAGGTTTGACCTACTTGCTCTAAGACTGCAGGCTTTTTTTTGTTAAGGGTTTGATGCTTAAATTCCTGAGTCAGAATACTTTAAAGTGTTGCTGATGTTCATGAAATAACGCAGATTTCATTTAACTAATGCCTTTTTTTTATTGCAGCTTTATCTGTATACTTCAAATGCAGTTTGAAACATGATGACAGAAACAGTACCAGTCTAGATCTGCTCCTTTTGTTAAGTGTCTTGAGATAACATCCACCTGTGCTCTTTGCTTATTTGGTCATTGCTGTCAAATAAGATGCATCTTCTTCACCCTATATGATATGATTCAGGAATAATAATAATAACTTTATTTATATAGCACTTTTAAAAACAAGAGTTTACAAAGTGCTTTGACATTTAGAGAAACAAAGCAGCAACAAGGGAATACTCAAGGGGAGAGAAGCTGAACAGATTAAAACCTAGAGACCAAGGGGAATTAATTTTTAAAAGGCAAGTAAAAAAGAAGGAATAAGAATGAAAAACTTAGGAAAGATAAAATTGCAAATGAAAAGTAAATGTAAGATGATGACATCACATAAAAGCAAGTCTATGAAAATAAGTTTTAAGAAGTGACTTAAAAGCAGTGACTGTTTCTGCATGCCTTTTGTCCTCGGGGAGATCATTCCAAAGTCAGGGGTCCTGATGGAAAAGGCCCTGTCACCTTTGGTTACAAAGTCTTGACCAGGAGGCCCCAACCTGACTGATCCTCGAGGATCTCAGGGTGCAGACTGGCACAAAGGGGGTTAAAAGTTCTGTTACATAGATTGGAGCCAGACCCATTAATGCTTTAAAAGCAGTGATTAATGATTCGAAAACTACCTGGAAGCCAGTGTTGAGACACTAAAACCAGTTAGAAGTCTGGCTGCTGCATTCTGAATAAGTTGGAGGCGGGAAACAGATTTCTGGTTAGTATTGGAATGAAATGAGTTACAGTAATTTTGGCGGGACAAAACGAGGGCATGGATTTTGATTTGCAGATGCTGCATAGGTGGAAGAAGCATGACTGTGTGATTTTTTTGATATGAGTGGCAAAGGTGAGGTTAAAGTCAAACTGAACTCCAAGATTTATGGTTAATGATTTGATATTTGATGAAAGTGAACCAAGGCTGTTATTGATTATGGTTGAGGAATTTTGGAAATTGAAAATGACAATTTCAGATATGCATTTGTTTAGCTATAGAAATTTCTGCGCTATCAAACAGTTTACATCATTTAAACAGTCTGTAACAGCAGCTAGGCCTCTCTGGTCCCCAGGTCTAAGGTGCAGATATCTCTGTGTGTCATCGACTGAAAGGAGACCTTATGATTCCAAATTATTTGACCATATGAATAGAAAATAAAATTGGACCGAAAACCAAACCTTGTGGTACATCACAGGTAAGTGTGGAATTGGAGGAGGAGTGGTCACCAATGGTGACCACAAAGGCTCGCTCTAAAAGATAAGAATAAAACTAGCTAAGTGCAGTATCCCTGATGCTCACCCAGTCTCTAAAACATTCATTTAAAATGATCAACAGTATCAAACGCTGCACTGAGATCTAAAAGAATTAAAATGGCTCCCTCCCCTCGATCTGCTGCTAAAAACAAATCATAGGTCAGAGGGACCGTCTCAGTGCTGTAACCTACTCTTAAAATCTATAATTAGGTTTATTAGGTTATTATGAGTCATAAAAGATAAAGGCTGTGTAGAAACTACTCTCTCTCAAACCTTGGGTATAAAAGAAAGTTTTGAAATTGGTCTGAAATTATTAGAATTAGAGGGGTCAAGGTTAGGTTTCTTTAAAAGAGGTTAGACCACAGTGTGTTTGAAAACAAAGGGAACTACACATTCTGCCAAGAAACTATTGATTGGGGATTTAAGAAAAAAAACTGGGCCCAACCATGCTAAAACCTGCTTTGAGAAATTTGGTGGGTATAAAATCAAGACTGCAAGTAGGTATTTTCATCTGGGCTAAAATCTCAGATAAAAGGACAAGGACAGACTTAAAACTACAAAAATGATTTAAAACATCTCTACTTGTGTTTAAAATTACAGGCTAGGGAGGTGATTTTATCCCTGATTTCCTTGATTTTGTTGATAAAATAAACTAAAAACTTCTTACATAAATCACAAAAAAACATCTCTAAAAACAGGGATTAGAAGGATGAGCTAAAATTAGTTATAATAAAAAGCTTCCCTTGCATTTTTGACAGCCCTTTGGTAGTTTTTCATTGCGCCTTATCAGATATCTTTAATAACTTTGGGTCTGATATGCTGCCACAAATCAGTAGTTAGTTTCAGACTGTTTTTAGGAGTACTAAATAAGGATCAATAAAACATTCCTTGTAACTGTACAGAGCTTTAATGGCCATCTATCTATTTAAGAATGAATGTGAAAGTGAAACCTGCCTCACACTACATTAATCATGAATATGAGTAGGGATGTACTCTAAAAATTCAGTCTGCGTTCAGCTGCAGAACCTTTTAGAGCAACCCTGAATGTCAATGAGATGAGCATACTTGGAAAAACACTCTGACCCTTCCACTGACTTTTCACTTTTTCATTTTCTACACAGCCACAATCTCCAGCTTGATGAAAGTTGCCTTCATTGTCGGAGCAGAAGAGCATTTTAATGAGGCCTCTGGGCTGATGTGTCTCAGCAGCACTTTTTGAAGTTAAAAGCAACAGACTGAAGCTAAAATGAATGTTGGCACTAATCACTGGAATTCATGAATAGAGAAGTGGTTCTCAGAGGATTGCAGTTTTAGACAGGGGGGTGCAGATGCAACCTAAATAAGCAGTTGGATTTTGCCAAGATAAGATGACCTCACTGGAATTAGAAATTCAAAATCACCAGCATGGGCTGACCTCGTTTGTTCCAGTTTCATAGAAATTTCTTTCTGATTTTGTAACATGTTTTATTTATTACATGCTTGAAAGTGGGCGTACTTCTTTTTTTCTCTGCTTGAGTTGAGTAATTCGGTTTGACTTTTGTGTTTTCATGAAAACCAACAATTTCTGTAGGACAGTGATTTTGAACTAGAAACAAGATTGTCTTTAAATTGTGTCCTTGATCATTATATTAAAAACCTGCTACTGCAGTTGTTTTCAAGTTATATTTTTGGACACATTTTGGTAGCAATGGCAAAGAATGACATGAAATGTGGGGACACAATTAAGAGTCCAGTGACCACTGCAACAAGGACTGTAGCCTCTGTGGCACATGTTTAAATAACTATGCCAACCAGCCAACCACAATTGACAACTACTAGGACCAAATTTCTAGAGCAAAGCTCAGCATGAAACTTTTTATTGAGCTACCATAATAATTAATTATAGAATTTACCTTCAGGATATAAACCAAAACAGCAGAGACAATCAGCTGGCATATATTCAATTACCTCCATCAGGCCAAATTTTCTATTAAGTATGTAGCATATTTAAACAGTTTGCCAGGAACAATCCTTGAGTTTATTAAACAAACCAATGCTGCCCATGAGAATAACCCTGGTAAGTATGTCACTTTTTCTGCAGCCTCAACAACTTACTAGATTTCAAAATAAGACACACAAAGGCCATAAAATGAATCTGGCTTCAGATATTTAGCCTTGTAATAAGGCTAAGCTAACCTTCTCTTTCTGTTTGCAGTAGCTTCAAATTGAAGCTCCAGTAAGTAACTTTATTTTTGTGTCACAACTGGTACCCCTGGTGAGCAAGGCTTTACTTTTCTTTACTTTTTTTCTGGTTCTGTCATAAACATGTGAAAGTAGTGTACAGGTATACAGATGTGTTTTCTTACAAAAAAAATGTGTTGAGTCATACCAAGAGCTGCCACAATACAGTGGTATGGACAACCGTTTAAAAAAAAATGAAACTGCGCTAAAAGTTGAGCAAGCAGTAAAACTGTAACTTAGTTGTTTACAGCAGGGGCTACTACAGGTTTTTTTTTTTAAATGAAGCGTGGATAAAGAAGCAGCAGAAAAAGAAGATTATGTAACTAGTTGCCTTGATAATTTTGTTTTTTTTTTTTGTTTGTTTTTTTTAGACTTTACCATCTTCATTTGGAGAGCACAGGACAGTGGACAGAGCAGGAAACAAGGAGAGAGGGAGAGCATACAAGCTAGATGCAAACCCTGACAGACCTCTCAAAGCATAACCTCTGTATATAGGCCGCGCGTGTAGATCAGTAAGCCAACGGTGCCCCAGCATACTAGCTTTTACCACAGTGTGGCTACAACTGCAACACAAATCATGTTGAAGGAGATGACAGATAAAAGTGAGGTACTCTACCCACACATAGAAACAGTTTCCCTTACATCTACCTTTTGTAGATTTTGTCAAAAAGAGGGCAGAGAAGTTTCTATCACGGGGTTGGTGACATGGGATAAAATTTAACTTTGAACATTATTAGAAATGGATGATGACACCCAAGTTAGTCAGTTGTGTTGATTAGTTAAGTGTATGAAGTGTGTCTCACTCCACCCTAATTTTGCCTTTTTTTTATTTTACCGACAGAGTTCTAGTTAGATTTTTTTTCACAATAATGTCATTGTCTTGGTTTATTTTGGCTACAGTGACCATGAGGTAAAAACCAGACTTTGTCATAATTGTGTCTTAATAATAAAATGTATCACTCACCGTGAGAATTTGCTGTGTTAAAGGTAAATACGGCAGTTTCTTTGGTGTTTTTCGGCTGTGTAATCTTGTTTTCCCCTCGCTGCTGTTGCAGGCATAAAACATTGCTTTGGTAAAATAGTCAACTTTGACATTGTTATTTTTGTGTGTTTCAAAAGTAAGAACGGCTATTGATTTTAATTTGCTTAATAACCATAACCAGACAATTTTTAAATCTAATTCTTCTAAGAACTTCATCTCTTGGCTTTTATGCAATAGTACAACAGCACATAAACACTTAAATTGTTGGGGTTTTGTTGCACGCACACTTTGTTTTGCTATTATAACACAAAGGAAGCCATGCCCAGGGAAGTAAGCTGTTTCAAAAAGATGCCAGAGTGTTTGATTATCAGCTCCTTCCCTTTTCCTGTCATGGACATGAGCTACCCAGTGATCAAAAACATTTGTCACTTGTTGTTTGGTAATATGAGATCAGGCTAATCAATAAAGTGGTACAAGAACTTATGAAAATGTGATAATTCAGAGTCTACAATATACCATATCTCAAATAATTGAGCTTTAGTTTATCAGGGAAAAGGTTTTGTACACACAAAAGCCTCAACACTGATCACCAAAGTGTCAGATAGCAAAATTGCCACACTTTTTTAAATGGTTGACTGTTTCTCAGAAGGTGTGAAGTTTGCAAAGAAGGTATTGAATCCAGACTGAGGCAGCGCTTGTATGAATTAGAAATGTGGTTAAATAATTCAGGTGGTGACACAGGGGACTGATGGTAAATGCTTCCACGCGGAAGACTCAGAGAACCAACAGAGTAACCTTCCCCTAAGCACATACAAAATTTATCACACTGGGCTGGCGCACATGGAGCCGCCATGACTTATCTTAAACAATGGCTAATGCAAATATCCATTATCTGAATTTTTAAGCAGGGTGAGGCTTGAACTAGATCATGTAATGTCAAGCAGATGTGAAATAATCATATGTTTCTTGAGATCAAAAGAGTTCACACACAGAGGAAGAATTCAGATCAGTTTTTGTTATCTTCATGTCCTGGTTTTCACTAATGTGATTTATTCCACCCTCAGCTCTGCAAGCGTATCAGCATATTTTACCTTGGGGAGCACTGTCTGGCAAGTAAATGAAGCAAAACTCATAAAAAAGCAATGTGATATGGAAGAGAGAGGAAAAACATTAGACATGATGTTCCTTAGCTGCATGAAATAGGCTTTTAAAAAAGATAAATGCACCCCCTTTATCCCTGATCATCTCCTGCTGCAGATCGTTGGATATGCTGTTCAGAAAGTTGAAAAGTAGAAATAAACATGTAACTGTTTGTCTCTGCCCTCACTGGCACAAACATGGAGGCGTAGTTGTCATCTGATCTGCATCGTCATTACTGATATCATGCTCCTCAACAGCCACCCCTAATTCCACCATGCCATGCTACCTCATGTGGGCGAGGAGACATCTGTTGCCATGGTTTCCCCCTGTGAATGCCAAGCGAATCAATATGGCGCCACTGACATAATTGGATTGTATCCTGCCGTTACAAGAGTGGAGTTCTGGAGGTCGCTGCATGTGTTTGTATATGTGTGTGTACGTGTGTGTGTGTGTGTGTGAACTGGCTGATATCCTGTCATAATCTCCCTGTACATATTAGGCATTACCATCTAGGTAATGAGGCTGGTTAATCAGGCACATGGTTCAAATAATGAGTGCTCATTTCCTCTTTGCATCTCTTGATTTTACTGTGCACTGTACTAAAATAAATCCATCTCTGTGATATAGGGCAGTATCTGGTTTTATTTAGATACGATTGCATAGTTATCAAGTGACTAGAAGAATGTGTGTGTAAATACAAATAAAGATACACACACACACATACACACACACACACACACACACACACACACACACACACACACACACACACACGTAAAAACAGAAATTCTGAGCTGGTCTCCTGGATGTATCCATGATATCAGAACAATCTCTGCCCCACTCCTTAGCCTTAAAACTTTACAATTTCTTCCAGCACTATTTTATTACTTTATTGCAGATTTTCAGAATTACTACTCTGGTGCCTCCTTCTCTTTACTTCCGTCTTATTTTACAAATCTTAATCTCTTACTTTTACAACTTCTAAATTGTAAATTTATCCGTCTGGCCGCCGTATGCTCAATGTGATCAAGTTGTTTCCCTTGTCAGGGGTGCCACATGCCTGCAAACGCCCTCGAATGACACAAACAGACATGATATGTTAGACATAATCTTATCACCATGGTGAAACACCAGTGTGTACGCTGCACAGCTGATACTGCAGTCAGGCGATGACACATGAGGGCTTCTGTGCCAAAAATTGCAGCTGTGAGGGGAAGCTACTTGCTGCCCACCCACTCCATTTAAAAGCCTCTGTATTCTCTCCTACATGATGGAAACCCCACCACAGATACCTCTGAGCTGCTCCTCTTCAGTGCAAGTGTGTGTGCGAGTGTATGAGGCAGCCCTTCCCTACCTCACAGTCGAACAGCAGGTGCAGCTGCCCGTCGATCCACTCCTCAATATCCAGCCTCCTCTGCAGGTCCTTGCGGTCGTATTTGACTGTCAGCTTGCCCAGCTTACGGTGTGGCGGCTCCTGTGTTTTGTCCACTGCCTGGAACATCACCCTGGACTGGGTGCTGGGCTCTGACGCCATGGCTGCCACGGCCCTCAGGAGAACCGTGGAAACACACTCACACACACTGAGACTCACACACACATAAACACTCACACACACAGACAGTCCTACAGGCTCTTCTTTTCTCTCTCTATCTCTGCTGCTGCTGCTCCCTCACGTATCTCCTGTTATCTTGTTTAGTGTTCAGGCTCTCCCTCTCTATAATGCTGCCTCTGGTTCTCTCCCTGTCCTCTCTCTCCTTCTCTCTCTCTCTCTTCCTCTGTCTTGCTCTCCCTTCCCTCCTCCTCTTGCAACACCCACTGGCTGCACTATCAGGAGGATGGTAATGAGATATGCCTCTGTGCGTGCGCGTGTCAGTTTGTGCATTCTTTCTTGTGTGTGCACATGCAACTCATAGGGTGTGTGATTGCTTTTTGCTCTCTTACTTTATGTAATAGCAGGTGAGGGAGGAGCAGAGGTCAATTACAGCTATAAAAAGTGGAGACAGGGTGAGAGGGCAAATGAAGCAAGCAAATCAGGAGTTATGGCATCAAACAAAGAAAATGTGTAATTTTTTTCTGTATATTCCAAATTGTGATGTTTTTGTGCATGTAAATCAGTCTACTCAAAACAAATATATATGTATTTTTTGCACATTTTCCCTTAGTAGAACATTTCAAGGGTTCGTTGGCTAACAAAGTCATGACCATTTGACATACTAAGGGATCCTCTGTTCACAGACATGTCCAATAATAGCCGGGTCCCCCCTGCCAGGTGAGCCAGGGTTCCTCGAGTGTTGTAGCTGCCCTGTCCTTTCTACCAGCTATTATCAGGTGCAAGTTCAATAAGCCTTGAAGTCCAATTGGCCTCAGTTACGCACCTATGAATAATGGATAAGCAGGAGAGCACCATTTATGTCTGTTTAGAAGTTAAATGTCAAATGAAAGTCCCAAAATTGTTAATGTTTGGGAAGTCTCATATCAACAGCTGCGCATAACTCGAAGTCAAAAATGCATAGCTGTACATCCCGGCACCAGATTATTGCAGTTGAGACAGCAAACACAACAGGCTGCAGAGTTTCCACAGATCCTATTACCATATGAATAATGGGGTTCACTTTTTTGTTTTGGCAGGGACTATCAATCAGCCTTTGCTGCGCTGTGTTCACCCACTGATGCACCGTCTGTTACAAACACTGAATTATTAAGAGCCTCCAGCGACTCACCTTTCCAGGCACACAAATTCATTCATTCCCTCCTATGTGGCTCAGTTCTGCACCACCGGCTTGTCTAAAGAGAAGGCAGGGGCCAGAGTAAGGCCTTCTCACCTCGGGCTGGGACAGGTGATGATTTCTAGGTAGGAGAACAGGAAAGCAGAGATGGTGAACAAGTTGGATATTTTGTTTTTAACTTCATGGCTGTTGAAATTATGTAAAACCTCACTGTCAAGAATTTATGCATAACACTTTTGTTTTTCAAAACTCAGTCGACGAAATAATGATTCAGTCTATGTCACTCAACAATCCATCTGCATTTCTTAATTTTAGTAACCACTTCCTCTTACTCCTACTCTAAGTTTTTTGTGATCTTCAAAGGTGGTTTAATGACTCATCACATATTGGTGAAGTGAATGACTCGGTGCCTGAGTCATCTCAGTATCACTACAATTGCGAAAAAGGGGAAACATTGGAAGTCCTAATAGTTTTGAATATAGGTCATGTTGACAATTTTGTTAGAAGGAGTCGGAATCATCCAAAAATAAAAATGTCTTTGTTTTGATGGTGCTTTGAGAAAAATTCATCAGCAGTTCACTGTTACTCAGTAGATGTGATCACACTGCCACCTCGTGGACAGGAAGAGGGGAAGCTGCAGTAAATTATGCAAGAAGATATATGACCTTCTTTTGGCTCTGTCTCAGCTGTGAAATCCTGAATTTAAAAATAGTTATAAAGATTTACTGACTTGCTACATCTGCCATTTTACCATCAGTTTTGTGTTTCTTAGCAATTTGCTTTTCTGTTTCACAACATTTAAGTATTTTTTTGTGACACCACACACACGAAATGGCTTAATCATAAACAGATGAAGTAGATGCTCATTGTTGACGTTGGGAAATCATTTCCAGTTGGTCAAGAAAATAACCTCAATTTAAGTAGGCCACAAATGGAAAAATTTGCCAAATCTTTGCACCTGACACAAGGTAGACCACCACCAAGGCAGTCGTATGGAAATGGTCATAAAAAAGGTTAAATAACCAAAAACAGAACCACTCTCTCTACTTGTCACACTCATGAAAATAAAAAGATTACAATATGTTAAAAATGAAACACTCTTTATAAAAAAAGATAAATCAATAAACAGTGATCCCTTTCATGGTGTTTGAAAGCAAACATGACCACCAGCAACAACATTGAAGACTGTAATATCCAAGCAGCAAGAAAGTGTCTATTTTTTACAATTTTCACATAAAATATCATTCAGTAGGATAAGATTTTTAGTCTGAAGTCACTTCTCAAGTACTTAGGAGACAGGCTAAGACTGCTTTGTCCACAGGAGGCACAGAAACTGCCAGGGTTACTCACAGGTCCTTTAATGTGTTTATTTTTATTCTATTTTCAGTTTTCTTAAGTTTATCAATTTCTTTTTTATTTCTTGTTTTTACTTTATTTTTATCACCAAGAAGAAAAGAAAAAAACAAGGACCTAAAAGTGTAGCAATGAAAGTAATGAGTAATGAAATTTGTTTTAATCTCTTATCACTGGTATATAGTAGCCTGCTGTGTGCAATGTAGCTGCTGTGTAAAAAGTATATTTTTTATGACCTAAATTATGATATTATTTATTGTCAATATTTCTGATGAACTCTGTTGACAAGGAGTAAAAAAAGAGTAGGAGAGTAAACGGTTTGTGAGGTCGCTCTGAGTGTCACATTTCCAGCCAGAATATCAGACAGGAACAGTAATGCACATGCCTACATGTATAAACAATGATGCTCCGCATTTACACACACACACACACACACACACACACACACACACACACACACACACACACACACACACACACACACACACACACACACACACACACACACACACACAGCATGTCCTTGTGTTTGGGGCCCCTGCCACATAACAGCAGAAGGGAGTGGCAACTCAGGAGTGGAATTTCACTTCCTGTATCTCTCTCAGGTGACTCACCTGAGTCATGTCGTAGATAGCTCAGCTTTTCGTCGACTGCGAACTGTGAAATCTGGGGCGTAAGAATCAGAGTTGAACGGGGGCAGATTCGTGAGGACGTTTTTGATCCAGTTTTGGTGCTGAACAGGAAGTCAGGACCTGCTTTCTTAACATTTAACTGAAGGTTGATCTGTGAGGAGCAATAGAAAGGCAGTGTCGGGGGGCCTAAACACACTTGGAATAAGTTAACTTTTTATTTTATTTTATTTATTTTTTACATTTTACGCTAAACTTCGACTTACCTGATCGTCCTTTCTGGTGCTTTTCTTGATTTCTTGGCGGTGAGAATAAAAACAGGACTTTTGAAATGTTTCCCCACCTTAAAGGACAACATGGAGCGCCAGTACTGCTCCTTTTATTGCTTTTAGTCTCCACTTCAGGCCAGGAGGTCGGAGAGGAATGCCTGGCCCAGTTTAAACCAGGCCAGGAGGATTTTATTCTCGATGCTGACGAGTCTGTGAAAGACGGAGCCACCTTTCTTTCGTCGCCGAAACTGGATCGATACAAAGACTGCGTGAGCGCGTGCTGCAAAGAGCCGCGGTGCAATGTCGCCTTCGTGGAGAGAGGCGCAGAGGAGGGCTCGGTCAAATCCTGCTTTCTCTTTGACTGTCTCTACAAAAAGAAATACGTCTGCCGCTTTGTTAGGAAAAAGGGATACCTGAACTACATCCTGGACTCTGTTTATGAGAGTTATCTACAAGTGGATGTCCCTCCAAGTAAGACAATAACTTTCCATACATACAACATGACATGAAGTTAATTTGCATCTTTTTATCCATTGATAGTCTGCAGGGTATCCATCAAACAGTTTTACCCCCCTGCTGATAAGGGAGGGACTGTTTATCTGGGAAAACACTGTGGTTTGGATTACTCCATGATTAAATCATAGCCTACATTGTTGAGAAATACTTTTAAAAAAGTTTGTTTTCTTCTCTTTAGGACACTCATTCAAATAGTTCAATGAATCATTGCACTCATAGGCTAAGGCAATTAAGTATTCCTTCATGCTTTTGTGGTTTGTGGTAAAACACAGTTTGTAATCTGAAGATGTAAGCGCCCCAGATTGAGGCCAAAAACCTCCATTACATGTCCACACATGCTGGACTATTATGACCCCCTGGTTCAGGTTTCTAACTCCCTCCCTGCCTCTTCAGGAGCACAGGTTGTTTGGCTGTCATTTTTACAACCAGTTCAGCGTACCTTTGTTTAAAATACACTTATACCATATTTATTCCAGATGATTCGGACCGTCCACCCATTGCAAACGGAGGCCAGGATCGTGTGGTTCAGCCCCAGGACACAGTTACTCTGAATGGTATAAAGAGCAAAGATGACCAGGGAATTGAATCCTACCAGTGGCAAATGCTCACTGGATACCCATATGCTGTCATTGAGGTGGGTATAGAGATGTTATAGTGCCAAAACCTTTTGTAGGATTTTGCTTCGGGGAAATTCTGTAAAATGTCTCTTTAATCTCTACATCCAAACTCTATTTTTCAGAATTGCAGTTTGTGGATACTAACTAAATGCTGTCTTTGTACCTTTTTAGAAAACCGCCTTTGATGACCAGATTATCGTCTCCAATCTTACATCTGGGGTGTACAAGTTCCAGCTGACAGTCACAGATACTAGCGGCCAGTCTGATTCCACAAAAGTCACCGTCCTGGTCCTGACCCCTGAGCAGTCTGAGCGTAAGTTGGCAACATCATTTCCTCAGTTAAACCACGTTATACACCTTTATTTTCTAGCATACGCCGCACAGAAATCCTTTTATTCTTCTGCCAAAATTATTTTATAATCAGACCCAAGATTATATCTGAAATGACTTCTAATATCTACGTTATTTACTGCACATTGGTAAGTTTCTCTACAAACACAGACTCAGAGAGCAGAACATGTCAGGAGAATTGGTTGAGTTTCAAGGGTAAATATGAGTCATGTGTCCACTGTATGCACTGACATTTCTGTGGGCTTATTCAGTCACCTGCCTTGTGTTTAGTGTTGAGACCCAAATGAAAGAACATAACGTCCACACTTTGTGTTGTTTGATGACAACTTAAAAGAGCATGAATCTTTTTCCAAGTTTCATGGAACTCACCCCATTGTTCAGAATTCGCCATCAGAGCGAGCTCTTCCATGTTAGTTGTGATCAAACCTGTTGAGACATGCTCCTCTTAATTCCTGTGGACTGAATGATGAAACAGTGGTGAGATCGACAGATAAAAGCTCATGTTATAAGATTAGAGCAGATTCTCCGTTACGGTAAGGGTGAAACTCTTAAGAAATATGGAACTAGATGTCTCTTTTCTTTGTCATGGAGAAGTGGTTTGATAAACTTTTTCTGTCACGTTCAGTATTAGTCACTTCCATAAAAAACCACACAGAGAGTTGCGATGACGCTCCCTCAATATTAAACGTTTACGTCTGGAGTTTCTTTAGAAAACGGAAGTGGGTAGTGCATTTTTTTTTTTTTTAACTACCATCCCACTCTCTCCTCCCCCGACTCAAAACCTGTCAGTCTGGTTTCAGCCTGAGTTGCACAAACAAGACGACAAATCACCGCCATGATCCTCCTCTGTTTTGATTAAAAGTCTTTATGTTTTATTGTTTATTTTTTGTTCATTATGGTTTTGTTTTCAGGTGTAATATAGAACCAAAAAGACTTTAAACATCTCTGTGGCTCAGTTACTTATTAACACTTGTGCTCTGAATAGTGTCAGGAATGTGTTTCAATGAAAGGGGCATGGCAGTGACTTTACATGTCTGTGCTGCCGCATTTCCACTACAATAATGAATGGATAGAGTAACAACAGAACCCATTTGTAAATGAGAATCAATGGTGATAGCATGAGAACTTGGTAACAACAGGTGTCTCTTGTTTATCACTGGACATCTTTGTTAAGTCTTAGAGTGTATGTGGTTTACACAAGCTCTTTAGAGTATGTATCATCAACCACAAGCAGACAGTTCACATGGTCTTATTCATTTTTTCTGTCTGTGAAAAAGCATCTTCTCAGCTGCATATCTCTTTATCGGACCACTTTGGGTTAATTGTGTGTCTGTCTGCTCACAGATCAGACAGCAAAAGGAGGAAGTCTAAAAAAAATCTACAAAAGAAAGACTTCACCACTTCTGGTTTCAGATATCAGAAAGCACTAATAATGGCTATTCTTTTTTAGGCAACAAGTGTAGCACTGTGAAGTGTCTTGTGAAGTTATCTGGTGCTTTTTGCCTTGGTATTTCAAACAGACCAGTGAGAGAGATTATTTTTTACAGAATAAATGATAAGCTATAACTAGATTTAACTATTGGGATTTAAAAAAAAAAAGAGCCATTCAACATGTGTGTTTTTTGCTTTCCTAACTAAGTACATGATATCACTGTGTCTGGAAAAAAAGGGAATCATTCACTCTCAGACAGAGAGTGCACTGTGAATCCATGTGAGTAAATCGGTAAAAAGGCACTTTGAGGTGTTGTTTGAACCTGATATGGAAACAAAGCTTGTGTAGTGAATGTTGAAATGTGTTAAAAGCTTCCTGGGGGCTCTTTTGGTATGATCTTGGCAACCATTGGGAGCAACCTGCCTTATTTTGCTATTTTGTCCTGCTCCTACATGCCTAAGTAGTTTTATTCCAAAGAAAGATCTTATCCTGCTTTCCTTTTACCGGTAGTCTTTGACACAAAAGAAAGAAAAGGGATATTTGGGAAGCATTTCTGTTATCATTTCAGGGTGACGGTGATAACAGGCATTTGGAAATTCAACTTCCTAGAGATTTCCATGCTTGTTGCTGATAATCTTGTTTGCTCTTGAAGGTCATATAGAGACGTCAGCATTCATATATAACCAGCTGAAAACACCTCCCAGAATCTTTGACGTTTATTCCACACAAGTTTTAAATTCTCCAAGATGAATTGTTTCTTTCAGTGTAGCATAAAGTTCCACAGTGATAATATTACATACAAAGAATACATTCACATAACAAAATTAACACAGATGTTCTGTGAGTATAAGAAAAAAGGTGAAATTAACGGTGCTATTTTTTCTCACTAGACCACTGTATGGCTCCTATGAAGATCGGACCATGTCGTGGTTCCTTTCCTCGCTGGCATTACAACGCTGCATCAGAGAAGTGTGAGGAGTTCATGTTTGGAGGCTGCAGGGAGAATCTAAACAACTATCTCAACAAGGATGAGTGCACAAACGCCTGCTATGGCTCAGGTATCTTTGCCCCATGCTTTTCTTGTCAGTTTCAGAGTTTTCAATGGTATTGTGTTTTTACTAGCACAGTATTTTACAATATTTACATTTTAAAATATTTTCTCATGAATAATACCAGCACGTATGCTCGAAAATTGATCATTAAGCAGTCAAGATAACAGGGCATTTTAGTTGTGTGACGTGTTTTATTCGGCTGTGTCAGCTTTTCCAGCTTACATAAGTCAGTTGAAAAGCTGGCTCTGTGATAAAATCTCACAGCCAGCATCTCTCAAACTTTCTGATGAAAATGTAATCTTATTTGTTCAATCCACGCAAACCTTTATTGAAATAAGATTAAATTGACGATGACACACATGACTTGTACCTCCTCACGGGAAGGTTCCTCCTCTGGAGTTGCTTCTTGTTTCCCTGTAAACATAAAGTTATCTTGGTAAACATTTCATTGAGCAGCAAACATAATTATAATCCTATTTTGTCGTTGTCTTTTTGATTTAGGAACAAATGGTAAATCTGGTCGAGGTTTGCCTATTCCTGGAGACCAAGGTAGGTGAATACTCTTCAGTGTTGTACTTCTCAACACACTTTCTTTTATAGACTCCACAGGACAACCCTACCTGTTTTTAGGTGTAGATGTGTTAATCCACAAGATAAGTTCTTTAACTGATGAGGAAACTACTCTCCCAGTGTGCGCACTTGTGCTCAGACTCAGACTCATAGCAAATCCAACCAAAGGCTTTTAAAGAAATTTTAATAAACAACCACATATATACGATTACAAGGATTATCAACAGGGTAAAAAGTAAATCAAAAATAAGTCACAATCCTTGGATTTAGAGTTTTAAACCATTAGTTTTTTAAACCCTAAATTTAAACCCTTTTCTCCTAATCCTCTTTTGGGTAATTTATAACACATCTGTTTCTGTGCCTCATGCTGTTTGCCATCCTCAGTGTACTTATGATAAGCTGTCTCGTAAGCATTGTACGTGGTTCACCTCTCCTCCTAGGCTGCCACTGCTACCTACTTCCCTTTTGCCCATGTAGTCAGTCTTTTACTAGCAGGAGGACTGAGGCAGGGAGATGTGTGAATACAGCCAACTGACTTGTAGGTCTGCAAAAGAGAGGGATCCTTAACTGCATGGTTTTTGACAACTTTTTACACCCTGTCGACTTTACGCTTAGTGACCACAGTCGACAGACTCTCCAACTTGTTATCAGCTGTAAAATAAAAACACATAGTAAGTGTGAGGACAAAAAAACGACATACAAAACGACATTCCTACACCAGCTACACTTTTTTCTCTTTCAAAAGTGTCCACATATGGATTTTCTTATAACAGAAAATTTACCACATGTTGAACCAAAACATGTTATAAATTAAACAATTGCATGTATCTCAGTGCTTGCAACAAATTACGTCAAATAATGCATTTGAACAAGCCGACTATAAAAAATCTAGAGTAATATGAGCCTGTTAATAAATTAAATCTAACATGGTTTGTTATGTCCTAGTTTTGTTGTCATCTCTTACAAAAATAGTATTCCTTGTTCCTATTTAAACCTGTAAGTGCAGATTGTTTTTGCTACCGGTAGGCAGAGGATTCACCGCTCAGTTTTATAGGATTAATGGTCTGAAGTGTTGATATACATCCATCAGTTACACTGCATCATTATGATTCATTTGGTTGTACCATTTTGCATCCTTGTTACATATTATCCCAGTGTTCATCCTCTTTTAGTTCTGCATCTTTATCTATAACCACCACAGTGTAGGGAAATTTAGGACTTGTCAGTTGGTAAATGCACTAGTGTATGATTGCTAATGACCAACTGTGTGTACTAATTTTACCCAGTAGGTAGTGGGTTGTGTATTTTGAAGAATATTGCTGAAAAATAAAGCTAAAAAAGCAAAGAAAACATAAGTAAATTCACATAAAAGACCAAAAAGCAGTCATAGAGATTCTGATTTAAGCGATAATTCAGTGTGAGTTCCTCACAGAAAGTGATCCTTTATTTTTACACTTGAAGCATCTTTCTTCCAGCAACACTTCATGTGGTCAGTGAGTTATAATTTCCCCTTTCTTGTGCCCTACAGGAGAAAAATGTGGAGCTCCATGTACCACAGAGCAGTTCACCTGTGATAATGGCTGCTGTCTGGATCCTGGCCTGGAGTGTGACTCAAGCCCACAGTGCAGTGACGGCTCAGATGAGCAAAAATGCGAGGACTGTAAGCAGTGGCTATGCAAACTAGAACTCATTTTCATATAGGCTCATGAAATAATAAATCCAGCATTGATATGGTACTGATAAATGTTTCCTTGGAAGAGACGCTAACTTAAAACATGCTCTGTGTGTCTGTTAGTGGACAACAAGTTTCGTATCCTGTTGCAGATTCCAGTGAACGAACAAAAAGGTATTTATAAACGCAACCTTGTTTTTGCTCTTGTTATCTTTAATTCGCCGCTATAATTGAACGTGCTCTTGCCATCTCTCACCCTCCGCTACCGACTCACTCAGTCTGTTCATCTATGTGGTTTTCAGTGCGCTGTACAGAGTTTCCTGACACAGGAACCTGCCGACACGCTTTGACCAAATGGTACTACAACCCCGTGCAACAAACCTGTTACCGCTTCAACTACGGTGGCTGCCAAGGAAATGAGAACAGATTCGACACGAAAGACTCCTGTATGAAAGTTTGCCGAGGAGTAACAGGTGGGTTTTATTCATGTTGAGTGAGCTTTTTACTGATGAATAGACCTCAGAAGTATAAATATGTTTATATCTGATTCACTTGGGCTTACATGATATAAAATCACACATTAGCATATAAATATCTGTTCTTGTTTTCTTTTTGTCATATTTGGATATTTTCAAGATATAGAAGGATGTCTTTTCTACTTAAGACCAAATAGTCTCTCATCACCCCAAAATGTAGATCCCTTCACTGCCTCTCCATTGCTTTTACAACATAGTTTGAAATTCTTACTTTTAAATAAACATGTTTGGACAAGCATTTTGTATTTTAGCCTTGCCTGTGTTTTGATTGTTCATGGCTCTTGGGAATCAGTGAATCAGTCAATTGCTATGGCTCTTAAGACCATCTCACCACTCATTTCTGAAAACTTTTTCAGTTTTACATATCACTGTCTGTTAAAATCATTATATGTATGCATTTTACTAACTTGCTTTACTAATATTAACCCATATTATCACTGAACTTGACAGGTTCCCTCAGTCCATAATATTTTGACTTAACAATGCTTAATAATTCATTTTGGATTTGTTACCCTTCTCTAAATGCAGGCCAACAGTGCAACGTGACAGTGGGAATAACTCTTCAGTTGTTTTATGATGTTTGACTTGAAAGTTGAGGCTGAAAAAAATGTTGCGTAGAGAGAAGTGGTTCTACCAGACCTCTTTAACCCAATTCTGATCTTTGCCAAAGGCACAGAGCTACATCAGCTGCAAACACGTCTGTGTCTTGCTGCAGTCTGGGACTCAAAAGTAATTTCATGATTCAAAATAAGAGACAATCGAATATGTAGAGGTTTCAGAGTATCAGTAGCTGCACAATGTTACAGGAGTTTGATGCTGTGCTGTGAGGAGGAAACTGGTGTTTGGTGAAATTAATGTCAGAGATATGCTTACACCTACTTCTGCTGCTCCCAAGTGGCCAAACAAGTTATTGCAGAATTAAAATGACCTCCTAGCAAAGTGAGGTTGTTTGCTATTTGCATGTTTTATAAATGTTATGTACCTTTTTTGTTTTTGTTACAGAGCAGGATGTGTTTGCAAGAAAGAACGAATTTGACAGACAGATTTCTGAAAGCCAGACAGGTATGTTACTCTTCATCTTTTAAGTTTAGACATAAAAAAGTACTATTACTCTATTATAAGCAAAATTTATTTACTTAAATGTTAAACCTCCAAATATTTAACTTTTTAATAAGATGTTTTATTGGTTTGTCAGGAATTGTAGCGATAGCTGCTCTCCTTGGTCTGGCCATCCTCATCCTACTGGGCATTCTTGTCTACTGCCTCGTAAAGGGAAAGAAGAAATCTCCACAACACCAGCGAGTGGCGGTCAATAACGCCCCGGTCAGCTTTGAGGACAGAGAGCGTCTGGTCTACAACAGCACCACCAAGCCCATCTGACCCTTTAGTCCTGACCTCTGACCCCGTCCTGCTGTGTTGCACCACTGAACAAACTCAGATTGATGAGAGAGGAAACTGTGTTGACTTTTTTATTTTGTCCATAGATGCATTTTTTTAGGGTGAAATACACAGAAGACCAAGTGCCTTCAAGAATGAAATGTGATTTAAGATTTGACTTTTAGCTTGTTTGAAATGCATGGACCTGTTCAAAAGAGCTGTTGGGTGAACTCAGGTTAAAAGAGAAGGATTTTCAGTTGTGCAGAGGTAGATGACCACTGGATATCAGACACGTTTTTCCTGTTGTGTCTGATTAAACTTCTAGTTTTCTTCTTGTTATGTTCTTATGTCAGACCTTAAATGGTGTACAGCTCCACATTAGTCTGTTACTTAAAGTAAAAGTCAGCTTCCAATGCTGTCTCTTCACACAGAGCTTTGGAAACATGTGGATGTAAATGTCATAAGGACTATCTCTTCAACTTCCTGAAATCCTGCAATGTCAGCTTTTCCACTTTGTCCCTCTTAGTTTTTATTTTTTTTAATCCCGTTTGACTCCAATGTTACAATGGATTACACACAAACACATCCTCAGTGTTGTACATAATCATAGAATTGTGAGAAAGTAATATTTTTCACAAGAAGCTTATTTTGTTGTGATTTTTCCAGAAGTGTTTTTAGAACAAGCATAGTACATAGATTCATTGATGCTTAAGGAAACATAAAGCAGTTGTGTTGTTGAATATTCAACATTTTAAACTTTGTACATATGACCTGATGTAGGTTTTCCTTTAACAATGGCAATATTGTGATGTTTGTATGAAATAAAATATATACTCAAAAAAACTTGAGATTATTTATCTCATGAAAGAAGTCTGCTGTATAAAAAAATAAAATAAAAAAAATGAGTGACTACTCTGCTAACTCTGCCAAACAGTCAGTGGCTAATGTCAATTCTGTAGACAGATTCTCTTTTTATTCTTTTTTTAAGTATAATCTTTATATATAGCATTACTCTTTTCCCTCCTTTTTTTAAAAAAAACAGCATGATTCCCAGATTATCACTTCAAACCCAGGGTATGTTTACAGATGTTGGGGTGTAGCTTTATAATCCCCTTCAGTATGTATACTTTGTAAATTACTTTAATCTTTTTTATTTCAAAATGTCATCTTCTCTTATGTTTAATTATCAGTTTCTCTGATTCTGTGGGATTTCCTTTCAAAGGATCAATAAAGGCCTATTTTAGGTCAGCATTCAAGTTTGAGGGAAACGCTAGCCTTTACATCTTGCAGTTTCCTGCAATACCACTAGGTGGCGATATTGGTTTATTGGATATTCAACACCAGCCTCCTACAGCCTTAAATCATGGTTAGGGGTTACCAAAACTATATTTATCTAAAACTTTTATCTTATTCAGAAGATTTTTGAAACATTTTCTAACAACTCGATGCTATCAAATCATTAAACTATGCAATTAAATAGCTATTTTGGCAATAAAAGAGTTGTCTTGCAATAATATTTCAAACTATGTCAACTCGTACCACATATTGCTTTCTTCACAGTCTGTATGGGAATCCGTATGGGAAACATAAGGAGCAGGACCATACAGTCTATGAGCAGGACAGAGAGGGGGTGGTGCAAAGCAAAGGCGCTTTTCTCTATTCAGTCAGCAACACATAAATTTTCACCCACCCAATTGACTCTCTGAAGCTATCCTTTGTGAACCCCACAGGCTACTGACCTGACCGTCATAAATGTATTTGGCAGGGTTAGTTTTTGTTATATCCTTTCACAAGCCAATCATTTGTTGACATACATAAGTATTGAAAGACAATATTTATAAGAAAAACACTTAGTATGTTCAGCCCTCTTATAGCCCTCACACAAAGAAAGAAAAAGAAAGAAAAAAAATAGCAGTAAAGCACAGATGTTAAGATGAAGAAACAACTCTGACAGTCACCTAATAGCTAGTGGCATGGTCAAAGTGCAGGTAGTTGTGGGGCAAAACAATGTCACAAAAAAAGGACATATCCTTCAGGAGCAGAGAAAAGAAAGAGGAAGAAGAGAAAAACGCCAAGATAAAAGGTATGTTTGCGTGTCAGGGAATGTTGATCAAAGAGATTTGTGAAGGTAAGTGAATGATCAACAATCAATATTATTGGCAGAAGTAGAGGGCCCCAAAATCAAATTTTGCTTAGGGCCCTATTGAGGCTTGGGCCGGCTGTGGGCATGTCAAAAACAGGCGGTCCTCTGTTACATTCACACGCTTTAAGTAAATTAAAGCTTTCATTTGCCAGATTGTTAATTTTTTTTTAACATATATTGAAAATTTCCTTCAACTGATTTTTAAAATAGCATCAAGAAATCGAGTACGAAATGTTTTCTATCTGCAGCCGAGATTTGCCTGATTCCGACAAAGTTCTCTTGCATTCACTTCCGATTCGGAGTTGATACATTCCGAGCTTCCCTGAACGCAGCACCAGTCTTCGCAGTTCTACAAAGATGCAGCACGGTTAGAGCTGCTGAGCTGCGCTGGGCTGTGTGTTTGAGTGTGTCTGAGAGGGGTGTTAACATGTGAAAAGAAGAAACTAACGGAGTAACTCTAAAAATTTCACCAAGAAACGACAGAGAATTTTTTTTTTCACCGTGGACACAGTCGTTGAAACGAAAGAAGTTTGCGAAGTTGGTAAGTTACGTGAGTCGCTTTCTGATAACTCAAAGACATTGAAGCTCACCAAGAGGTAGCTCTGATACAAGTGAAGCTGGCTGCATGTCATACGAGTAACTGTGTTGTGTTTTTCAGACGGAGTGGCAAGTATGTAGTTTGTTTTGTGGGCTTTAACAAAAAAGAAAAAAGGGCATTTTATTGGTTTTTTTTACGCATGCCTTTATCAGTTCTAATGAAACGGACGCGGGTTGAAGTGGAAGAGCTGAAAAGTGAATTGTAGTGACGAATCTAAACTGTTAAACCACATAAGGATAAAATCTTAATATTTACACATGTTTTTCATCTAGGTCTTTCAGTTTCTGCAGGAGTCTGCGTTTTATTTACGTGTTTGTTTGGGTAAAGTCTTTGGCAAACTCTTGTCTCTACTGTGCACTTCTTGGATATAATGCATTTGGACTAAAGGAGCATTCAGCTTCTTTTCATTTCACAATCTCTCATGTGTGTCCCGTGCAGGGGGACAGGAGTTTCAGTCAGATAAGTGATGTTTGTCTTTGGAACAAAACACTCTCTGCTGAGTGAACTTTGATCACCTGGTGGAGTCTGTATTTTTCCTGTTCCCTTTTAAAGAGGATGACATTTTTATACATGAGCACTGATGTCTGACCTGACTCAAACTTACCTCCCTGCTGCAGTTTGGTTATTTGTTATTTCCTCTTTTTTTGCATCCCCCCCTCCAATGGGGCCCACCATACTTGGCCCCAGGAAACCCTAATTGTTTTTTCTAATGAGCACCCCATTGAGACACAGGGAGGTTTTAAATGCAGGCTTTTCATAGGTCAATGACTTTCCCCACCAGCTGATGAAGAAGAATAGGGCAAAATCAATCAATTATCAGTGAAAAGTTCCATTTATTTTTCCTTTGACCTCACTTGACCTCTCAGACAATACAGCTTCAGCTTCATTTCAGATAAATGTTGCTTAAATGCGAAGAACGGCAATCTATTCAAGGTGGTCCAGACAGGAAACTGGCCAAGTGTGTCTTGGATCTCAAAGTTGGCGCTTTATCCTTTCCTCCTGAGTCTGCAGCTGTGAAAAAAATTACCATGGCTGCAGAATTTAGGAGTGGTTTCAACTACAGAAACATTATAACTTAAAAAAAAAAACGGGGCTTTTCACAGGTAACAGTCTCTGATAATCAGAGATGTAACGCTACTTAGGATAGCTAATGTACCTAACTTTTTAAGTTAGAGTTAGGATTACACTTTTGAGTTACAGATAGGATTACACTGTGAGAGTACAGGGTCAACTTTAAAGGAGGCCTGACAACTTTGTGTTTGTTTAAAAGTGAAGAGTGTGGAGCCATAAGTGGTTAAGCATTCCAGACACCCAAGGGAGGTCTGACTCTGTTTTTGTTGTTATGATGTTAACACGTCCCCCACATAGGCACAAGGGAGCTGTTGCCTGCAGATGTGGTGCATTGCACCTTTAAGTGGACATGCTTATTTTCTATTTGGGGACTTGATGGCTACTATTACAGAGCAACTGTCTACACCCCTCTTAAACACTGAAGGACACAATGAAGGACTACTCACTCAAGAACTCATAACCGTTCCCCTAACATTGGTAATGTGTAAGAACTGTAGACTTTCACTTGTCATACGCCAATTGAGAGGGCACTTGCCAGCTTTGCTTGCCAGGTATGCATTTTGTGGTTAAAGGTCACCAGTTGAAAGGTGAAAATTGCTCTTTCTCTTTTTCCAGCACAGCAGGGAATGATTATTCTCCCATTAAGGGCTATTTTGGCTGGGGTGTACGTGCACCACATGGGTAAGACTGCGCACAGTGCCTTGAGGGTGTTCATCAGGATGGATCACTTATCGCCACATCTAAGCAGCGTGCTCAAAACTCATTGGACTAAAATAAGAGGCTCATATGTTGAGTGTCTGTGGGAAGTCACGGGTTAGGGCTGCCCTTTTTGTGGGAGCTGTGGATTGGATTGAGATGAAGCAAGGTCGAGCGGGTTTATTGTTTTCACCAGTGAATGAAAAGCTGTTCATCTCTTAAGGCCTGTTTGTCAGAGGACAAACTGCAGGAGTAATGTGGGAAAGAGGGCACTCGCAGAAAGGCTGTTTGTCAGGGGATATTATTTGTCGGGGTAGACAGGGTTAGAGGGTGAGGGAAAGGTCTTGAAAGATAAACATGGCACCATTGCTGAAATAATAAAGAGTCTGTCTTAGTTAGTCTGTAGGACCCTGGACCTCTGCCTGCTATGCCAGGTTAGATCTTTATTTGTTCTGAACGTAAACATCCGTCTCATCTAAACCCCCACCACTACGTCTGACTGGAGACAGCCCAGGGGGCTTATGTCATACTCCCAGATTCCCGGGGGCCATTTAGGGGCAGACAGTGAACGCAGCATGATGTGGTGAGTTTCTGGTCGCGTGAAAAAAAGTGCATCAGGAAATCTCTGAACTATTTATAGCTTTCTCTCCTGTCAACATTTACCTAATGAGGAAACATTTATCCATGCTGCTATTACTTGTAAAAAGTTCCCTATTTGGATTTGGATGCTGGCTCAAGCCCTTATGCAACTTGGAGGTGCGTAGAAGGAAGTTTTTTTTCTGGAATTAACAAAACTTAATGCAATCTAGAAGTTAATTGTAAGTTTAGACACTTCACCAAGTTATGAATGACGTTACATCCTTGCTGACTTGTTTGAACCTCTTGTACTGTTCCTAATGAGACAGAGAAAGTGGCATGCCTCCTCAGAGAGAGTGAAAGACTAGCAGTGAAGTGTTAATTCTCTGTCCTCTTCTAACACATTCAGTAGTTTTATTTCTCTCTTAGCCTTGGCTGATTCCCCCCACCTTTTTGTTTTACCTGTTAGGCCTGAGGTCTCCCTTCAAGGTCTGCGTTTATCTGTGCATGCTTTCACTTTTGAGTTGTATCTTGCCAGCATCTGTCCCACATAATCATCTGTTTGTTGTGTTTAAATGGGAGAATTCAGGCCCTGACTGCCTGGATCTGTGCAAAGCCTGCCGATTAGAGAAACAAGGAAGTTTATCAGCGCATCTGAAGAAGTGATCCATTGCGGCTTTTTCTTTTAATAACCATCAGATTGGCTGTTGTAGCATCTGTCTTCAATTAAGGGGCAAGTTGCAGATTCCCATGCGGGGCGGTTCATGCTGCGGGTAATGCAGTCATCAGCTGTGGGAACCAAATGTTGTCCATTTGTGTGAAATAGCTGCTAGTTCATGCACAGGTGGTCAGCTTGGCATGAATGTTCGGCTGTTACTCTGTGTTTTCTTTAGGATCTGAGATCTGGCCGTGCCCCCTCCCTAGGAAAACAAGGATTTTGAATCACCATATGTCAGCAAACAGGAGAGGAAAGTTAATGAGTTATGATTGTCCAGTTCTTACCAGATGTGTTAAGATTATGGCAATGCTGCGTCACCGAATCCTGCTGACATTTTAAAATATTTCACTTTCTCCACTTAATCTATTTTCTACGCCTTTCGATAAGACATTGTATAAAGCTTTGTAAGACTCAGACATCAGTAGTATATCACGGTCTTGAGCCTATTATTCCAAGTCTAGTCCCTCACTGATGAAAGAGAGGTTACCATAGTTTTGGTCTGGTCATTAAGTGGGGTTAGCTTAGAGGTCATGGTGGGTGGGATTACCAGAGGATTTTATTGGTTCACTGTTTCACAAACACAAGTTCAAAAGCTGACCCTCGACATGTATAGAAATGTATACTTCTCCTGCAGCTTACACAAACTTACCCACTACTTGAAAATCAATTGGCCAAGTCCTGTCAAAGGCTGTCTGTGAAGGCTTCAATGAGCAAAGAATGTCATTATAGCTGTGCTGCAAAGACTGAGCACAATCTGTGTGTATCAGGAATTTTACTCTCTTTGCTCTAAATATCAACGAAAGTTGAGGACCAGGCAAAAGAGGTAAAAATGAAGACTTTGGATAATGGGGTATAAAGTAAGTTGACCAGATTTCTGTAATGAAATCCGGGGGATCACAGACAACATCTCAGTACTATTTAGTAGCAGCGCACACCCCTTGTAATAACCCCCGTAAAAACTGTTGTTCAAGACAGGACTGCTTACTTGTGCTTCCTACCAATTCGGCCACTGTATTAACCATTGCTCTAGCCTACAAGCAACATTTTTGTTCTCATTCATGAAACGCTTAAATCGGGGACAGCTTTCGCCGGGGACAGGTCATCCAATTTGGGGAATGTCCCCAGAAATCGGGGACGTCTGGTCACCGTATTATAAAGTCATTTATCATCATTTATCATATATAATGAGCATGTTAAGAGGTAAAAAATAAGCATAAGTTTTGTTATGTCCAAGTTTGTGGGTCTCTATATTTTAAATCAAATGCCTCATCTGTACCTTCAGACTACAGTTGTCCAAAAATGATCCGATTGAGGTTTTGAAGGATTATAATGTGTCAGCAATCTTGCAATCTGAGAGATCGTTGTACTGGCGCATTCTGCAGTTACAGTTGTACGTTCATACACAGTCATGTTGGCATTATTAATGCATGTGACATCTACCACGCTGAATATATCCTCTGTATTGTTAAGCTGTGCAGGCTGAGTATGATAACACTACATTTGGTTGTCACAGACATGAGTTGGGTTGGGTTGGGTTGCTGCAGGGCTCCTAGAGTGAAGCAGTGATCTTAATATGTGGATCCAGCTCTTTGGTTTCCCTCCCTGCATTCCTGCACATCTTAATTGGCGAACCTCCTGCCACTGGGCTTGGGTTTGGCTTCGCCTGGCCTGGCTGTCAGCTCGGCACTGTGGCCAGCAAGTGCACTAGGAACAATGCCCATGCTAATCCCTGAAGAATTCCCGTCCCTCTGATCTTGCTGGCCCAAGAATGCGACGTTTAAAAGGCCGGAGGCTCACCAGGAATCACAGGGAGACAAGTTCTCATGCACAGTCTTCCATTAATTTGTTTTAAAGAGCCACAGAAGCGATGATGTGAGAAACCTTGCAGGGCTAGAGCTCCAAGGGGACGCAATCCATCATTAACAGAGCAGCAGCCTGGCAAGAGAGGGAATAATACATGGCACTAGTGAACCTTTAATGTCACTGTACGATTACATTCGTTATAAAAGGTTTGTTTTCTTGTGACATGGATTGATAAATGCAAATGTACCTATTTTACTAGTATAGTCCTTCACATTTATAGTGGTGATGTCCTTTTCATAAGACAATTTGAGTTAACGTGTTTCAAGTAAAAATGATTGTAAATGCTTAATTGATTTTAAATGACCTTTAAAATGGTTCCATCATGATATCTACTTTGTAGCTGCTCCGGTTCAGGTTAAATTTGATAGTCCTGTTTATTACACCTCTCTACTCATTAGCATCAGTTCACACCACTTTTGCTTCACTGTGCATACCTTCACCCTCAGCTCTGCAGTATACTAACAAGTGGCTTGAATGAGCCTAAGCAGAGCAGTGACCAGCAGCGGGGAATGGGAAGAATTTCCTTTTTATATAAGACCTGAATAGAGTCTGCCCTCCCTGCCAGTAAAGGAAGCATAGCTCACTTAACAGAGGAATGGTAAAAAGCCTGACAAAAAGCAAAGACACAAAAGATTTTTGAGTGAGGGCTCACTGATTATGATTAACATTTCCGGAGTGTATGTACTGTAAGCTTTTAGATCAAGTTCTTGGATATTTGTGTGACCCCTCTTGTTTTGTTTGTCAGCTCCAGAGGCCCGAGTGCCATGCCAGAGGGGTCCCATTCTGTTCTCCACCAGGGCTCAATGGGGGAAGGTAAGATCAGTTCAGTTACACCCATTCTAACCTGTGCTCAGGTTATTGCTGCCCATCAATCAGTATCCAGTCTCAAATAAGTCAGCGTATTCCTAATGGTATATCTGGTTACTCAGACTATTTTGCTAACATAGCACAGAAGTCCAGCAGAGGTACATGGAAAAAATGCTTGAAATGGAAGAAAAGAGGAAATGTCGAGGCTCTGAGAGGCAGGTCTGAGAGCAATGAACTCCCCTCCTACAGGCCAGACTGGCAGAGAGGCTCTTTGTGTGGCTGTGGAGCTCAGCCAACCCCTTTCATACAGCTGAAACTCCCTGAGCACTCACACATCAAACCAGAAAGTGTCAGAATCACAGACAGCCAAGATAGCTGGTCCAGCCAGCGGTGCTGACCTTGTATGCTGGAGGCAACTCAAATTACATATTATTTTAGTGTTCATTATCTTAAGACACACAGCCACAGCACTGACACAGGGCTCCTTTGTATCTGTTTGCATGCTCTGTCCCTCACCCCTCCTCCTTCGCCCCTGCGCCTCCTCTCCTCTCTACTGAACACATTTGGCTCTGGGCTTCTACTTTGGCTGAAGAATACCAGTGTGTGAATGGTTCCCTTTTTCCTCTACGCCTGTCTGCTTAGTTCAGCTTTGGCCAGGGGAGGCTTTTGGCTGGGGGAGACGTGTGCCGCCCTCATGAAAAATTGCATCTCTATTTCCTCAAAAGGCCACTCAGCTCTGACGACATGATCTCATAACTCATTTTCAAGCTCTGATGTCTGGAGCAAAATCACCTTGGCGTGACAGAACCCCCACTTTCAGTTGAAACATTTTCAGACTGATCTTGTCATGGACCAGTTTGAGTTAAAGTGTGACCAATCTGTCCCCCCTGCTGTGGATGGATGGATGGTAATTAAGGGGGCAGGTCTGCTTGTAATCTGTGTTAGCCGATGATTGGATGTGGTTAACAGGCAGAAGGAATGCACATGGTGAAGGGAAGCCCCCTAGCCTGGTGAAGGTAAACAATAAAAAGCTTGTGGTGAATACCCAATGCCAATTCCCCTAAAGGATCCGATACTTTGAAGCTTAAAAATGGCGTAAAAAGGAAACATTTGGACTCTGATCCAAGATACACCAACTTGTTCATTGTCAGGTGTTTACATTGATGCCATTAAATCCTCCTTTTTCAATTTTAATTTGATGGTTTAAGCCTACACAAACCCCTCAAAACTCCCATCATTGTTACAGTTGATTGACTAAACATGGAATAATAATGTTGCTTTATAAATTTAGTTTTCAGTGACTTTGATATAATTTGTTAAAATTATGGAACGAGCTACCCCTCCGAATCAGTCAAGCCCCCACACTGTCCATTTTTAAAACTTGTCTTAAAACCCATTTTTGTTCATTGGCTTTCAACCCTGCATGAGCCTCGGCTCCTGTTTTTGTGTTTTATGTTTTGTTTTGTTTTTTGTTACTCGTTTCTATTGTTTTTAAATTAGTTTTTAAAAACATTGAAACTATATCTCACTTTTTAATATCTGCCTTTATTTTATCCATTGTTTAAATTGTTTTTTTTTTAAATTCTTTTTAATGTCTGCGTTGTTTTGTCTATTTATGTACAGCACTTTGTTCAGCTGTGGTTGTTTTAAAGTGCTTTACAAATAAAGTTGAGTTGAGTTAAAAACACACCCGTTGCCTGAAAAAGGCCAACAAACCATTTTAATGCACATACATATTTAACGCATGCATCCATACTCAAATACTTGACGTATTAGATTGAGACCTGGAAACGCCAGTTATCATACAATCACATAATTTAGCCAATCAGATGAAGCCACAGCTCACTGTCAACTCCTGTTAGAGTAAGTGGTGTCAATTTGGTGACTGTGAGATTAGTGAGGATGAGGATACTGTGGCTGATGAAGGCCTTTGTGCTAAAAATAATGATCACTATGATGTGTTACACTAACAGGCCGTATCCTGTGTGTGGTAATAACCTATGCACCTCTTGTTAAATATATCTCGTTAAAGTGTTGGTGCATGTCCAGCCTGTCAGGCCGACTGTCCTTAGGCAGCATGAAGCGTCTCTTTTAAAGATAAGGGTTCCCTGTGACCTACTTCACCCCAGGCAGGAATGTAGCTGTGTGTGCAGATCGTACAGCTTTAAAGGGGTTCTGGAGGGGGGCGGACGGATCATCTCCATTCACTGCAGCTTTTCCAGACCAGTGGGCATAGGCTTGTGGACATAGATATATAATGGCAGGGATGGCTGGCTGCGTCTCTGAGTGGGAGCTCTTGAACTAGAACTATTTTTCTGCCTAATTGCCTGTGGTGTTAATCATAGTCAGCCTCAGGTGTGCCTGCAGCAACTCCCGTTCTAGTTTTAAGTCATGCTCTGGCACTCACTAAAACTCCCAACAGCCCTATTATCCTGTGTATCCGAAACATCTTACTGGTCTTTAAGATTACATAAATCACTATATAACGGAGCCACTATTGTCATAGAATTCCTCATTCACTGTAATTCATTTCATTGTTTGGGTCCTCTCAAAGGATTTCTTTTCAATGTAAATGATTTTACTGCCTCTTCCAAAGGCATTCCTCCTATAGAGCTCTTCTGCTGAATTACCCACATTAGTTACAGGCTCTCTGCTAATGGCGCTCCTGTTGCATGGCCTCTCAGAAACTCATTTAAGTTGGTAAAACTCTTCCTTCATAGCACCTCACATTCAGTCGGTGTTTTGTAATCAGGCACTCATTGTATCGGGATTTAAGATATTTAGATAGCAGTGCAGACTTGAGTGAGTATATCTCACAGAACAAGGGTTGATGTAGTTAGTGATTGTCTTGTTATTTATTGTAACCTGAAAAAAAAATACATATCTGTAAGAGAAATGAAGTTTTCATTTAATCATTGTGTGCACAGAGCTTCTTCTTCAGGCCTGAATCAACAGTAAAAACATGACTGCATCTTTTATAGTCTCGATGACATTAACATGTTGATGTGAGGTAAATGAAGGTTCTTCAATGACCGTCTCCTCAACACACTTCACACAGCTGTGCTGCTGCCTCTAGCCTGTGTGGACTCTGCACAGAGGTGCTAACAGGACAACAGTTTGGCTGGAGACTGTCAAATTGGTGGTAAAGTTTACAATGGACTCACACCTCAGGGCCCAGATGGTGTGTGCTGTATGGAGAAAACGTGAATAGACCCAAAGCTGTCTCTGTGTGTAGGTGCCTGAAGGGCCCTTGTAGAGGGGGGGTTGATGGAGGAGTTTCCTAAGTGGATCATCACATGCCTATGCACTGAGGTTAGCTGGCACTGCTGGATCCTTTTTGAGCCAGGGTCGAACACAAGGGAGGTTCACAGGATTAAATTTGAGCCTTTTCAGGAGTTTTGTCCTTTTGGTACTTTGAGAATCCGGCTCTCTGACACATGTCACTCTCTTGAGACGTTCAAGTGATTTCATCTTACTCCAATTCTGTCCATAAATGTGTTACTTATATCAAAATAAACATCTGTAGATTGATTCTCTCAGCTTTTGCAGTAACAGGATGAGTTTTTAATCACAGGCGTTGAACCATCTTTAAATATATCACGGACATTGCAGTATTTCAAATTGCACATCATTTTAGTGAAATATTGTCCACTCCACGACACAAAACAGTTTCACATGTTAAACAGCAGAATATCCCCCAAACTTCCCAGCATAGACTTTTGACCTTGACAGCTGGTGTGGAATGCAGGTTCACTTTGTGTGTTTGTGTGTACTCAGCCTTTGCTGTCTGCTAACATTTATTTACTGACCTTCAGGCTAATTATTAACACAGCATTAAAAGCATCTCGTGAGGTCAAAGGCAGCTGTAAATCAAACTTCCCTGTACATAAGACTATATAAAGCTGAAAACCCCCCGAGTGACCTAAATTCTTCCCTCCATCAAAGGATCAGAAATCAGTCCAGGCCATCGGTCTTAGTGTCTAATCTCCAGTGTTCTGACTCATGCTGTTTGATAATGGTCTGTGAAGACTTGAGGTCTAATCCTTGGAGACACCCTTTATACTTGCGCCTCCTGGCCCCCTGAGGGACAGCCATTTACCGATGCCAGGTGGGGAGGAGTTTTTCTCAAAGGGATCAGCTCAAAACTAACTCACCATCTCCCAACAGCCTCTGTGGGATGATTGCCTGTGGTTGTAGAGGGGTGTTAGTGATGGAAGTTCAGAGTGGATCTTAAGTTCAGAGTGGTTCAAAACACGAGTCCCTCTTCACTTCAGAGTAGAAATAGGGTCAAACACACTCAGCACTGTTCTGTGAAAGATTAGCGGTGGTCAAAAGAGTTAATTTAAAGTTTTTTAAATGTCTTTTGCTGGTGAATGAACACACTATTCAACCAATTAGGAAATGGGTGTTTGGAATGCTTTTTACCACTCTTGAATGTTGGGGGTGAAAGCTCCTTAATGACCAGTGGGGATCCCCACAATACCGTAAAGAAAAACGGGTGAACAGAAGACAAGAATTGTCAAGGACGAGAAACAAGGTATGTTACAGCTGCCAAATGGATCTTAAATCATCACCTCTTGTAAAAAAATCACTTTCGTCATGAGGGGATTGTGTAAAGAACTTGCCAAGACATTACCAGGCACCAGGGAACAAGGATCGATCTTCGCTGATGACACAACACGATGAAACTAGGCCCTGGAATTACCCTTATTACATATTTTTATCTTGGGTTGTTATGCAGAGGCAAGCAGGTATGATCAAGTTAGTGTCTGGAGAAATATCACAACATGAACTGAGCTGTGATTCACTGTCCTCTGGATTCAGATTCATTACCATTTGATAGATGAGTCAGCGTGAATCAAGCAGGAGCGGCTGTGTGTGCTGTTACTAACAGGGCAGGCAGAGGCTCGTTCTTTTCAGTGGGATGTTCTGTCCACAGAGCTATCACTCATCCAGTCTGATTGTTGCAGATGCTCAGACATTACTTAACCAAAGAAAGGCAAATATCAGGAGCCACTGGCCTCTGTTTTATGTTTCCATTAAAGAGAAAGAGTCAGTGAAGGGTGGCCAGAGCTCCTGCAGGTATAGGAGAAATATTTGCATACTGAACATGAACACAGGCTGTGTTGTTTCTGTGTCTGAGCCCCTGATTTGTTTAGGAAACAAATTTTGACTGAAGAGCACATTAGGAAATGGAGTCCAAACTCATGGTTATATTTTGTTTCATAGGAAAATGTCTAATAAAGTGTGGGTCTTTGGAAATTCACTTGAAACAGTCAGAAAGGTGTGTCTTTCCCATAAACTGCTGTGGCGCACACTCACTGCTTATCATATTGAACATCTGGTCACAGTAGTTGGATGAATTAGACATCAACTAGAACTTTGACACCTCACTCTGGTGGACAACTCACTTCACTGCTGTCCTCAAGGTATGCAAGACTGTTGTATTTGAATGTGTACGAGTAATAACAGAATATTTCTAATGTAATTTATTCATCTTGACTGGGATTATTATTATAATCTGTTGTTGACGCTTGTACCGTTTTCCATCAGGCACCATCACTTTTAGAGCTGACTGACTTCTTACCCTTCTGTGTGTCTGTTTTGTTTCACAATCCCCCTGAAGCAAAGTAGAGATTTGTGCTATGCAAGGCTCTGTGTTCAAACATCTTCAACTGTCGTCTGATGTTTGCGAAAAGAAAAGTTCACCTTCATTGCTAGGATTTGCATGGTGCCTGGCTTGCATGGATGTGAAATGTCGCTGATGAGAATATGGGAGTTACATTAACCAAAGGTTTCACAATCAACAACAAACGTCATATCTGCATGCTGTGACTTATCTTCTTTCCAAAGCAGGTGGTAATATTTAGTTAGAAAGCACGCAGAGATTGTTTTTGCGCAATTTCATTCCATCATAAAGGAATGCTGTGTGCTCTAAACTCCAACAACTGCAGACAGATACAGATCATCTCTTCGGCAAATGTGTCTGCGGCCCTTTAAAAAGTTAATAACCAGGTGCTAGAGTGTTCATTTCAGTCAGTGTTTCTCTTCACCACCTCATTACACGCTGCTCGTCGTCATTCACGGAAACATGATGTCAGAGGCAGACAAGTCTTCATTGTTGGCTGCATGATAAGCTCAGACTGAAATGAGAACAAGTGCAGACTTTATAAGTTGTAGACTGATTAATCAGCAAGCCCCTCAGCGAGTGACTGTCCTGTCTGCTTCAGCCCTGAAACAGACAGAAGCATTTAACCTTGTCATATTTGTTGAACATTCATTGCATACGTACACTGGTTTTATCAGGAGTTTCAGACTATTTCAGAAGCTAGTTTGTTTGACTTTTTCCTGGCAGCCGAAATGACTCAACGCCAACTTTTACCTCTACATGGTTAGCTTATGCCAGCAATGCGTTAAAACAAGCCACTGTCCAGGGGATTTGGACTCAGGGAAGCAACAAAAGGGAGAAGGGAAGGTCATGCTAGTAGCATTAACACACCTTTGTCTGTAAATGTGAACCTGGGCTTAACTGGCAGGAAACTGGAATTCAAAGAATTACAATGAGGGGTTTTAAGTTAAGGAATTCCAACCATTTTCCTGTTAGCAAAAACATTAGTTATCTTCTCACACACTAGCTGCTTATATTATATAATCCATTAAGGATCACACAGTCTCTAAGCCCTTTATTAAGTGACTTGGTCCTGACTTTTTGGAAACTAAATAGATTTAGAAAACCTGCTTTGAGATTTTGAGGTTAAGAGGCTGACTCTAAAGTAGTCCAAATACTACACTATCTCTGAAGCCTTGACTTGGTTAATGGTTATACATGTGAGTTAAGAATTGTGTGCAGTGCTGAAACAAAGGAGAGTGTGGTGTTTTGTTGAAGTGGTTTGTGAAATTGAGGTGTGTGAATGTGAAAATCTATGGCTTGGCTGAGAAAAATATTTCTGGGTGGACCTTATACTTAGCTGTGCAGCCTTTCTGTGTAAGTTGTGATTTAACAGGTGTGTCCATCCAGCTGTTGAGTAAGAGGTGGGAGTTTTTTTGTTTGTTTAAAAGGTAAAAATATGCAGTTAGAAAAGTATACTTCAGGAGTGTAAAAGCTGAAGAAATCCTTTCCCCTATGTTACCTCTACAACACCTGAATACAGTGAAAGGATTTCTTGTATTATTTATTTAAGCAGCTGTAGACACTGTGATAAATGTGCCATGATTTGCGGTTGACAAACTTTTAAACCCCGATGCACAGGTGGTATGAAAATCTGCTCATTATTGAGTATTTCTCTTATCTATTATTTGTCCAACAGGAAGTTTTGTGGAGCAACAGCTGATTTTGAACTAGTTTCTAGACTCGTGTCCTTGTCACAGTGGTTTATTTTGTAGACCTTTTCCCCTCTGTTATTACCAAAACATCACTGGTATTTTGACTTTAAAACACGTAATCCTGGAAACAATTGTCATCACATTTCTCATATTTAACTGGACTCTGTTACTGAGAGGAAGAATACTTGAATGTGACAAAGCATTTAGTGGCATTATTATGTAGTAGTTTTTCTATAGTTAACTACAAAAGCAGCAGTTTCTAACCCTTTAAACATCAGTTATTTTTATACCAACAAATGCACCAAACGGCTTACACATAGAAATGAACACCATTGAAATCAAACTATTTCTATATGTTACATGTTACTCTCTAATACAACACAATAAGCTGTCTTTAAAGCTACTGTGAGGACCCCTGATGTGGTAATCTTATCTTTTTGCTCTGTATGTTGTGTTCTCTGGAAGAATATTGTCTTGCTGTCTTTTTAACATCTAAAAGGTCTGTGTAAATAAGGCAACATTGGCCTCTGTGCTATGATTGGTTATTTCAATATATAGATGAAGTTAATCTTACTGCTGACTGTCACGTTTGCTTTTGTAGATCATATAGGGGTATCGGCATTAGTTTAAAGTCTATTTCCCAACCAAATCTAAGTTGAAACTTGTACAAAAGTTTCTGAAAAAGGCTAAAATTGATACCACACGCTTAACCGGCTCCACATCTGAGAACAGAGTGGCATAGTAATAGCCATGGCCTTGCCACTTGGCTGCAGATCCTTCAGAGATCAGTGATAAATGTTTACAGATGTAGAGGAGACTCTATGTCACTGAGCAAGACCAGACATTCTCCTCCTGAGCTCATGATCATGAGCAGGTTTGCCTTTTATTTACCGTACCAAGAACAATTGCGTCATGACACATGAAAAACAATAACACAGAGGCATGTTCTTCTCTGTTTGTGCATGCATGCATAGATGAGCAATCACACTTTGTCTTTATCCAGAGTGACAGACAGACTGGAAACGCTTTGCACAACATCGCACGGGACCAGCACAGGCGCTTATCTTATCTTAAAGCTGCATGTTGACCAGGTCATTTGCATTCCTCTGCACAGTCTGTTTCAGCAAAGTCACTGAGTGGTCCATCTGTTTTGCTCCTGTAACGTGCAGTGTGTGGTATCAGCCACCTGCGCTAAAGTGGACAATCAAAGTCAAGTATGTCCTTAAGTCTTCAGATGTGCCAAGTAGTATTTTTTAGCTGCGATCACCTACTTTTTAGAAACAGTCCAGTCATTCTGATCTTGTTTTGGCCTGTGGGATTTGCATGAGGAGATCCTGGATCAGATATGTAAACATCATGTTAAATTATGCTCTTCCTCCCTCCCCCTTTGACTTGCCCTTGACTCAGTCTGCAGCTCAGCAGCTCAATTGTTGTGGGATAATGGGTGTGAGGAACACAAGAAAGGAGTTTTATCTGCCGGACACGCCAAAGCTCAAAAACCAAATGTAAAGACAGATGCGGCAGAGGAAGCAGATGCCTCATTGTAATTTGTAGTGAGTGTAATACCTCACTACTACACTCCCTTTAGCACCATCAACCCTGTGATTTGCCACCAAGCGTAAACAGTTTTCTGTAGCGGTCAACTCCTGCCTGCAAAAACTCATCCGTTTCCCCCCCTTTGAGGTTTTGCTTGGGAACTGTGTCATATTGGTGCGGACTGTGGAGTGAGCCTCGCAGTGTGAGAGAGACTCTCATGAGCTCAGCACTGACTCATGGAAACTCTCAGGGTGCCAGAAAATGTGTCTGTGTGTGTGTGCTTGAATGTGATTATGTGGTGTGTATTTACGAACAAACTGAAAGGCAGTTGAAATCTCCAGATGAAACCCATCACCCAGCTGCATGTCACTCTTTTTCAAGACTTCATAAATCACTAACTTTAGGCACTTCCCATGCCTTCTCATGTGAAATGTGTCTCGTTCAACAAAATATATCCCAAGGAGAGCTCTTAAAGGTTGTATGTTCTCTAATAAACTTTACACGGGAGATAAGTCAAGTGAGTATGCTTGTTAATTCAGTGTTAGATTGGTTACAGCCTCTGGCAGATTGATAAAACAGCCTTTCCTGACAACATCAGGTTTGCATTATCAGCTGTTGGCTGTTGAAAACAATGATCTTATGATGAACACATGTAGCTTACAAGCTTGTCAACAACAGTGGAAGAAAGTTTAAGTCAAGCTCTTGACATGAGCTACATCTGTGAGCTATCTACACCAAATTATGCCCTCCAGTCCCATATGGCAGCAATACTTGAGTCATTTCACTGTTTGGCTTAATGATCCTTTTGCCTGGTAGATTTGGATTTATGAGTCAGAGTCAAACTCCATTACAGAGCCTCATTTCTTTAACTGAGTGAAATGGCTTTGACTCCCCTTGACCCCCAAATGTTAAAGGAAATGGAGACCTCTGCATAGTGGCTCTTTTCTCACACCAGCATGACTTCATATATTTAGAAAACATGTTTGAGGAAAAGTCCTCATTCAGCCAGGAAGGATGTGAAACTGAATATGGATTCCATCTTTCTGAGATTCGTGTGTAGCTCATAAAAGACATATAAACAAAGCTCCTGTTCCCCTTCCTTTCTCCTTTTTTTTCTCACAAGTTTTCCCCCTTTTTCTGTTTTTCCAAGCTTCAGCCTTCAGCAGTCAGGAGAAGGAGAGGAAATGGCCGGAGTTTCCATAAAATATGCAGTGTAGTAATTTAGCCATGTCAGTAATGATTTGAGTGCAGCCTTTTACTGTTAACCATTCAGTCTGGGTGGAGAATACACAGATGCGACTTGTCTTCTCTTGATGTCTGAAGAGTGGTCTGTTCAGTATTGCTAGAATTACATTAAATTGGAGTTATCTCTTGACAGTGTTTTCATGCAGTTTTATTCGCTTTGACGTGGTCGGAGAAGTTATGGAAAACAGCGTGAAAGAGCATCTAATTAGTAACAGCAGTTGTAACGCTGAACTTTCTGTTAAAGGAACATTGTGTTGTTTTTAACGGCATTAAGCAGAACAGACTTGGTCAAAATGGACATAATTTTCATAAATGTGTTTCAGCATAAATGCTAAAGGTATAATAACCTGAATATGAAAATCTCAGAGGCTGCCATCTTGCATCCCCAGGTTTTTTTTTTTTCATCTCAGCACAAAATCCACTGGCTAGTAAAAGATGAGAGGGTGGTTGTTATTGTGTACAGAAGAGTTTTTATTGATAGATCATAAAAAATTTTGATCATAAAAAAACTATAAGATTAAACTCACTATACATCACAATAGCTTTTTGTCCAAGGGGGGAACTGTCAATTTGAGCAAGGGAGCATTTCAGCCTAGGATCTGACTGCCAGATTTTGCTACATATTCCTACTTCTACACACTGTACCTTCAAGTGATTTGACAAAAACATCAGCTACTGGTGTAAATGTGTAGCTGTTAGTTGTAAACACTTTCATCTCTGCAGGTAATTCAAACCCACAGCACAACTGCGGAAATGTCACTATAGACAGGCTTGTAGTTGAAGGCTAGTATTATGATCAGTTGTTTGCTGAAAAAGAGAAGTTACAGTAAGTTCCCCACAGTTAATTGAGGAAGTAAATAAATCAAAACAATGATAGGACCGGTGTTTTATGGTAATGCTGAAACCAAAACGTATCACTTGAAATGTAAAATTCTGAACCTTGTAATGTTGGTCGTATTGTTAAACGTTGAATCTAAATCTAGTGTCTTCATTCTATACATTAACCTTTTGTCTGTGTTTCTCCCATCTTATCCTAGAATCTCCTCAGTTGTCCTCGCCCCTCTCCAATGGTGATCATGACCCGCAACACATTGAGTTGGGCCCAGACTGTTATAGCCAGTTATGTATGGAACCACTGGATGGAGAGGGCGAGCGTCCAGTGAGCCTGGTGTCTACCCTGTCCTCTGGTTCATCCCGTGATAGTCGCAGCCTTTTCGGAAGCACCGTAGCCCTTCCTTCCTCAACAACTCCACCCGTACAGAACGAGGAGGACATCGATTTGGAATTGAGCCCGACTGGAAACACAGACGACCAGGCAGGGAGCCACAGTCCCACCTTTGACCGCCCAAGGGGCCGCTGGCAGGAACAGCTGGACCCCAGGGCGATCGGCAACCAGTGGAACAACAACAACGCCGCATCTGACAGGAAGGCAAGAGGTGAAATACCACACATCACTGCCTCGCCTGTCGTTACCAATGCCATGGCGCCAAACCCAAAGCTGACCTATGTGGATCGTGTTGTCATGGAGATCATTGAGACTGAGCGCATGTACGTCAAGGACCTGCGCAGCATCGTGGAGGTGAGTGAGTGTCAGGGTTATTCTGACTCTAGTTGAATTTTCCGTTCCAGTTTTCACTCTCAGCCCAGTATTCACCGTGAGCCAACACTTGACATTAAAGAAAAGAGGTCTTCAGTTTTCTGTGCATTTAAAGCACATGTTTGACTTGGAGCAATGAGTAGCAGTGACTTCATGTCTGCAGAAGACGTTGGAGGTGATTAACTGAATTGGCGAACCGGGAGCCAAAAAAGGGGAATTGGACTGAACGGCTGTTTAGAGCAAATAATGTCTACAGTGTTCAAAGCAGCTGTTTGTGGCTACAAACCAGCCTGGTGCTTATTAAACATCCAGTGGAATTTTCTTTTCCTTTTCATTACCAAACTTGATTCTGATTTCTAAACAGACCGGTCAGTTGACAAAAATGCAGGCCTGACATCTGGCAAATGTGTGCTTTGTTTATATTCCTCTAGTTCATTGAAATGCAGGCTGTGGAGCAGTCCATGATCTGCTCATGTTGTATATAAACCACTCTGTATATTTACAGTGCAGTGAAAGTTTACGGCCTGTAGCCTGGGATTGGGAATGCTCATTTCTGGAGTTCAAACAGACACAGTGCATGTCTTTCATGGCAGGAATCGGGGTCTTTCTGATCCAAGACAAAGAGAGTCGATGTGAAGCACGAGAAGTGGGCCAGGAATGGTTTTACCACTCAAGACCACTCACATCTTATCATGTATTTTACCTTCTGAAGTCTGAAAACAACTTCTAGACCAGGAAACTCTGTCTAGCTCTCCATATCCTCTTGGGTTTACATCAGCAGAGCGCTGTCAAACAGTCAGCACCGCACTGATGGTAATGTCTTTAACACGTGACGCATTTCTGCGGTTGACTGGCAGTAAAGCAGCCAGCACCTCTCCTCACCTTGTCTCAGGCTTGGCTGGCGTCTGGCTGTTGCTGTTGCCGTTGCTGTGTGAGGGAAGTAGAGAGGCCCTCGTCGCAGCTTGAGTAACGACCTGCTCCAGACAAACACTTCCAGGACTTTTAACTATATCAGCTGACAGGGGCAGCAGCTCAGACTGGTCTAGCCCAGGTCACACAGGCTTTGCAGAGGGCTCCATCCGAGTCTTAGCTCTCAGGCCCTCCTTGCCAACACAAACACCTCCATCTCTGCACCAGCTGAGAAAATACCACTGATTAAAGGAGAGCGATTGATTTTCTATAAGCAATAATGTATGGGAACACAGATGTTTCCTCAATTCCTCCTTGATTACAGCGAGGCCTCCATCCGATGAATTCTCTGCAGCTTATTTTAATTTCACACATAGACACGAATCTGACGGTGATGTGTCGGACTTCCTTCATTTTAACACCGTCTCTCCAGCAAACTAAATTAAAGCCTCAGTTTGAAATGGATACTGAATTTGTTGGCAGCTGCTGAGCTCATGTCCAGTCTGGTTCTTCTCACACTCTCAAATCTTGGTCTCGACTGTCCATCCGTAAAATAAAGTTCAGAGGACAGCTGTTGGATCCAGCTGCTCTTGTGTGTGTAAATACATCCCAAACACCTGGCCTGATCACATCTAGAATATTCCCTCAGAACAGTGTTGAAACAGGAATGCGGTCTGTGCTCATGGGGTTCACAAAGACCGGGGTCAAGGTCAGTCGGGATGATTTCTGTTACACACTCAATAAAACAGTGCTGCTTGTTCTGTTCTGTAGCAGAGCTGGTGGAGCTACATACATGCCATTAAATCTCTCATACTGTGCTAAAAGGTCACATGTTTATGGCGAGTTCTTGTATAGGAGACTAGGAGACGCCCTGCTGTCTGCAGGTCAGCATTTCTCTCACTGTGCTGGAATTCTCCAACTATGACAAGCTGCAGTTCAGTCAGTGGTGGGATGTGACGACCCTAATCCTAATCTTGGTTGCCAAGCAGCTCTGCTCAGTGTGTGTCTGCGTACATTTGTGTATGTTTTAGCACCAGTCGTCTGAGAGGCTGGGTGTGTGTGCAGACTGTTTACTGGAACAGGCTTTATATAGTCAGTGCGTGTGTGCCTGTTTGTCCCTCATCAACTTACTCCTCTACTTGTTTGGTGCTGTTTGTATGCCACATGAGTGGGTAATTGAATTCAAACAGATGTTGGCATATTTGGTCACTGTGATTGAGATATTTTTACTCTAGAGGTCCGGGGGGAGTCTGGTAGAACAGGCTGTGTCGATGTTTATGGTCTGGGTACAGGAGACCCTCTTCCAGACAAGCTGGCCTCTGAGTCGGTGGAACAAACCCTTAAAAGGATCTTTTAAACCACATCAGTTGTGTGTGAATTGCTGAAAGGATGATTTTGCATTTCAGGTCTTGTAATTATTATTTTACACTTGCCTGTTTGTGTACAGTAGATGACACGTCACACAATGCTGTGCCACTCTGTAACCATTGGTAGTGTCAAACCACAATTATAGTGGGTATAATTGGAAGTTTTTTTTTTCCCTATTTATAGGCTCCCTCTACTGGTAAGAATTTGAAACTGCCTGTATGAACATTATTTCATACCGTGCTTTACTAAATGTTGAAGTTACCTTTCTATGTTACTCCATCTTTTATGTGAAACCCTGTCTCTTCTGTTTTTCTAGGACTACTTGGCTCACATTATTGATATGAACAACCTTCCCATCCGGCCGGAGCAAGTGTGCGCGCTGTTTGGAAACATAGAGGACATTTATGAGTTCAACAGGTAATCCACACCGACACAAACACAGAGAAACAAAATTTCTGTGGTGGATGTTCCCTATCAAATCCTTCTCTTCTTTCTTTATGACGAAGGTAAGAACAACAGGATCTTTATTGATGAGACACAGGAAAAGAAGCTGCTTTCGGGCATACTTTCTGGATGGTTTCATGTTGTTTTAAATGTGTAATACATACTCCATAACATAGTAATACAATAATCAGGGATGTGAAGAATGCATGACTGATTTTCAGCTGATATTTCCGTTACCATCACTTAACAGATACATTGAGAAACAAAGGAATGGCCCACTACCAGTGCCCACATTTCAGTAAAGTCAAAACCGGGGAAATGTTGGCGATGCCGGCTTGAAGATTTCATCGTCTTTTGTCAGCAAGTGCTCATTGTTGACCACACTACCTGCCAAAACACACATTAGCATTCCTCTCTCACAGCCAGACGACTCCCTCATCATGCCAAGGCTATCATACAGCTCTGAACCACAAATGGAGAGGATTGGATTCTGATTAAGTACTAATGCACTTCAAAACTGCTTTATGAGGGAGATTTTGACAGCTTTTGGAATTTAAGTCTCTTTTCTGAGGGATTATCCTTTTGTTCTTGGCACCGGGGAGCTGTGTCTCTTTATTGAGTTGTCAAGAAAGAGATTGATCCTTTCGTTTTATTAAAGTGGTGTTAATGGGTGGAAACGCTGGTCCTGTCAACAGGTGCCATATGTCTTACTTACATTGCCTCATAGTTGTTCTTTAATTGCGGTGAACTGGGAAAGGGAAACATGTTTGGAGCAAAAAAAAAAAAAAAATCTTGTGAGGAAATAAAACAACTCCCTGTAATAAATTGTTCGCCTCACAGGGATCCCACATAAAGAATGACAATTTACTGTACATACCGTAACGTCCAACATGTACTTAGTCACACTTTCTTATTTTGCTGTAAATCAAACTTATTGCGGTCTCCAGGATCTTGCGTCATTCTCACTTATTTATTGTTCTGTAAATGTATTTTCTGTCATTATTTAGCTCCACTGATTGTTCTTTGGTTTCATTTAACCCCTCTCTAAACTCGAATACTGTTGAGAAAGCAATCATACAGTATGAACAAATATTGACGTATCTGAAACAAATTCCAGTGTCTAAATTTTCTCGTTGTACCTTGAACGTGTTGACACATTTCCTGGCACTGGCTCTCAGTTGAGCTAACGTCGTGTTTGATCTGAGTGGAGGAATGCTGTGTGAGAAATTGTGTTTGCTATTTTTAGGTGTTTTGCAGAGTGCTTGTGATGGTCGGTGATGTTTTTTCTCAGAGATGTACTTTTTTCACCGTGACCCTCCCTTAACGTCTCTGCCTTCATGCACTATTTATGGAGGTGATGTCACATAGTTTAAAGCACTAAAATTCCTTACGATCCCCAGGTTGTGCTTTCACAAGCTTGTTTTCAAAAGGACTTTAGGCAGAGAGAATGCAAGTTTAATGCATGTCCTTTCATGCTGAGAGCATGCAACAGTGGCCTCTCCTAAGAATGTCTGCTGCCCCCAAGTGGCTGCATTGAGTACGAATCCGTTCTGATCTGCAGAAAAACTTTTTATTTTGATTGGTCTGAGTTTATAGCCTCTCATCATTAAGCTTTTCTGTTTCTTCCTCTTTTGAAAAACAAAAAAACAAAACCGTGATTGAGTTTTGTTTCTCATTTCTGCTTTTCAGTGAGCTGCTTCAATCTTTAGACATGTGTGAGAACGATCCTGTGGCCATCGCTCGATGTTTTGTAGATAAGGTGAGAAACTGCCTGCGTGATTCAGATTTGCAGAGATATCAAAATCATGCAGGAAATCAATGCCAGTGATGTGTCTCTGACTTGTGTCTCCTCAGAGTGAATACTTTGAAATATACACTCAGTACTGCACCAACTATCCCAAGTAAGAATCCACAAAATATTTTGCTTTCAAATCTATCAAATATAATATATTAGAGTCTCATATAACCTTCGTAAAATAACTGTTATGTGTTCCAGCTCTGTGGCAGCACTGACCGACTGCATGAGGAGCAAAACTCTGGCCAAGTTTTTTAGGGATCGGCAGGCTGCTCTGAAGCGCTCCCTGCCTCTGGGCTCCTATTTGCTGAAGCCTGTCCAGAGGATCCTGAAATACCACCTGCTGCTACAGGTACAGGGTGTGCTCAGTGGTCACTTAATTTATGAGTATATCCTACTGGCATTGGCTGTGTAATGGTTTTGTCCTTTTATAGCTCAGATGAGTACTTCATCAAATGTATTAAATCCGACTGCTGAACAGTTCAACCAGAAAGTCATTTTCTCTCATTTTAAATTAATGCTTCAATCATTTTTTTACACAGTAAAGGGAACAAAATCAGATAATCAGCAGAAAGAGGATTTGGATACACATGTTTTTGTTTATGGAAACCAGTCCTGTGTAGATGATGATGATGATGAACATTGTCATGTAAAGCCTGTGATCTCTTTTAAAGGAAATTGCAAAGCACTTTGACCCAGATGAGGAGGGCTGTGAGGTTATTCAGGAGGCCATAGACACCATGACAGGGGTGGCCTGGTACATCAATGATATGAAGAGGAAACACGAACATGCTGTCAGAGTGCAGGTCAGCCCGGATTACGATGTATGCATTTCTATCTCCTTTTGGAGAGGCTCATTTATGTCCTCTTCATTCTCTGCTTAATCACAGCACATATTCGTTAAATGGTAATTATACACTGAGCAGCACTGTTACACTTTGGTTTTTATGCTAATCCTCTGTCCAGTCTTTCTGTCTGTTGTCATTTTGTCATTAGATATTTCCTACTTTTACTTTTTCAACAAGACTTTTTTTCAAAACTTCAAACTCCTTCATAGTTATTTAAATTCCCAAGTTTCTAAAATTTTCCGAGCTAATATTTTCCAAATCATATCTATCAACATTAAAAAAAACTGCCATTGATCCAAACAAGTTTCTCTCAAGTCCTGAGTGACTAAGTGAAGACCACTGATTTTTACTGGTTCCCTCAGTTTGAGGCACTGACTGTGTGGCCAGTTCCACCTCTTGGTTTTCCTTTAAACGAGTGGCTCATCATGATCACAAATAAAAGCTGACACTTGGCTGACATTTCTTTTCACTCAAGCTGAAAAAACATGGACTGGACTGTGTGCGCATGTGGGGGAGTAATGTGCTGTCATGTGCATCCGCAGGAGATTCAGTCTCTTCTGATAAACTGGAAGGGTGCTGACCTGACCACCTATGGAGAGCTGGTACTGGAGGGCACCTTTCACGTGCTACGGGCAAAGAACACCCGTACGCTCTTCCTCTTTGAAAAGATGCTCCTCATCACCAAGAAAAGAGGGGAACACTACGTCTATAAAACTCACATCTCTGTATGTTTGTTTATCCATCAATGATTTAATGGTTTTCCAATGATACTCGCAGAAAACAGTCAACAGTGAAAGATACTCCTCACTGTTTATCTAAAATGTTCTTGTTGTTTTTCCAGTGCTCTACTCTAATGCTGTTGGACAGCGCGAAGGATCCCCTGCTCTTCAGTGTCATCCACTTCAAGCATCCTAAGCAACCCCATACAGTGCAGGTAAATGTGAACATCAGTAAGTGTGGTTCTTTCTCCATCTGCTGCACAGAATACAGTGATTTATCTATTCAAGTACATGAAGAAAACAAAGGATATTGGGTTTTTGGTAACACTTTACTTGACGCCTATCTCTATAACACATTATGAATATACATATAATGCGTTAAAATCACATTATAGCACTGTATAACTGTAGTTATAAACACTCATAAATGATCATAATGCTTTATAACAATAATCAACACATTATTAAGCATTTTATCATGACTTACAAGATCAGGTATAATAATGTGTTATAACTGTTAACAACTCACTGACAATGCCCAATAGATAATGCATTATATATATTTATGATGTGTTTAAATTTGCTTATAAACTTGTATAACTATCATTATTAACACTCATTAATTGCCATAAGGCTCTATAACAATAAGCATAACACATTATAATACCTGATCTTTTAAGTCATGATTAAATGCTTTATAATGTATTATGATTATTGCTTTAAAGCATTACGATCATTTATGAGTGTTTATAACTATAGTTATACAGTGCTATAATGTGATCCTAACACATGGGCGTCAAATAAAGTGTTACAGGGTTTTTTTCACTCTTTCTTATTATCTTTAGGATAAATACAATCCTAATTTGTTCACAGCCAACTGTGAATGTAGTTTTCCACTCGTATTAATCCGCTGTTTATTATACTCGACGACCCTTTGAACGATGACCTCTTGCTGTTTCAGGCTAAGTCAGTGGAGGAGAAGCGTATCTGGGGCCATCACATTAAAAGACTCATACTTGAGAACCACAACGCCATTGTCCCACAGAAGGTAAACAAGGCAATTGAAAAGGTTCATCTTATCAACGTTTGTCTCTCTTAGATCCTGTGGAACAGTGTCACGGTCTTTGAAACACACTGTCTTTTTCTTAACAGGCAAAAGAAGCCATCCTGGACACTTCTAACTGTGAGTGTCGTGAACTGAGTAACTCTTATGATCGGACTTATTCATCTGTGCCTATAGCAACCAAAGATACTGACAACAAAAATAAGGGGGTGTTTTTTTAGCAGAAATTGTAGATTGCTGTTTGATTCTTAGAATTGGTAGCCTATAACCTCTCTTTGTATGTCTGTAGAGAAAATTGTTTTTTTGTAATTGCTGCTTTGAGTCTAATGACACATCCGCCTGTCGCTCAGATCCAGGGATGTACCACTACAGCCCTGAGAGGCTGAAGAAAGCTGAGTACTGCCGAGCTGATGACTTCCATCAAGGAGGGCGAAACGGAAGAAGGAGATCAGGTTACAGACCCCTTACTGTGTTTGTTACAGATTTAGAGTTGTCATATTTGTGAAATAATAGCTGTTCTAATGATAAATGGAGAGTTACATCAGCAGGTTACATAATTTTCAATATCCTGTCTTTTCAGAGCCAGCAAAACAAATCATAAGGACCACAAAAGGTTGGTACATTGTCTATTTTGTGTTATATCAGTGGAATTTCAGTCAAATGTAGCCAGCCAGAAGGACACATTCATCATTTTGGGTGGGTTTGATCCACTTTGTGGATTGCTATCCAGTGGCCCTGCACCCCCACAGTCCCCCCGCTGAGGTTATTTTTGTGCCTGTTTACATCTTCATCGCACCTCTGCTTTGTTCTCCCTCAGAGACACCTGGACAAACAGATCAAAAGACACTCCCACTCCCACTCCCACTCCACTAGCCTCACAAGTAAATAATTTGCCTCAGTGGTTGAAGGCTTTGTCACACACAATCTTATCAGCAGTCAAATTCTGCCCCACCCCCAGATCTGCTCAACTTCCTGCTCATCTTCAGTTTAATTGACCATTATCACAGAGAAAACATCCCTACTCTGTTCCCCGCCTCTCCTCTGCTCTCTGTCTCGATCAATATTTCCAACCAGTGCAATGAAGATGCTATTTTCATGTCAGCCTCCCCATCTCAGTGAGGGTGGAGGTCATCACATCCTGGCTAATTGCATCCCGTTGAGTTTGAGCCTCTGAGAGGAAGATGTTTCAGATTGGTATTTATTGAATTGAACGGTCTCCCTTGAGTCTGACGCAGAGTAACCGCTGCCTCACTCAGTCTCTCCCTGTGAAGACTGAGTCCTGACCATAATTGAACAGATGCATGTGCTCTTCAGGTCATTTTGTCATAATGTTTAACTAAGGCAACTACTTTTATGGTTATTGACATTCTCATTTGTTTTTCTCTCCCCTTCCTTTTTATCTTTGTTCTCCGTGCAGCTGTTTTGAAGGTAAGTCCAAAAGCAGTGTTTTTTTCTTTTTATTCAACCGTGATAAGCTTTTCCATTTTGTTTTATCAAAACAGTTTTTAAGTAGAGTGTGCAGTGGTGAGATATGGTTTTTAAACTTTTGACTCAGCAGTACAAACTTCTTTTCTATTTTGTAAAAAAAAAAAAAACCTTAAAGTACAAACCTAATCTTCTCAGAACATACTCTGGCTTGCTTTGGATTACAAAATTCATATCTCACCCAAAGCTACAGCAGCTTTATGATGATTCCATCCCATTTACAGCCTTACAGTCACATCTTGGCTCTAGCACTGGCCTTGCAATAACAAACCACATGTCTATGACTTCACGCTACAGCATGCAGACAGTGAGGGTGCACTGCTGGGGGAGAGGTGCTCCCTTCAGCCAGCCACTAGTGTCAGTACCCTGACCTCCAGCTTAGGCCTGCCCCAGACTGAGAGCCCATGTGAGGAGGACCTAATTCCCAGAAGGGGCTCTCTGGAGCAGCTAAGTCTCACTGACAGTGAACCTCAACTGGGCTCTTCACCCAGTAAGGGGGAACTTGAGCAGGAGAGGGCAAAGGAGGCAAATGAAGAAGAGGAGGAGGAAGAGGGGCAGAGTTACAAGGAGGATATACTGATGGGAGACGACCAGGTAGCCGACTTTGCCAGCTCAGTGCTGGCAGCCATCTCCTGCTGGCACTATAGAGCCAGGGCTTTGCTTTCTACTCACTTCACAACGGTGAGGGTTCTACCACCCACGGGTTTCCCATTTCCCGCTCTGTTTGGTAGCTTACCATCACTCTGTGCCACTCCTTCTCCCATGCTGCCTCTTGCCCCTCCCCTTCCTCTTTTTCGGCATGAACAGAGCAAAGTAACACCTGCTACCATTTGCGTTGTGCACGTCGAATACCTCATTTTGAGTCATAATAATGAAGTGCATGGACTGTAGTTCTCCCAAACTGTGGATATAAACATACTCATCTTCACCATCTTTGCTGCATGTTTGTGCCTGTATCCTTTTGTCTTGGAGTTGAAAGTCCTCCCTGTGTGCATGCACTGTTCTCCTCTGATCCAATCAGTCAAGCACTGTTTTTCATATTTATGCTGTCTTTCTGTTTTTTGGCGGGGGGGTTGATGTCAAAGCTTATGCTTCAGCAGTCCTGTCTGCATTTGCAATTGCCTCTTTTAAATTTAATTCGACTTCAAAGGTTAATGTAGCTATTTAGCTGGATTATCATAATAATGGCAAGAGCTTTGCTCTTTCATAACTGTATTTCATGATCCTGTTTGTCCTTTGATTTTTTCATAATGAGAAAGTCTTTGTCACAGTTAATTGTTGCACTAATAATGTTTTGAATTGAATAACCACAATTATGACCACACATTAAGTCTCTGAGCAGTTATTGTTTGCTTAAGGGGTTGTAGTTTTTCTTTACGCTGCCTCCAAATGTAATCTTAAGGATGTTTTTTTTTTTTTTTCTCCATAAAACCTCTTCATTTATTGGCATGTTTTGCTCGTTTTCCTAGGATGATCAGAGAAAGGAGCAGAGTGAACAGAAATCTGCAGAGAAAGAGGAGATAGAAACACACAGGAGGGAGGAAAACCACGTAGACATGGCTGTGAAAGAAACTCTTGATACACAGGTACACAAAAGCCTTGTATAGTATCATACATTTATTTATTTCATTTATTCAATACCACACAGGTCTCTCAGGCCGCATGTGACATTTATTTCCTTTGTTGAAAAACACCCAGCTTTTCTGGTGCCTTTGGTGTTGCTCATAATGCCTGTTTTCAAGTAGCCATTGCATATTTCAATAACACACTTACAGCCTGTTTTTTATTGTATATTCTGTCAGAGAATGAGAGAAAAGCACATGAGACTTTCAAGTGGGTTTCATAATGAATAGGTTTGCCCTTTGTTGTGCACATGACATTTCTCAAAGGCTCATTTGAATCATGCCCAGAACTATATTAGTGCCCAAAATGTAAACCCACTCACAGTTATCCTTTGGACAGCGCTCCTACTGAAAGACCAACTGGTGCAGTCTTTACCTGATTCTACTGGTGACTTTGCAGACTGGCCTCAGAGCAGAGTGCAGGGTGTTATCCCCCCTCCCCAGCCTTATCTCCACCACACAGCTCCAGGCTGCTCTTTTTTACAATTTCAGGCACTCAAGAAAGAGCAAGCAACACCTGCAGAGAAACTTCTCAGCAGTTTGGAAAACTGTCTAAGCAGCAAACATGCAGGGTTCAGCGGTTAACTCACAACCAGTCCAACAAGGATTTAACCACTAAGCTATCCCAGTGTTAGCGATGATTTTGTGGGTGGCAGTAGCTCAAGAGGTAGAGCGGTCATCCAATAACCAGAAAGTTGGTGGTTCGATTCCCCCTATCCCTAGTCTGTCTGTTGTGTCCTTAGACAAGACACTTAACCTGCCTTACTCCCGGTGTGTGTCCTCCACTGGTGTATGATTGTGAGTGTTGTGTGGTGGTGGTCGGAGAGGCTGTAGGCGCAAACTGGCAGCCATGTTTCCGTCAGTCTACCCGAGGGCAGCTGTGACTAATAAGGTAGTTTACCACCACCAAGGTGTGACTGTGTGAGTGAATGAATGATGTATCCAATGTAACGCGCTTTAAGGGTCTCTGATAAACACTGTATGAAATCTGATGCATTATTATTATTTTATTTAACATCTCATTAGAGTTATAAAGCTCAGGTGGGCCTCAAATTAAAGAGGTGTCATAATTCTTGTTACACTGCTTGATGGACTCAGAACAGGGCTTTTTTATTTCTGATCAGTTAAATGTGTTTGTCATCTCAACGTCTTTTTACCAATATTGTCTCTGTTCTGTTTCAGGTCAGTATGGCGGAGCTGCACCCCCTGAACCGTGTCTTACAAGCAAAGGAGGGCAATCACATGGAGGTGCAGCAGAACCCGTGCCCCGAATCTCCTGTCTCTCCTCCACAACAAGAACCAGTCACCCCAGAATCTCAGGACACCTCAAGAGAAAGTATAGAGGAGGAAGAAGAAGAGAGTGATTCTTCTGGTCTCATTGTTGAGGAGACAAGTGTGCTCACGAACGGGGAGCTCTCAGAGGAGGAAGAGGAAGTGCTTTCAGACAATAAAAGTATTCTACCTTCTTCTGTATTGGACCAGGCAGGTGTGATAGCTGGACACTTCATCGGCAGCCTATCCAGACGGAGCAGTCTAGTTTCAGAGGACCTAGGTCCCCTCGCCTGCCCTTCACCTTCAATAGAGAATGATGTCTTTAAAAGCCCCTCAGCTTGCATGGACTTTGAGAAACAGACCCAGATGTTTGCCAGCTCTTCCTCAGAACCAGGGAAGATCTCAGAGGTTGACCAGTCCACACCTGTACAAGAACCTGTTGTGAATGCCCTCACTGAACAGGAGCGCAGGTCCACTCTGTCCAAGCAAGACCGCCTCCTCATCCGCAAGATCCGGACATACTACGAGCACGCCGAGCACCAAGATGCTAACTTTAGCATCAAGCGCAGGGAGAGTCTGTCCTACATCCCCGCAGGTCTGGTTCGGCACCTGAGCAGACAGCTCAACAGTACTCCTCAGGAGCAGGCTGTCCCAGTCCACAGGAGAGACCTGTCTCGGAACCGTCCCACCTCCTGGTCTGTGTTTGATCTCCCTGGCTTAGAAAAGAGTAAAAATGTGGAGAGTCATCAAAAGAATGAATTACAGGAACCACTGGAAGCTAAGCCAAGATCTCAGGGTATCACAAACTCCTCCACCACAGAAGGAGAAGAGTTCAGACCCTCAGCAGAAATGGTGAAGGTTTGGCAAGATATGGAGACAGAGGAGGAGGTCCAAGAAGTCCAGAAGACTACAGATGAGGAACTTAATGACTCGAGGTTAGAGACAATCCAGGATAACAGCTCAGACACTCTAGATGTTAAAACCAGTAAGAAACCACTTCAGGTTTTAAAGGAGCCTGAAATAAGCTCCTCCCCAGACTGCTCCTTTGACTCATCTGCTATCAGAACTAATCCAGCAGTGGAGGGGGGATCTTGTCAGGACTCTAAAACCCCAACTGAAGAAAGGAGCCAATCCAACCAAGGACACCTACCCAAGATTATTAGCTTCAGAGGCAGTATGGAAGAAGACCAGATCCTACAAGACATGGGGAAGGTGAAAAATAAGGTGTTTCAGCTCGCTCGTCAGTACAGTCAGCGCATAAAGAATAACAGACCTATGATCTGGCAGAGGAACCGAGAACAACAACAACAACAACAACAGGGGTTAAAGAGCACACCTGCTGCCAACGAGGAGAAGGTGCAATCAAGGAAAAAGGGTAAATAGGATGCAAATAAGTGCCATATTGCTCGCTAATGTAGCACAGCATAAACTCAACTGTGCTTTTTTGTTTGTGTGTGTCCTGTGTTTGCAGGTAAGCCCAGCATGAGGTTGTCATTAAACACCTGTGATCAGGCGGTCATCCATGAAGAACGGTCTCCAAGTCCAGTCAAGAATCCCAGCTCTGGAGCCGGCTCACAGAGCACAGCCACTGGCCCACAGAGCCCACAGTCAGACACCTTCCACTGGCCTGACGTTCAGGAGCTGCGCACTAAATACACAGAGACCCCCCGCTCCAAAGTGACCCGCAGCTGCACCTTCCCAAACGGAATGCTGGAGTTCTGCACAAATAGGAGTTACAGCAGCTCACTCAAGTACAACAGCTCCTCAGACCTCCACAAAACCCTAGCAGACAGTACAAGGACACAGCCCAAGACTGTTAACAAGGAAGGGGGTCCTGTGGTAGAGGACTGGCCTCAGACTCAACAGAAGCTCCAACCCCTGCTGTGCAGGTGGAGCTCCTTGGACCACATGTTACCTCTGCATGAGGTTCAAAACTTTCAGGAACCTGTCAGGGACTGCCACACAATCAGCCAAGTGTCCGTGATAAGAGGAACCGAAACCTCCCTGAATGAGGACTCGGACTGTTCCACAAAAGCAAAGATAACAGAGAGTAACCTGGTGAAAAGCTTACGAGAGAAGTTCCAGAGTTTAAGTACAGGCATGTGAAAACATCAAACATGTACCATTTATATACAACATTGTCCACCAGTTTTTACCAGCACGTTGTTTAGCACGATAGGAAAGACACAGTGATGTTTGTACCACTGTAACATAAAGGGATATTAATGATCACTGTGGGAAAGCATGATTTCATAAATAAGGTGTATTGCAATATTTGTACATTGGGGTATTTGACTGAACTGTAAAAAAATATATATATGTATGTAGTAGGCTGTATAAACTAAAGAATAGGCTCTTGGTAATTATACAAACCTGTTTGGTTCCCTCCCACAGTTCATAAGTCGTGCCATAATCACTCTAAAACAAGATTGTTATTTAAGCATTTACTGTAAGAAGGACTTTCAGGGAGGAGTAAGAGAAAGCGAGTCTGACTGACGACACCAAAGACGGTTTCCTTTTAATATTTGTTTACTTATGATGCATGTGGGTCACAGCTGTAATTTGCTTCCACGTACACTGTAGCTGCTTCTCAAACTGTTTTCACATACTGTATCACTGGAGCTTTATTTTTTCTCAACAAGTTGTATATTTTCTTTAACATTATTTATGAAACTGTATATTTGGGAGAAATTAGCCTCATGTAAATACTGATCAGAAGACGCTCTCTTTACTTTTTCATTCCAGAAGATCTATATGGTTTCATACTTGAAGTTTCCCATATTTTCAATAAAAGCTGAAATAGTGAAGTGTCTGCAAGCATCCTTTCTTCATGTGGACAGCCTCTTCTCACTGATGTAGGTCAATGTAAAGCACCAGTTCCTCTGATTGATTGGTTGAATTAAAATTGTTTCCATATGTATATTAGCCAAGGATGAGTATTTAGAAGCTGACATAGAACATTAAAAGAGTATCAACACTGTGGCTATTCACACTGACTTTATGAGTAACTAGTAAAAGCCATAATAAATTGATTTATTAGGTAGCTGTTTAAAATTGAGGATGAGCTGGTAAAATCTACCAATTAACCCCCTAAGGTATTTTCTTGCCACACTACACTGCCATGCTGTCAGCCTTACCACACGCCTTTACTACGGAGATCGCGCACGGTTCCCTTCGACAATTACGCGAATTCACCGGAAGTTAAGAGGTTATCCTTCAACATAAAGGCTTAGAAACATCCAAGCGTTCCTCGTGTAATGCACTCATTAAAGAGGGTCTTTATTTTGAACTAATGACCAGAACCTGGATCCTGACTGCGCGTAATTTTCAAACTTGACAGTCGATCGTTACGCACAGACCAGTATGTTTGGTCCATGACGCACAAGGAGTCAGTCACTTGAACCAGAAGCAGGCAACATCAGCTGTCTTCAGGCACAAAAAAAGGAAAAATAATCAACCATTCCTAATCTGAAGAAGCACAAAAAATTATCTACACTTGATACTTTAAAAAAAATATATATTGGATACAGTTATTTAATGAAGAATGGGCTGCGCGATATCGGGTCTGGCTGCCAAAGCGGAGTTTGGAGAGAGAAACACGACTACTGCTGCTGCTGTGTGTCCCAGCGGTGATCAGATTCAGATGATCAAGGAATCATGGAAAGTGATCCGAGACGATATAGCTAAAGTTGGAATTATAATGTTCGTCAGGTAAGAGGCTCTAACTTTTATTTTGTCCTTAATCTTCAAGAAACCTAAAATGAAAAAAAGATTCGTTTAGACTGCACAATAAGGGTGACAGTGAATCTATTGTCAGTGTTGTTGTATAGAAATGATAAACCTGTGTTGATGATATGATTTGAGATGAAATGATATAATGATGTTTTTGAACTTTACAATATCAGTAGCGTAAAAAGTGCGCAATATTGTTGATTTTTCAGCCTATGTATTGTCAAATTGTCTGCAAACAGAGCTCTTGGATTAAGTCTTATCTAAAAACTTTAAGATTGCGATTGCAGTCAAATTTATTTTAAACCAAATGGCACTTGCAAAACAAGGTCTGCTGATGGTAGTAGAGATCCTCTAGTATCCCTCTATCTTGCTGTCTGATCCACAGCTTCCTATTGAGAGCTTGAAGCATGCTGCCCCTCCTCCTTCCCCTCTTATCACTTCATATCACATCTTAACCACATTACATAATAGAGCCATCCAACACAGCCCCGGGACTGTCATGGTTGTATACAATTAAAGGGCATCAGCCATCAGGAAACTACATTTTATCAATTAATAATAAGACCAGCATACAGGATAATATATATTACTTCTGGTGGCAAAATCCAATAAATGTGGGCCCTTGGTGACGAGGAGTGGCCACTGGATGTACATTTAAGAGGTCAGCAGGCTCATGGCTGTAAGCCCAACTTATGCCATGTGTCCCTTGGGCGACCCTAGCAGTTGAAGAGATTGACCTTAGCATGGTAGGCTGGAAGCACACAGGGCCTCTTATGGGTCAGGGGCACCCATGGGGCACCAGGCTTGTCATAGTTTCTATCTAATGACTGAAAACTCATTGTTACAGAGCATAGGAAAATCACCAGATTTTCATTGTGAACTTGGTTTGAATAAAACCTTGTTCTTTAAAAAAGGGGCACTCTATTAATGAGCGCAAAAAAAAAAAACAGACTGTCTCACTTAAACTAGAGCAACTAAAATTCACTGAGTGTTTGTTTGTTTGTCCTCAAAACAACACTAATCAAAAAGTGCACATGGAACAATATATCCAGCTCTGTAGATGTTCCCACTTTTACTAAAGCAGTTACGTTTGAAAAAAAAAAAAAGGTCTCTTGCTTTTCTCTCATCAATCTTAAACAGGAGGTGTGAACACCAAGGAGACAGTTGTAGACTGTAACTTGTAAAGTTATTGCCTAAACATCCAGCCTGTTCTCTAAACCACAACACACATTCATTGAACAGATAAAATAGCAAAGATGCATCAGACTGTTCAGCTATTTTGTCTCCCCTCTTTTGCACTGCTGGGAGCTGTGACAGCATCTTGTCTTTTTGTATATGTATGTAATTACAATTATATAAAGAAAATGAACCTTGGATTTCTTTTACTTAACAAACATCTAGCATCTCTGTCACGACTCTTTGAAGACTCATGTTATTGTTTGCTTTTTCACACTCATGTCGTGTCAGTCCGGGTAACTTTGGCATGCCACTGCTTTTCTGGGTGTGCCAGGACAGATCTCATAATTCGAGCTTGTCCCGTCTTCTCCTGGGCGTTTTTTTTTTTTTTTTCTTTTTTGGCAAAGATACGAGTGCTCTAACTGTTCTGGCCTCTCCTTTGGACTTCTGTGATGTTGTCTATCACTATATTCAGTCTATGGGTTACTAAATATGAAAAATGTAAACATGAAAATGAAGTATGAAAATATGCCACTCAACAGACGTTGACGCTCATATTTCTTTCTGTTAAATGAGCTTGCCATGAATACATTTCAATAGAGCTTCCTGCACCTCCATTCATTCGTCTTCCAGGGGGGTCTTGTTATACACATGTATGACATCTGATGCATTCATTCATGATTCATTCATTCTATGTTCCAGGTTTAAAACATACGAGAGAAAAGCTTATAGGGAGTATGTATGTATGGAGCTAGAATTGAATCCAGTTACAAAATAGCTGTAAAATCAGTGCAGTTAATAGCTGCTCTCAGTCAGAGACCTGGTTTCAAGAGTGTAAATCTACATATACATGTCCTCCAAGTCCACCTCAAAACCTTTGATATCTGTCATCAGCCTCTTTCCCCCTCACTCAGAGATGTCACACTTAAAAAGGTGGAAATACAATCAACCTTGCATGTCATAATGAGCACAATACCAGTCACATCCAGAGGAGGTGACTGTACAGTCTGGTAGCGCAGTTAATAACAGGTAGCTCAGCTGGAGACTGCTGGATTAGATGACAGCCTGCTCAAACTCTCTGCTTCAAAAATGGTGTTGAATCAGACCTCAGAGAGAGAGAAGTTGTCAGCTAAATGGTATCTCAAAAAAGCAGAACGCTTTCCCAATCCTCACCCTATTTACTATAGCTTCCACTATATGATGATATTGATAGCCTGGCCAACGGATCACAGATCCACCATGGTCTGATTGCATCTGTAGGATGTCAAATCCACAGGAAGGAGCAGAGGTGATAAGAAGTAGTAAAGTACGATCTGAATCATCAGATCTCTATTCAAAGTGTCGGGTGGAGAGAATGGCTGGAGGATGAAAGACACACCTTTGATTGCAATGTTGATGAGCTCACACTTGCACATTTGCTTTCATCAGTTCAATGCAAACTGAACTGTTCAGAAAAACCCATTCCTGCCTTTTCAATCAAAATTTTAAATAATGTATCTCCAGGCCATAGAAGAAGTGAAATAGCATCATGGTGTCATACAACGGTGAATGACTTGATGTTTCACGTAAGTGCAGCAGATCTAGTATGGTTTCATAGCTGACCCATCAGGAGTGGAGTTGTGTGAGTGTTACTGTTCCTAAACTGAATTTTCTGCAGTTTTCAGATGCTCACTAATGCTTGTGTTTTTGTTGTTGTCCTCATAACAGATTGTTTGAGACTCATCCTGAATGCAAAGATGTCTTTTTCCTGTTTCGAGACGTGGAGGACCTGGAGAGGTTACGTACAAGCAGGGAGCTCAGGGCACACGGTTTACGGTAAGATAGGAAGACTGCACTGCACAACACACCAGCACATCTGCATCATTAGAGGAGAATATGCCACCTGCAAATAATAATAATAATAACTTTATTTTTATATCACCTTTAAAAACAGATGTTTACAAAGTGCTTTAACAGAAGAAGCGAACAAAGGCAGAAACAGACAAAGGAAAATTGACGGTTAAAAAAAAAGCACAGTTAAACATGGACAGTTAAAGATTGGCGGTTGGTTGACGGCATCACATCAGGATGGTGAAGAGGAAGAAGATGGATAGAGGACAGATAAAAGAGGAAGAGAAATAAATACATAGATGATAAAATAAGAAAGGGTAAAATAAGGGTAATAATGAAAAGGGAGGGAGTATATTAAAATATGAGAAAATGTTAAAAACAGGACTAAAAATAATAATTGTAATAATAATAATAATAATAATAATAATGATTACCTTAATCATTGATGTTTAATGATTACCCCATTCAATAGAAAATACCATGTTAGGGTTTCTGTCTTTCAACTAATGCCATGAGGAAAACACACCTATCCGAACAAATAAATGTGTTTTCCTTTAAGCTCCTCTTTCACTTAGACTTCTGTTAAAACAACAAACGATAGAGAAATGCCAGACCTATACACTTCAGGCTGTAGTGACAGGCAGAGCTCGTAGCATCTATCACAGCCTCTCCTTTGCTGTTTCCCAGGGTGCATTGTTTTGTACTCTTCTTAATATGAGGCCAAAGTAACCTGACTACCTGTAGGTGCAGGCAGAGGATAGTGTGGCATTGCAGTGGCAGTGCTTAACCCTGCTCCTGTGAGAGCTGTACCTCAGTGATTAGCCTCGATGCCCCCTCAGTAAAGTACAGATCAGAGAGCTAAACCCACTCTGTTCCATATTCATTTTTTTCTTCTCATGTATACACACTGCTGTGGTTTCAACACACCTGCAGAACAACAAAGAAAACTGATCCTGTGGTGGGGTTTCAGCAGGGTCATGACATGTTTTCAGGGGGATTCAGAATTATGCGTTGTTTGTGACATTCAATTCTTCTTGAGTCCCTCAAAAAAGTCCAGTTGACCTTTCACTGAAGAATTGGATAACCATGACCTGGATGAATGAGAATCTACACAGACATGTTTGTAAAATTGTTTACTGTATTGAAATTATGCAGGTGTGTTATTTGACAGCTCATCAACTGTTTGATCACCAGGACGTGGAGTTTCATCCTAAATCTGTTTTCCTCTTTCAGGGTGATGTCCTTCATTGAGAAAAGCGTGGCGAGACTGGACCAGCTGGACAGACTGGAAGCTCTGGCTCTGGAACTAGGAAAGAGCCATTACCATTACAACGCCCCTCCTAAGTACTACAGCGTAAGACCCTCATGATCCTATCAGAGCTGAATCTTAAATGATGCTGTAGTCTGACCGAGACAGCTAAAATCAAAGCAAGTGGGATACATGAATATTCACTCAGGCTGTTGAACGTAATTTCTTTCTTTGCAAAGAGCAATAATTACAATCACATTATTACCAACTCGCACAAATATATCATCGGGTATCTGGTACAATTGTTTTCCAGTATGTGGGGGCAGAATTTATCTGTGCTGTGCAGCCCATCCTGAAGGAGAGGTGGACAGAAGAGCTGGAAGAGGCATGGAAGGTGAGGCGCGCGTGTGTGTGTATGTGTGTGTGTGCCAACTTATAGGTGTCCTTATTAAAGACCTCTGTGAAGAACCTTTCTGAGTAAAGCTCAATGTGTGCTGCAGCACTTTGTGTTCAGCTCACATCAGCAGCAGACTTCTGCACATGCCAAGATGGAAACCAGTTTGACTGACGCCTGATTAATGTGAAATGTGCATGTCACTGTTTCATACATGAACATGGCTCTGAAGATGAGACATGGCTCTGTCACATCATTTTATCTCACTTTAAGAGAGAGCTGCTAACACTCACTTTTTTTGTTTTCACTGTGAAAAATTGACAGCAATTGTAAGGTTCCTATTCTGAATGTTTGTTCTTCAGCTTCAAATAATGCTCTCTGCTGCTCTCTAGTGGTGGGATTTAGAAGTACTTTTTTTCTCCCATGTTATGCCAATGTAAGCCTGATAAATGTATATTTTGATTTTATAAATAAAAAAATATATATGCCTACATGGATGTACTTAAACATGTAGTTTGAATGTTAAATTTATCTTAGTTTGACACAGATCTTTAATGTTTGACACAGATCTCGATGGTTAATCCCAATGCATCATCTATATTTACATAGTCGACTTTAAATACTGTTTCAACAGTAGGAACTACAGTCACAGTTATTGTGTGGGCACATTGAATCCATCATTTCTTTCACATGCTGAGATTTAACTAATCTATGGCAAATATTTTGCCAAACACAAAGCTGTAGTGACTTGTTACATCTTTGACATATAATTTATAATAGTCCATTCATTGTTGGCCTGTTTCTTCCAATAACCCTTTTAAAGTCACAGTCCTTCCCTAATCTGTGTTCCAGTGTCTAATTAGGTTTAAGACTGTTTTCTTTCACGTGGTTTCTCATGCCCTTAATTAAGAGGGCACAACCAGGTTAGTGAAACCTTCCATGTATTGAACGTTTTGTTTCCTTCCAGACCATGTTCCAGTATGTGACGAGTCTCATGAGGCAGGGATACCAAGAGGAGAGCAGACGGCAGCACCTCCTCACACTCACCCCAAAGGAGAGACCAGAGAAGAGCAACACTGCACTATAAGACACTCGACTGATTTTCCAGCTCTGCACAGAAATGTTCATGTATATAGTGTATTTATAGTGTATTTTCTGTATTCTTTTCTACATTGCTCATGTTCGCCACAGTCACTGTTTGCTATTTTGTCACAATGAACAAAAACCACAATGACTTTTAACAAACAAAGCACTTTATTTCCAAACTTAAATTCCTCTGTGGGACTCAGGAGAATGACAAGACATCACAAAGAGTTTACAGAATATTCTGGCTGCATTTAATCCTGCCCTGTGATGAAAATAAATGGTCTTATTAGAACTACAGCCAATGCTCTCTGTTTTCAAAACTCAAACAAGCCTTTCAGTAAATCCACAACTTTGAACCCTTTTTCTGTGTCATTTTCCTCACTCAAAAACGTATCGCATTCACTTTCAAAATATTAAGACTGCTTGTCTGACAGCTCAGTGGACTAAACTTAGAACATTTTTTCATTAAAAGGGAAAAATTACAATTTAAAGAGAAAAAAAACATCAGATTTGATTTAAATTTATGTCTCAAACAGAAATAAAGGTCTTGTGACTGAATGGTTTACATTTTTCTCTCGACCCTGTCAAATAAAATCATGTCAGAACAGCTCACCTGTCAGTTGTAAATACAACATAAATAGGGACTTCTAACAATTAAATGGCGATTAAATTAAAAGGCAGCTAATAACCAGGCCCCACAGATTTGATCTAGATGTGACACAGCTGTTTTCCACCCGGTTCTGAAGAAGATATGATAGTTTTAATAAAGCTGACTTCTTTCTTCCTGTGTGAGTAAAGATAATCCCCAGGGTTCCTGTTCCTTTTCACCAACGCCACTGAGCAGCAGAGGAGGAGACGGTACCATGCAAAATATGGTGTGATTTCAAAGCGGCCGCCTTGTGGATGAACATGTTTCTGAGGCCTAGGGGTTGAGCAGGAAGTAAGTCAGGAGGGTAACAGACCAAGTGAAGGCCTCTCCCATTTCTTCAGTTTAGGTACCCAAGATGATGTTAAGAGTCTGTTTCTCATTGGGTGGCTTTGGTTTTCTTGCTTTTGCTTTTCTTATCTTTCTTCTTTAATCCATCCATGTGAGCTCGAAGGAGGTTGGAGTACGCCTGCAAAGGGAAGTTTCTGTTAGACTTAACTCTTTCATCAAGAAGATAAGAGATTACAGTCAAGTCTTAGACAGGAAAACCTAATCAAGCACATCACAGCACGAATACAAAGAAGGATCAACCTACCATTTGAAACTTAATAACTTCTTTTGTGCTGACCTGAAACGACAAGTAATAAGAGTTTAGCATTTACAGCAAATCAGCGATCCAAGACTCACTTTTCAGTAACAGTAGAAAGTAAGCTCACCACTGTGCTAATTTTCTTCTTGCCATCAGATGCTCGAAGGAGACATTTAGTGTCTGCTGGTTCAAATGACTCTGAGTGGCCTTTCCGGGGCACTGGCTTGGTCCTCCCATCATCTACACAAAAGAGACACATCCCACTGAAGCTTGACAAAACACTGAAGCAGAGAACTCCCAGCTTTTCTCCAAAACTTGTCCCCAGTTATGATCAGAAAAAACTCTGAGAGATCTACTTACATTTCTTTAGTGTGATGACAACACTGCCAGAAGCTCGGCACTTTTGGAAAAGCCGTGTGAGTTCTGTGAGGAACTGGACAACAGAGCACAAAACATACTTAAACCGCTGTTTTTATAAAACAGTCTGTGTTCCCATGATTTATGAAGTTCTGGGTTGCAGCTGTTCAACACAGACAATCAAAAATGAGACTCATTTGCATTTTGTATTTGTAGCTTCCAATTCAATTGTTGAATCTAGGGGGCGTTAAAGGAAACAAGATCCTGATTCACTAGGGCTGGATGATATGGGAAAAATTTTATCACAATATTTTTTTTCATATCAGCAGATATTAATATACATCATGATAAAAAAAATTGAAATTTAACAGTCCTTATTGGTAGCACGTCTTTTGCAATACAATAAGCTACTGCATCTGTGAGGTCTCTGTGTCTTTTCCACGTTTTGTCGTAAGGCATTGCTCTAAAGAAAGCAGACTGAATGATCAGCTGTTTCAGCCGCGCATGCATCATGGGCTCCAAAAAACCAAAATACCTTAGCACTACCAATGTTTTAGTGCCAATGTTGTTGACGATGTCGTCATCTGTTGAGCCTTCATCTGCATATCTGCCGGGGGTAGCTCTCATTTTCTTTTTTCCTCTCCAACAGTGCTGTAGCTGTGTGTCGCTGCAGCCTCCTACTACACAGTTGTTTGCTACTTGGTTCTAATTCAGCACATGATTGGTTCAGCATGAAGCGGACCCAGAGCAACTCCCCTTTTCATGGGCTATTTGTTTTGTCTTCTAAAACATGGCAGGAGCTGACTATCAAAAAGCATATTGACCATGTTTTACATTGATATTGAGGGAAATTAATTTTCAACATATATCGTTTTATCCCCCAGCCCTATCCATAACCATTACACTTCTCAAATCTGGACAACATTATCCAAGCTTACAAACTTCTTAAAATATGTTTTAGGTTTGTTAAACTTTAATTCTGTGAAAACTACTTTTCTTTTGGTAAACATGCCACAGGGCAAAGTGGTTATTTTTCCCGTCCAGACCACATTGAATCAGGTCTTAATCCAGAATCACGAAAAATAGATTTGTCTGATCTAGTCTTCAGTATCCAAGACAGGCTACAGGCTCTTTAAGAATCAGTTTCAGGTTTGTGAAACTTCAGCCATGAATTGTAAAAAAGGCAAAACAGGGAAAGGAGAGAAAACACAGGCTGCACCCCTCTTGTCTTTAAAATGCACTGCTTTTTTAAATATTACATACATCTTAAGAATCTGTTCATCATTTTAAACTAAATGATGATTTTTCTTTTTCTCTAGTGTGGGAAATACTGGGAAACAGTCTATAATATATTATCAAACCACAGTGATCCTGCTGCTGAGAGGAATCTGTTTTAACACTTCCTAAGCTGGACAGAGAGCAGGTCACTAAAACAGCATGATTTTCAATAAATATTCAATTTATATCTATAAAAGCTCCGAAGTGTTGCTACATTTTTATTTCTTAATTTTATTTTTCTTGCCACACAGTTCACAATGTTAAAATACGTTCACCTCATTCACCTACAGTATCATAGCACATACCCTATAACCATGAACAGTCTTGTGCTACAATATTATGAAACAAGGTTACAAAAGCAAGTTCTTATAAGGAATAAAGAGCAACAACAAATCTAATTTCTTTTTGTTACCCTCTTGACAAAAACAGTGTTAGCTTCAACATTAGCAGGCTAGCTCCTGAGACAGCCTGAGGTCTGATCTATCTTTGCTAGCGCTGAAACTACAAACCGGCTTCGGACAGCAGAAGTGAAAAGACAGCGAACTGTTTAATAATGTTATGTTATGTTCTTCATACAACAGTGTTAATTCTTCTTACCGAGTCGTTTTCCAATAGCACCATGTTTGTGACTTCCTCGAAGCAAAAGCGTCGGCTAACTATCCGCAAGCTAGCTGCTGTGAAGCACACGTACTACAGAAGCTGGAGCCCCGCCCTGCGCAGTCACAGTGTGGAGAGCAGTTTCAACACAGCGCCCCCAACCGGCAAGGAGGAGGAAATACAAACTAAACACTTGTTCAAGTCCTATCCTTTTCACGGCGTTATTACTCACGAGTTTTAGCTTTATTTCTCACTAATTACGAATAGGTTATTAGTAAACGAACAATATGGCCAAACAACATTTTTGGGACTCATTGGAGACAAGACAATTAAAGCATAGTAGGGGAGACCAGGACATTTTTCTTCAGAACTCACAGATAACTTGAATCATTTCTTGAGTCATCTTTTGATATAAAAGAATGTAAATGTGCAAAAGAGTCATGAAAAACCTCTGTGCAAACGTATATAAAGTGGCACAAACTAGACCAATTGATAGAAAAACACAATAAGATCACATGAAGGTAATAGTGAGTTTGTATTTATAAAGAGTTGAAAGCATCACAATCACATTTATGGTACTTAAACAGTGCAGCTTTCTTCTTTTTAATGGATTACACATTAAACATGAAGACAGTACATTTTAAAGCTGGTATCAATCGAAATGCAAGCTTTCCTTCTTGTGGCACCGAATAAAGTAAATGGAGGTATGCCATTAGCCTTGACGGAAATATCTTTATTCCATCCAGACACACACTAAACCTGTGTGAAAGAATGTGTACTTGTGCAAAATCTTACGGAATTCCCTTTAAAAATCCTCACCATTGGTTATTTGCTTTGTGATAAAGCAGACACAGGAATCATTACCTGAAAAAGCGAGGTCAGGAAATGTTCACCTTTTATCTTTAAGACAGCACTCTTCATGGCATTATACCTGATAAAAACTGTATATAGAACATACAGTCAGTGGCTGCTAGACACCAGTAGGATAAAGGTTAACAAGATCATCTGCACATATCAAAGGGTTTACTTGACTGTCTCTAAGTGTATACTCTGTATTACAGGTTTTCAGCTGCTAGGATACAACGTCAAAGGTTAAAGATCTGAAGAAAGAGCTCTGCCTTTGTCTCACACCATGACTTCTCACAAATGAGGCTGTGTCAAGACAAGCTGATTCCGTTTAAACATCTTTGTATAATCAACATCATTTAAAGCTTAATGAGCATTAACAAAGCTAAACAATCAACAACAATCTCATTTAAGGTACATAGTATATACACACACAAGTTTGTACCATCAGCTTTGATAGCTTCACTGGAAATTTGTGAAGTAAATCAATAATACTCCGGTGGTTTTCCCTGCCTTTTGTCAGTCAAATAATGAAATAATGCTTTTGTTGTAACTCAGCTATAAGGTCCACTCCGAAATACAGGATTTCATGTGGTTCAGTCACCTTTTCTCAAGTTTTCCCTTTTGCTGTTCCATTTTTGCCTTTGAGAGAGAGAGGAGGGAAGTGAGGTGAAAAGAGAGGAGGAAAAGTAGTGAAGGGTGGATGATGAAAATGGGTAGGGAATGGGGAGAGGAGGTGAGAAGGCAATAGTTGTGTACTGAGTCATAAGGAAAGCAATTGTTTAAACGTTACCTTGAATCATTTAAGAGGAGAGGAGAGAAGAAGAGAGTAGAGAAAATGAAAATATTAAATGTGAATTCTTATGAAAAAAGGGTCCATTTGCAGAGGCTCTCTTTGAGCAGAAGAGGTGGGAGGCTGATTTAGGTGTGAACTCTCATATAAAACAGTAAATGTCTAATACTAGCACTAGAGACCCATCGTATATCGGTTTATCTGCACAAAGAGTGATTTGTGAATGATTGATTGGACTGATCATTTCTGAAGTTGAACAAATTGTTAAACTGCTCTCTTGATTTCTCTCACAAAATGAACAATTTTGAAATCTATCTATGAAAAGGGTCTTCATAACAGCTTCTCTACAGGATTTTGTTATGTCGATAGTTTACAGTCTGGGTGGTGTTTCAAGTCAGCAAGGGGCACCGCAAACTCAGAGTGCCAGTCTCTGTCAAAGATCACCCTGAGCTGGCTCTGCAGGACAGTTTTCCATACAGGGTGGGGAGCATGCTGGGAAATCACCAGACCCACTCCAGCTGTGGTCATGAAATAATCCCCTGACCAGTTGGAAGTACCTGCAGAGCAACACAAGGTTGAGTGATTAATTATTAACCGATTTGGATGCACCAAACTGCCCACTAAACAGGAGAATGACCTGATTTAACAGTCCTAAAGATTTCCTGTCACTCACCGATGTAAGCCACTTTATCAGTCACCATGTATTTATTGTGGTTAACTCTGGAAAATGGGATGTCGGACTGGTTTCCCACTGGCACAATGAAGACTTTCTTTAAGAGAAAACAATGTGGAGACAGAGAAAAGCAAATCGAGTGTTAAAGAAACACTTTAACACTCCAGAAGATTAATCTGCTCCATCTAGTGAATTACTATCTGTATGTTGATGTCATGGTGAGGGCTGTCCATTGAAGCTAGAGACTGAAGAAAAGGCAGCATGGCTGGATCAGAGTCTCGCCCACAGCTGACCAACATCCGAATCTTAATCCTCTTCTCAAATGCAGCTCTCCTGATAGCATCATCAATCAAGGGCCAATATCTGTTCAATTAAAAACTAAGTAAGTAAAAATAAAGAAGCAAAAGATTCAGAAACAAGTGTTTCTTTTGTAGCTTAAGTTCACCTCTGAGGCTTTTCAAAGCGTGTGGTGGGGAAATACTCCATAACGGCTACATCAACATAGCGCTCGGCTTCTGAGATGATGGAGAGAATAGCCTCTAGATCCTGAGTTCTCGATGGAGGACAGAAAGATGGAGGGGAACCCTGAAGTGAAACACAAATATGGACTAATATCGAAACCCATTAAAAAAACAGAAACTCTTCAGTCTTGAAACCTGACTTTCACGTGCTGTCTGTGTTGATTCTGTAACATGCAATGTTACTGTCACTTCTGAATAACATGATAACACAGAAAAACAGTGTTTTGTAAAAAGGAACAGAAACCTATGACTCACTGTGATGTAGAGCAAGCTGGAAACATTATCACTTTTCACCATCAGGGGGTGCTCTTTGTTGATAACAGTGTCATACAGCGCAGGCCAATGCTGTGGCACTGAGCTGTTGGACTGTCCCATCACCCAGTAGGACTGGAAAATCTTATGCAGGTCTTTTCCCAGGCTGGAGCAGTTGTAGAGGACTACACCCAGTTCTTTCACCTACAAACAGGAGTGAACTGTGAATTTGTCATCTAGTGTGTGATAATGATTCACTGAGCATTACTGTCATAGATTTGTGTTTTGACCTGTGTGAGAGCCCTCCAGTCCATGTTTGCACTTCCAATAAACACATGTTTTCTGTCAACAATCCAAAACTTGCTGTGCAGGACACCCTTGGTCAGGCGTCCAAAGTTCACCCTCCTCACCTGGACTCCTATGTGCAGCAAAAAAGTGAAGATGAGCAAGGGGAAGTTATCGGAAACAATGCATCACAAGTCAGAGCATATGACAATGCATAGAAAAGAAGAACAGCCACTATCAAACCTTTCTCTTTCAGTGTCTTTAAGTCGGTAGAGTTTGTTCTAACACTTGGAACGCTGGACAGCAGTCGCACAGAAACATTTCTGGAGGGCAGCTCTTCAAGGTCTTTGAGGATCTGTCTCCCCTGATGAAGACCGGAACACAGTATTAGGGACACTTCCAACATGTTCATCAGAGATTTACACATTTCTTTGTGTTCTAGTTTCAACTCACAAACATATCTGAGGAGGAGTTGACACTGATGTCATCCCCAGTTAGAGTCCAGTAGAAAGAGACCACATCCACTTGGTGTGTTGCCAAGGAGATTAGATTTTTCCAGGCTTTTACCAGAGGGATACCAAATGTTACATTGCCTTTATATTTCATATCCTGAGGGATGCTCTCCACCAGGGTCATCCTGTGAGATAGACAAACAGACCTGCTGAGGAGATGCCCTGGAAACTGGTGAAAAACACTGAAACAGCATTGTCTAACTGAGATAAGGCATTTCTACTTGGCAGCATATGTCGCTACTCAACCTGTAAAACATTGTTCAGCATGAGTGGTGCCTCAAAGATATGCAGGTTGCGTGTACACACTCATATACCATGAGGGATGCTGGCTTTGGGGCTATGCACTAAGGTAGCTGGATAGTCCTCTTCCTCTTAGGCCAACAGGACACAACAACCAAACTTTGACTCATCAGACCATAAAGCAGTTTTCATTCCACCTCCATGCCAACTTAAATGAGCCTGGGCACAGTGACAGTGTTTCTGTATCTGTTTCTACATTTTTTTAGCTATTTAACTTATTTGGAAAGTTGGTTCTAGACTATAAAGTGGTCATTTAGACAATCTTAAAAATGTAAAATTCAATAGTTAATCATCTAACTTCATAATGTATTTGTACACAGAATAGTTGGATCTGAATCTAGTGTTATCTTTCAAAATATCAAGTCAGGTTTATGAATACAGTTATTCTTACTGTACAGCTCATAAGCTTACAGCCTGAAGTACATCTACCTGCATTGGTCTGAAAAGAATTCACTCCCAACAGCTTCCCCAGGAAGGGTCTCATGATCTTTAGGGGCCGATGGTCTTTCCAGCACAGCAATGGCAAGGATAATACCCAGAACCGTCAGACAGCCCAAAACCACAGCTAATGTCACACAGCTGGTCGATCTCTGAGGAAGAGTTTAGTAGGAAAAGAAGATAAAGTGAAAAATGTGACAGCTGCAGCAGAGAGAGAATCCGGGAAAACAAATGATGTAAACTCACCCCTTTGTTTGAGTCTGAGCCATCATCAAGTCTTGTGTACGAAGAGTTCATTTTTCCTCCACTGTGTCCACTGTTAAATTTTTCAAAACAGGAAATTGTAGTCTTACAGTAAAAGCTGTTTGGATCACACCAGTGACAAAAAGCTTATTTACAAATGCAAGAAAAAGTATAACCAGACGTAAAAGAAGGTGATGAGGATAATTTTCCACTACAGAGAGCTCACAACAAACCTGTTTCCTCCTTCACAGCTTTTATCTGATACTGAGCTGCTGAGCGGTGAGCTGGATCGGGGCTGTATAGCACCACAGTGAGTTCCTGTTTTCACTTTCATTTCAGCTTTTGAGAGATATATTTGCACAGGAGAAAAAAAACAAAAAGAACTCCTCTTTGTTTGATGCATTTATTTGAAAAAATTGAATCATGAGCTAACAAATGACACAAAAAAACAAAACATAAATACCAGCTACCAAGACAACATGACACATACATCCAAATCATTCTGGGTAAAAAGGAAGGAAATCAAATCAAAGTAGGAGCACATGAAACACAAAAAGAAACCTAGTGTAGCTTTGACTTGGGTGGAGTAAAGCAGTGAGGGAATACCATCCCAAAGTAGAAGAATAGCAGCAACACTTTGAGCCAACAGAAAACATTCATTTTTTTGCATGAGTTTGTAAACAACCACATCCAACATCTTCCCACCGGGCTCTGTGGCACTTGTAGGTACTCTCCAATAACAATCACATGTCCTGACTGGACCAGGAAGAAGGAAAGAGAAAGTTGCTGGTGGACTGGATTGCCTTCTTTTTCTGCTTTAACAGCATTAAATGTTGAAAGTCTCACAGGGGAGAGTAAAGGCTTCAGTTTGCAGCATATCGTGTCAGGAATATGTTGGACGACAGTAGTGCAAAAGACAAGATTGAGAGGTAATTTGTGGGGAATAGACATATATCCATATTTACATACTAACTAAACGGAGTGCCACATTCTGAAAATCAGATCAAAGTTTCACTCAACAGACTTTGTGAGCTTAGAGGCTAAAAATGACACTCATTCTTCTGTGAGAGGACCTGTCAGAAGAGAGAGAGGAACAGCATTTTAAATCTTACTATTGTGCTTTATATATCTCCCCAAACACAACGCCATGTCAGTTCTTCTGAGATCATCTTTGGTCAAACCTCAACAATAACTGTGCTTAGAGAAGAACAACAACAACAAAAACAAGTCCCCTCACGTGTTTGACACAAACAATATCACACTTTTTTTGAAAAGGTAAAGAGGAATGCTGAAATCTTGTTTTTGAGTTTGTGGCTGGAGCCTCTCCTTCAACTCAAGTCACACATTCCTGAGGGTTGATTTCATTATCTTCACTCAGACAAATATTAAATGTCTGTATATTTAGGAGGGCGTGGACAGTCAATACAACGACTTTATTTTTGAAAAATAAATACATAACAAATTGGCTGGTAGCAACTGTGCGGTCTGACATTTATAGGTCTGGCACTGGAGTTAACCAACTCTCCCAAAGTCAGGTTGCTGTGGTTACAGTGTCTCACAAAAGACCCCTGATAAATACTTTTACATTCTTCGATAAATCTGGTCCACCAGGAGAAAGTGGTGAACAAACACAAACACATAAAAACTAATGTGTCAGGGTCAGGGAACTTGCTGTACAAGTACATGGAGCTCTAAAATCGACAGTTCTTACCCAAAACACAGATCTGATTTGTCACGTAACACAGAAATCTTTTCATAAGTAGATTTTCCTGAAATGCTTTTGCTCGGGCTGGTTTTCAAACAATCTAAGTGTTCAAATGAGATTTATATGTTAGCTATGTAGGTCATTGGCAAATAAAGAGGTGGACTTCAACAAAGAAAATCAAGTTAAGTTTGGAGGCCTGCATGAGGTGTGTGGGAGGTTTCGTCTCCTTCCTCTGTAAATCGTCCCCTCACATGCAGAGGCCTCGTACTGAGCTTACTTTAAGAGTGTTTTAGTGCAGGCGTCACTGACTTACTCCGCTGTGCAGGAGTGTAGTGCTTATAGTGCAGTAGTGTGTATGTTTGGATGCAGAGGAGGCCACGGTTCTGTGTATCACTTCCCCCCTTCTTGGTTTCATTGTGCACAATAATGCGACACCTGTTTCTGTGGGTTTACAGCAGAAGTTCAGCGGAGGAGGAACCTGTGAGTTTGTGTCCCACCTCAGACTAAATATCCCTGTCTGATATCGTCAGACGTCACAAATGCTCTCCTCATACTGTCGCCAGGTCTTGAGCCGCCACCGCGTTTTGGGGCAGAGTGAGCGGCTCTCCAGTCTCGTGAGGAGAGGGCTCTGGAAGACAGAGCCGAGGCTGAATTTCTGGATGCCTCTGGCTGCTCACTCGGCTCCATGACTGTGTTAATGACTGTGGAAAGAGAAGACATGTAGTTTTAAACTGATTGTATAGATGATCATAATTACTACTCATAGTTCAAGTACTGTTCATTTTTAGGGGGTGGGTTAGACTGAATCACCTTCAAGTTGCCGTTGAACTCTCCTGAGCTCTTTCAAGATAGATGTGATTTCCTGGAAAACATGTTAAAATTAGCTCAAATTTAAAGCATTTGTTGGGCATATAATTAACTTGATAAATAACATCGTCATTCACCAACCTTATTGGAGGTTTTGACGACAGGAACTTCATTGTCAGAATTCACCTTGGCCTCAATGTCTTGCCAGATATCCATTCTGTCCTGGAACAGTACCCTGTGTGCAAATAGCCAATATCAAAAGTGGGTTTTCACAAAAGAAGCAATCGTCCTTTCCTTACATTTTATCCACAACATTTTTAATGTAGTCTGGAAGATGTCCAAGAAGCTCTTAACTATGATTTAGCAGAATAAATAGACTCAAAACAGAAAGGTTTTAAAGGCTAAATGGATGCATCTCCATTAAATCCCAGTCCTATTATTGTCCTGTTGTCAGTCAGACTTGAAGTATTTGTGATGACTAACTCAGATCGATTGCGCAAATAAGATTATTGGCTCTGTACTGTCTTGTTATCAGACAGGATCGGTCTAAATTTCCATGAATCCCAGATTAAGGGTGAGCACAATGGGTGTTCATGAAGGTGTGTTTGATGAACATCTCACTTTATTTTGTCAGCAAGTTGCTCTGTGTTTTCCTTGATGGCCAGGATGACCTGAGACACTGGATTCAGCATCAGGTTGTCCACGAGGAGCTGGAGACGAAAAATAAAAATACACAATCATAATCTCACAATGCTGTAAAAATTTACAAAAGTGATGAAAGTGAGGCGGCTAAAAAGCAGTGTCAGACCTCATCTTTTCGCTCCTTTGAGTTTTGGTCGACGGAGCTCTGGTCAGGCTCCTTTGAAGATGAAGAACCAGGTGGGACTCTGCAGTGGTTTAAACCAGCCTCTGGAATACGGTGGACCAGCTGCAATGCAATCAAACTTTAAAAATCAGTGCCATGGTATGAGACAGAAAAAAGAGAGAGACATAATCTCAGGAGACGTAACGCAACTTATGTAATCAAATCTTCAAGACTGGAGAAACAAAAACGATTGCTTCAGAGCAGTAAACATTACCGCAAACATTATGAGGGATACTTGTTCTTCTAGCATCAAAATATCATATCAGTAAAAGAAAACAAAAAAAAAGGGAAGATTACCTCTACTGTATTCTGAAACAAAATAACATCTAATGCTTGAATGTTTAAGGCTCTGGGGCTCATTCTCCCTGAAGTGTACCTGTTCATGCGCCGTGACTTTGGAGCTTGGTGTGCTGCTCTCCACTCCAGGGTTTTGTGGATCACCTTCACCTGCCACATCATGGATCTCTCTGGCCAAGATAGCCAAGTCTTTTGCCAGATCCTGACTCAACCTGGATGGATAGGAACAGGTGTTAGATAGACAATAAAAACTGTTTGTCCATGTACATTATATCAGCTGATAGTGAAATCCTTCATATTTTTGAGCACTTTAAGCTAAATTCAAATAAAGCATTTAAGGTAGAAATAAGGGTTGTATTGGCTTCCTTATCATTTAATCTTTGAATATTAGAAGCAGGTGCACTGCACAAAAAGACCTCGGCTCTCCTTCTTCCTCACCGTGCAATCTCAGCGCTGTGGTTGGACCAGCTGTGGAACGTATCCCCCTCCTGGTTCTCGTCCTCGGAATCTCTGAGTCGGGGTTTGGGACGTAAAGCGACCACTGGTTGAGGCCGTGGCTGATTTCTCATGGTGTTGGGAGCTGGGGAAGGTTGGGAGCGTTTGTGTTTAGGAGTGCTCTGGTTTGAATCATACTCTTCATCTGAGGTAGAGGCATAGTCAGAGCCTTTCTGTCGTCTCCTGGAGCCTTGGCGTCGTGAATTGGTTTGAGTTGGAGGGTAGAAACAGAAGGAAAGAGAGAAATACACCATCAAAGAATACAAGAAAGGACCTCTGAGATATTTAAGATGTTATCACCAAAAAAACAGAGAAGACAGAGAAGCTGCTGCGGTAGTGCTCATTTCTGCGGTTGTATTTCATCTAAAGGTTCATAATCACACACAAACTGAAACGAGCACTTAACTTTCGCAGCATAGCAGCTCATTTCACACAGTTAGAACTGAGAACACTGTACTGTTGTTGTTCTATATTAGCACCAGATGAAGGAAGTTCTATGTAAAGGCTTATGTAGAGTAGGGGTTGTTTTAAATTAGAGAGTGCAATGACAAACGTAAGTTAAAGATTCTGTGTGTAGAGATGCATGTACTTCTTCTTTAGCAGTTTTTATCCAAGCTGCAATATAAAGCAGCTAGGGTTGACTAATAACACAAGAAGGATCTGCTTTTACACACACATTTCTCCAACATCACACTTCATTTGTGATTCTGGTTTGAATGCAAGTATTATTTTGACAGTGTGAGAATGAAACAGTCCCATTCGTACTTGGTCGGAGTGTTTCCTTTATGTACTTTGTATCTGAGTGATGGAAATAGACATGGTTTCATTAAGTCTATTTCCTGTGTGCAAACACCGCATTACGTCTTCACAGTTTACTTAGTTTGCTCCAGAATAAGAAAAACACAGAGGGACAGATTTTAAGATCACACAGAGGGGTTTGAGAGGGGTGCTTGCGTTTGCCGTTGCACTGTCAAAAAACATGTTAGTGTTTGAGAATCGACCCCATAAATGACGCTTGAATCAAAAGAGCTGCTCATGGACAGAACCCAGTGAGTTGTTTGCTGGAAGAGAATATTAATTCTAGACCATGATGGAATCAAACCAATTCACCACTCTGGTTGATAAACAGACCTTGAGGTGCTTCCAGGCACAGTCTCATCATCAATACTGGGTTTGACTCAGACAGGAGAAAACAGCTGAACCAGGATGTAGGAATAATTGACTCCATTCAAACTCATGTTCGTAGGTCTGTCTGTTTTGTACTCACTTGCGGTGCTGCTGGCGTATTTGGCACTACTTGAACGTCCACGTGTGATTGGTGTCTTGTTGAGTGCTGCCTTCTGTGGCCTCTCCACGGCCTTCTGCCCCTGAGAAGGGGTCCTGGATAAGCCCTCAGTGTCACTGGGTGTGTTGAAGGAGCTTGTTCTCCTCCGAGGCATTGCTAGCATATCCAGCCTGGAGAGTTTCTTGGTTTCCTGGGGTTGCTTCGACTGGGCATTGACGGCCTCCTGGCACAGCCTGTCTGTCTCTGTGCCTTCGTTGTCTGACATGTCTCCGAGGCGAGCCCGGCGGAGCATGGATGCTCTGGTGGGTCTTGGGGCGGACAAGCTGTTTGCACGAGCCAGAGACTGAGACACTCTGGAGGTCTTCCCGTCCTCTTTCTGAAGGGGAATTGTGTATTTTTTACGTGTTTGGTGATTGTAAGACTCCTGATCTGAGTACGGTAAACTCTGAGGATCATCACTCAGATCTGTGGAGCCGCGTTTACCAACACTACGTCTCAGTCCAATTGGTCTTCTAACAGACTCGGTCTTATTGTTGATGTCTGATCCCTGAGTGCGACGCTTATTTAAGGGAGTGGACTGCTGGCTTGAGTCCTGGCTAGCTAAACTTGCAGAGGAAGTCTCCCTATGAAGGCCGGTAATAGAAGGCTTCTTCGTTAGTGTGTTTGGTCGTGTCTTATTGCTTTGTTGGCTGATTGTGCTTGAGGTATCCACGTCAGATTCACCAGAAAAAGAGTCAGGTATTGGAGACGGTGTTTTTTCTGACTGACCCGATTGGAGTTTGGCCTCCAGGACGGCCAGAACATCCTCCGTCTCTTTGAGGAAGGAGTGAGTGTCTTGATTGCTTTCCCCCTGGAATGATTCAGGTTCAGGGTCTCTCTGAACAGGCTTGCTGGAGATGTTGGGAAGCCTGGCATTGCTGGGCCGCTCCTTGGTGAAGCTCTCTTGTCGGATTAATGGAGATACAGTGCGCTCTTTAGACTCCGGACTCTGTCTTTCCTGGTCCAGGAACGGGGCTGACATGACAGGTTTGATTTTCCCAGAGTCCTGGTTACTTTTTGTTTTGGTCATGGTGGCGGTTGAAAAAGTTTTAGTTACTTTCTTTTCTGCCCTAGAAGCGCTGGATCTTGTGCCTAAATGCTCAGGTTTTGACACAACCTCCCTTGAACCTATGTAGAAGGATGTGGACTTGGCTGGGAGTCTGGGTTTGTCCTCGCTTGTCTTTTTTTCTGAGTCCGACAGTGGTCTCCTCCTTTGCTCTACAATGGACCCGTCGTCGGACCTGCTGGCGTCACTCAGGCTGTCTGGTTCAACATCATCCTGCACTGATAACCTGAGGAGTCCATCCTGAGACCTGGGGACCACAGTGCCGTCCTCCTCTACGTCAAACGTCGAATGCGGGTCATAGTGAACATGAATGCTGGGAGTGGGCATGTCAGTCTTTCCCCCCTGCGGCGCCGGGGGCAGGATGCGCCGAGCTCTTTCGGAGTCAGTGCTGCTGTTGTGTTGTCGGGCGAACGTGGCCTTGTGGACTATTGAGCCCCGCGCTGAAGTGAAACAGTTTTAATGCATATTAACCACACATACTGATACTCGACATCATTCATATTCATTGGGGTGTCTCATTATCATTTCAAATAGACTCATGTCTCATCAGGTGGCTTACCCCCTCCTGACAGCTCCATCTGGGAAGGAATGTCAAAGAGGCCGGACGAGGGGCCAGATTCTGTGTAGCTGTCTGCCAGGCTGGCCCAGCAAGACATCCACTTAGGAGTCCCTTGTAACACTCCACCTGCTGGCTGACCCTGCATGAGATAAAACACGACTTATCAAAATCTCCCCCAAAAGAAAACGGAGGTGAAAAAGTCTGAAAGGGGGGTTAAATCTTTAACAAAGATAGTCTTGGTCGGAAAAAGCTAATTCGACAAGATAGACTAGATACCGCACATCAATCTGTTTTATGATTCAGCATCTAGGAAAAGAAGTATTGTAAAAAACACTGAGATTTTCTAAATGTTTAGTTAGAAAGAAACCCAACATAGGAAAGATCCCAGAACCTGCAGGGACAGATTAGCAAAACCTAGAATGTGACTGAGAGAATTTTTAACAGAGAAAAGAAATCCCAAAAAGGAGAATCAAGAGAGCAAGGCACACTAATAATAAGGTTAAACTTTGAGGTTAACTGACATTAATCAATTCGACTTCTGAATTAGTGATTATTATTTGCACCAATCTTCCACCCCAACCTGAGCAGGAAGGGTTTACCTCCACCAGACTCTGTCCCTGCCCTTGAGCTGGCCTCACCTCCCCACAGCTACTCTGCCTATGCTGCACACTGCTCTCAGCAATTACAGGCCTAACTGTGGATGATGTTTCTGCTTCACTCTTGTTGGCTGGCTCTGGGTTCTCAAATACACCAAATACCTGTTAGGAACAGAGCAGTGCAAGTGCATGAGGAATTTGGACGGCTGATGTCAATGAAATCGGCTCGCTCTTTCTCCTGGTATTGGAGAAAATTTCACAGTCGACTTGTTTCCTCTGTACAGTGATTATTAGCTGTGTCATTGTCCCGTGTGATGATATAGATAGGAAAAGGAGACTTGCCTGGCTGATCTTTTTCCGAGCCTCCTCTATCTCTCTATCTTGAGCATCTGCTTCGATGGTGTAAGTTCCAGCATCACTTAGACAGTCGTCATCCTCGTGTCTGGGGCTGTTTAGGGGGCTTTTCACCTCCAGACTCTGAGATGCCGGGGGCATTACAGGGGGCTTGAGGGGAACAGGCTGACGTATAGGGGAAGAGGTCTGAGGCTGATAAGACGCAGGGGGGCTCGACTGGGAGAGTACTGGTTCAGTTTTAGCTGTCTCTTTCTTAGCTACTGCAGGGGGATTAGAAACGTTTTTCTCCCACGTGGCAGAAGAGTACGCCTTTGTCTGTTTTAACAGTTCAGCAGTGAAGTCCTGAGAAATTTTAGATCTACGGCCTGCACTGCCAAAAGGCCGTACGGACACAGATGATGAGGACCGAGAGGAAAAACTGGTGCTGATCCGGTCTTCTGTTTTCTCCCTGCGAAGAGAGCCGGCTCTTTGGGGGCCTGAAGAAGCTGGGCCCTTTAGGGGGACTGTGTATTTTTGGGTTGGGGGAGTGTTGGGAATCCGGGGTTGGCCTCGTCTCTCCCCTGTGGGACTTGGGTTCTTCCTTCCCTTCTCCAGCTGGACCCTGAGAGCTGACGGCTCAGGAGGGGCGATGTTATTGGTGAAGGACTGGGATCGCTTCTTCCTTGGGTTATCATCGAAGAACTCAATGACAAAAGCTTGATGAGGCTCGGCTTTGCCTTGAACGGGAAGGGATTGGAACTCTGGTGGAGATGAGGATGAGAGGTCCTTAGGGTCAGAGGTGCCATAGTGCTGAAGTGAGGCTCTCAGAGGTTGGGGGGACACCTGCGACCCAGTCTGAAGTTCTGATTGTAGGAAATCAGTTCCATTCACTGCAGGATCTCCGGAATCGCTGTGAGTGTCATGATCAGACTTCGCTGCTAACAGAAAAAAGAAAACAAGGTAGCTTGAGAAGGAGCTCATTCATGCAGTCAAAGCCAGGACAGAATCTGCATGATAGACTCACCTCTGGTACCATGAAGTAACGGGTCACTGTTTGAGCTGTACATGTCCTCAGCCTGTGACCTCCTCCTCATCATGCTGGCATTGCTTTGAACCAACCAATCCGCAACTTTACTCTCTGCTGACATCACCTCAGTAGGTGTTGTGACAGCCTCAGGGGGTGGGAGATTGGGTGGCTGGCGGAAAGAAAACTTGGTCACATGGTCCTTGATTTTCATTTTGCCCGGTGTGCATTCGTCAAATTCGATGGTGAAAGATGCGTGGCTTTGGACCACGGGAGGTGTGGGAGTGGAGGGGACGCAGTAAGTGGGATCTGGAGTGTCCTTTGTGGGAACCTCATGAACCTTGTTGGGTCGCTGCTGCAGTTCCTTTGTTGGGATCTCAAAGTAGCTGGGCTCTCGGCGGTAGGAGAGGATCGACTTGGCCTGAGTGTCAGACAGAGAGCCGTTGACCTCATATCGGGACATGTCTTTAGCGTGCTCTGTAAGCAGTGAAGAGTGAGAGGAGAGCAAACACACAGAGACAACAAGCATTAGTGGTTGTTCTTCACACGGTCCTCCACAAACAGATAATCATTTGCCCTTTTTTCTATATTCCTTCTCTGAAGTTCACAGTCCAGAAAAAGACTGACAAGACTAAAGCATCTAATTGAGATGACTGGGATTTCACTGTTACATAAATAGTGTAAACGCTCATACGACAGCGACAAAACTATTCCCCCAGTTTGTCCCTGGGTGCCAGCTGGATGTGGCCAAATATCTCTCCAGGAGCTCAGAGTCCAGAGGAGGGTAGCTAAGCGGGAATAATCTGTTTCAGCCCGGGCGACATGAGGAAAACAATCGCCCGCCCGCCCTCCCTCCCTCCCCCCCGCAGCAGCTTTGAGAGACATAATCCATCACGAGGCAGACAGGCACTGCCCCACGGCTTGCCATGGTAAAGCCTAGCTAACAGTCCACAACTGGTGGTTAGAGACCTGCCTTGAGCTCAATATCATCCATCTCTCAGTGACCCATGAAGAGCATCAGATAGCAGTGACACAGAAAAATATGTCACTATCAATAAGGATCTAAGTGACAGCTGAGAGAAGATCTGAACTTACTCTCTAGAATGAAATCAAAAATCCTGTTAAACGTAAAAACACTGAAGTATTATTATGATTATTATATTTGTGACTTTTCTCTAACCTGGAGACCCATGCTCTGGTGATTTTCCCCCTCTGTTCTTCTCTTTGTTGGTTGGGTCCTCATCCTCTCCCCACCACGATGGCTGGCCATAGAGAGGGGTCGGCTTGGATATCGGAGAATCTGCAACACCTAACAGACAGACACACAAACACAGGCTCAAACACAGACAACCAAACACTGTTAGAAACATGGGAATACCTAAGTGTAGAAAGCAATGGGAGCAAAGAAGAAAGTGCCAAGTAAGAGCTGGATTTATACAGCCCCCCCTTGATGAATACGACTGTAAGTATATGGAAGTCACATGATTACATGATGTTGTGTCAAGCTTTGGTCTCGCAACAACAAATTGTTGCACAATATTGTAGCTCAATAGAGCCTTGGGTTACACCTCTGGTAGGCTTTGGACTTTTAACTATTCCTGCACATTCCTGTAACATAGGGACGGGGGTGAGGGGCACACTGTGGACGGCATCACGCAAGAGACCCAAAACATAATCCTCCACATATAAATCAGGACAAAGCTAATCCTAATCTTTGAAGCAAAAAATATAAACATAACAGACAGGATATGGGAAATAGGCAGGAACTAAAATAAGGCAGTGTTACAGTTGACATTTCACATGTATAGATATTTATATTGACCCTTTTTTTATGAAATGAGTGTGGTTGTCTAAACTAGTTTTTAGCAGCTGGGTTGCCAGCCCAACCAAGCCAGACAGCCTATATGGCACTAATCAGATAATCTAGATGATGATTATCGGCCTGATGCATAAGCTACAAAAGCTTTCAGAGTCATGATGCCTCTATGTTAAAATCCAAAACATCAACAGCCCTTCACCACTGTTGCCTTGGACACGCACAATAAGACATCAACACAGTGACCAGAGAAGCAAAATGGCATGTTAGTAATTCCTTTCCTATTACCCAATTCTCCCCTTTTGGCTAGAGAATGTCACTCACTCCTGTACTACACCAAGCACAACAATAAATTCTCCTCAAGTTATTTCTTTATCACGGGCAAACGCAACCAAAAGAACAAGAGAGAGTGAAGAAGAGACACACCAAAATTAAAACACTCTTGGTATAGATTTAAGGGTCAAGGATGCATCAAAATAAAACTTTCTACATTTTTTTTAAAAGACACTAAAAGACGACAGTTAAGGTGGTTCACCAGAGGAACTTATATAAACAAAAGTATGCTATGCAAATTTTCATAACTTTTCCATGTTGGTCTTAATAAGTTGCCTCACGTGAGCTTTTATAAGTTTGAAACAACAACACAACTCTCTCTGCGGCTGAAGTTGGATTCTTATTGTCTTAAAACGACCAAACGCAGCTGGACTATTTACTTTGGAAACATAAGTAAGAAACCACAGGAGAGAGAGGTTTTATAAAAGCAAGCCCCAGGGCATTTCAAATCAAAAGGTGCTGATATGCGCTGTAGCCGGAAACCTGTGAACCATCCATTTCATACCCTCTTAGTAAATAGTAGATAGCTCCAGGTCCTGGCAGGGGAAAGTAGGTTTTACTGAGTCATTCACTGTACAAGTTATAAGTGTCCTGCCTTGCACACAGCTGGAGGATTGTGCACACTACACATCCTGTACAGCTGCAGGGAAAAACAAGCGTGAACACACAGAAGAGATAAACACAGCTCCCTTAGCCCTGTCAGTGAGAACATTTCAGAGATAGGTTTAAAAAGGACAGAAACTGCAAACAAATTCAAAGTGAATCGATTTGAATGAAGTCAAAAGAGGCACGCAGGCTCAGGCTGGTTGTGCAGCTTTGTTCATGTAGAGAGAAAGCCCAGGACACTTGAGTAATTTCACTAGTGGACTGGGTCACACTAATACAAAATGCTGCAGGCAGTAGCTGCATGGCTCCGGCTTGTAAACATGGCTTCAGTGAACAAACTTTACACAATGGTGTGCAGTCACAGGTTTACAAGATCACAGTGGTTAGCCAATAGCTGCTTGTGAGAAAAAACACTTCAAAGATCATCTTAAGAGACCTCTTCTTTATTCCTAAAGTTCTGCAGTTCAGTTACTTGTCTGCGGGTCCTCAGCAGGATGTGAAGGCTGTGCTGGAAAAGTCCTATTTTAAGCACCAGTTGTAGTTTTTCCCTCGGTACTCACAGGGGCGATTGTGGAGCTGAAAGCTCGAGAATTGCTAAATCAACAACAGCTGGAATGAGTTTTGTCAGCGTGAATGAGCTTCATTCACAAAGCGCTGCTCTTGAACTAACGATTCTCTGACTCTTTCACTGTATTATCTACCGTACAAGAGGATCTGCTCAACACAGTTCAAGGCTGAAAGGTTATTACTGCAACTGTAAATAAAAGCCACTGATCCTGAAAAGCCATCTCAGCAACCAAAAGCTTTGATACCTGACAGTCTTTAACTACATGTGTTCAACCACGGTCGCTGTGTTTGGCAGCACCCCACCTCGGGCATGGCTGACAGAGATAAGACTGCTTCTTTAACTCTTCACCCCTCGGCTCGTCTGGTGAGCTCTGCTCATGTTTACTCGTTCTGCCAACTCCGGGATGTGCAGAGCTATTTCTTTACTTACACTCGTCTCAGCCGCCCAGCTAAGCCTAATCTCACACCAGGGAAGCTCCTAATGAAAGAAGCCATGACTGCCTTATCAGGAGATCTATGGCCTCAGTCACACAGTGGGGAGAATGAGATATATAGACTTCCTCTTCCTTGTGCGTGTGAACATGATATCCAAATGGATTTTAGTTCAAACAGTTCCTCACAGGTAACAAGAACAATGAACCTATTATCAAACCAGCAGCATTGCTTCTAATATGATCCACTGTGATAAAAATGAGGTTTACCTGTTAGAGACTGAGCTTTCCGCTCAGCTCTGTCCTGCTGTTTTGCGTTGGTGACAGAGCCTTTACTCTTCTCCGAGCTTTGCTGCTTTTCCTTGACTTTGGCCTCCAGGGCTTTTATACCAAGCTGTAACTGGCTGGTGTACTTCTCATGCTGTGGGAGAACAGACAGGAGGGAAGCAGGATGTGATAACCAACAATCAGTACAGCTGTGACTGCCATCACACATTCACTATACAGTACAAGTAACATCCTACAGGGCTCTCTGCACAGTACATAGAACTTAGAAAACAATCTTTTACATGAAAAAATCATAAGAAAGCTCAATGTATGTAGACAGACTCTCTGTTTATGATTCTCTGCAACATTTTTGGTGGAGATGTTCATTTTAGCGGGAGGCAACAGGTGGCTATGGTTCCTAAAACGAACCAGGAGGATCCATGTGGAAAATTATTAAAATGACAGATTTCAAGGAGGATGCAGAAAAGCATTAAAACATTTGAAATGTAACAGATATTGTGTAAAGGTGATAAAAAAAGAGCTGAGTCTGCTCTCTACCACGTCTTATCCAATTAGTTTTAAAGCTGAAGAGCTGATCCAGGGGAGTAACAACTGTCTGGAACAAGGACCAGACTAGAAAAGGTCCCATAAGGTCACCAAGAGTTGACACCACATTTCATTACCCCACTTCAAATCCTTACAAGCAACTTTTAATAGTCCATCAGCTCAACAGAAAAGGCTTAAAAGTAAGTTAGCCATATATTTTGATATCAATTATAATTGTAATTTCATGCAGAATAATCAACAAAATAATAATTCACAATGAAAAATAGCATAGAATCATTATAGAGGATTCATTGCAAATATGTCCTCACTCGTATCCCATGAAACACAGCTAGAGTGACTTACTTTGAGAGCTTCCTCCGGTACCTTGTGTTGACTTCTCTCCAGGATATAAACATGAGCATGTGCAGGAGGAGTTAAAGTAAACAGACCTGAGCATGACTCGGTAAAACATTTTGATAACACTTGTTTTTATATTCACTGCTTCACGTGCGGGGACTCTAACGACATTTACACCCATGCCTAGTTTTTACATCATCTCCTCGGCAGGTCAAAAGGGACTTTTCCTGCTGCTTGCGTACAGATAAGCAGGGCTGCAACCTTAAACAACCTCTTTTCTTCAGCGTTCACTACTTGAAATATGATTTTTTTCTGTCAAAAACGTACAGTCAGAATGAACAACTCTCGCTCCCACCATGATATCTTAACTAAGTTTTACCATTCAGGAGTTTTCCTATCTGGGGTCAAAGGGTGCGGGAGATTTTCAGTCCACGGTCATCCATAATCTAAAACTCCTGACTGAAAAACCAAAGGGGATTAACATGCCGATAGAGCTGAAGGCCACAGAGAGAAAAATCAAGTGGAAGACATCTACAGTGGTTTACCAACGGCTCTCTGAAACGGCTCTGAAGAATAGATACTCTGCAGTCACACTTTCAGTGCTTAAGTCAAATATGAGACTTACACTTCTAGGAATAATATAAGGAAAGGATATCGTAGCCAAAGCGAATGACGTCAGAGAGCTTGAGGGTGATGTACGTCTGGTCCGGGATTCTTAAATCGTTCACAAATGTCTGCAAAATAACAACAAAAACAACAATCAGCTCTTGAAATTTCTCAGATGATTAATGAAGTGAATGTGTTAACTCACAGGCCACAGACTCTCTAATTCCTTGTGGCATGTGCCCAGGTACTGTAAGGTGCTTTGCAAATGACCCTTTTCCCATTCAAAGTAAATCCACCAGCACATTGAAACTCTGATGAGATTAGGTTGTTACGCAACAATCTCTTTGGCTTTTGTCGAATTCGTGAGGACAAGTAGAAGAACAAACATCAAGTTTTTGTGTGTGTTTGTAATCAATAAACCTTTCCTCTGCCTAAACTCACAACTGGTGGATCAGTTTGTCATCAGATCAATAATGTAAATGTTATGAAAGATAACACTAGATGAGAAATTCTAAATTGAAATAGCCTACATGAAGATATTTATAGAGGAAAACGTGGATTTCTGTTACAAGACCTTACACTGTTCTGCTCTGATTCGTTTGGCTGCGGTTACTGAAGCCAAAAGAAACACTCCCTGAGAACAATGAGGGGTTTCTCCTCCTGCTCAACTCTAGATTTACTGGGATAATAGTGAAATGAAGTGGCAACTCAGAGAGGAAGGGGGAGGGAGGCTGTATGGTGAAAAGGGGGTCCAGACCAGCAGGGAAATCCAGCCTCCTGATAACCACTGTTCCTCCAACCGTCGCCGTCTCTGGCACACAGACAGAGGTATCTGGTGCTCTGAGAACTGTTACGGACTTGGGTCTCTATGGAGCCCGAGTCTGGCTCCTTTGTCACTCTGGTCTGAGGCCGTTAGGCCGACATTGGAGATGGACTTGCTCACCCCGTTCAAGCTGCCCAGGTCCTTCACCATGTGCTCGTCTCTGTTTGAGTCGTAGTTGATCACGGCGTGCTGTTTGTCCACACTGCGAGACTGCAATAGACAAGCAAACATCATTAGAGCCGATCATCGGGGGCACTTCTTTTGAGAGATGACTGAAATTTTACAAAGAAAACACTGAATGATATGCTACTCTGATCTTGACATTTAAGGTTTTACTGCAACAGTTTTGGTTTAATATAAAAGTAGACTTATGTTTGGATTTTGACAAGGTTTCCTTATATGCTTCTTGAGTTGACTTTCTGATAAAGCACAGGAAAATAAATGTTATTTGTACCCTCGAAAAGATTGGAACATGAGAGCAGAGGCAGTACACCCAGTTTTCCACCCATCAAGTAAAATGGATACATACTGAGTGAAAAAGCTTTACTTTGTACTTTTTTTAATTATTATTATTACTAATTGCAATAAATTCAGGCTCTTGCTATGCTTGTACTGCAGTAATAATGAAAACAGCAGTTTATTGTGGAGCCCTCCTGCATAAGTATAAATTTAAAAAACTTAAATATGATACCAATAGGTGTTCATCTTTTGCTAAATTTAGCTTTATAGCTCAGGTCCTTGGGCATAATCCCTGTAGGAAAAATGTGCTGACTTCTTCTCATGCTTTCATCAGTTAGGTGCAAATCGTACACGTGATGCAGACTGACTCACTCTCTCTTTGCTATGCTCATTAGTCACTCTGGGCCCCCTCATCACAACAATTACCAAGGATTGAAGCTGACTTGAACTCCAGTCTTTGAATGGTCCATTTACAAGCTTGTCATAAATGCTTCCTCATCATCTAGAGCAGCGTAAACATGCACAGTTTGAGTTTTGCTATTCGCTAAACAGACTTTACTTCTTACGGTGAGTTTACATGGTTAGGAAAACCATGCAGCCAAACGTCATCTCTTTAGGACTTTGATTCAACTTGTCCCTCTATTGTAAATTAAAGTTTGCTTCTTTTGGTTATTCTTGGAAATAAAACCTGCTATCCTGAACAACACAAGAGGCGTGCACAACTATTGTAAAAGGCTTCTGGTCGTTAATACACAGATGCTGATCAGAGACCAGTTGTCATAGAAAGTCCAAACATTCAGGGCCTCTACTATGCCATTTGGAGTATCCACTCTTACAGTCCAACCCTGCTTTTCATGCCAAACAGGATTCTCACGTTACATACATTTGACCATAGCCTAAAGAGGGAAAAAATGCACTGAACTACAAACAGAAACACAAAAGATTAAGGGGTTTGAGTTAAGATTGAGCCAAGGAAAATTGCCTGTGCCAAGTCAGGGAGAAGTCCTGAGCACTCGGGCAAGGCAAGTCTGTGTCACTTCAGACAGGGAGAAGCTGAGGTTTTTTTTCCTGGATCCGGCGACGCCTAAATGTGGACATGAGCAAATTTTAAATCCAACCAGCCTCTGTGGTTGACTTTTCTGAGCAGAAAGCACTGGCTACAGAAAGTATAAACAGCTACTTTTTAGTGAGACAACATTCCTATTTCACTGGTCTAAATACAGAGTGAGCAGAAGATGGGTTGGAGAGGCTTATACAAAGACCACAGAGAAATTGTGTTTATGGCAGAAAGTGAATGAGATGACTGCACAGTGGAATGCTTTAGCGGTGTTTTAACTCATTGTTTGAAAGGCTGTCAGGGGCAACTTTGTGTGGAGGCACTGTCACTGGGTTACACACTCAGAAACGCACACATAAAGCACACAGGGAGCCTCCCACTGCTGTTTCACACATTTATGGAAAAAGCTGTGCTGTCAGACATCAGCGAGGGGTAAAGAGCCTCCTGAGCATTTTTGACACATCACAGTGAGCTCATATGACACGAGACTGAGTGCAAACACACACTCCCTTTCAGCTGTGCTGCTAAACAAACAGAGTCACACACCTGCAGCATTAGCTCGCAATCATCCCGGCCGACAAAGATCATCTCCCGGGGCAACCGATGGCGTGTGCCAGAGCTGCTGACCAGGAACCATGATGTTACACTCATATTGGGGCCACGAGTCAGGATTCTCTTTGCATCCTGGGAAGACAAGAATACAATTACAAGACAAATCTGATCAGGAAGACTTCTAAGTCAGGTGTTTAAAGTGGCATCCAGGAGCATCATCTGAATGCATTACCTTTGTCTGACACTATAAAAGATCTCCTAAATAAAGCAGTTGTTGAGAAAACATGTGTTACAGTGGAGATTACTGAGAGGAAGTCATCAGTTAGATCTGTTCATACAACTAATTCTGGTCTTGCTGTGTATTTCTATTGAGATTTAAGTAGACACCCTAAATATGTTATTGGTATTGGTGAGTCAGAAAGGTTTGGTATCAACATTAAAGATGGAATGTAGTTTGCTATCATTGTACAGGTGAGAAAAAAAAAAATTCTGCTGTATAAGGAAGCTATCATAGCTTTTTAGTATAACATATATATTCATATGTTGAACACATGTGCACAGTGCTTACATATAAACCAAACAGGCATAACATAATGAGCACCTGGGCAAACTTACGCAATCCCATACAACAGCTTTGCCACAAATTAAACTATTTTCAGAAATGCAGACATATTCATATAGATACATGATCATTAAAGATGCTATGGGTAGTGGTGGTGTATTTTAATGTGTTGTGTTGAGAGGTGTTCTTTATAGTTTGTCCACTACATTACATCACAAGCATGAGGGTAGAAGAATTATAGGGACACTTCTCCACTAGATGCACTACTCAAGCACACAACAAACACTCACTATAACTCCAACAACTAATTTTAATAACAAGTATCACCTGTTTGATAATGTCAACGAAAAAAAATTAACTTTAGAAGCTTCACCAAAGTAGATGTATTTTTGTAAAGCTGTAAAATTGGGTTGTACTGGATTGCTCAGGTGTTCATAATGTGACTGCAGGTCAGTGTACTGTAAAGGCATAGGCCAGTGGCATAGGCAGTTAGAACAGTAATACAGAGCGTGTATAGTAAATAATACAAAATAAGAACGCTGCTCCTGTATGACTAAATTGAAAATAACGCACTTAAACTTTGCTGAAAAACTGACACTATTGCACAGAAATTACAAAAATTACTACTGTATTTGTTAAAGTATAAAGCAGATAGAGACTTCTACATAAAGAGTGACTGTTTAATGAAGCATGCTGGGAAACCTGTTGCAAAGTGGCGCCTGTAAGTAACGCTAGCTAACAACCCAAACTTCCATAGCCTACCTATGACTTCCTGTAACCTTGGCTTCCTAAACATTTCTGCCCATTATTTATTAGCTTGAGACAGCGTTAATATAATAAATAACGTCTCGTAATGTCAGCGCTGATATCCTTTTAGATAACACCGTAGGCTGTTTGGGTCAGTCGGTGTCACTGACGTTGTTAAGCTAACATTTGTGAGCTCCTGGATGGACAGAAACAAGCTTTTTCCAGCGATTTGATCCCGACAAAGACTAACCTTTAATGCTTTCTCCGTCTTACTCTTCAGTGAAGCCAGGGTTCAAAGTCCTACAGCGGAAAAAACTCGACGTTCGACATGTACAACAAAAGCCCCAGGTGATACTGAACAGGTAAGCGTCGATCACACCCTCTTCTTCTTCTTCTCTTCCACTGGGAATGACAAGAGGGTGAAACTCTCCTCCAACGCCTCTTCTCCTGCCGACACGCTGACGTAGCCAGACAAGTCCCATCAAACGCTTTACGAGTTTGAGCTGAGAGGTGAGCTGAGGTAAGACCTCTCACTCCTACTGTTTTTCACATGCTGGAAACTCCATGGGGGGATACGCTGAAAAAGCAGTGTAAAGTTGCAACCTAATAATAATAGTAATAATAAAATAAAATAAAAAAAAAACACAACATAAAATCCACTCACCCAAATGAAATGTGTGCTAAGTGTTTATATTTGCTTCTATTTTCTTCTTAATTCAATCATTTTTGTTTTTAATAATATTAATTTATTTATAAAAAGTTGTTTTCACTATCTCTGTATGCCACTTGTCTATTTGGTTATCTTTTTTTCATATTTCTATCCTTTTTATCCTTGTCTCATACTGAAGCTTTGGAATTAAAAGAATATTTCTCAATATAGGATGAATAAAGTGTATCTTTCCTTCAAGCAGCCTGCAAATTTCCTTTTACATTACATTTTTTAAATGTAAAATTCAGGTAGTTTACTGGTCTTAAGAAACAAACAAACAAAAACTTATTGAAGGTATTACTTTGTAATATTAATAACTTTATTTTTAAAGCACTTTTAAAAACAGAAGTTTACAAAGTGGTTTGACAAACAGTTGCAAAGCATCAGCACAATTTCATTTCATTCGTTATAAGAAACCAAGACAATACAGGAACCCTACAACATAAAATGAGACCATGAGGACCAAAATAAAAACATAAAATAGATAAGAAAAAGAAATGTAATAAAAAGGGGGTAGAAAGCAGGAGACAGGATAGTAAATGAAAAAAAGACGATATTAATAATGATAATAAAATCATAATAAAATAATAATGATGGTAATATTATTGATAAAATGGAATAACAAAAATGAGCAGGAAAAAATAAAATAAATAAAAGGCCTAAAAGGTTAAAGAAGAGAAGAATATTAGTAAAACAAAGGCTGAAAGTACAGTAAGTCGAAATAAGACAGAGGTAAAAGAGATAAAAGAAAAGAAAAAAGAGAAAAGATGGCATCACATCAAAGCAAGTCTGAAAAGGTGAGTTTTTACATTTGAAAACGTGATCACAACATTTATGTCAGAAAATTGATGTTTGTCTATATTTTAATGTGAGATACAGGCCTAATTGACGTACATTTGAATTTGAGAGTTGAAGAGGTGGAGTAGGTTGTCCACTGACAAAAGGATTGTCTTGTTTTCCCCCAGTTTAGTCTCATGTGTGTAAATGTACTGGAGCGGTCAATAATGAGGTTTTGGGAGTCAGGGGTTTATTTTTGGCCATTCGGTGACTCATTGTGTTATGTAGACGATCTCTGCCTCTATTCATGGGCCGACAGGACTTTGTTTATCCTGTTTCGCGTTGGCATGATCCAGCACAAGGATACTGTAAGTTTAAAGCAAAATAAGCAATCTTTGTATGACAACGGGCAAAAAATAGTTGCAAAAGTTACAATCAAAGATACGATTTTATGTTGACTTGGTTGAGGGATATCTAAGAAGCCCATTCGCATCAGAAACTGATCTTCTTTCATTACAACCAAAAGGTATCAACGAGTGAAAGCCTTGTGTACAAAGTCTACTGATGCCATAAGCAAACAAAAGGCCTTGTGTCTGGATATTGGATGGTAATCAAAAACGAGATAATTTCTACAAAAACGTTTTCAGTCCACCGGCCGCTAGATGGCGCCATAGTTCCATTTACACCATTTATTTCCAGCCTGCAAACTTTTTCTCAAGTTCCACTATTAATTTGCCGCTTGTCCTTCAGTGCTGTGGCAGATATTATTGTTTTAAAATGGAAAAAAATAAATGCAGTAATAGAGGAGACAACAAAAATATTCTGTTCAAAAGTAGGCTACATTTACTCTAATGACATTTTACTCAAGAATGAGGAAAACCACCTTGTCAAAATTCTCAAGTTAAAGTTTGAAGTGCTTACGTGAAATGTACTTAAGTACTCCACTGAGTTCTGGCATTAGGTGTGAGGAAGAAATGCATGCCCCCTAGTTAAATAAAAGCAGGTTTGCCTAATGATTTGTTGTAATACAGCAATGCTCATAAAAGGAAATACAAATGCATGTTAGTAAAAAAGCATGACGGAGGCTTTTATCCTCATCTATTTGAGGAAAACCATCTCTACAACAAAGGTGAAGGTTTCATTGACACTAACACCCAATAGGAAATCAATTGTGACAAGTGCACGGTCTGGAGAAATAAATGGATGAGTATCTAAGTGAAAGCCAAAGTGAGAAGATATGATATCCTGAGAAGAGGATGGACAAAAATTTGACCTGCAACTATTTAATTTCCTCCAAACTTTTTACGTTGTCAGGTTTGAAGAGGTATGCCCAATAAAGTCTGATCTGACTCCAGTGTGGCGATAATAACGAGAAGCTGAAATTGGTGTGAAATGGTCTCAAACTCTGGTTTACTTCAGTAAAATCATTCTCTGCTGTTTCAATTTTTCTCTGTAGCTCAGTTTACCCTTCATTTCAACTCAGCTCTCAGTTTTGTTAGGGGGCTTGTAACCAACAGGTTGGACCAGTTTCTCTCAATCATGACCTCTGTCACACTTCACTCCCCTCCCTCATCTAGGGAAAAACCTGCTCTTTAACCACTTCCTGGCAGCGCTCTTTAGCGATTTCAAATGTTCACCTGCATCACAACACACTGGATGGGATTTCAATGTAGTAAGAGGTTCATGGTTTGTTTTGTCCTCTGTGCTCCCAATGCTTGCGCTTCTTATCTCCACTGGTTTCTTGTGTTCGTTTTTTAATCTTGTTTGGTTATGGCTGCATGCTCTCTTCGCAGTTGTGTAGTCAGCAAGGAAAATGCATGCTTAAGCACTGTGTGAGGTTGCAAGACAGTGAGAGTGCTGCAGGCCTGCCTGCACTTTCACCACTGAGAAGCTGAAGGACAATATATCAGGTATAAAAAAGTTAAAACCACTCTCCTCCCCATTATGAAATGATAGTTATCTATATCTAATTCATTTAGTAGATGTGAGTGCAGGCTTCCACTGACTCAACAATGTTGTCTCTGGTTCAAAGAAAAAATGTCTCTAAGAACGATGAAGAGGGGAGCTCCTGCAGGATTTCCTCAGCAGCAGACTGCATGAGTGACATACTCCTTACACACCCAAACACTACATCACCCTTGGGAGCTCAGTGGCAGCGCTGCAGCCTCCAGCTCTGCTCTGTGTTCTGTTTGGGGCTGTACAGCTGGAGTCAGGTTGGAGAGGGATGGTTTGTCAGGTGAGCGCCACACTGGGCCAAGCCTTGCTCTCGCAGCATGCCGCTGTTTGCTGCAGCTGGCCAAAAAAGACAGACTGTGAGCCCTGGCTGTCAACATCTGCTCCAGAGACTCAACCATCTGCCCAGGGGCCCCGAGGGGGAGCAGCTCTCCTGTCTCAGACCAGCTGCAGAGCCCCAGACCTGGACCTGAGCAGTCCTGGAGAGGCGGAGAACACGGCCAAGACACAGTCAGGGCTGCTGTGCACCGGGATGTTTGTCTCAAACACTTAAATGAGTTTAATCTGCATGGCGTGATGATAGCGAGGTCTGTTTACACAAATTTTTCAGATAGCTGCATCAGATCCTGTGACACAGTATCAAGGAATGTGTAACCATGCAAAGAAAATCTCTTTAAATTCAACAATTTACTGTATTTGGCCGAAGTATTAAAGTCTTGTAAGATTTGAAAGCAAAATGCAAATCCAACTTTTTGTTAAGACCTTTTATTTCATCAATTTGAGAGAAATAAGTAAAAACAGTGTACAAAGTTTATATTATTTGTTTACTAAAGCTGGTGTCCTCAGTCTCAGGAATACGGGAGGGCAGGTACAAAAAAGTTGAGATAAAAAATAAAAAGTATAAAATGAATTTCCCTATTTTCAGAAGATGACAGCAAAGGGTGAGCGTGCATAGGAAATAATTAACAATCAGATTCAAAAACCAAACAGAAAAAAAGAGGCTTGCAAACGATTGAAGTGAAAACAATATCATAAAAACCATTACATTCAATAATGTATGATGCACTTTTGACAAATGATTATCTGTCATCTTTAGAAAAACACTGAAGCCCTCTTGGGAGCTTCTCAGTACACTTTGAAATAACAGCTTCAGTTCCCAAGAGTTCAACCTCAGCTGTCTAGAAAAAAGGGGGTGATCATTCAAACAAGCAATTCCTGTTTTGTTTCCACATTTGACTTTACATGATAAAAAGACACTAATTTAGTCTTTAACAACCAGAAAGTAAAAATAAGAGTCCAAATACAATCATTTTGGGGGCAGCAAAGTGCATATCATTGGCACAGTTAAAATAGTTTTAGTCAATGCTGGTCTCATTATAAATAACCCAAAAGCTCACAAAGGGACACATGATCCCTGATGTAACATATCAAAGATGACTGTGTTTCTTCCCCTGAAGCCCAGTTTTTTGCAAAGTATTCCTAAAGAAGTGATTTATGTTAAAGTGACCTCATTGAGGCTGCTGTGAATGCACTGGGTGGGAAAAAACGCACCCAATACTGAACTGTACATGGAGGAAAAACCCGAGAGGAGAAAAGAGAGAAACCAGGAGGAGTCTGCAGCATCCAGAGAGGAAGGCATCAGGAGATATAAGCACTTACTTCAGGGGAGGAGGGGAGCTGTAGGAGTTTTTTTTAATCCTGAACATAAAACTGGGGGTTTTCAGTGACTCTGATGTGCAAACAGTAAAGAGGAAATCCGCTGCAGGAGAGCTTTCACCATAATGATTTATCGCTCTGCATTCTCTCCTTGCATCACACTGTATTGCACAATTGATTCATCAGACTCATCATGGTGGAGGATAGAAATATGACAGACCGTTTGGTGTCAGTTTTGCATCAGGGAAGTAGAAAAAGTGATTAAAAAAAAACAACAAAACAAAAACAAATCCTCTCCAGAAGACTTCAGTCTTGAGGAGAATCAGCCACATACGTATGCAGAAAGATTGACTTTATTTGATACGGTACATTCACTTTTGAAGCCAAAAAACGTCTTGAATGGTGTCTGAAAAGTTCAGGAGTCTTAAAAAGGAAAACATGGATTCATCACCCACTAGACAAAAAAACACACTCACTGCTCACTTGATGGTTTTGGTCCACAGTCTGACTGTTTCTGTTTGAAATGCTTGATATTCAGGTGTATACTTTTGATCCCAAAAAAGTGGCCCCTTTTCAAAATTCATATGAGTGACCTAATTTGTGCATAACAAAACTGCATTTCCCTGTTCATTATGGTGTATGGAAGCCTGCTCAGTATACAACATAACAACCAGGAAATGCAGAGTAGTGTTAACTCAGTATGGTCAGTCTTCAAAGGCCTCACAGACCAACCACAGTTATCTTTGTTTTGTCTTGAATTTCCTCCTTCCTGGACAAAAAAAAAAAAAAAAAACACACAGAACTTGCAGACTGGAAATGTTACATCCACCAACAGCATCCGTAGACAATGCAGGGAGAACAGGGGGCTGTGGACCCCCAGTCTTTTGAGAGTGCAGTCGGCAGGGGTGGGGGAGATGTCAGGACCAAAGGAATGTATCAGAGACGCTTAAGCCGTCCCAGAGGCTGAGTAGGAGAACTGGGGGAAGTGAGGTCTCCGCTCGCTGTCAAAGGACTCCATACTGTCATCTGAGGAGAGACAAAGAAGGACTGCTTAAGTTTTGTGCTGCTCAGATGTGGACAGTATGTATACAGAGTTTGTTTCTCAATGGGAACATTCCTGATTGAAAAATAAAAAAATCTATTATATTCTCAGATTTTGTCACACCACCTTCAGTGTCTTTCGTGTTTAAAACCAGATCGAGAAAGTTTGCAAATCAGTAAAATCGTTTGATTAGAGGAATTTCTTTAATGTACAGGGTTTGTCTAAGACATCATTATTGCTGCATTTTGTATTCTTCACAACATCACGGTATACTATGGCATCCCAGCATTGTTGCTCCTGCCCTACACTGTATTCTACCAGCTCTGGATTCAGCCTAGACTGAATCTTATACCAAATTTAGGACAGAAAATGCACCGCTTCCAACTTAAAGGTTAGCTAAATACTCTGTACACCTCACTCTGAGCAGGTTTTGAGTCCTCTATATACCTCTGGCTGTCATGGCACATTGTTCTGAAAGATGAATGAACTTAAAGGTTGAAGAGAAGCTGATCATTTTGCTGGCAGGGTAGCATCTGCAGTACATCCTCAGCTCTTTGCAGGAGTGATGATAATTTTATCACTTCCATTAGCACTATTTGTTGTGGTCAGTGTCACTGTTATTACTTTACACTAACTGTAGATCATGGACACAGGCTTGAGTTATCACCTATTTAAAATGTTTTGTATTATATATATACCTTTGCATTGCTGTTAGTGATTTAAGGGGAGTTAACAGCAGTTGTTTTCAGCCATTAGCAGAAAGAGGCAATCAAGAATGAGAGTTAAGACTGTTACAAGTACTCCCTTAAAAAGTGCTTTTCATTCAGTGATTGGCCACAGGAAATAAAACATCTTGTCTGCTACTATTTTTGCTACAATAGATAAGAAGTTATGGTCGACTAGTTTAGACAAATCTTGTGTCTCCATGGTGCAACGTAACTATGACACAACTGCACATACAAACTAACAAGATTCACAGTTTTGTCTGGTATGAACTTTGTACCCCAAACTAAGACACAACATATACAGAGCTGGTGCAACAGGAAGCTGGTCAGTGTTGTTAATTGCTGATAACATACAAGGTCATAAAGAGAAGGAGATCAAGCAGCAAACTGAGCAGACCAGAACTGAGAGCTACTCAACGTGCTGCACTGCTGGTGATAGAAAGAAAAGTATGAGAATGAGTTTCTGTGCTGCAATCTGTCAAAAAAAAAAAAAAAAAAAAAAAAAACGGAAACAAGAAAAATCTTGGCTTTTCTTGCTCTTAAATGGTAAAAAGACAGTGTTTATGTAACGCTTTCCAACCACTCAAAATCTGTCACTACACATCTTCCATTCACACAATGTTACTGAACTGATTGCAGAGTACACTAACGCACTGATTCTTCCACCACACTCAAAGACTGGTTATTGGCAGCATCAAATTCAGTGATTTTCTAATTTGCCATGTTGAATGACTGAAATAAAGGCTTGTTAGAGCCCAATATGTAACAATGACCTGAAATGTTATAAAAAAAAATGTAATGAAGCCAAAAATGAAATAATTGGTCAATAATGTAACAAAAGTGTTGAGCCCGATATGTAAGATAAACAATGTAATAAAACTCAAACTGACCCAAAATGTAACAGGTTGCTACATTTTGGGCAAAACGTTTTGATGTTTTGGGCTCAGCATCTTTCACATTATTGACCAGTTATTACATTTCACGTTTTATTACATTTTTTAAAATAATATTTCAGCTCATTGTAACATTTTGGGTTATTGCTACATATCAGGTCATTGTAACATTTTGGGTCATTGTTACATTTTGGGTCATTATTACGTTAAGGGTCATTGTGACATTTAGGGTCATCATTACATATCAGGTCATTGTTACATTTTGGGTCATTATTACGTTTTGGGTCATTGTTGCATTTTGGGTCATTGTTACGTTTAGGGTCATTGTTACATTTTGGGTCATCTTTACATTTTGGGTCATTGTGACATTTAGGGTCATCATTACATATCAGGTCCTTGTAACATTTTGGGTCATTGTTACCTTTTGGGTCATTATTACGTTTAGGGTCATCATTACATATCAGGTCATCGTTACATTTTGGGTTTTTGTTACATTTAGGGTCATCATTACACATATCAGGTCATTGTTACATTTTGGGTCATTTTGGGTCATCGTTACATTTTGGGTCAATGTTACATATCAGGTCATTATTAAATATCAGGTCACTGGTTCATATCGAGCTTTTACAAGGCTGTTGAAAGGTGGCACTTCAGGATGCTTCTGCCCAGCAAACAAATTCAAGCTTGCTACTAAGTATAAGCAGTTTTTGTGTGAAAATCATTCATGCATCACCTTATTAGGGTGAATACAAAGCAACAGAAACTTTCTTATCTGCTGATACTGACATTGTGCGAATAATATCTGGCATCCTTTTTGTCAAACACTTTCAAATGGACTCTGACTGTGAAGGCACTAGAAGACTGGTTTTAATTGACACTGGCTGTCCAGAAGAGGAAAGACTCCTCTCAGGAGAGCTTAATGCTTTTTCACACATTTATGAGCTCCACAAAATATCTTCAAGAGTCATGTTAAAATAAAACTACAGAAGTTAAATAACTTGACTGTACAGTGCCTTTTTTAAAGTTTCTCTTTTCAGTGTGTGTCAAGTAAATTGAAATTGTGATTTCTGGCCTTTTTTCTCTTCATAAAGTCTTACAGGAAATGTTTATCATCTCAGTCACACAGCATTTCATCTTCCCTCACACAGTCAGCAGCTCTCATCAGTCTAAATGTCACATTAAAACACAACTCCATAAAAATCCTGGAGTAATAAAAAAAAAAAAAGTAATCCCCTCATGATCTCAAGTTGTGCAATCGCATATAAATTGTATTAAGTGTACTTGTGCTCATGTGGCTGTGCATGGTTTGGTGCTACCTTGTCCGGGTGGCGTAATAGTGATGGTCTGTGCTGTGAACTCCTCGTCAAAATATCGTGTGTCTGTCTCCGAGGTAACTTGGGGCTTAAACGGCGGGACCAGCTGTTGGAGAAGGAGTGGAGACAAACATATCAGCACATCAGCGCTGTCAGTCCATTTAATAACAGTTGTCTTCTTGATGACAGGCTGCATGGTTCGTGGATGGTGGCGCTTCGAGTGACGTCACTTTTTTTGCACGTCAGGAGAAATTACGGTCACTCGCGCACTGGGGCCTTCCAGTGATGACAAGAAAAATCTGAAAGAGAGATGAAGCAGCAGAAACATTTTAGACACTGACCTTCTTCTCGTAGACATCTTGCCATTCAATTCCCGCAAAGAACTTGTGCTGCATGATTTCCTTTGCATCATCCGGACCACCACCTAACCTGAAAGGCAAATACAAAACAACTAAGTTAGAACAGACAGATATTTTAATGCCAAATATGAAGATTCCTACTAAAAATCTACTTTGGCAGATATTTCATCCAAAACACTTTGAAACCCTCCACTTTAAGGTTTTGAGGATACAGAGGGGACTCCCTACCTCTGCATTGGGTCTTTCTTGAGGAGGCCAGAAAGCAGCGACCGTGCCTCAGGACCGAGTGTCCGGGGAAAGCGGATTTCTTCCATAAGGATGAGCTCAAACAGTTTCTCATGGTCCTGATTGTAGAAAGGGAGTCTGCCACACATCATCTCGTACATCACTACTCCCAGACCCCACCAGTCCACAGCACGGCCGTAATCGTTGTCCTCTAGCACCTTAGAGAAAAAGAGGGAGATAAGGTTAATGCTATGCAGCTGATGGAATACCTGTGGGCTATTTAATTATACTGATTTAAAAACAGCACCACAACTTTTATTGAAGTTAAAAATCCATAGAAGTGCCTTTTTGGAAATGCTTCCACATAAAGGTTGTTTTTGTCGAAAAGGTTGTGAAGACAGCCGCTCTTTTGGGTCCCCATCATTGCGACCCCCAACCAAATATTACCTGCTCTCCCCTGGTTTAGGCTTTCTGAGGCCACCCTAGCCAACACTGACTCACATCTCACATTAAGAGCAAGGATAGAGTTTCCCCTGGAGCCCTGCATATTTAATCAGCGCAGTGCCTTCCACATACACAAACGCGCTTACAAATCAACAAGCAGCAGAGGTGTGGGTCGCCTATAAAAGCACATGTGTGGCCACAAACATGGACCAGTACCACAAACAAAACACTTGATGAATCCGACCAGAGTTACATAAAGTTGAATATGAGGTCGTAGTATTTTCATAAGATGTCTTTTCTCAACAGCTCTTAATGAGACAAACTCCTCCAGTGTTGTGCGTACTGAACAGTCGACCTGTTGCATGACTAATGTGCTGCTGAGCAGAGTTGTTCCAAGGTCTCCAGGGACATGTACTGGATTCTACCTCGCCAGGCGGATGTTGAAGGTGAAATCAAGACAATGAGAACAGTCTGTTCTCTTAAACCTCAAGGAGCATGATGGTGTGTAATTCAGATCTAAGAATAGAACCTGAGGTAAAAAGATGTGGGCAGATTAATAGAATTAGATATGAACACAACGGTGCACAAGATGAAAGAGAGGGTTCCTGAGAAAACAGACGGACAGTTGTGTCCGTAAAAGGAACAAAACTGCTGTGTGTGTGCGCACATGCACTCACTTGCAGCCGTGCATGTGTCTGTGGGCACAGGGCCTGGCGCTGCGGTGAGCAGTGAGCGTCGAGGAGGAGGGCAGGAGGGAGTAACGTGAAGCCGGTGCGGAGCTAGGATTACTGGGCCGTCTCTATTTCCAGCGCTGCTGTCGTGTGATTCACACCGTGCGACAGCTGGGCCTGCAGCTGCCCCATATATGTAGAAGAGCACCACAGCTGTGAAGCTGCCAGGAGCGCAGGAGCCAAGCTCATCCCTCATATACGTAACCAGGACTGCTTGGGCCCCAGCCCCAAAACTAATACTGTTACACTGCCCCAAAGGAGCAGAGGCAGGGGGAGGAGAGAGCAGATAAAAGCACAAACACTTGCTGCTGCTGCTGCTCTGGAGCTCCACTCTTCTTTGCTCGAAAAGTTGAAATCTGACGGACAGTTATTTCCTACTCCTGTGAATCTTGATCAGTTTTAGCAGTTTTTCCCTCACAGCTAACTCTCCTCAGCCGATAATGTTTTCCTCTGTAATGACCAAACTTAAGTAACAAAGGGAATTTGTCTAACTCTTTCCTCCAGAGAGAAACTCTGGTCAGGTTTTTTAATCTCTCTCTTTCTCTCCCCCTCTCCTCCTCCTGTCTCCTGCTCTGGGTGGAATATTCCCAGACGTTACAGCATTCCTGTGCAGCACACACAACAAGGTCATTGTTTACTGCAGAACAACCTGTAACACTGCCTGGCCCGCACTCCATAGAGACGCTCGCCAGCGACCCTGCAGCCATAGCAACGCCCCCTGATGTCTCCCTGCTCTACGCTGCAGAAGCTGGAAGCTGTCATAAAGACGGGGTTCAGATCAGAGAAGTAAAGTAGGTGGACTGGTGGGGAGTCTAAGGAATGTTTAAGTTTATGAGATACAGGAAACACAAAATATTTTCATCATGTCTGTCCAGGTGTGGGGGAGAATATTCTGGCTTCACTGAATTTGGTCCAAGTTAAAAAAAAAATGGATCTGCTCCTGTGAGAGTCAGCTGGGGAGCTGTGCTTACAACAGCTCTGATCAGGTCTTGAGGGGCATCCAAAGCAGCTCTGGTGCTGAGGCTCTCCTTGTGCCACACAACAGTTGCAGCCAATGTGGTCTTTTTTTTTTTTTTTTTTTCTTTCCAGAGGCGGAAGCTCACGTTTCCTGAAGCACTGCCAGCCAATCACCCCCTCCTCCCCTAACCAGAAAATTCCAAATGGAGGCTAAAAACAACGATACAGCAACTGTGTCAACATGGACACCCTTCTCCCGGAAAACATTTTTACGGCAACAGGCGAGGGGGCATGCGCAAACATTCGCATACTTATTCACACACACACACTGCGCCTTCACTCACAATGCAATATCGGGTTACACAGCCCACTCAAACACTTGTCATACCTGCACGCAATAGGGAGTAGCCACACCCCTCCCCACACAGCAAACATAGGAGCAGATCGCCCTGCCCTGGGCACACAGCACACTCATTAACTCTCAGACTTCAGCTGGAGATTAAAAAGGCATCCACGACAGCTGCCTTTTCTCCTACATACTTCTCATCAATTAATGTCCAACAACACACACACTGCACTTTGTTTGGATTCATGTGTGTAGGATCTTGATCAGTTTTTTTCTCCAAAGAATGAGTAAATTATAAACAGTGACACACTTTCAAGAAAATGTGGATTTAACATTTCGGGCAGAGCTGGTACCTCAGGAGCTAAGTACTCTGGTGTCCCACAGAAAGTTTTCATGGTGGCGCCGTCTTTGATCCCCTCTTTGCACAGACCAAAGTCGGTGATCTTTATGTGTCCATCTTTGTCCAGCATGAGGTTTTCCAGCTGAAGAGGAAGGACAGAGATAAAAGATGGTGGCATTATCACAAAATGACTCAGTCTTCAGGGAAGTCAACAAGCACATTATTCTCAGAAGTGACAGGAACAAAAATTCAAAAATGCACCAAAGTACAAGTATCAGTTTACATATTTTTGATCACAAAATGGTGCGAGAATGAGGTTAATGTTCCTGGAATATGCTGGCTGTCTCAAAGTCGAGGCTGAACATGAAAGGTGATAGAGCCTTTTCTGACAGGGCTCCTCGACTTTGGAACACCCTGCCTGAGGAGATAAGGCAGGCTGAATCAGTAACATCTTTTAAATCATATCTTAAAACTCACTTTTTTAGACTTGCTTTTATATGACACCTTTACATGACGCACGATTTATTTATTTTGTTGCCTGCAAACCTCTTGTTTAACCTTTCAGGTATTTATCATTATAATTACTACTTTAAGTCCTTTTTTGAACATTTTCTCATGTTTTAATAGACCTTCTCCCTTTTCATTATTACTCTTATTTTACCTTATCTTATTTTGTTATCGATGTATTTATTTCTCTTTTTCTTTTATATGTCCTCTATCCACCTTCTTCTTTTTCACCCTTCTGATGTGGCGCTGTCAACCACCGACCGCCAATTTTTAACCGTCCATTTTTTTAAACTGTCTTTTTTCCTTTTTCTGTTTCTGCCTTTGTTCGCTTCATCTGTTAAAGCACTTTGTAAACATCTTTTTTAAAGGTGCTGTATAGATAAAGTTATTATTATTCAGGAGTATTTGACAGTGTGGATCAGTGAATCGATCACAAGCAGCTTTAATGAACTTTGATGATTACCTTTTGTTGCTGCTTGCCACACAGCTGAGCTTTGAATTTCCTCTTGTCTTTTTAGATAGACAGATCATTACATGTTTGCATCAAAGAGATAATCTGGATTTCCATTTGGTGGGATATAAACCAGGATCCTCCCTTATTGATTACATGCGATGTTATGCTAATATGAAAGCCTCTGTGTTATTAAGTAAAAAAAGCTAGATTTTTTGACTCTTCCTTTCTTTGATTTTTTTTTTCCACCATCTCTTCATTGATTTTTCCATTTTAATGAACATACATTAATACACATTACAACAATATAACACACAAAAACAGAAACAGAAACCCTTCAGACCCACGATAAGCTCTACGGTAAATAAAGTTTTGATAATAATATCAAAATTTGCATTACATATTCAGCCTGCATATGTTCAGTGAACGGCAATATACGCAGAAACATTTATTTAAAACAACAAACGTCCATGATTCGGTCATCCTCTTTATCTCTATTTCTACTTCCCAGTACTAATACTCCAGCCATGAAACCACTGTTGAGCCATTTTAAGGTCCTAAAGGCGGTGGCTACAGATCTTGTCCAGTTCTAGGTTGCACATTCAGATTATTCATGAAGGTTAGGAAAGATGACCACATCTTGTTAAAGTCCTCAGCTTTTCCTCTTGCCATGTAAGTCAGTTTTTCCAGCGCTAAATTAGATGACAGCTCTGTAATCCGTTGGCTCGAGGTGGTTCCCTGGATCTCCTTTCATTTTAAGGCAATCACATGTTTAACTTGCACTTTTTATGACTAATTTCATATTGTGTTATGGTTTACAGGACTGGAAGTATTAAACTATAAAATACTGCATGCTTTGAATGTGCTTCAAAGGTAAGATAAGCTGATGTAAGATAAGTCTTTAGATTTTAAAAAGAAATGATTCTACAAACTTTTCTTCAGTCTTTTTTTTGAAGGTTGAAGATAAAACACAAAAGGATGGGTCCATACTTCCTCATTACATAAACATGTAAATTGCCCTGATAGTCTCAAGGATGTGCATCGCCCTGTGTCATGACTTAAAGTTGCACAGCCTTTTAATATCAGCATGTCCTCCCTCCCTCTCTGTGTCTCACCCTCAGTTAAAGTCACCTGGCAGCTGTAGCTCACACGTGGCCAGCAGCGCCCGGCCAGAGTCAGCACATCCTCCAATCCTGCTACCCTGGCATTTTCAGGAGAACCCTAGCAGGCTGGGAGCCTGCCTCATAAACCCAAGGGAGAGAGGGTGGGAAGAAGGGAGGGAGGGAGAGAGTGCTGTGCTGACCTGACTGTTTTTTTTCAGCTGGAAGTCGTAGGACTACAGATGCCCACTGCAACACTGATAACCCCCCACAGCCCTCCTAAAGCCCCAAAATGTCCTATCAGTCTGCAGCATCTGCCTCTGTATCTATCTTTAGAGTATCATAGATATATGAAGATCCTTAAAAAACCGGGGCTGAAATACACTTCTTCAATTTCAGATGAGGATAACTAGAATAACTAGAGATGACGCACCACTAACATTTAAATTAAGTCAATCTCACCCCGGGCCCCCCCTTATAACACATGCTATGACAGGTGGCAATCTGTTCAAAGAGCCCCAGTAGTTATTTCTGTCTAGCTGCAGTAAGCGAATGAGCCGAGCCTCCCTCCAGCTGCAGAGAGGTCTAGAGTCTGATCCGGGGGAGGCAGATCAATAAGACCTGGCCACAGCCACTGCTCTGGATGGAGGCAGACCCTATTTATATCCTGCCAAGGGAGGAATGAAGTGAAGGGAGGGAAAAGGAGAAAGACAGAGGAGAGAGGCTGACGACGAGGATGAGAGAAAGCGAGGATGTACACCCACACCTACCTTGAGATCTCGATAGACCACGTTTCTTTCAGCATGCAGGTAGTCCAGCGCCGACACGATCTCTGCACCATAGAACCGAGCCCTTTCCTCTGAGAACACGCGGTCTCTTGATAGATGGAAGAAAAGCTGTGGGAGAAATAAATGGGGACACCGCAGAGGGAAATGAAGGGGACATCCATGTGGAGGGAAAAAGTCTCACTTTTTAAGCTTTGAAATATTCTGATGCAAAGTAATGGTTGAAATGGTTTACCTCGCCACCGTTTGCATACTCCATGACAAAGCACAAGCGGTCGTGTGTCTGGAAAGAGTATTTTAGGCCCTGCAGGCAGAACAAGAATGTGTGAAGCATATTTACTTGTTGTTATGAGATTGTTTTTGAACTTCATCTTACTGTTAGTTCTGTTTTTGTTGCCTGTACTACATGAGTCGAGGCTTTTTGACTACTCTGTGTCTTAAATTAGCCATACTCATTTCTACTCATCCCGCTGTGTTGCCTCCTTTCACTTAGATCTAAAATTGTGCGTTTGTAGGGGGGGATTTTCCACAACAAACACCCCCTACTTTCAGAAACAAGGGTTAACCAACAAATAAAGAAGTCCAGTGTTGCTATGAAAGGCCTAGCTCATCCGCAGCCTTTATAAGAACAGCTCTTCAACACATTCCTGCTCAAACTGGCCCTTTTTTTTCTGAATGGATGCTGCAGGGCTGGTCTGAAGAGGCTCCCAAGGATCTGCGAGAGTTAAAATAAGGTTTGGTTTAGGTGTGTGGAGGGGCTCCTTACTGTCAAGAACGGATGCTTTGAATTCTGAAGGACTCTGTTCTCTGTGAGTGTGTGCGCCACTTCATCCTGAAAGAAAAAAAAGCCATAAAAAGGGGGTGTTTGTGCAACTCCAACAATGGCTAACCATTTAGATATCAGTCATTACCCCCCTGCAGTGTATTTCTTCCCTCTGCCTTGCTTATTGGCATCCACTCACTTTCGCAACGATCACCTCCTTCTTCAGGATCTTCATGGCGTAGTAGCGTCCCGTGGCCTTCTCCTTTACTAGAATGACTTTGCCAAAAGTGCCTTTTCCCAGGAGTTTGAGGTATTCAAAGTCGTGCATAGTCTGGAAAGACAGAGGAGAGAAAGCGGCATCTGGTTACAAACAGAAGCATTAACGAATTTGTGCTCTAAGTAGCCGGGACACACAACCCCACTGACAACAACACAGAAGAATTTAAGGCACTATTTCACCCACCATGCAATTTCCACTCCTATAATGCTTAGGCCTATATGTGGTTGTGTCTCAGTTAACCTCTGACCCCGGCACTTAAGAGAATGTTGAAAATGGTTGTGTGAGGGACATCCAATACGGTGGCCTTGGACCTTTATGTCATGACAAACGTGGGGGTTGTGAAACCTAGTGGACATGCTATATGGTGCTAAGCCACACAAGGCTGATGTAAGGAAAGTAGAAAGCAGAAAGGAAGAGGCAGAGGAAGGTTTAAAACCAGGGTGGTGGAGATAGTTATGGTCAACATGGATGACCAGGATACACTCAGGGAGAGGAGGAATAAAGCGGGTTGAGGAAGAGGTAACATAGCTGCAGGGAGAGCAGCGAAAAAAGGGACACACAGTCAGGTGTAAATTGTCCATACCACTTTGTGTCTGATTTTGGTCAGGTAGACCTCCATGTCCATGGGGTCTGGAGAGGAGTCCATCATCTCCTCCTCCTGTTTCTGCAGGCCTTCAGCCACTGCCTGGATGGCTTTAGTCCATTCTTCCCTGAGGGAGGCACAGGCAGCAGAGAGATTACATCAGCCCATTTACCATCATACAAGCCCAGCAGCCCAATCATGTAATTGTCTTCTTATCAACAGGAAGCCAATTTCAAGTGTGAGTTCTGCCAATAGCCAGTGGACCTTGTGCAAGCGCATAACAATGATTAAATGTGTGTGTTTTTGTGTGCTCCTGTTACAAAAGCAGAGCTCTTCAACTGTTTGGTTTTTCTTACAACAGGGCCAGATTCACAGAAATGATTTGTGTTTTACGGCTCTGTGAGTTGTGAGGTGTGTGTGTGTTGCTCGCTTGCCTCTCCTCGGGGGTCTCCACGTGGAAGGTGCGCTCGATGACAGTGGTCCACTGCAGGCAGCGGATGATAAATGTGTTGGGCTTGGGCCGTTCCGTCTTCATCAGCTGGCACTCTGACCACAGCCAGGGAGGGAGGCAGGGAAAGGAGACGGCAAGCAGAGCCGATGTGTTGAGGAGCAGAGGGGAGAGACAGACCCGCAGTTATAGCCATTTATCTTTATCGCCACCCTAACAGACACTGTCGGCCAATTTGGAAAAGAACAGGTGCACTCTGGTGGAGGAAAATAACCCAGATCCTTAACTTGTCATTTCCTTTCTAAAGCCAAAACTGGTTGGTAAAAGTTTTGATAATGACTCAAACTGTGCGGCTCCTTCAAACTATGGAATGAAGAAAATATTAAATATATTTACACCAATTATATTTAAACTATCAATCTAACAGCTGTTTTCCATGTACTGGGTTTTAAATCAGCAGTTTTTGAGTAAATAGTTATTAAAAAAAAGCCAAACAAACAAACAAACAAACAAACAAACAAATCCCAAAGTCAGTTTCTAAGACTCCAAGAGGACATCTGCTCCAGACAAAAACTATTCTTGTAAGAACAAGTTGAACTTTTTCTCATCAAGGGTGAATTAAATAGCTACAGTCTTTGTCCTTTGTTTCCCTCAATTCTTACACTTCTCCAGTGAAATAACTGTCTCGTAAGCAGTTTGCAAAACAATTATTCACGACAGTCTAATAACTGAATTTAGAAAGCAGAGATTTCCATCTGCACCTCCTTCACATTAACATCTGTTCCCAAATGAAACATGTCAGCAAATATGTCACTACGTGACACAAAATCGCCTCTTTCTGATAGATGGAGGACAGGGGAGTGGACCACCACTGAGATCCAACATGGCTCCATCAAAATGAATGTGTAATCCAGCTGCAGCAGCCCCGTCAGCAGCCACGCTCCATGTGTCCTCCGCGGAGGGGTCGCAGTGGTGACAAAAAGCGAAGCCTCCACTGATGGAGACAGAGCCTCAGAGCTGAGCCCAGATAAATACTTGAAATCAGGCGGCTAATAGCCACGATAACTCAAGAGTGTCGGAGAGGAAACATTTTGTTAAGCAAACAGTATGCTGTCTAATTGCTGTGTTCAGTCATCGGCACAGCATACCAGGGCAACTTTCTCTGATGTGAAGATGGAGTGGGCTGGGCTGCTCTGGGAATATCTTCCTTTTTTTTGTCTTGTTGCTGTTATTGTTATTATTTTTCATGACACTATAAAATTTAGAGTCTGAAGAAGACATTCAGAAGAGACGACTGACATCTAATATATTAATGTCATGACATCTTGTGTGCACATTCTGTGGCAGAGCCTGCTTTGCCTTGGAGCGACGTTCCTGTTGAAAGAAACTTGCTGTGGAGATGACACTCCAGCCAATTTACTAATGGTTTCATTCATTATCATTGAACCAGTGACGCACACTGATGCACGGTTCCTTGGTCATGATGTGTGAGGGGACTTTTGCTTTTATATAGGGCTGGAACAATTCTTTGAGTACCTTGAGTACCTGGATTACAAATATTTATCGAGGAATTTCCTCTGCCTTAAGTACTGGTTTATAAGCTCAAATCATCACTATTTTGCACAGATTGTTTTCAAGGTGACACAACACGTCACCACCACGGTAGAAGGAAGAGTAAGCGCGGTTTTGGTTTTGCAGAGCAAAAAATAATAATAATAATGAGAGGAGCTCCAGTAGCTCATTAGCAATTCGCCTCTGAGTCGTGGGGGGAGACAGCGCTGCGCCGCACACTGGTCTTCATGCTAGCTTGCAGCCTAACATTGTCGATGTAGTACAAGTAGTACCGTATTTTTCGCTCTACAAGGTGCCCTTAAAATCCTTTTGGCTTGTCGGAGCACTGCAGCTACCTTAGCCCCGCAGAGTTATTGAATGAGTTAAATAAAGTTTGACTTATCTGATTGTTTTATTTGGCTTAATGTGCTTTATAATCCGGTGTGCCTTATGTATGAAAATAGACGCGTTCTTTGATGGTGTGCCTTATAATCAGGTGCGCCTGAAAAATACGGTAAGTAACACAGGCATTATTCAGCTCTCGGACTCTAATGTCTTTAGGGACATGATGAAAGCTAATATCATAATTAGCTTTCCCACAAGCATTGCAATCTGCTAACGCACACGGTTGTTCCACATTCCTTGTTTCTAAAAAAAGGAAAACAATTGATTGTTCATTATAAAGTAAAATGTCTGATTTTCTCTTGTATATTGATAATTGCACTTTTACCTAATATATGTGCATGGTGACCTCTTTTACGCCTAAGATTGTATAGCATGTTTATAGTCCCCCCAAAAGTTTAACAAGTATGTGAAGATCACAACAAGAAAAGAGAAAGCAGAAAATAAAAAAAATAAAAAAGGTTTAAACAAGCTGCCAAGAAGCGGAGGGGGAAAATGCAGTGGTTTCTCTGAGGCAGATACTCACGTGCGACAGAGAAGTTATTTAAGGGGGTTTCCAGCTGGTCAACATCTTGTGGTCGCTCTTTGTAGCCGATGAATGTACCATCACTCTTCAGGAGAAAATATCTCGGCCTCCAGGTCTTGATGTATTCTCCTGATTTAAGAAAGAGATTGAAAAGAAAGTTGCTGCGTTATTAGAGACAAAAAAATAAACAATTCTTGGCATAAAGTTTTTTTTCTGCTGATTTAAAATCCTTTTTTGGAGATGACTGCATGCTTGTACATCCTTCATGTGCTGCCAGCAGCGGTTTAGTGATTAATGACAGCCGTGTTGTCCTTTCTCTTTCTGTTTTAATTCCCCGAGGTGTGGCCCATTTCCTGCATTCTAATTACCATGCTGTTCTCTGGTGCTCCCTAAAATGACCATCTTGTCACTGTCTTTTCTTTAGTGTAGGTCAGCTGCTGGACAAATGGTGGTTTTGAAGGAGTCAGGACCCTTTGCCCTGTCTGTCACCTCTGTTGCAGTCAACAGCAATGTGGACTCTCTGGGAACTTCCAAACTGTCTGCAAACTTTCCTGTACCCTGGTTGGTAGGCAATGCAGAGATATTGTACTCTTTCACTCCACCACGCTTTTTAAAAAAAATATATTTCCCCAACACAGTACAGCTTTACTATTTTCTTTCTGACAAATGGGATATTCTGGTGCTAGTCATGGCCGATGTTGCCTGAGGCCTTTTGGCTCAACCGCAGACTAGAAGCGAGCTTCAGAGGACTAAACCAAACATGTCTCTGACTCGTTGTGTTGACCTCAACAGATACTCTCTCAAACATAGACACAGACATTTGCTGCTATTATGAGCTGATGACAACAGGCGAGAAGCTAGCAACATACATTTTTTCTTACCGTTTACTTAAAATAACAATGTCATGGCTCACATTTGGGAAAGGTATGCATTAAAACTTAGCCAGATTGATCCTGAAGAGGCAAAGGAAACAACCTTTCAGAGGCAGTTAAAAGTCTAGCAGATTTTACACTCCAGCTTAAATATTTTATTCAGAAAATACCATCTGCTCACCACCACCAACAGAGCTGAGATATCATCACCACGTGTTATGGTCCACCTGCTTTTGCTCTCCATACAGACAGTATTTCGGCATACAGCAAAGTCTGCTAAAATGTGACTGCTCAATAATACCAGTACAGACTCAAGTCTCACTGAGATGAATCATTTTGTAACACTCGTTCGTTTGTGAGTTTTAAAATAAAACTTTACACATCTGCCGCCTTGTTTTTTTTGACAATAGACATGACCTCAAGCCATGCATATCCATCCGATTCACACGGCCACACTTGTGTCACACAAAAGAGTCTCTCGTAGGCGGAAAAAACTCAATTTATTCTGGTGATGCTTCAGGAAACGTCGGGCCAGATGTTGTGCAGACGGGGGAAAAAAATAGCTTACATACCATAACAAGGCAGTGGTGCACAGTGGAGTGGGACTTGAATATTTATACAGGAAAAGTGTAATTTATTTTTAATTACGGAGCCGCATATTAACCCCATGCAGAGCTATGGCAAGCTGTCCTTAATTGCCCCATTTCCTCTAACACAGAAGTGTGGAGTGTGTGAGAGAGATGGTGTGTGTTTGTGTGTGTGTCTGAAGAGGAGAGGTGGAGATTTGTCAATAAGAGCTTCTGTTATTCTGTTACACTGACTGATGAACCTGATGCTTTGGACAGCACAAATCAAACACAAGGATAATAATACTCTCTCTGTGCAATTTATATCCTTATAGATTGATTTTAAAAGGACAAGAAGACGATTTTCAATGCTGAGAGTCGTTTTTAAGATTTGTCACTTTGAAATGAAGGACTTCCTTCTTTTCTACATATTTCTTAGAAAGTAATGACACAAGCTGCAATTTCTAAAGGGATATTTTCCATATGCCTCCTGTGACCAGATAAAAGAGAAGGAAAAACACTTTAAAAAGTTCATGTCATATAACATCTGTACATGACCCTTCAGCATCAAACCTTTACACTCAATCCAAACAATCAGTGTAAAAAAACCTGATTTACTGTTCTCCACAAAAAAAAAACATCTCACTGGAAGAAACATCTGCAGGACCTGCAACATACTAAGCCTTCAATCAACAGCAGATGTCCAATATCTTTTGACATTTTTCATTGTGGAACCGGAGATTTTTCATCTTGTGATATGTTAAGTGTTTCCACGCCAACCATAGCTCATTTAGAAATTAGCTCGACCATGTCAGCCGTCAGATATGTGCTTTTCTAATTGAAATACATACAGGCAGGAATCCTTTCGATGGATTCCCCTCATGCCTGTTTTAATATAACACAATTACTTTGACGAGTCGTTTGTCGGTTTTACACGACGAGCTTCACCAATCAACTTACGCATCAGTCACCTGAACATGTATGCTGTTCTCTGGAGAAACCACACGGCAGAGTGCTATTCATCACGGGCCTTCAGGAGAGCCAGGCGGCCTGACTTCAGCATAAAATCTAAATATTCAAAGCACAGAAGGAAACATGTATCCAAATAGGTGTGTGCTTGAAGTTGAACCAAAAGCATGTTCAACACAAACATAAGTTGCCTGAATGTTTCACACAGCAGCCAGAGTGTCTCATGAGGCCTCCGCACCGAGCCTGGTTTTCCTCAGCTGGGCCCCAGCTGGTGCCTCGCTCTGTGGTCAGGTTTTGGCTGACCCATATCCCCCGGCTATAGTCCATGCCAGCCCACAGTGAGGACAGTATGTGCACAATGCACCAAGAGCATAATGAGTTCCCTACCTGACACCAGAACACCAGACAGAACTTAACGTACAAGCTCGTCGTCTCAGCGGTGAAGACTAAACTTTGTGTTCTGAAGTTTTGACTTTGGCAGTGAGTGTGCAACAGATCACTTCCAGATTGTGTTAAGACCTTTGATACTTTACAGCGCTCAGATTCTCATAGGCACAGACAGGTGTTTATGTGTATGCATGTGTGTGCTTGTATGTAAATATAACAGTGTGTGTATGCAGCTTTGTAGGTACTGAGAGGTATTTGTGTGTAACAGATTACAACACCATCCCGTTTGGAAGGATCGGAGCTTTGCCTGCCAGCTCCTCTGACGCACAGCACCCACCAGAAGTAGCATGGGTGGTCATGCATGACGCAGCAGCGCAAGGCATTGCGTGTATCATCAAGACATTCTCCCACGCTGAGGTGGCCTCGGTCACATGGGTGTCGGGACAATGACATCACCGGCTCAACTTTCTCTATGATTAGACCCCTTGAACAACTGTCTCTAGCTTGAATGATGTGGCTGTAAACATGGCAGGTCTGCAGGGGCTGCTGAGGTGAGGCCAAATAGAGGTAAACACCGAAATAGGACACCAAGGACCGAGCTCCTCTTGAGGTTAGAGAAAAAAAGGGAGGACATGGAAATGGAGGACATACTAAAAATGTTTACATGTTAAGTTTTTATCAGTTTTTAAAAAACTGTCACAGGGTTGCAGCACCCAGAAAAACAGCTGCACATCCTTAACTAGTGCAAGCTCTTTCTAGACACTGCAGCTTCCTCGTCTGCAACCACAAACCTGGTCACATGACAACAGTGGAAGCGGCTATATCCGGTTGTCTGTTTTTTGAGTCTCCGCAAGCCTTTAGTGCAACCCACCTCCTTCCCGTAACAGTCTGCACTCAGGGCATAAACAACATAGATGACCCTTGTCAGCTTCCCATTTACACCAATTTCCCCTTCTTATGCTGTCATTCAGTTCTACTTTCCACACTGTGGCCTTTTTAAAGCACTGACAAGACAAGAAAGTGAAACTGACAGCTGCACTTGACCTTTTTTTTTTTTTTTTAACATTTCTGGTTCATACACAGAAAGAAAAGCATGGCTAATAGTATTGAGTACTACCATACAGATAAATCAGACCCAGATTTATTCATTTCCCTTGATATTAACCCCCCATTCATTATCCGGCTGCAAATTAGACCCCAAATACATCCTGTGTGTAGTGAAGAATACAGTCAGACCGCTGACAAAGGACAATGGGCTTTACAACTATACAGGACAGCCTTCTGCTTTTAAGCTAGTTCATCATCACAGATGTAAACTACAGCCTTTTGATGTCACACTGCTCTCCAAAACAGGAAACTGGCCAACAGACAGACTGACCACAGCCTAGATAAGATAAAACCTCCTTCGGGCCTGACTGTACATGTAGATGCACGTATTGCTCTGAGGAAATCACAGTCATAAAGTCAAGTGTGACAGCAGACATGTGGCTGGACTCAATAAGATTAGGAGAAGGACAAAAGAAGAGGAGGAAGAGCGATGTGACACCAGATGAGAGATGAGGAAACTAGTGAGGATGAGAAAGCTGTGTAGTGCGCGGAGAGTTGTGCTGAGTGGAGTGCTAGTGAGACAGATCACTACATATGTTCGCTACATATGTAGCGCTGTGAGCAGGGGGGTGTGAGCACAAGTGGAGTGTGTATGATCCATGCGTACTGTGTGTGTGCATGGGAGGAGCTGTCAGGGCCTGATAGAGTGTCTTTACATGACAAGCAGCTGCTGAGGTCTGGGATGTGCGCTGGGCAAAGTGGAAAATAATGAACGGAGAACCGCTGCCAAACACAACAGAATTCATCTTTATTTGCCAACTGCTGCATAGCCCGGTGTGTGGACAGCTCCAGCCTGCCACCAGCACGCCTTCTATACCCCAAACACACACACACACACACACACACACACACACACACACACACACACACACACACACACACACACACACACACAAACACACGAGGTACAAGGGGAGGGAACAGGTTAGGTCACAGCTGGACATGGCTGAGCGTGGCCTTGTTTGCTTACATGCATGCTGGTAAAAACTATAAGCAGTGTTTATGATCCTGGCTTATTGCACTTCAGATGATGGTATAAAAATGAGAGCATACATTTTAAAAAGTTACCTTATCACGCATTGGAAATACCAAAAACAAGGACCTTAAAAGGACAAAAACATACACTGATGTTTACTTTTTCCTGGCACTGAAGTCGTTTGTGAGTAAACTTGGCTTAACAGGTCCTGGCAGGCTCATCGAGAGGTCAATGAATAAAAGGAAAAAATGTGGAAGGCTTTAGACAGACAAGGGAGAGAGAGTGACAGAGGTTAGTGGCTCTTTCCAAGGAGCATCCTGTTCTGTCCGTCTCTATGTGACAACGACAGGAATGCTGAGGTCCCAGCTGCTCTGGCTTGTTGGCTTTTAATAAGACACATCAAGCAGCATTCATCCTCAAGCCCCTAAAAGGAGAGGCCAGAGTGTGTCCAAACCGACAGCTCTGCTTTTTCTCTCCCCTTCTATCTTCTGTGTCTCTTCTTTGAAGGATTTTAATAAAATCTGAAGAACGATATTTTAAACAGAGCTACCCACTACTGTCACCTGCCACTGAACACACTCTCACATGACTTGGAAGTGTGAGCAACCCAGAGAGGGTCAGACAAAATGTGCCTCTCAGTGCCCACACCCAGTGGTTGGACTTCCTGAGGGGGCTGCTGTTGGGTTTTGTCCCCGTCTGGCCATTCATGGCTTGGGGATGAGAGGAAGGGAGCCAGTGGTAGCTGCCTGGACTCTGCATGTGTGTGTGAGTGTGTGTTTGAGTGGTGAGAATCGGATGAGAAGGGGAGGTAGGCGGAGGTTGAGGATTAGGGAATTAGAACTCCAAAGCGAGGGAGGAGGAGGAGGGGAGCGGGCTGCGTCTTTTGTTGGTTTTTCCTCAGCCGCCCCCGCCATCCCTTCGGCCCTTTTCTGCCGGGTTCTGCCTGTAGGCTGCAGCTGCGGCCTGCCACCCTGTGCCCTGCATCTCAATGAGCCATGGGTCGCCCGCTCCAGAGGAGAGGGGGCTCCCTGATGTAGGGGTCACAACTGAGCCCCAGCAACCACAAAACTCCGCCTTATATCATTCCCTGCTCTCACTGCAAAGCACTTATCGAGACTTCTCGTGCTGCCCGAAGAATCACCCATCTTCTCATTTACCCCCTTTCACAATGACCATATAAGGCAGCTCCAGCTCACATGCTATCCTAAACTGTCCAGGAATTTGGGCTGCTTCATTTTATTCCCCATCTCTCTATGTCTTCCTGACATCCCCCTCCTCTCTTTTGTTGGCCCCTCTCTCTCCCATGCAGCTGGATGGGGGACTCCATTGCCAGGGCTTTGGCAGCAGCATCAACCTGTTGTGAGGAAGGGCCACCCTGGCCTCCAATGTAGCCCTCTATGTCTCTTCCCCTTATCCCTCTCTCTTTCTCTCTGTCACTGCTGTTGCCACTGCTGCCCCAACAGGAAAAAAAAAGGCAAGGGGGAAGGGATGGGGAGTTGGGGGGGGAGTGCAATGGAGGCTGCCCTTCTTTCTCACGCTTGTAAGAAAGCCCTCACTTCTTCTCGGTGGTGAGTGACACCTGCTGATTACCATAGAGACACTGTGGGAAGTTCCCCCCTGCCACACTGGGGCTGAGATTTGCCCCCTCTTCCTGGGTAAACAAGCAGTCCATGGATTAGTTAACTGGGTTACTGCATGACAAACAAATAAACACACATTATTTGGAGCAAATTAGTGCCAATGAACTCTCAATGACCAGTGTAAGATCTGACACCCTTGAATGAACAAGATATGAACTCCAGAGGATCCATTTTTTCTGGAAGGATACGGTCTCCAGCTGTCAGGGATCATCTTTTCAAAGTGTGATAACTTTTTCTAATTAACATTATATGCTGATGTTGAGGATGTTACACATAACTGATCATACAGTCAACCCTTAGTCTGCAGACAGCTGAGCCCCCCTCCTCCGCAACTCCATCCCCATCCCCCTTTCCCTTCCTAAACTAGAGAGAGGTGCCAGTGATGTGATTGATGTCGGAGACTGGGAGCTTTCGCTGATCCAGAGCTGCTTCCGCCATGGGCCTGAGTTTTCAGCAGGGTCATTATCCTAGCAACAGGGTGGTGGGGATGTGGGTGAAGAGCATGTGCTGGAAGTAGGGAATGAAGGGTGGAGGGGAGCAGAAATAGGCTCGAATCAAAAGGAGACAAAGAATGAGTGTAGAAACTAAAGAGAACAAGAGGTTCGACAGGAATGAGGGCAGTGAGGGAACAACGGGAGACAAAAAGGGAAAAGAGTAACAGAGATGGAGAGCGCAGCAGGGGCACCACAGTTGTGTGGAGCAGGCGGACTCTGCACAGCAAAGTAAGCACACAGCGGGCCCACCTCGAGCTGAGGGGAGCAGTGGAGGTGCCACCTCCCTCAGCCTCCTGGTCCCCCCACCATGCCAGCCTGCCCGCCCGCCGACAGCTGCACCCCACTAATTTACTTCTCTCCACCACATTTAACAGGAAGACTATTTCCCATTACCCAGGGCGGGGGGTCCATGCTGACGGCCAGACACCCGGCCAGAGCGCTGGCTTCCTGGTGTGACACCCTCTGCTGCTGGACCCCGCCTACAGGGGCTCCATATGCAGATTGGCTTCCAGCTTCTATCAGCTGGATGGTGTCTGATTATTCCATAACTAAAGTTAGGGTTGGTTGTCGAAAGTTATTTGAAAAGTTTTGAAAAGAAATACGAAACCCATCATAAAACCATGCACCCCTATTTTGTTATTCTCCAGCTCTCTTAAGAGACATAAATCACCATTTTATGGCGCTTTTTTGATATTTTCATACAAGCAGAGGTGACAGTTTAAAGCTTCAATTTAATCTAAATTGGGCAAAGACTATAAGATGACAGACTGAATGTTGAAACTAAAAAATTTTAAAAAATACGTCCTTGATGAAATTTGGTGCCAGCCACACATTTTAAAACGGTTATGACAGGGGCCTGGGTTGCACCACCTCTTCTTCTGAAAATACTCTGTAAACATTTGGGAACCCAGGAGAGTAAGGAGAACAAGGAAAAAAGACAAAAAAATTACCCCCTGAATCACAATGTCCTTACTCTTATGGAACTAAGGGTGTTGTTAAAGGGATATTCCGGCGTAAATTTAAGTTATGGTCAAACACAACTCACCCACTCTCCTCCAGCAGCCGTTTGTTTGTTTGTGGAGGGAGCCCTGATAAGTCCATTACCGAGTGCAGCGGAGTTTCGCAGCTCAAGGAAGAACATTTATGAGTATTACTTCATGGAAATGCAATCAGACCGAGACGTTGAGGCTGAAGAACTACCACGTCTGCAGAGCAAAATGATTATTATGATGATTATTACTTCATGGAAATGATCTGCTGCACTCGGTGATCGACTTGTCAGGGCTCCCACACAAACAAGCGGCTGCTGGAAGAGAGTGGGTGAGTTGTGTTTGCCCTCTTTGCTAAAGAAATCAGGCAAAGTTAAAAAGATATTTAGTGGCTAGTACTTTGGCTGGGACCCTATATGTACTGTTGATGAAGTTAGGTGCTGTTCTGAGCATTATTTGTGGCTATAGAGTGGCGTTTTTTTGTTGAGGTGTGCATGTGGAGCAATAGACCGCTATGTATTGCTATCGTGAGGTCCTTACTAAAGTTGGTATAACTAGAGGAGCAAACAGTCAGCAACATTCATCTGTCAAGGAGGTGTCTAACTCAGTGTTAGTTTAACGCCAGAATATTCCTCTGGTATTAAAAAAGACCCTCGATTTCTGCTCTGATTTATGATTAACAGTTTTATTTAATGTCTTACATTTGCTTATCAAATTCCTTCTTATATGAGCTCTGATAATAAAACTTCAGCTGATTATCACTGATAGGCCGTCTTTTAGTTATAAATGTAATGCTAGAAGACATTTGGTTCAGATAGACGTCAAATAACAGGAGTTACACAAAAGGGTTCAATTGATCACATTATTGTTCATGCATTAAATGCTCCAATAAAACTGTCTCTGCAACTTTCATTTAAATACAAGATTTTAACTAAATCCAATACGAAATGTAATCTCTTTAGCAAAGGAATGAAGCCGTGCATAACTGCTTTTTCAGGGAACAAATGCCTCTAAATTTTCCTTGAAAGCCTGATAAAAACAAAAACAGAATGAGTTTATGATCTTCTAAACACAGCTGGGCCTTTTCTGCTCTTAAAACTTATTTATTACCAAAAAAAGCCACAGATTATAGACAAAAAAGATCTCCACACTGGACTAGCTATTGCTGCAGTCTAGCAGTACATGATATGAGTTTGTGTCTGTTTTGTGTGTGTGTGTGTGTGTGTGTGTGTGCGCTGCAGTGGTGTGTGGCCCCCAACAGTCATAATGAGTGGACGTGTAGGAGCTTGTGCAAGCCCAGCAGCAGAGCTGGCAGCCAGTCAAAGTCCCTAAGTCCTGAGACAGTCAGCATTGCAGCATCATGAGACACTCTTAATCAGGTGGGTCTGGTCCTTTGAAGAGCGTGTAAACCGAGCAGGAAACCGAGCATTCTCCTCGCAGAGAACAAAAAATATAAATGCGGAAAATGCTGGCTAAACTGTTGGAGGTCTGGACACCAGATGCACGAGGCACAAAAATTTAAAAGATGAAAAAAATAAAATGGTTTCATCGACACTGACTACTGTGTCTGGAGTTTTACAAAAACCATGCCTGCTTTTCCCCCCTCTCCCCCTTCTCTTGTTCTCAACTCTGTCTAATGCAGTTCTCTGGACCACCAACAAGGTCTCGCTTGGAGGAGCAGCTCATGGGTGTCCTTCAGCCGCATGACTGGCAAAGGAGCCAATCAGCTGATGAGCTCCAAACCGAACCACGAGAGGCTCTCTCTGTGGCATGTCACACACAACATCCCTCCGCTCTCCTGAGGCTGATTGGGTCACTGAGCAATGTTCTGGGAACATCACAAAGACGCTGCTCAACTTCTGTCTCTCTCTCTCACTGCCCCTATCTTTATGACTGCCCCTCACTATCTGCACTGGTGTGCCCTCTGCTTTCACCCCCCTCCCTCTCCCACTCTCATTCCCCCTCTCATGGGTCGGAGCCAGCTGAGCGTGCTACCCAAATCCAACAGTTGTTGTGGCCTTCGTTAGCCTAACGAAGGGGCCGGCTCTTTATACTTGTCAGGGAGCAAATGAGTCAAACAAACAAGGGCCAGGGAAGAAGGGAGGACAATCGAGTGCTGTTCTGTTGAGCTTCACTGGGTTTTTGGCCACAGCACTTCCCTGGAAACTAGGGAACCCACAATCTGCCTCTTTGATGTCCGATGATGCTCTGGCTTTGATGGAAACTTTGGGAAAACACACACTCACAAAGAGGAATCGCATGCTGCTCGGTCTCTGTGGCCACTAGAGGCCGCAGGCACATTCAAAGTGTGTGGGAGCGTCCTGTGAGGGATCGAAAAAGGGAAGTATGATTTGTGGACGCATAACAACTGCTTACGATAGTAACAACAAAGTTACAGTGTTTTCGCAAGCCTGTGCTTGTACTGCAGTCAGTGCGTAAGGGCATTGGGTGATGTCCGGCTGGCAGCGTAACTCTTGAATAAACATGCTTCACACTGTCCACACACACTCACAAGTATTTGCATATGCATGGCCAGACGTACACACGTACACACACACACACACCCCATATCCTACACAGCTGCCTCGTCCTGCATTCCAAAACTGTCCTTCCACAACAGACAACCCAGATAACAGCCACAACAACACATCCCAGGCAGTGTCCACAGTCCAGACACATTACCGCAGCACAAGGCTTAAAGAGAAAGTATGAAGGTGTGTCCTTCAGAATGAGATCATTTCACTGAGTGCAGCCTGTCTGGAACAAATGTACACAGCACTCCAAGGCTGAGAATCTGCAGCTCTAATGACAGATTAGCTCTACTGGGGGTTTACAGGGTTCTTCGGCACAGTGCTGCTTGCTCTACTTTCTTCTAGGATCTTCTTTACAGTTTACACATGCAAGCTGCACATGACTAATCAGACAGGAATCAAAGAGTGAGAGTGAGTGGCATGAATTAGTTAAGCTTACATGCTGGTGCTGCCATGCTCTATGCCTGTATAAGGCATGCCATCAGATGCTTTCATTATGAATCACCATACAGTAGAGCTGAATTAGAAATGCCTCAAATACGAGTTGAAATCCATTGTTCAGTCAAGGTGAATGAGACACACATTGCTTGCATCTTATACTGTATTTTGCATGGCACCACAATGTCCATTACTGTTCTAAAAAGAAACCAGCAGCCTACAAAGCACCACACATTATTGTCTGTGGTGACAAAGAACAACTAAACTCAGGAAAAGTGCTCAAATGATGATAGAAAACAACAATAAAACAGTGCTACAGTGGAGAGAAGTACCAATCAAAACTGTTAAAATCCCCACAATCTGTGTAAATAATCTCTTTTTTTAAAAGCACGGGGTGTAGTACAGAGTAGATATGGTAAAAAATGGATTACAGTATTCATAAGTGTTTGATTGAAAGTATAATCAACTGCATATAAAAACAATTCTCTTTTGTGAACTTAGAACGACCCTAATATAACTCTAATATAAGTAGACACTGAAAAAAATCAAATGTATAAAATAAACCTGAAAACCCGAGCATTTAAATATAGAATCTGACCACTAGATATGGCTAAATATTCCTATTTATATGCACAGGACTTTTAAGGATGTGCTTTTTCTCTATGTTCAGGTAAAGAAATATTTTAATTGAGTTGTTGGGACTTACCACAGAAAAAATGTAAACTTCTAAAACCGAATGCTGAGTTCTTTCTTGATAAAAATCAAGTTTTCTGGGGCCACAATTTTATCTTAACATCAAAGTGTGCACCCTGTAAACAGAGACCGAAACCCTCATCATTACAGTCGCGGGTTCGATTTGCATCTGCAACCCTTCACTGCGTGTCATTCCCCACTTCCTGCTCCACACATTCCCTGTGTCTGTGCAGATGTCCTACAGACAGAATCTGAAGCTCTATGGCAGAACCTGAATATGAGCGTCAACTGCTGCCTTCACAAACTTTAGCTTGTTTCTAGGTAAGGATTTCTTGAAGGTATCTGTATAGACCATCCAGCAAGCAATGATAGCAATTATCATATGCATGGTCAATAATGTGTTTTTTTTGATGATCCTGGCATCAGATGAGTACTCATCGGTTAAACTTAGGTATTGATCAAGACGAAAGGTATTAGTACATCTCCTTCACTGAATGGCTGTTACAGTGCGTCAGTTTTTGTTAGTTCTTATAAAAACTTACTTTGATGCGAGATCCCGTCAATGGAACACACACGCAAAATGTTGATGGAAATATGTATGTAAGGCTATCTTTTGTGAAACATGAAATTATTGTTTTGACTGTACACATGGGAGTAATGAGCATGCTGCACACACTTAAAAGCGGCGTAAGCCATTTATTATTACGCCTACATGGAGATGTGAGTCACTTGGGTGGCGCCGCCACACAAACAAGCTCCACTCAAGGTGCAACATGGGACGTCAGTGGCTGAGTGGGGGCTACCTGGCTGAGGTGATGGACAGCGAGACAAGGCTACTGCAGGTTCACCTTCTGTGCTGTGGCTCTGGGGCAAAGCCTGCGTGACAGTGACGTGACACTAGAAGCCATCCTGTCAAGGAGGCAGGTGGATGCCCTCCAATCAAAACACGGAGGCTCTGGGTGACATTTCACAGGGCACAGCTGCTGGGCTGCAACAGCATGCCAACTCACTATTCCTGAAGGGTTGTTTGTTTAGTGTGTGTACGAGTGTGTGTCACAACCAGAAGGGATCGCTGATAGAGCTCTGAGTGTGGATGTTACTTCCACAAAACCTCACGGTTTCCCATCAGTCACTGTTTAAAACCTGCTCTATTTACATATTATGTACAACTATAGCATTCTCATCTACCAGAGGCGTCAAAAACTACTCTTGCTAGTTCTGTGGCAGAAATAATACAAAGAGAGAGGAACGAAATCTAAAATAGCCGACTAAAAAAAGGATAGACTCAAACAAAGGTCCTGTCAGCTTAATCCTTTGACTGTGGTGCTTTAGGTCTGCACAGTTTGTCTCAAAAGCATTTTGCAACAACAAATTAATTTTAAAATTTTCTCATATACTTCCATTTTTTTGCAGCAATGGTCTAAACTCGACATAGTTTCTGCAAATTAAACTATTAGCACCCAATATTTTGTCCTTTTCGTCACTGGAGGGACCGGGGTGTGGTTGCATGGAACCAACTGAGTTGAACCACACTGACCCTCTTCCTAAACAGCAGCCTGTTGTGCTCCTAGCAGAGGCCTTGAAGAGGGGAGAACCTGAGTTAACACACCATAGCGGCGCTCTGTTTCCCTTTGGAACCCAGGAACTCTCCCAGTGACCTGCTCCCATCACGTTATCCCCTGAGTCAGACTCTCTGTGTCTCCTCTTCCAGTAAAAGCTTTGGATCCTTGGCACTGGGCCCGGGAGCCTTCAATGGTTTTAGAGAACCTCCTTATCCTATTTTGCCCCTGGTAGTGGGGGAGGCGGCGGTGGAGTGGGCTCCGTGAGGCAGAGCTAGTATGCACACATAAAGCTGCTCAAAGCCAGCAGGTATGTGAGGAATGCCTCTTCGTCCAAACAACAGGACTCACGCCCGACACAGAGCCACGCCACGCCACACAGCGCTGTCAGAGCAGCTAAATGGGGCCCGCTGGCGACTCTGCTCTGCAGCTGGATGACCCGAGCATTGAGTATTGCTTACGAGATCTTTTAATACAGTTACAGAGTGATCAATCATTTCGGACATTTGGAAGTCCACTGAGGCATTTCTGTAGCATTGAAAGTCAAATCTGTGAAAAACAGTATGACTCTAAACTCTTGCCAACCCAAGAAAGTACTGCAGATTTGCCAGAACATTTTGAGTACAGTGTTGTCTTGTGTTCTGAAGTTGTGCCTTAAAATTTGTAAAGTATTAAAAAGAGACTAGCAGTTTTGCATATTAAATGCCTGTCTCTTGCAAGTATCAACAAGAGACTTAAACATTTGCATAAGCAGCATATTTTAAAGGTGTTTTCACAATTTGTGTTCTTCGCCAACTTGGTTAACCCACAAGTTTGCGTCCTTGTACAAGGGTGGCGATGACTAAACTTCACCTTCATTTCATTGTGAAAGATACACACAAGAAAAAACTTGAGTAACAGGGTTCACGCAGTTCACTAATAGAACTTTGGCTTTAAGCAACGCAAAGGTTTGTTTTGACACTGGTCAAAATTTTAACTTTTATATCAAATCATGATCTACTGACATTATTGTGCATTATTTACCTCTTTTATGCAGCCATCCTTCCTTGACAATCACCACATTGGTCATGTTGGTGGGCAGGGTGGAGGATCCAGGTTTCCCACGGGGAGAGACACCGCTTTGTTTCCTAAATGTCCTTCACTCAGCCCTGTGCAGGAGCCTGGAAATGAGGTCCTGAGGTTCACAGCTGCCTTCTCAATGGTGGTTACCTATTCTGTGAAGAAGGGTAAGAATTAGCCCCATTTAGAGGTGACAGATTTTTCACCTTGTCTGATGATTAACCTTGAGATAAACAGAGTAAAAAAGAGACAGTGGAATGGACAAGATCAGTGATTTATGGTGCCTTTAGTTAGACTGTAGTTTTGAGGAACCTGCAACACTGCATGGGCCAGACACCTGCATAAGCTAAAGGCTTTGGTCATCCATAATGTAGTCTTCCTGATTTCTGGGATTTTGTTCTCAAAATGATCAGAACAGCAACGAATTACAAAACAATGACACTAAAGCCACCTTTAAAACTTTGCAGCTGTCGAGGGTTTAACATTTCTGGGGTTTTATTGAGCTCCTTGATTAGTAATGTGTGTTAAGCCTACAACAGAAGAACCTTAGACACAGATCAATAAATATGTTAAATTTTTGAGTCATTTTTAACCATTTTGGCATGTAAAAGCTGTCATTGTGTATGCATAACCAATACGTCACTTTATTGGTCCTATTAATCACTAAGGTCTAGCAGAAACCACATTTGCATAAAGCAATACTTTGCCAATATTGTGCTTCCCCAACAGAGGCAGCAGTCCTCTCTTAACCGAATGTCAGCGACAGCATTCAAATCCAACCTGAGACCCTTCCTGATATGAAATTACAAAGTCTTTTTCTGGCTTCTGTTCTTGTCCATAAAATTAAAGCCTAAAAGCCAAAAAACAGACTTGAGAGATTTGTCTCCCATTATGAAACTTGTGCTAAAGCCTCAGGAAAGCTGTTCGATGGCTTTAGAAAGTGTTTGTTTTGTTGATTGCACAACAATTCTGCTGACTTTCAATCACCTGATCGAATGACAAAAAAAAAGAAAAATAACACCCTCGGCTGATGAAGATCTGATCTGATATGATCGGAGGCACCAGGCCTGTAGGTTTGATTATCTTGTCTGACAATACACACTCTAAAAAGCTGTAAAGTCAGCACATGTTGAGCACTGCTGATATGAATAAACTCAAATGTTTATGACCACAGATAACCTTTGTGTGCTCTATGAGTGAGTGTTGCTGTTTATTTACACCTGACCTGTGGTGGGGAGCTTTACGGAAATGTCGCTGGTTCCCGTCAGCTACTCTGATGTATTTACAGAACAACAACAGAACAACAACAACTCTAACACCTATTCACATACAGACCAGTCTGCTTTCACAGTTACGCTGCAGTGTGTGAATGCGGCTTTCTACGGATGAATGAGTAAACAGCAGAACAAAAGTAAAAGTAAATGTGTTTAAAGATGGGTTTCAGTGGTAATCTTACCTGTAACATTAACTAATAATCAAAGACAGAATGAATGTGCAATGAAATCATTTCAGAGACTACATGGGTCTGGACTCCATCACAGATTTAAAGGTTTTTCATCAAAGGCTCACACTTAAAACCTGCAGGCTATCAGGACCACAACTGCTTGACCTTTTCATTCATTTAGTGCTTCCTTATGATATAAAGACAGCTTTGAATCAGCAGAAGAAGGATCAATTGCCAGGCCTGTTCACACAAATGTCACATACTGCACCAGGCAATATCTGACCATCGACTGAAATCAATTTCCCTGCTGCTGCTCAGTCAGAGCACGGCCATCAAAAGAGAGCTCTGTCTGAGTGGCCTCATCCAGCATGTGGCTGGGGACAACAACAGGAAGTTGATGTGACTATTGACAGACTACGAGTCATATCTGCACAGCCCCAGGCTCTGATACATCAGTCAGTGAAATTACGAGCAACATGCCTTTTTACTGCCTTTCTGTTCACTCCCATCAATGAGCAAAGTGAGTTAACCAAAGCTCGGTTTATTTTTGCTCACTGTTTTTGTTTATTGCTCTGGGGTTGTGGTGCTTGTGTCACACAGTCCATGTTGGAAGGATTGCTGAGTGGGATTTGAAAAAAAGCACACTGAGTGCTATTCAAACTGAGGATCACACAAACTGTCGGATCCTTTCGGCATCTTGGTACACACACATTATATACACATTGGGATACATCACACAAACAAACTTGAGCGCATACACCACAGCCAAAAAAGCAACACATGCACAAGACCGGCTCTGGAGCCACAACAGAGTGCTGCTGTTTTAATGGGAGCGACCTGTTGCTACTGCGGCCTGTGTGGAAAAGCTGGGCTGCTGCCAGCACTGCAGCCAGCAGCCACTGAATGAACCCAGTACCCTGACAGCGGGTCACATGGTGCTCAGGCCTCTGGGCCGCCACCGCCCGCCTGCCTGCCTGCCTGCCTGCCCTACTGTCAGTGCAGCTTTCAATCATTCATCTTTCTGGCTCAAGCTCCAGGGGCCACCCCATTCAATGCAAAGCAGTGTCATGCAGCAAGGATGCCACACACTGTGCCTGTCACTGAGCCACAGAGGACAGTCCCATATTTTTTTTTTATGGCAGGAAGCAGAAAAACAGGCCGACATCTCCACACTACTTCCTTCATCAGATCAATAGATACAGGCCTGCTCTATTTCCACACCATTCGTGTAAACAAGAGATGCAGCAGCTGGTTTGCAGTTAGAGATAAATCACAACACTCAAATAATTCAAACCATTGAATCAACACATCTGAGGTGCTAACCTGTAGCTGGAAAGAAGTCCTGAAGCAACACTTGTTTGTGTTCAAATGCCACCATGGAAGTAGTAACACGGTGATCTACTACACAAGTTCCTCTTTCAAGTTCCCTGAAAACACAGCACCAGTGATAAGAATACTGAGGGTGAGTGAGTGTAGCTCAACTCACAGCCACAGTTTCTGTAACTGTATTAGACAAGTAGACGTACTTTTTCAATCTTGTGATGAGGTGAGCAGCAACACCTTTATGACTCAGGTCAACATATTCATTTTAAAACTATTCATGTGCTGAATTAAAGGTTAAACGTGCATCGAGAGAAGATGGACCGATTCACACGTGTAGCAGGACACTACCCCTGTCCTCTAACGGGGAGAATAAGATCTTAAATTTCAGGACTCTTGAGTCTCTGCAAATCATATGACATGGCTGTGTGCGCAAGCAACTCCTGGAGATGGTTTACAACACAAAAAGTGTTATCTCTCAGCCAGGCAGACTGCCTCCATGTGAGTTTGATGGTAAGTTACCATCACTAGAACCAGAACTCCAGTGGTGCAGGCAAGGAGACGGGCACAATAAGTCTGTCTGTGTACAGGGACAACAATTTCAAACAACATTCCTCAGATTCTGCATGCAACTGGTGGCACATTTGCGTCAACGGGGCTGTGATGTGATTGGGTGGGAGGTGACTGGTATTTTCTAAATAGAACAGGGAGAGCCAAAGAAAGCCACTGTCTGCATCATTACGCCATGCTTGTTGCGTCTTCCTCGGGTCACATGCCAAGTCCCCCTGCGTACACACAGTGGACAGATGTAGTCTCATGACTGTTGAGAACATTTTGACGCTAAAAGGCGTTACTGGTACAACACGCCCAGGGACAATGTTCTTTCTGCAGACTGTTTTATGCATGTATAACCTCTAGGAGATGGAGCCGAGCATACAGTAGCATCAGTAAATTTATCTAAGGTTGACATTTAAGCTGTGTTACATCAGTTAGTTTTGCTGCAACCACATCACAAAACAAAAACATTTCAGGAGAGCCAATGCTCAGCTGTCATCACTGTAGGTGAAAAAATAACATAAACAGCATTGAAACCTATCACCTGAACAGCTCACATGCACTTTGCAGCTATACTGATTATAAAGGTGAAAATTAAGACTATAACTCCACTTCACCTCTTCTTAACGACCTCCCCTGCGTCCAAACTTTGAAGCTAGGAGCTACTAGGCCTCACTTTTAAAGCCACTATACAGTGTCAACAAGTCAAAACAGAGATGTAGCCTGCTATTTCGTCCTACTGTCTGTGGATGCAGCAGTGCTACAACAGAGCAGCAACAAGCTAGCAAAGCTAACGCAGCTGAGCGCAACAATATTGTCTGGCAATAAATTTCTCCCTCAAACGAGTAAACAAACGCAGTGGTAGTTCATAACAATGAATGAGCTGCTTTCTTACTGAGCTCATTTGTTTTCATTTGCCTGCTGGGCCGTAAAGTACGAGCAAAAACAACTTTCTCGCAGAGGGGAAGCGTTTAAAGTAACATGACTGCAGATATTTTGGCCCTGAGGGCTGTCTCAAAAGTGGTCATTGTCAAAAATGAATGGCTAACATCTGAAGAGAGGCTCACTGTTGTTTGTGGAAAAAAACAACATCGCGTTAAAATACACTGCAGGACGCTTATAAACTCCACTGTTTGCTGCTAAATAACTTCTACGGCGAAGTGAAGGCAGGAAAGTACCTCATTTCAGGTTTGCATTTAGCGATAGAAAGGATATGGGGCCTAGCAGGGCAGCCTGGGTGAGAATAACCGCATCCCATGTAAGTACAATGGGGACCTACCCTGTCTAGCTGTCGACCTCTTGTAGTTAACCATGCGAAGGAAACGCGGACATTTACCTGGACAAGAATTCAACAATGTGTCCGTCTCATTCTAGTGGGCAGTTTCGGCGGTATTTTAAGTTGATAAGTCCTTCAACAATCTGGACAAAAGTGCTCTCATTTACTCCGTTTCTTTGCCTTTCTTCCACTACACCTCCCAAACGCGCTGTCTGCAATGCCTCTGTGGCAGCCCGCTCTCCCGGGTCCTAAAGCCGTCCATTTTCATCAGTCGCTAATGGAGGAATAGTAGGCTGTCAGCCGCCCCATTGAAAAAAATCCTGCACTGTTTCTATAGGAGCTTATGAGGAGCTGCGTGGCCTTGTTGAACCCTGTGCTGTTTTATCTGTGCTGGTGGTTTCCCAAAATGGGGTCCTGGGAGCTGGACAGGGCCCCGTGGGGTCTCCGCGATAATAAGGGATATGTGCGATTTCCTCTCCTTGTAATAATAACACAGATACTGTCTGGTTTCCACATTATGTGGGAGATTTTGTTTTTGAAATTGTAAGACTTGAGGTTTTGAGAATTTAGATTTTTTTTTATTGATTTTGAATGAAATGTTTTTTTTCCCTTTTTTTTCTTTTTTTATCATCATCAATATGTGATGACTTTTTAATTCAATCATATGCCCTAAACATTTGAAAGGAATTAAAAATAATCATCTATAATTTCCTGTAAACATATTTTATCCACCATATGAAAACCAAATGTATTATTTTGCAAGTTGTCTTCAAATTAAATCTCAGATTGATCAACTGGTCAATTTAATGAGTAATCAATTCTGCTTTACAACATTTTGAAGCTCCTGTAAGGTACTTTTCATTTGTGTTGTCTTTGGCACTACATGCAAAATATAGAAAATATGGGTGGATTTGGTCCTTCACTCAAGTAAAGAGTTTTTCTCAACAACAAAAAAAATCTCAACCTGCTTTCTTATTTAAGCTACATGAATAACTCTTCACTGTGGAGAAGTGAAAGAGCTTTGTCAAGAGCATGTGATAAATCCCTCACTGTGATACGTAAATCCTGCCAGTGGTTTATAACATTAAAAAGAACTATAACGACAGTCACTCTGCATGTAAGTGTTTTTTTAGAGCTCAGAAAAGGGTTTTAATATTCATTTCAGTCTGTTTTATGACCAACTTCAAACTCCTCACAGAAGCTTCGATGCCATTTTATCATTTTTTTTGTCCCAATTAAATTATTTGTATAACATGTAGATTGATTGTGAAGCACAAATTAGTTGTAAAATGGTCCCAAACTCTTGCACGAGTGGTATATCAGTAAGTCATATGAATTTTTTAAAATGAAATATAATAATTGAAGAGAAATTGTGTGAAAATATGATGAGTTCAAACATATTCAAGGACATACCAGAAGGGTTTAAGACTTTAAATGCAATAATGAAAATCTATCAGGCTACAAAAAGAAAACTGGAGGCAGGATGCTGTTTATCTACTGAGTCTGAAGGCGTTTATTTTGGACATATCTAAATGAAAAATTAACATGTCTGATGATGCTTTGGCTATATATTGTTTCTGGGTTATTGTGAGGTAGAAATTGCCACTATCGTTCAAAATCTGAAGTAGGATTTGTTCTTTAAAAAATGTTCAGAGTCAAGTTTTACGATCAGATCTTTTACTTTGTGTCCTGAACAGAACTCATTTAAATACACATTTAAATCTCCTGAGGCAACAACTGCATCCCAATGTCTTTATCAGCAGGTGGAGTAAAATCAAAAGAATACTGCGCTTATGTTTCAACAAATCCAAGATGAATGAGCAATCTTTACCTGTTGATAAAAACTGCATGACTATTTAAAGCTTTTTAAAAGATTGTAAAAATAGTATCATTGTTGTTGTTGTTTTTGTTCCAGGAATTACTCAATGAAATCAGCTGCTTGATAATTAAAAAAAAAGGAAAAACTGCAGCAGTTGTGTCAATAAAAGATGCAGCAACTTAAAGTTATATTGCACCAGCAACAGATGTTTTTTTTTTCTTCAGAAAAAAATCTTCTGAAAAAGGCATATTTGCTTTAAAATGTCTAGAAGAGAAAAGTAAGTGTTGATTTTTTTTTCTTGAAAATTTTAAGCAAAAATAACATTTTACAGTTGTGCTGGATGATTTTAGACAAACAGTCTTAAACAGAAATAAAGAGCAGCATGCTGGGGAGGAGAGAGTTAAACCAATTTGGGACAGGTACAGGCAGGCCTGCTCAGTGGAGGAAGTCAGGGATCCTCTGTATCAAATGAAGCCTGAAGATGACTCTGTCTGCACAGGCACTATCTACGTGTGAGCTTTAGCTGCATTGGAGACATATCAAATCAATTTCTATCCAGAAGACAGTACAGATTTATATGAAAAATAAGTGCAAGGCTGAGTTTACATGGTTGTACAATACTACAAACAAGAAAGTGTTAAAAGAGCAGGATACTGGGGCCAGCTGCCAGTGTTCCCTCTGTGATGAAAAACTTAGTGGCCTCTGCCCTCTGTCTCTGCTGTCATTTCCCCTCTTTGTCACTCACACTGTAATGTGCTCCTCTTTGCTACCATGTGTCAGCCCTGCCAAGCTGTTCCTGTCATACAAACAGAGCCGAGTGAGGTTAGCCCACTTTTTTCTGCTGCTGTTATTAGTCAGTGTGCCACCCCCCACCCCTTTGTCGGCTGCTGGTTTTGCAGGTTCAAAGCTAAAGTGAAAACCAGATCAAAGAGTCAGAGTGAGTCAATAAGGTTTTTCCTGCCCAAGACTCATCTGATCTTCTCTCTTGTCTGCCTGCAGTATCAGTCCATAATGTAACAAACCGAACAGTGCAGAGCCTAATGGGCTGTTGAAGGAGAATAGATAACATGCGGCAGCAACAATTAGACATAGAAGGGCAGGAGGGCCATAATAGGGAGGAAGTGGCAGGGGGTCCAACCAATACAGCATCTCCCAGCAACTGCAGAGCAATGTTGCTCCAACTGTCACATCATTTCCAAGGATGTATTATCCACCTGTTATGCAACGTTGAATTCACGGCACCAGAACGAAAGACGAAGTTTCAGATGTACACAGAGGTTGTTGCAATGTTAATGATGTACCAGCTCGCTGCCATTTGAGTAGAAATATGCAGAATGTGTGGTACAAACTAAATGTGGAAAATTATGACAAAAGATGATTATAGAAATTGCATTGGCTGTGTCGAGTTTTGATATTCACAGCATCTCGCCGCAGTAGGAAGACTACAGGGTGGTATTTTACAATATTACAGTAAAAGAGCAACAAAAATATATCACAAAACATAGACATTTAGAAAGTGATGCTTATTTTATTTCTCAGGAATAGAGCTTTTGAAATAAGTGAGTAAACCCTTTTCAGTGTCATTAATCACCTCATGCTGCGCTACCCAGCGTTATCCAAACTTGCATAATAGTATTTGTGATTCTCTAAAAGACTGAAATCAACAAGTTTTGGAGAATTTTGTAGCAATATTTAAAAATTACACTCAAAATAACAGCAAATGTTGATGTTTCTGTCTTGAACATTTGTTGTAAAAATGGGCAGGAACAACCTGTGTACAGACAGTATGACATGTAAGAAAATCGGAGGCTGTTGAAGGGTCGATAAAACTGGGTGTCGTCTTGTTAAAGGGTTTAATCATAATTTTCAATATAAGATGCATACCAAGCATCATTTGACACACATTAATAACACAGTTCAAGCCCCTCCTGTGGTGTGGATTTGGTCTCGTTGGGGGAATGATGTGATGTGATGTGGTTCACTCGGTGGCTGGCTGGTTGGCCGGTCAGGCAACACTGGAATGTGGGCTCTTTTGTTTGTCTGGGAGAGAGAGGAGTGGGTCAGGGGGAGAATGCCATTGATGAGTGCAGAGAGGAAGAAAGAACCTCCAGGAAGTGTTCTCTCTCTCTCCCTGCTCCCCCACTCTCCCACTCCCATTCTCTCTCCCTCTCTCTCTTTCTATCTTTCTCTGTGTGTGAGAACCTTCACCGTGCTGAGCCCCTCTCTCTGAGGCCACCGTCCCCAGGCACAACCACTGCTTTGTCTTGCCCTGTGAACACACACCCCTCCTCTACTGAGTGCCTACATTTGCCAGGGCCAGAGAAACACAGGGCCACTGCTCCTATTCTTATCCACATCGCTGCTCCTGCATGCATGGATGGTGTGAGTGAGCTTCTGAATGGTAAATTGTTTCCCATGTGGCACACATCTGATACTTGATTCAAAACTTACAGGTGATTACTTGGAGTTAAAAAAATTGATTTATCCTTTTAAAACAACTAATTAGGGCAAAAAGAGAAAGTTTTCAGAAAGGGAATATGAGACTATCCTCCTCCTGATCATCTGGACATGACCACAGTGCACATTTCCTCGCTCCGTAACAGTAACAGCCGGACTAAAAATGGAATAAAGCAGTAAGTGGATAAGAATCTTGCCGGTGGCCCCTTCCGACCAGTGGCTGCCGCCTGTCGTCACATTGCTCATTCCCCTCTGTGTCAGGAGGCTGTGAGGAGCTGCAAATGGCCTTTTCAAAACACACGGCAGCTGGAACACAGGGCAAAGGTGACTGAAGCAGTTGGGGGAGCATGGGGAGGGACATGGGGAGGGGGGGGGGGGGGCACGAGATGAGCAGCTGCAACCTCAAGCCCCTTGTTCCTCTGCTGTGCCACCACCTCAAGCTTAACAATTACAGAAAGTGTTTTTTTTTGAGTGTCTGAGCAAATATGTGCCCCCCTCTTCATCTCTAAAATTCTTGTCTTAAGACAATTTAGGCAAAGTAAATCCGAGCCAGGAGCTGGTGTGGTCTGAGAAAACAAAGGCATGGGGTGGTGTGGTGGTGCCAGGGAATTCCACAACTCAAAGAAGGATTAGAGAGAACAGCCCAATAGTCTAATAACCCTTCAAATCACAAAGCATGATTTATAACTCTCTGTATCAGTCTGGGTAAACTATTGATTTAGAGGTTGGATGCTGAGACACCATGGAGCTTTTCTCTCACCCACAGTAAATGTGAAACAACAACATGGAACATTGTGGTTAATTCACAAATCAGATTTGAACATTTGAATCACTTAAAACAATTCTTAACAAAAGGATTCCCTCAAATAACACAAACTTTCAGCTGAAATGATGGTTGTCAAATTAAAATTTTGACTTACAAATCATTCGTAATTTTGGGTTTAAGCTCTGTCATCGATAGTCTGTCTTTTCTTTTCCCTTGTCTAACTTCAGGATTCACCAAAGTCTAGTGCCCTTCCTCCTCCCTTGGACAGGTGTTTCAGACAGACAGCCAATTGCTGCTCCCAGTGTACTCTGTTACTTGCTGCCGCTGTGTGAATTCACGCAGTAGTACAGAAGTTATTGTGGCGGCGCGCTATCGCGAGACTTGTGCCATTATCAACCTGCTTGACACACAGCAGCGCTGAGTGCAGCCTGCCTTGCCAGGGTCGGACTGAAGCTCAAGAAACGACAAGGAGAAGCGAACATCTGGCCGAACATCATGAAAGGACAACGGGGCTTCTAGCGAAGAAGACGACGACGTTGGAGGGGAGTAAATGTAAGTGAAGTGCTTTTGTCGCTTTGGAGAAGCAGAGGAAGCGAAAGTTAAAAGAGTGTCCCCCCTCGCCGCTTCGTTCAGCGCAGTTGGCTTTGCTGTGAGTTCCTCTGCTGTTTAAAAGGCTCCCAGCAATGCGTTTCCCAACACGGACATGGAGCTCGGTTTACTGCGCCCTTGGCTCTTCTGCTTCCTAATCACACTTGTATTTCCCTGTTCATAATCTAGCCTTCAGTTTATGCGCGTAAAATGATACGGAGCACGTTGTTCTCGGCGGCATCCAACTTTGATATCAATTTCACGTTAGTTTTCTTCCGCCATCTGTGTTTTCTGCTGTGAATCAGCTCCTTTAAACAAATATTTCACAGTTGTGCGCGTGCCTCATGAGTGCGTAAAAGGGCCACAAAGCGTTTAATTCTCATCCGCGGTTGTCGGCTGCTGTTTTCTTCGCTACTAAATGACCCCATTTAAAAAGTTTGAGAATGTCGCGTCATCTTGTGACATTAATAAATCTGTCTCTTTTTCTTTTTACAAGTTGTGTGTCTGGTTTCAGCCCAGAGTTAACATATGGCATAAAGGGGAGCACAGCTGGAGGTAGCGTTTCCATTGCGGTGATGTCAGAGCAGCTGACTCCACAGCTTGCAGTGTAATTAGCAAACAGAGCACCAGTTTACTCACTCTGCACAGGGCTTATTTTTTCACTTTAGCCTCCTTCCTCCATGGACGAAGGGAATCACTTTCAGTTGCACTCTATGCGTACCCTGTAAACGCCGCTGTTTTAGTGCGTTTAGAAACGCGCCGGTGCGTCACTTTTCGCGAATTTTTGGAAGCTCGGGAAGTAGCGACAGACGGCTCTAAACCGGAATACTTTGGATCATTTGGAGAGTGGATCCGTTTACGCTGGGATACATGGGTGGGTGAGCGCAGCGTAGCGTATCCTGCACCACTGGAAAGAATGTAGGATTTGTGTTCTCAAGTTGGATAAAGTTATTGATGCTTGTGTAAAAACCTTTCAGAATAAAGTTACGAAATTCTGCAATAGTTCACCTACTTTTAATGTGACACATAACTGGTTTAAAGTGACATATGTGAGCTCATTCTCCTAAATAATTTGCGTTCTGTTGTCAAAACTTTTCCCTTAAACCCTTCATCTGCTCTCGGTTACTTGGTGTTGGTCTCTGATTCTCGACCGCAACTCCGCTCTGCGCTATTAATGGCTTCATTTCGTTTATCCACTATCCTGTTTTTCCTGTTTTTCATCAGGTTATGAAGGAAGAATGGAGTTCCCAGACCATAGCCGCCAGTTGCTGCAGTGTCTGAGTCAGCAGCGTCACCAAGGTTTCCTCTGTGACTGCACTGTTCTAGTCGGAGAGGCTCGATTCAAAGCGCACAGAGCCGTGCTGGCCTCCTGCAGCATGTACTTCCATCTCTTCTACAGGGACCAGCTGGACAAAAGGGACGTTGTGCATCTCAACAGTGACATTGTGACAGCCCCGGCTTTCAGTCTGCTCCTTGAATTTATGTATGAGGGGAAGTTGGAATTCAGCACTCTCCCGGTGGAGGATGTCCTGGCAGCGGCCAGTTACCTCCACATGTATGATATTGTGAAAGTGTGCAAAGGCAAGCTGAAAGATAAGGAACTCTCCTCTCTGGATGAAAGGATGAGCGAGGGTTTGGGACTCAGCTGTCTGGACAGGGAGAACTCCTCAGATGGTGAGCTGCACAGTAAGCAGCTCATCCGGCGACAGCCCCAGACACAGTCTCAGGGGCTTCAGAGGCCCCCCCTGGCAGAAGAGTTTGACACGGACAACAGCGAAGTCAGGCTGGCTGTCACAGATTGTGATAGGTCTACACAGAGCAGGCAGAAGGCAAACGGTCACTCTGGCAGGTCCCCGGACCTTGTAGGTGTCAATTATGTGTCAGCGGAGGCCGAGCCCTGCGTCCAAACAGCTGGAAAAACAAAAGCTGATGTCAGTAGTTCCACCGTATCACTGTCCCAGAGGTCCCGGGCTTCAGATGACATGGACTGTGCACTGGATTTGTCTTTCAAGCCTCTGTCTAGCAGAGATCCCTTACACCCCTCCTACGTCTCGGGACAGCTGGCCCTCGACAGCCAGCAGCAGGGCACTGAGCCACTTGTTAAAGACGAACACGACTTGCTGTCAGAGCAGGAGGACAGTGAGCCGATGAGCCCTGAGAGCCAGCGCTTTGGGAATAGTGCCAGGAGCTCGGTGGTGACAGGGTTCGCTGCCCTCTTCCCAGGCAACAACGGCTCCACAGCCGCCCTGCTCTCCCAGGAGGAGGACCTGATGGACGAGGAGGGGGAGGCCTGCAGAGGGAGGGAGGGCGCCCCGGGCAGGGAGCTGGAGGAGAGGAGGGGGAGGCTGCTTGGGGACAGCGAAGAGGAGGAGGAGGATGACTTAGCCTCTTCAGACATCTCCACGTCCAGCGGGGTGCTCCTGCCCCCGGGCCAACAGGTGTGTGTGTGCCCCCTATGCAGCAAAGTCTTCCCCAGCCCCCACGTGCTGCAACTGCACCTCAGCTCACACTTCCGCGAGAAGGACGGGGCCCGCTCCAAGCTGTCCCCTGACGGCTCGGTCCCCACTTGCATGCAGTGCAATAAGACCTTCTCCTGCATGTACACGCTGAAGCGTCATGAGCGCACACATTCTGGCGAGAAGCCATACACCTGTGGCCAGTGTGGCAAGAGCTTCCAGTACTCCCATAACTTGAGTCGGCATGCTGTAGTTCACACACGTGAGAAGCCTCATGCCTGTAAGTGGTGTGAAAGGCGCTTCACTCAGTCTGGAGACCTGTACCGCCACATCAGGAAGTTTCACTGTGGCCTTGTCAAGACTCTCGCCATTGGATAAAACACCTCCCACCAGTGCCACAACTTGAGACCGAATGTCTTTTCATACACAATTCTACTACTGAACAGTTTCTTTGTTAAAACACACTTGTTTTCAGTTTGTTGGAGACATATCATTTGGATTCTACTCCATGTGGCATTTGTCGAGCTAAAGATGTAGCAACTGTAAAACTGGAGCTGTTTTCTAAAGCATAGACGTACCTGATGGTCAGAGATTGTTAGGAGAAACATGGCGGCTGTGAAACTCATGCTGGATCCGCTGTTTTTCGACGAAGGTGAACAAATCAGATGATGCACTTGTTTCTTTCTGTCTTGTTTGTGTCAATCTGTTGAGTTTATTTGAGGAGTATATTTGCTGAAAGAAAAAAAAAGCATCCTATGTTCAAACCCTATGGGCTAAACGCTGATAGTTAATGCTAACATATGTTAATACAATCTTCAGAGTGAGTGAGACTTTTATTTGTGCACATGGGAGATCAGAACCGTCCACAAGTAGCAATACATGATTTTTAACTCCTATATTATTATTATTATTAATATTTTTATTTATTTTTTGAGATTTGTTTAGTCCTTAACAAGTAAAATATCATGAGGCAGCAAAACTAATGAAGTTTGACTACTGGAAGATTCTTTTGTAATGGAAGGAGATTTTTTCATGTTCTGTTTGAATGAAGTTGTTTGTAACAAGAGACAAGCAGACCATCACATCACATTTCATTTCGCCTTGGGGTGCTGTTGCTGGCTCTTTGGTTGCCAATGTGAGAGAGCACATGTTAAAGGCATGGCCTGCTACTTTAAAAGAAGTTGTCTAATCAGAGGAAGGGCGGAGAGTGAAAAGCTAACGCCTGTAACATTGGTGCCTACTGAAATTTTGAACACTCCACCTTGAGTGCTTACTTAAACAAGTATGAGAAGTATATCAACATGCCTTCTGGTTGAAATCAGTCAGTTTTTAGGCCTTATTTAACAGAAAAGATTGGATGACACTCCACAAAACCAGCTGGTAAGAAAGGAGTTAGTCTATCCTGGAGGGAGTGACCTTAAATCATTTTCAAGAATGTAAATGGATGAAGTTTTTGATTGGCTTGTTTGAGTTAAAAGCACGTATTTGCTAGTAAATTACCATGCTCTGTATAAGGGTAAACTGTTGCAGTGTTAGGGGCAGGGAGGGGAAGACAGGTGGAGAGCTAGCGCTGTGCTCCTTGTGCCATTCAGATAAACCTACTGACCTTTCTTTCTTTGAATCATGATATTTTCTTACTCTCTCCTCTCTACTACTGATGAAGCTGGTCCCTTTTAGTGATTGCGGGAATCTTTCATCTGGGAGTGTATTTCTTCCAGATGCTAAATGGATTCTTGACAGGGGCGTAGCGCCGAAAGTTCATGATGTTTTTGTCTCATCTGTCCTGAGAAGACTTGATCAGATTTATTTATTAGTTTGACTTGGTTCAGGGTTTACTGTAGACGTAGTTTTAATTTCTATAAGCTTGAAAGACATCAAGCCTTGCCTAGCTATCTTGGTACTCATTAACTGGTATTGGGGCTCATTTTCTCTGTGCAAATCGAGTTACTGTAATCGCATTTTAATATACAGTGTAGAGATCTCTGCGGAGTGTTCAAGATTTGTCACATGGGTCATAGAGAAGCACTTGTTTTTTTAGCATGCATATAGGTTCAACACTATTGTCTAGGCTGCTATTTCTTACTGTATGTATATTTAATGTAAATATATAATCTATTTATCAAACTGTTTGTTTTTCCATGTGAAGGTGGAGAGTCAGGTGTCTTATAACAGCTGCAGTCTCTTAAAATGTCCCTCTCTCCACATGAAGTTCAGTTCCTCTTCCACATTCATGATCAGACTCACTACAAATCACAACAGTTAACATGGCTTAGACTGCTGCTGTCTCACAGGAGAAGACAGTTGTTCACAAGCACAGCCACACTGATACAACATCAGCTACCTATAGAAACCAGACAATACAAGCATTGTCTCCCCCTGCCCTCCCCTCTGAGTCCCAGGTAGTTCTCAAGGGATCATTGTGTGTCTCCCTCCGAGCTGCGGGGAGAAAAGGCAGTGCAGTTTTTTCTCTTTGCACTTTTTTTTCCGTATTGAATAGAGCCGTTGGAATGTGAGAAATGTATTTAGGAAAAGGGGAGCAAGGACACTGTAAACAGGTGTATTGTTTGGAGGCATCAAAGACCCCCCCCCACCAAATCCCCCACCCTCATATCCCACCATGCAGTAGATAAACGCTTCATTGTTCCTCTACATGGAGGAGATGCCACAGCGGTTTGATTGCACATCTATCAAGACAATATCAGAATTATCCGAGTGTTGTTTTCCATGTGGGACTGACGATAGCAGGTGTGGAAACTGTCACAATAGAGGTAGATGTTGCTGCTGACTACCTGTCCATTTCAACATCCACACCTTGAGGTGTGTTTTCGCCTGTCATGTTAACCACCAAGACTTCTTTCGGGATACAGTAATCAATTCACATCTCATTTTCATTTATTTGTTAGATTTTTTTTTAATGGAGGAGCCCAAGTCAAGAAGGAATCAAACCATTTCCCTCAGAATGAGTGCGATCTGTTTCCACCCTCCTCTCTGAGCTGACTTGCAGTCAGAAGCAGGGCTGGAGTAAACTCCGCTCATGTAAATTTCTACCAGAAATGTGATTTGGCTCCCTGATTACTTGCACAAACTTCTGATGTTAATGAGTTTAATCACTCCTCTTAGTCGTCACAACAGTAGATATGTTTCAGGTGTTGATGTTGTAAATTTCAATCAGAACACACAGGAATGTAGTTTTTCACTGTTTCAGTTTTCAGGAACATTTCTTATGTGGTGCAAAATAAATAGATTGGTTCTGTAATGTACATGTGTACAGAGGTAGAAAAACTAACAATATGTGATTTGTTTTTATTTTTAATGTGGCAGTCTTTATTTATACCTCCAGGATGATCACCAAATGTGCCTTGTAGACACACAGATAGGTGTTGCATCTGGAGAAACCCTTTTTCTATATTGTACATTTTGCCCTCGACTGCGGTAGTAAAGTTCGCATCACTGCAGCGGCGGTGACCCACTGACTGCTGTTTATTTTCTATCATATCAACATGTAAATTAAGACAAACTAAAAGTTTGCAGTCATGTCATTTTTGCTGCTTCGCAAGAGATTACATTAATGTTTTTTAGATTTATTTGACCATTTTTGTGTCTGTGAATAAATCTGTTTCTTGGACGTATTCAACTGAGGACAAGCATTTTTGTGACCTGGCGTTTAGTCAGCCAATACTACTGGGAACTAACCTGTCAGCTCCTTTAGTTAATATCACTGTTGAATGTGAAACACTGAGATTTTGATTGTTGAATGGAAACAGTGCTACTTTTGATGGAGGGCCCGCCTCATGCTGTATGATCTCTAAGTCTAAAAACGACTGGAATTTTGTCCTTTGCTGGTTACAACTGTGAAATTGTGTATAATCATGAGAAATATTTATTATTACTGCATTTGCTTTTTGTGCAACATTTGCCTGTCTCAGTTTTAATTTGGTATAAAAAAAAAAGAAAAGAAAAGCGCCTAAATGTCAAATGAAGATCTTTTTAATAGAGTTTGTAGAAGTGCCATTAGAATTTAATATAATTTTTTAATAAGAAAGGTATATTTTATAGTAATCACTTGCTTCAGTGTTAGTGGGGTAGAGATTTAGAGGACAATCTTTATGCAGAATTGACATTGCTTAGGTATGGAGGCAATTTAATTTGATCTGTAACTGTATGTGCATTTTCTTTGTTTGCGCTTCTGGAGTGTGCCTGTGTGTGTGTGCTGTGGAAATGTGACAATCTTGATTTAGGTCTTTCTTAAGATTATGCATAGAATTAAATGGAACAACTTTTATGCATTGTGTGGACCTCCTTCATTTATTTTTTTTTTGCATTGTGTTTTATCTGATCAAATACACACACACAAAAAAGCAATACTCTTCCTTGCTAACAACTGCAGACCAAAATAGAGGAGCCCTTGTCTGACACATAGCAGTAACATCAGCCACATAGTGTGTGAGTGCGTGTGTGTGGATGAGGAACTGCTGTGTGTACAGAGACAACAGAGTGTGATAATACTGCAGGTCTAACAGGCCCGGTGCCTCTCAAACCGTAAACTCAGCTCAAGGGCGGCTCAAGATGGGCTCCTATTGTTTCTGACCTGTTGCCATTACTCTACAAAAGAGATAGAGCCAGGACAACAAAACCAGTTGACTTCATGTAGTTATTACCAAAACGTAACCTGATTATATCTGCCAGAGCAAACTAAACCACATACTTCTGCTTGAAAGTAAACACACACACACACACACACACACCAAATGCGTGTCATGCCAATTCAATGGACAGTTTCAATGGCAAGAACTTTTAATTATTTCCCGGCTGCACCATGAAAGAAATCCAGCTGCTCTGCTACGTGATCCCAATGGGGATGTGCTCAGGGTTCCCACCAACCCTCCCCCCAATCCCAGCTCAACCATTCTGGGAACACCATATCGACAAGGGCCGCATCTATCCACCCCCACAGGCCCCCAAAAACCATGGCCCCCAAACCTCGGCCTCATCCCCACTCTCTATTGTGTGCGTGGGTAGTAGCTCAGTCAGGCTATTGTCTGGTCCAGCTCCCCAGCAAGTACTTTATGCACAAACAGACGACACAGCGGCGCTAGCCAGGCAGCTCCAACATAAAGAAAACAATGTCCTCCCAGGATCATTCATAAACACCCCGAGCAACCCCAGCAGGCTCACAGTAAATAAGGGCCCTCCCTCTGCAACACTGTGGCCACCTCACACTGTAAACATCCCCAGCAGCAGGCCTCAGAACACTCGCTGGCACCAGCTTCTCACATCTGCCTGACAGGATCCAGAGCTCAGACTGCCTCATGTGTGTGCAAGTGTGTGTGATTCTTATGGGCCCAAACCCTCAAATGGAAAGTCATAGCCATGTGATAGGGCTTAGCTGCAGGGTGACGAGCTGGGATATGTGCAGTGTAACTCGATGGTGTAATAAAACATTCCTCTCTGAGGCTCAAAGCCCGGCTCATTTGGCTGAGTGGCTTTGTGTATGCATGTGTGTGTGTGTGTGTGTGCTTTAGCGCGTGTTTAGAGGTACTTGAGAGAAGTTGAGAGGAAAGTTGTAAGTGTCCACCACCTCAACAAGGCCAGCGGTGGGAGCCCTTGACCTCTGAGGGGACGGACTGCCAGGGACAGCTGGTGTGGCCTGTGTTTATTTATTTATTTCTTAACAAAAGACAGGTGGTCACACTTGAAAAGGGCACACAAACACAGTCACACATGCGCTTGTGTACAGACAATGCACACACACACACACACAGAGGCACAAATACACACACATGCATGGGCAGATTTCTTTTCCTCCCTCACACTTGCATATGGTTATCATCCACTTAATTGTGGAGGGCCGTTGTTTTGACTTTCAGGAAATAACACCGTGCCCAAGAATTAAAAAATCAGTTCCCAATTAAGCAAATACGAGTCTGGAGTCAAAATATCTTTATGAGTGAGCATGACTGCTAACTTGTAGGACACCATTTTACTTTTAAAAGAGCATTTAAAGGCAGTCTTTGCCTCCATCTGAGTTGTGTACACCACATATGAACTGCCACAAGTGCATAAATACATATCAACTAGTGCCCTCACACTGGGTTTGCCTTTTTTGGAGCGGCTCGCCCTGACAGTGCCAAGACACTGTGTCCTTGGTCCACTGTACAGCTGTCACTTACTCACACTCGTTGACGCATATTTATAGCAGCAGCATCACTGGGCCCGCTGCTGCTCGCCCCTCACCGCACTCAGACCACAGCTGGTCCCCGAAAGAATGGGTGAAAGACAAAGCCACGTGCTCCCGCTGGCCGACTGCAGTTGGTCCTGTCTGCAGCGCTGTGGGTGATTATGTGGCCCCCTTTACTCCTCAAAGACACCCAACCACACATGGAGCAGGCTGGGGAGAAGGTGAGGAGAGATGGAGAGAGGAACAGTTTCTATAAGATGTTGAGAGAGTCTCTGCAGTTTTGTTTTGAAGGCACATAAACCTATCACATGAACATTTATCAGCCAGAGAATACCCCCCTTTTATAAATTTGATACATGCTCTGAAATATAGAAAAGTTTTGTCAAATTCATGTCTAAAAAGTCTTAAACCTGAACCACAATAAGACTCCTGTATTTTCCTGTAAGTGTCAAGAGATTTTCAGTAACAAAACTCAAAGATAACTTGGTTAATGATAAGATAAGATATAAGATAAGATATACCTTTGTTAGTCCCATGGGTGAAATTCCAAAATAATGTATTTTTCCTGGCAACGCTGTCATGCATTATCCAGAAGTAGGTATGACACAATCATAGATCACAGAAAACTGACAGAAACAGATGTACAATGAAGAGATATTTGTTAATCTAACAAGACTCTAGATACTTGTTTATCACTTTGACTCATTATTCCCAACAGTTTTACTCGTCTGACCAATAAAATTCAACATGAGGCTGCACTGAGGACTAGACGGATGCTAAAATGCTAAAATATTTGACTAGGACTAACTGTTTTCACATATTTGCATCCATGTTAACACTTGTGACATTAATTAAGCAAAACATTAATCCTACAGATTGAAATTCCTATTTAAGATGTTTTATGATACCCAAAAGCAAACAAGGCCATTAGTGACAAAAATGAGGACTTTTGTGTTGTAATTTTGGAGTCAACAAGAGACAAGAGCGTGAGGGGCAAGGTGTCAGCTGAGCAGCTCAAGAAGCAGTCCATTTTTTCCATTTCTACATTAAAATTTCAGGGTAAAGTCAGCAGGATGGGATTTTTATTCCGAGGAGACCACTATAACATGTCAGAGGACAAGATAAGTACAGACAGCTCAGTCCAAAGTTGAGACAAACTGACAATTCCTCACAGCAGCTTTAAAAAGAAAGAAGATAGAAAAAGAGCGAGAGAAATAGAGACCATTTTGAGAGTTACCCTTGTTTTTTTTTTTTAAGAAGCTCTTGTCTTCATTTTTCTTGAAGGTATGAGTCAACCTTGACCGTATGTCTGTAAAGAATCAGACAGCTGTTTGGGCTTGTAGTTTTCTTTGTTTTTAAACTCCACAGGTACTCTTGTTGGTGCTTTAAACTGCTGAAACATATTCCCTGCATTGTTTTCACAAGACAGGTGTGTAGGAGAGTAATATGTCCATCAAAATCTGTCAAAACGTAAAGAAATATTTGCAATGTTTTAAAATACTGCCAACAAATGTATTTTTATAGGTGTATTTGGACTCCACACAGGTCTCCTTTTTGAATCTTTTAAGGGATAGTTTATTTTAGTAATGTAAGGTTACATGAGGTACTTTCCAGTTAGTAAATAAGTAAGTTTGTACGTAAGTGTATTACCCATGGGGGATTCTGATTAGATTTTTATCCTCTGTTGAGAGGCAAAAATGGAAACCAAGCTAAGTGAAATCCACTTTAAGTAATTCACTCACTATTGACGAGCACCTTATGCAATCCCACTTCCATAAACTAAATACCCATCCCTTTAAAGAGTTGAGCGTCACATTTCCTGCTGCTGTTACTTTCTTTAAAGCTCCTGTGAGGAACTTTCTGTCTTTGTTGATTTTGGTGCCCCCTGTGGACAAAGCGGTACTGCTTTATAGTTGCTGATTTCATCTCATCCATATGAAAATGGTGCTAATTGACGAAAAATGTCCACTTTAAATCTTTTTAACTTATCCTTCTCACAGCAGTTACAGGCATTAAAAATGACAACAACAAAAAAATTGATCAAACTTGTCGTTGAGTCTCTCATTTGCTTTTATATGTCAGAGAAGCATTTCTGTTCATTTCAGTCTGTTTCATAACTTTTAAGCTCACAGGAGCTTTAAGTTAGAAAATGATAGAAAATATCTGTTTATTTTAATCGTATTATTACAAGGTTTTTTGTGTTTACTGATCTGAAAAAGAAATGTTTTTTTTGTCTCAGATAAAGAGTCTTCAAGAACTTAAACCATGTTTGGCTGCTTCTTGAATTACACATAAAGTTACTTTGTACTGTTTTAATATGGGAGAGTCTTAAAATGTGTCAGTGATAAGACAATGATAATGATCTCAAATTCCCCCTGAAAAGATGTTGTTAAAGCCTTACTCTAGTTTGAAAGTGACAGGTTTCTTGATAATTTGTAGAAGTAGTTTTAAAAAATGTAAAATTCAGATTCACAGTCATAGAAACGTAACTTTTCAATGTTTTGTCTCTTGATAACACAATAAAAAAATTGAAGATAACAAGTCAGTGTTTATGACTGTACAGTGTTTTATGTACACCTCTGAGTTTCTTTAAGTCCTATCAAGAATGGTGCAGACAGCTCGACGCCCTGCTTGCCAGCAGCTGTCTGTTCACTCAGCCAGAAATCAAGCGGTGCCCCCGGACACCAACTGCAGAGCTCCCCAAAGAGCCGAGCCACAACTGGCCCGCTGAGCAGGGGATGTGACTCAACAGCTCATAGGCGCATTTGCAATAAGCTCCAGGATGTGCACTCATCCAAGCTAATGTCTATAAGACCATGTCATGTGATTGATTTCTACAAAGCAGTGCTGAGGACTTCTGCCACCAAGAACAATTACTCACAGCATACAATATCTGACCCTGAAACTGGTCTACATCAGCGTCGTGAAGCAGCCAAGACAAAGTGATGACTGCAGCTCAAGGTCACGTTCTGCGGGGAAAACTGCAGCCAAAGTGTCTGCAGCAGAAACCCGCTCCTGTTCAACCTCTGTTTTAGTAAATACATTTGATAACAAGTTCTGAAGGTCATTGCAGAAAGGCTGGGCTGTAAACTTGATTGCATTATTAAGCAAATACCAAACTTTTATATTAAACTGTGAAAATTTTCTTCATTTAAAGAGTAAATAAAGGTCCTCTTTCAGTGAAGGAGCAGGTTTGTGAATTCTCTTTTTCTTCACACAAGATGATTAATTGGCCTTTCACCTTTATTGATTGGACAACTGAAGAGAGAGGAGATGTCGTGTAGAGGAGTGTAGACATTCATCAAAGGGTCATGATCAGAGGTTGAACCTGCAGCCACTGCATCAGTAACAATACTCTAACCATAAAGACTTCTTTGATAACCAACAAGACTCCAAAGAGGCCGCCTGCTCTACCATCTGAACTTCACCAACCTCAGGTGTGTCAGACTAAATGAGCCCAGGTTGAAGGGAATTTTTCCCTCAAATGAAAGCATGATGTTTGCTGCCATCTGCTGTCAGATTTACAACACATCACAGGAGAGCCTGATTTTTGCTAAAATAATTGGACTATAGTAATGGCATGGTTGGATATCATGTAATTGGATAACCTGAATGAGCTGCCTGATTTATGGTATTTTGTTGTTTAGACTCCAGCGAGTACTACTTTGTCTGTGTAATTGTTGAGTGAGGTTCTTTCAAAGCTCTGGCGTGTAGTTTTTGACTTCAAAGTTCTCAAAGGAAACAGGTGCGTGTTTATATAATGTCCTGTTTTGCATCTGCTCTTCTTGAACGTCACCCTGAAAATGAGGAGACCAAGTCTGGAGTTCTAGAAGTGAAACGTCTCATGTTTGCCTTGCAACCGTGTTAGATCCCCCATGTCATACATTTTGTTTCATGATGGGCCAAATGTTTGCAATAGGTGACAAATCGGGGCTATTTTACTCCAAAGCATCCCATTTACATCACGACTGTACTCTGGAGCAACTGTTAATGCTCATTTTTCCCTTTACCTGGGGATTAATGAAGTATTTTGATTCTGAGAGCAGTAAGATGCTGACTTTTGGACAGTCCACAATTTCCAAAAAGAATAACAAATTATGATTCCTGATTTGAGAGCTCTCTATTGGCATGACCCCATCTTTACTGGGCCTACAATTGCCTAGGTTTCTTGATTTTGTCTGGGTCATAACTTTTTGCTCATCATGTCTGTTTTTAAAGGCCTGAAAGATCACAGCCATTTAAATATCATCTTTAGTATTTTTACTTTGTTAAAAAGATTCCCAAAAAGGGAGATGGACTCAAGCTAAAGATGCTTTTTATGCGGCATTCTTGCACCTGTATCAAGAAACATATCTAAAAACTGAAGTCTTTTCTTTGAGCAGATTCACACTGTGTACGATGTTAACAAAACACATAGCAAAGTCAAAACTGAATAAAAGTGTTCAAGTTTATTTCAGTTAATTTCATAATGCAATACATATATAGAGGAAATGATTTAGATAAAGTAAAAAAAAGTCACAATAAAAAGCAGTTTTAGTAATATCTCAAGTGAGGCAGTCATTTGTTCAGATATAACCCTCCTGATTCTTCTGTTCATCTCTATGTTGAGCAGCTGCAGCACAGAACTTCATCATATTGGCCACTGTAACTGTGAAATGAAAAAAGTTATTACAATACAGTCATGTAGTTCAGATCAAAACCTTATTTTTTCAAAATCCACATGATCAGTCCTAGAGCAGCATAATAAAAGATAACAGGGACAAACATACAGACACTAAAGAATGGTTCATTGATTTGAAGCCACTTCTCCTAATGAGATACTGCTGCCCTGCTCTCCTACTTGCTTATATTCAATTAACAATTACTTATTGTATACTGTCTTAAAGATGAAGCAACATGGGGAAAAAAAGCTTCCAGGGTAAAAGTTCATTGACATTTAACACTGCCAAACATTTTCCTGCCAAAATCAGCTGATACACAGCTTTTTGATCACAAAACAAATGCAGGTAATTCAGAGAACAAGTTAGCCAATAGGGCAACTTTTACTTAAACATAAAGTCTACATTCCTAATTGATAGTGGTGTCCGTTTTTATCCCAATGATAATATGAGCACAGACACAGGGTTTAACTCCATCAAAGGCCCGTCAATACTTACTCTATGATAGTGCAGATGGAGCAGCAGAGGTTGGAGCAGCTGGAGCACTGCCGCATGCAGGAGGAGCATGCTAGACGATCACACTGGGTGCATGCTGTTCTATTTCCTTGGCTCTTCTGACACACACAGCAGCCTGCAGGAGCCACTGCTGTACCTAGACGGAGACCAAACATGTACAGCACACTCTAGATAAGAATTTGGAAACCTCCTCAGTTGGAAAGTTACAAAGCTGAGAGAGAAATTCTGTGAAAACCCTGACACCTGCTGGTGAAAAGTAGGGACTGAGCAAACAGTCCTTTAGGGCAGTGCTTTTTAACTAGTGTGCAATGACAGTCAGGTGTACCATGAGAAATTATCAATTTTCTTTTTAAATAACTTATTTTCTGCAAATAATATGCAATTCTCAAGTGTCTGTGCTGTAATCTAAAGCTCCAGGTTTCACACATGGTGAGTACGAATAAACTGAGAGACTATATTGTCATTGTATAAACTGACTACCAAGTGTCATTTCGTAAAATTTTGGTTGGTGGTGTTTCTCATGATTATTTTAAAATGAAAAATGTACCATGGCTCAAAAAAGGTTGAAAAACACTGCTTTAGGGGCAGTATGAATGTTTGGAATAAAAAGCTTTTGAAAAACTGTTTTCTTTGCAGCATTAACTATCTCAAAACTAATATACATAAACAACAACATAAAATGTAGTTTGTCTTGCATGTTGTGCAATTGAAATTGGAAATATCACTTTCTACTTTCTGTTTTCTATAATATTTTGCAGGGTAATTAGTGTTTGCGACTCAATTCTCCAGATTTTCGTCCACTTCTGAGATTTGCAGAGCAGTCTCACTCAAGCCTCTCACTCAGCTGCTCCAATGGGACACAGCTCGTGGGATTCCCCTGCAAATTTAGATCAGCTTTGCCACTCCTTTGCTTCCATCAGCAGAGGTCCCTGTTTCACCTTTGTATCACTTTAAGTGCTTTTCAACTGCATAAACTTTCCCCAGGAACCACGGACCTCTTGGGGAACTTTTCACGTTTAAATAACAAGAACTAGGATCCAATATTATTTCATCAGTGCAACTTTGTATATAAATAAATCTCGACTGTTAAGCTCCTGGCAGACAAAAATGATTCACAGGAACCACTTAGGGTAAACCAAGGAACTCTCTCTTTAAGCAACCAATATTTTTGATGGACTGTAAGAAAAAAAGTGAATAGTGAGATGTCTTACAACCAAGCTTCAGCAGTTTCACTGTCTTGTGCTCTCTGTTCATGTTGCTCACCTTGTGTATTATTTGATCTAGTCAGTCTCCCATCATGTCCAATTAGTGTCTGTCCTCTCAGTAATGCTTGGTTGTGTGCAGGTGTCTCTACTTGGTGCGTCGGCTGTGGGTCCATGGAATTTTCCTCTCCTGTCCAGATTTTTCCCATGACTGCTTTGGCCCCGTTAAAGAGCAGGTTTTTGGTCTTTTCTGTGTGAAATAAAACCAGAAACATTTATCAATCAAATTACACGTGATCAATTCAACCGGCCAGTACAGACATAGCCAGGAGGATTTGGTTTGTGTGCACGCTGTCTGTTGTTTTTCATGCTCATGCTGGCAGTAATGGTAAATGAAGGTAAACTGCGAAATGTAGTTTGAGAGCCACAAAAGTCAATCGATTCAGTAAATGGCGTTTCGATATCTGATCATGAATGACAGTTTAGGAAGCATACTCTCAAAAACCCAACGTCACCTTCTTTCTTTACGCCGTTTTTGTGAAAGTAAGGATTTACCAAACGACTTGTAGATGTGCTAACCAAAAGAAGCTAACATAAGCTAACACTACCGCGCTGGAAATACGGATCTTACCGTGGATTTCGCTCCTGTACTTGTCTCCAAACACGCCGTAATTACTCAGTTCATTTTGTCCGATGTGAATTTTGTACTGGGATGAGAAGGTTTGTGGAAAAGGACAAGATCGTTTCGGCATTTTTAGCTTGAAAAGACTAGAGCTTCGTTGATCAACTTCCACACTTGTTTGTTGCGGGAAAAATGCTAAGGGGAACAACAAGGCGCCAATAAAACACATACTTGATTATCATGTGACTTCTTTAAACCAATCAGAGAACTGCTATAGTGTCATGTGGCGTATCAAACGTTGTCCACGGCCCGCTGACTGTGCTGCATTCAAGGACCGTCGTGCATTTTGAAAACTCAGTTTGCTTGAAGATAAAAACCAAAGCTGGATTTTTTTTAGTTGAATTTAGGACAAAAAAAGCATATTGTCAGATATAATACATGAAATAATGCTTCCCTCGAACTCTTCTTTTTATAAAACTACAATCTAAAACCATACACCATCATTTTTTTTCATACTTTTAAGACAACTCTGCTTTAGTAATCCACTTTACAAAACCTTCCAGGTTAATTAATCTTATTATTAAATTGAGTTATTGCATCAACATAATTTTAACGACTTTTTATTACAACAAAACAAGCAAAGTAAACAGTGCTCAAAGGGTCACATAGATGTTTTGTTTATTAGCCGTTAAAGAAGTTGATCATCCTTGTTGATTCATGTGTGCCACATTTTCAGCGCTTCCATCAAGGCAGAAAAAGGTCTTCCTTTAGAACATCTGGATCATGCACTCTCTGGACTTTCCAACACCGACCCACTTGACTATAAAGAGAGACAGAAATAAAGAGAAAGATAAGACAGATTATATCTGATGGATGGAAGACAACTTTCTGAACCTTATCTACTATCTCATCATGCGTTATTATTTATTCTTATTCAGAGGCCTTCAGGGACAGTGTTGACTATGATTTTTAGCTCTACAAAGAAAACATTTGTCCATCAAAGCTTATTTTTCTGTCTGACATACTGGGAACTCCAATGTGGTTCTCAATGAAGCGGATGTAGTTCTGGGCTTTAGCTGGGAGGTCGTTCCACTTCCTTGCAGCAGACGTGTCAGTCTTCCAACCAGGGAAGGTCTCATACTCGACCTCTACTTTCTGCAAAACATCCATGTTCGCTATGTATAAAAAAGAAAAAAAATATTTCACGGTCAATAAAATTAAGATAACCATGACCTGGATGAATGAGAATCTACATGGACATCATCAGTTTAAGCAGATTATTTGTGAGTTTTATTCTACCTCACCTGGGAAGTGAGGGATCCTTTTTCCATTAAGTTTGTAAGCGACTCCGACTTTTATTTCATCAAGCACATCCAGAATGTCAAGTTTTGTCAAAGCAATGCTGTGGACAGATATCACATTACAGAGGAGTTTGGTATATACTCTTTCTTGTTATTATGAACCACATGGTGGTGTAGAGAAAGTGTGTTCTTGTACATGTGACACTCAATCCAAACATCAAAACCAAAGAACACCTGATGAAAGCTCAGGCTACTCACGCGGTAAAGCCATTAATCATATGAGCGTATCTGACGATGACAAGATCCAGCCAACCGCAGCGTCTCTTCCTTCCTGTGGTCACACCTACCTCATGACCTCTTGTCTGCAGCAGCTCTCCCACTGCCTGAGGCAAACAGGGAAATACAGTGCTACATTTACTTTGATATTTCTTAGCTTTATGATCTCAGGCTTCACCGATGAAACCTAAAAATATACCATCAGGGCTCCTGTCGCACACACAGCTGAGTACAATAACACATCACATGAGCAGTGGGGTAAAGTGTTAAGATCTTGACCTGTGTCCCTGTGGTCAGTTCCCGTGACAAGTAACATAACCCCTGCTCACACAGTAAATATATCCTGAACCCAGACTCTGGCCCTAAATTTATCCTTGTGAACATGTGATCTGCATAAGAGGTAAAGAGCCTGTCTCTCACAAAATTTGACAGCTGCACCCTGCATGAGAACAACCCTACCCCTCTCCTTCCCTCCCATTTCCTCAAACAGACCCGCTGTGTGTGTGCGTGTTAGCCATATGATCACAAATAAACTGTACATCCCAGGCTTGATATCAGCGGGTTACATAACATGTTGTGCGTCTCTTCTTCATTCAACATACAGGCCAGGGAAGCAATCTAACCATGAGACAACTGTACAGGATATTTTTGACTCTTACATTGAGTTGTTCTGTAGGGAAAGCTCCAATCCCTACTCTGGTTGTATAGGCTTTTGATACACCAAATACATCACCGATATTCAGAGGAGGGATGCCAAGGCCGGTGCAAGCCCCACCCACAGTGCAGTTGGATGACGTCACAAAGGGATATGTGCCTTGAGAGAATATCTTTATGTTAATATAACATGGACTCTTTCCCAGATTGCATTTCATGTCACTGCTACAGACCTTACCAAAGTCAATGTCAAGGAGAGCTGCATTGGCCCCTTCAACCAGAATTTTCTTTGGAGGACCATGAAGAGCCTCATACATGTAATAGACCCCATCTCTCACCATAGGCCGCAATCTCTCAGCGTATTCCTGCACAATGAAAGAAACAATAATTTCATTTCTACCGCTATGAAGTGTTTTTCTGTTTCTTTGCATATACATACTTTACAATGCAGTATACAACTTAACATTGACTGTGCAAATATAGAGTTTTACTTTGTGCAATATATAAATTTTACTGTGCGTGATGCATTTTAACAGTGCAATATTAATTTCATTATCCAGTATACACTGTTTTACTTACAAATGTTTGCAAATTCTGTGGTTGCCTGAATGCTGTGCACTTAAGATTGAGTATTTCTTAATGAAGTTGTACATAGTACAATAACAACAAAATCTTTTTATTCTATTCTACAGGAAGACTAGAAGTTATAACAATAATTACTTGGAAAAATCAAATCTGATAGATGGAAGAAGGCTGTTTGTAAGATATCTATTCTATTCTACTCTATTGTGCAGCTGTGGCTCTGTGGTGCAATCACCCGCCACTCTGGAGAAGTTGGTGGTTCCATCCCAACTCCTGCAGTCAAATGCTCAAGTTTCCTTGGCTAGTACACTAAACACTAGATTGCTACAGCAGACATCGTGTGTATATGTACAGGAATGAGACTGGTAATAGGGTGATAATATGCTCCTACAGCATCTTCTGCCATCAGTATATAAATAGGATGTGAATTGGAGATATGTGACAATGGGTTGTGTAAAAGTGCTTCAAATAGTCAGGAAGCTCAGATAGAAGAGGTTCAAGTCCATTTACCATCTGTTGTATTGTATTGCATTATATTGTGTTGTATAATTTCTTGCAGTGCTCTACAAATTTGTCTTTGAGTCTATATACCTTAAGTTTTTTCAGTTGGTCCTCAACGTCAACTGCCAGAGCTGGATACATGGACTGATACTGATGGACAAGGTTCTTGAATCTGAAAGGAAGTAAAATCATGATTGATGTTACAAAAATTAAGTTCAGCCTTAAAAATTGGTGCTCCCTAAATTTATACCTCATTGAGAAATCCTTAAAGTCACCAAGGAGATCACATACACGTAGGCCCGTGCGAGATGCTTTGCTGGAGTATGCCGGTCCAATGCCCTTTTTGGTTGTTCCAATACTTCATAAAGAAACACACACCAAAGAAAAAGATATCAAGTTATGTTTAGGATTCATGCTAATTTGTTTGATTGATGTTCTGAAGTCTACAATAATTTTTTTAAAACCATCTCCTGCCTGCCGAGCCTTCCCAAACACTTACTTTTTTCCTTCTTGTGCTTGTCTTTCAGTTTCCTGCAAGCCATCGACGACCTGGTGGAAATCAAACACTGCAAAGAGATGACAAACAAATCTATAAAGGGTAACCTCCACACACTTACTTGAACAAGGTTAACTTTTTCCAAACAATTACATGTACTGTACATACCAAGATGAGCTCTGTCTGAGATGATTAGTCGCTTCTCCCAGCCTTTCAGACCTGGACACAAAACAATCATCACATCTATGTGAGTGTGCTCAATCTTAATAAACACCAACAGATCATGTAAGAAAGGCGGTTTTTCATTTATCACCTTTTTTATCATTCTTATCGCCCTCCTCGAACAAGCCAGGTAGATGTATGACCACACCATTGCCTATAAGAGCAAAGGGAAGGGATTAAAAGAGTCATATACACTGTAACAGTACTGGCTTTAAAATAGTGCATATCGGATCCATTACCAATGAGCGATATGCTTTTAGGATTGATGATTCCACTGGGGAGAAGGTGGAAGTCATACTCTTTCCCATCCACTACCACTGTGTGACCCGCATTGTTGCCTCCCTGAAAATCAAAGCAGGGTACTCAGTTTTGATGGTGAAACACTCAAATGCAGAATGATGTTAACACCTAAGATTTCCCTAGAGAAGATCTGTCCAAATTCACAAGTCTTATTTTATTTCCCCCAGACAGTGATAAGCCACCCTCATCCCAGGCTCCTCCAGCACTTTTTTTAACAGACTTGGCTGGTGCTGATGGATCCTCCACTCTGTTCCCTCCTGGCTAAGACCTGGCCTTCTCACATATCAAGCCACCCTGAGAATGTGACCTCTCTGTAGCCTGGTGGGTGGGGCTCTCGAGCCTCCAGAACACAGGGTGCTAGTCCTGTCAGTGGGGAAAGTACAACACAGCAACAGTTGGCTGCTTTCACTGTGTGTTCCACTGCTGGACTGACCTCTAACTTCTATCCAGAAGCTTGTGTGGATGTGTTATGCAAGTAGACATAACTGACCTGTCTGGAGTTTATCATCCATTACACTAAAACTATCTGTTAACATGATTTTAATTTTTATTTTATTGAGCAAATGACTTGGATTTAGTCGTTTGCAGCAACTTCTTGGAAAGTTTAGAGACCAACAGAGGAACCAGCCCTGTTAGATTTGTCACTAATACAGGTATAAAAGAATTAACATTCTGTATCCACATAAACTGTAAAATCTGAGTTAAAATGGCACCATATCCTATTTAATCTTATTTAATCCTTGACAACTCTGTTAAAAAAATCTGCTGTTCACTCAGTATTATTCGTACCCGCCTCCAAACCTGTGTTCACAACATTCTGTTAATCATTTCCCAAATCACAGAGGTGCAAACGTTTTTACCCAGAGCACCTGTTGCGCTTTACCAAGCTGCCAGTAAAAGACCGATTCTATTGAGAGTTTTGGGATAGAGGAAATATATCACGAGAACACACCCACATAAATTGTCAGCTGAAATCTCCAATCACAATATTTACCTGACATCTGCACACATAGTCCGCTTCAGTCGCTAGTAAATCAACGACTTTCCCTTTGCCCTCGTCTCCCCATTGCGCACCGAGGACCACCGTCACTTTGTTCCCCGCGTCGTTACGCGATCGTTTCTGTCCTGTCGCTGCAGTTTGACTCATGTTTTTGTGTTCTTTCGCCGACCAGGTAAGCGACATAATGGCGCTGGCTTCAGTCCGTTCGTCTCAAGGCGACTGGACTGCACCGCAAGAGCGGCATTGCCATATGTGTAACTTCAGATCTGATGATGTCAGAGCCAGACGCGCGTAAAGAGCGTCGCTGCGCCCAGGCAAGTGTCTGCTGTTTGTCATGAGAGAACAAGCTTTCATCTTACAGCAGTCACAGGGATGTTTAAAAGCCAAATAGATTAATTAAAATTATTGTAAAAATATATGCATTATATTGCAGCTCCCAGAATGGAGCTTTTGCAGGTATCATCTGTTTATCTTACTGCTTTGATTAAAAACAGACAGTCCAACAGTAAATTCACCTTTATTAAAATATATCAAACATTGTTACATTCCATTAAAATGTGTTAATTTCTTAAGTTAAAGATCATCTAGATAATACATATATAAAGCTTAAATAAAGACAGGACTTTAGAGCATTTTTTTGATAATAAATTAAATATTGTCTTCTATTAGTGCCAAACAGTAACTACAGCTTGTAGCAAAACACATTCACTGCATATAACAAGTTTACAAAACATACATCAAAGCAATCATGTACACAAAAGCTGCAACTGGGTTTTTTTCCCCTCTTCTTCGTCTTGGAAAAAAAAATCAACCATCCCAAAAGGAAGACTTCTGCATCCAGGGGACAAATCTCATGTCTTATTGAACAATGTACAACTCAGTCCATCCAGCTCAGGAACTTGAACATTTTCTTTTTCCTTTTGATTTCTTTTTTCTGCATCCACCTAGAAAAAGACAGACTAAAATGAATAAATTGAATCAAAACTTTTTCAAAGTTAAATACTTTAATTCTTTTTAGAAGCTTGTACAACGACAGTGATATATGGTGTATTTAAATACATTCGGCAGAGTCTAGGTTGTAAACATGACTACATCAGCTTTAAAAGGTTTTACATTTTTTGAATAAATATGTAAACCATCAATGTGATACACAGCATCTTTCATTCATGTCAGTGCAACAGTTTAAAACAGTTTTACAGGAAGCACATGAGACTGTGTTAGTAGGTTAAACAGTCCCAGTTGCAGATTTGCGTGATGGACAAGAAAATATGGGAAGTAGAGACACAAAAGTGACAACTTTTATGAAATAACTCAGTCCACGATGACTACACAATGACTTCACAAACTGCAAGGCTGCTTAGAGATCAGAAACTGTGATGTTAGATTTCCAGAGTGCTGATTAAAGAGGATTCACCTCTTATCTAAACAGTACTTTTAAGGGTTAGTTTTCCGTCTGATTTGGTGGACATTAGAATCATCTCAACACACATTTGGTCGAATGCTGTTACAGTTTTGGTCTGACCACATCCGACTTGCAAAAGCATTGAAGAGCAAGCAAGTGTTAAGCTGGACAACATAGACAAATGAAATCCAGTTAATCCAGTTAGACCAACAAATGAAGTGTTATTTAGGACAAAGCTTTGACGGTGATTGAACTAATTAGGATGATGTGCCTGCTTACAGTTGGCCATCCCACCATTTGTGACCTACCTCACTGCAACACACAGCCTTTTTTATGTTTAGTGTGTCCTTTTCCACTGTTACCTTGTGTTTCAGAATGGAAAACAGAGCATTCAAACAGACTGTCCTTATTCACATCCATTTAATATTCAAACGGTCACACTGCATCCAAACTCTCAGATAAAATGCATGTCACATGCTAAATACTTAAGAACATACACTATAATAGCCAATACATAAAATATAAAACATTAAATGGAATAAAAACAAAACAAATAAGGAATTCCCTTTAAGACATATCAAGCGACTGACGTTCCAAGTATGATTTTCATTTATGAGTGTAGATGGATTACCTGGATTACTCTTCTTTTTGCTTCGTTTAAAGATGCTCCCCTGTTTCTTTGGTTCCGGTTTGAGGGATGGAGGCACTGCTTCAGAGGCTGAAGGCAGATCTTGAATCTCTGATTCCTGTCCATCTGGGACGTCACACCCCTCAATGTCTTCACTGAGTGTGGTTACATTGCTTTTAGGTTCTGAATGTTTGGTGCTGATGACCTCATCTTGGTTGGGTGTTTTTACAATAATGTGTTCCTGCTCCTCTTGTCCTGCAGTCTCTATTAAATGGCTTCTTTCATCACTAGTTTCACCATTCTCTTCTCCCGTCACATTGTTCCCGCTCTGTTCCACACTTTCTGGATTAGGTGAAGGACTTTCTATAACACTAGTATTTACTGCTTCCTCAGACATTGGTTTCTCAGGTACTATGCTGCCTGAAACGGCCTCTACCAGGTCTGAATCAGAAAGGGAAGATGGGCTGAAGGTGCTGGTCTCTGTAGAATCCGGTGAAAAGCCATTTGATGTGGGGGGACATGGTTGGTGTTCCTTTTCAACCTGAGGCTGAGGTTGTGTTGTATCCAGCGGTGAAACTGCAGGTTCCTGCAGGTGAGTCTCCTCCTGTAGTGATGTCGGCCTTTCTGGGGGTGCCTGTATTGTTTTGGCTGGTGTCACTGGTTGTGTGCTGGGAGGTGCAGCTGGTCCATCTTGCACTGCACTCTGCAGTGGTGGCTGAGGCTCTTCTGATGGGCTGATGAAGCCGTTCACGTTGCCTGTGGTGGCTTGGTGACTCTCTTCCTGAGGTTTGGATGGAGCGGTAGTGGTGGATGTTTCTGAGGCTTCTTCTTCTACAGGCTTTACATCCGACCCTGAGGAGTGAAAGAAGTCATACTGATGTATGAAGTTAAACACATGAAGACTTTTTTTTTTTTTTTTTTTAAGTGGGGTAATAATTAACAGTGACATGGCTGCATGAAAATAAAATCACTTCCATGAAAGCTAATGCTTATGTAGCACTGCAGAGCAGAAGAGCTAAGGAGCTAGATCTGCAGATGGAGGCCACAGTCTCTTGTCCTTACCAGACAGGCAGGTATCCCTACGCTTTTCACTAGAAGAGAGGCTTTCCGAATCGCACCTTGGCCTGGTCTTTCTTAGGCTGAAACCTTTCCTGATATCCGCCAAGAGATGATCAATGATGCAGCCGTCATCCTGTGGCACGAAGCCTTTCTTGACTAAAAAAAAAAAAAAAAAAAAAGGAGGGTTTCAAACATGTAATTCAAATGACACATCAGCCAGGGATGTTTAGAATTTAGAGAACAAGGAGGGCTGTTCATTGCTTACTTATTTTTCCGTTCTCTCCCTTCTGTCTCTTGGACCCTTCTTCCTCCAGCTGCTTCTTCCTCTTCTCGGCCTTGGCTGCCAGCTCTCTTCTTGTTTTGTTTTCCTGTTAGCATGAAAAGTGAGGACGTCATTCACTGCCAAGTACAAACTGTACTTAGCAATTTGTCTTTGTGTCATATCTCAGACAGTATCCCTGAGCTTTCCCAAAGTCTATAGCTTTTTATGTTCCAGAGATAACACAGCCTCCATACTCAGCTAATCATCTTCAGTGGGTATTATAAGTGTAAAAACGTGAACATTTTAACATTCAGTGCATAAAACTCCTTAAATATAAACAACCATGGCAGCACTACATCAATAGTGTCTTTCCTGACCTTCAGTGACTTGATAAAAAGTCCACGGAACGTCTTGATGGTTCCAAAGAGTTCCTCAAGCGACAGCTGATTGGCATCCTCACATAAGTAGACAGCAAGCTCACTCTTTTTCTTCTCAACTGCAGTGAACCTTTCACTTAGAGCCTGAAACGCCTCCACACTCTCCTGCAGCAGACAAAGAAAGAGAATTTTGGGAGTTGGATCAAGCTTAAAAGCAGCACCGAGTCAAAGCTTTGGCTCGGTTTGGAAACAGTGTGTATCTTCATCTCACCTCAAGAACTTTGGCATACTGCTCTTTCATCTCTTCAGTGGAGTTGGAGACCTTCTTGGCTGTCTCACTCAGTCGTTTCAGTAAGGCACAGGCTTCGGACTGAATAGAGTCTAGATTCACACTGAGGGCAAAGCATGAAACCTCTTGTTATCCCTCTGTTACACATCCACTGAGGACCAATTAAAATGGCAAAACATAAGCTGAAGTGGATGTTAAAAGGTCTCTATACCCAGCTGCTTTTTCACAGATCTCGATTTCATCTGGCAGATCCAGCAGCTCTGGGTGGTTTGATTCTGCTTCCTGTGCAAAATAAAAAAAAGCCATGCCATGATTAAGGAGGATCATAAACAAGCAGTAAAAAAAAATTGATGGCAGCTGTGAGCCAGTTAGTGTACCTCAAGGATGTGATGAAGCAGCGTTATGCGGCTCTTGTTGGCCTTAGTTTCTGTAAGCTTGAGCAGAGAGCTGATCTTGAACCCCTCAGCGTTCCCTGTGTGACTTCCCTGAAAGTAGAGTGATTATTAAAAATGCAAGCTCTTTCTAAATGTCAGATTCAGTGAAATAAACATGAGACTGAAGAGGTTCTTACGTAGTTGAGAAAATTTCCAACATCAAGGATGAGCCTGCAGAAACTAGGTATGAGCGCGCTCTCTCTGAGGGCTGAAAATGCATTACATGGCATTAACATAAAAATGCGTGATATATATGTATATATTAAAAAAGGTATGGATGGTTCAACTGCATGAATCTGAGCCGAGGATTCACTCACAAAGACAGGCCTCCTCTATCAGCTTCACTTTGGGTTTCAGCATCTCCAGCACTGAAGAAGTCTCTTCGCACAATAACATGCACTCAATTCTCAGCTGATAACTTGGGAAATAAGCCAGAGATCAAAGTAAGTAAGAAGCTGAGCGTGATAAGTATATGTTTGAATGAGAATGTAATGCATGCACATAATTAACCAGCACTTTAGCAAGAAAAGTTACCATGGCACTGTGAGCAGGAGGGTGTAGAAACAATCAACATTTGCCAGCTTTTCTTTTTCCCCTTGGAATGATTTCAAATTTTCAATCTTCACCGAAAAAAACAAAACAGTGACTCATACATTTGCCATTTTAAAAGTGGACCCTTAATGGCAGATTTGTGAGCAAGTAAAAAAAACAATAAAGATGAGGTGAGTCATTACAAATACAAACCTCATGCTTCTCTGGGAGGAGCTTTAGAAGCTGTTTCAGTACCTCTACATCAAATCTAGACCGGTCCCCTTTCTGAATCATGGCTATAAAGTCCTCATTTTTGCTGGACAGAGAAAATTGAAAATGTTCAGTTAGACAGTCACTAAAATGTGTTTAAAAACTTCAAAATAAACTTATATCTCACCATTTAAACTGCTTCAGGAATATGTTTAAATTCAAGTTTTTCTTTGGATCAATAAATGTAATCTACGGACAAAACAAGAAGAGTTAGGCAGGCACATTGATTATTTTGCTTGATAATCAGGAAAATCTCAATCTAATCTGGAAACCATGCTGAGTGTTGACCAAGCCCACCTCTTTAGGCTCCTTCTTGACAGGAGCAGCTGCCCCCTTGTCTTTGTGCTCGGTCACTGGGAGACAGAACAGCTGCTCGATACTGCTGTAGTCCGGCTCACGGGGAGGAGGAGCACTCTGAACCGAGGCCCACATGGAGGGACCATCTGTGTGTGCGCAAGAAGAGAGGAACCTGTCAGCTAATGTAGCTCCATTTTTATACCAACACCACAGAAAGCTTAACTAAATTTAACGTGATCCCCTCTTTCTTGAAACTCGGGGGAATCCCTGCAGAAGCCTCATCAAATAACACCCAAAAGCAGAAACATGGCTTGTAAGTTTTCCTTTGGTAAAGTGTTGTTTATAAAAATAGTCCATCCTGGTTGTTGTACTTTACACACAGCGTCTTCACTCTCCTGCTCAGTTTAAAAATAAATCACCTCAGGGAGGAGAGTAATGTCGTAACAGATAGAGACAAAACATCCTCCAAACTCTTCAGATTTCCTTCATGTATCGAAGTACTGTTGGCATTTTGGTACTTGACTTAGCCTTGATGTTTTAATTTCCTTGAGGAAACCTTCCCAAAAAGGATCAATAAAAATTATCTAATATAATCTAATACAAGAGGAAACCTTAACATAATGTTACATTCGCTCACCTGTCACAGATCGCAGTTTCTGCCAGTTTAGCTTTTTCATCCTCAGAGTGGGACATCGGCTTGCTTTTACTGGCATAGACCAACCCAGGACCTGGCTACTCTGAGCCACTATCATGCCCGGGGGAGGAGGAGGAGGAGGCGGCATGCCAGGTAAAGGAGGTGGAGGTGGAATGCCGGGTAAAGGAGGTGGAGGTGGCATGCCAGGTAAAGGAGGCGGTGGTGGAGGGGGAGGGGGAGGTGGCATGCCAGGTAAGGGAGGTGGCGGTGGAGGTCCGATACCCATCCCTGGTAAGGGTGGCGCAGGGGGTGGGGGAGGTATGCCTGGACCGCAGGGCAGTGGTGGTGGAGGAGGTGGAGGTGGCGGTGGTGGTACTCCCATTCCTGGCAAAGGTGGTGGTGGTGGAGGTCCACCAAAACCGCCAGGTAATGGCGGTGGAGGAGGTGGAGGAGGGGGCGGTGGGGGAGGAGAGGCACACAGTGGCTTCTGAGAGGATGTGAGAATTTTGTCAGCCTTCTCTTCGTCCTGATGGTCCATGTTGGTCTGAACGGCTTTATCCACTTTCAGGAGCAGCCCATCCACTTCATGACGATCCACACAGCTCTGCCCTTTAGAGAACATTAGTCTCTGCATGATGTTCTCGCAGGACTCCATCTGAGCTAGAGCACAAACACACATACACACACACACAGACACACACACAAACTGAACTTATTTAACTGGCAAAAACAAGAGTTTTGATCCCTACTGTTAACAGCTGCTTCAGTTTCATTCCTGGGATTTGTTTTCCTGAATCATCTCTCCTCTTTACTCATATATCAGTGAGGGGACCATTAGCGAGCTTTTAACCTCTTCAATAAAATTCAATAAGGGCATTTTAACCTTTTTTTCTGAAGATGTAACTTGTTTTTTTCTGCTGTTTTCAAAATTGACCCTTCATCAAAGAGCACTGTTTCTGATACTAATACTAGTCCTGTCTCCTATTTCCTGTCTTTTTAAACAACAAACAATATTACACCTGATCAGCAGGCCAGCATAGATTCAGATTTGCAGTTTGAGGGTCTGACAACCCACTCCTACTCCACACTGAGGTTTTGGACAGAACTCAGTGCAGCAGACCTTCTACACAACTGTCTAAGTGGAGGGAAAGTGTGTAAGGAGAAGGTGTAGGGGCAGTTAGGAACAGGCCCACAGTGTCTAACTCACAGTCCTGGGCCAACAGTGTGGCTCTATTTGTGATGGCCTCCAGTGCTTGCCAGATATCACAGCGGCCTGGATCCAGCACCAGCAATGTCTGCAGAATGGACAGAAGCTGCAGAGAGGCTGGAGAACTGCTCACCTGCACACAACAACACATGTTTGTGCACAAATTACATGTTGACTTGGGCCAAGTTTGAAAAAAAATAGTCCGATCAAAACAGTCTGGGCCGATCAGCGGTACCTTGTTGAAGAGTGTGGTGAAAACCTCCATGTGATTACTCATGTCAATGCCCCCATAGATCCGCAGCAACTCTTCCTCATCTTCAGCCATTGCCTCCTCAAAAGCTTCACATTGAATGATCAAATCTTCATCCTCCTGATCCCTGAACACCACATGACCACACACACAAACACACACAGATCACTGCTGGGGACACTTAGTCACATTTAAATGCCATTTTCAGTTTTTAGAAAGCAGCGATGAATCACTCATTAAGTGATTCAAATTGCAAACATCTTTTCCCTGAAAGCACAGTTTTATTTGAAATGGCGGTGAACTTTAAAAGCAACCTTTAAAAGACTCTTTGTCGCATAAAAGCTGCATTCCTGATTAGGAGTCTGACAAAATAAAATGTGCAGCAGCAGAAGGAGAAAGGCTCACCTTAACTTTGGCAGAATATCAAGCAGCTGAAGCCCTGCAACAATCAAACATAAAGCCCACAGTATCAGAACAAAAGCACTTATCAGTTTTTAAAAAAAATATCCTCAAAAGGTGTCTTGTATCTCTCCTCCACAATGGAATATGTTAGTGCTTTTGACCAGGAAGTGGCAGGTGAACAATCACAGAAGGGGAGTGGCTGAACAAATGGCTGATTGGTTCAAGGTGGTGGGAAGCAATATTTCTCACAAGTGCATTTCTGGTAAAATCAAATTAAATCAGTGTGGTTTTGCAAAGATGGCGTCTTTAAAGCTAGGGTGACCAAGAGTCCTCCTTTACCTGGACATGTCCCCCGGCTTTGTCTGGGGAAGTTTATAAAATCCTTCAAAGTCTGCGGTTTTGTACGTCAGTTCTGATTTTGTGTCATGTGGACTTACTGAGTTAGAAGCGTGTAAATGACACTTGATCCTACCCGAAAAACTCTCAAAATTAACTTTGTGTGACTCCGTGACTCCGCCCCCACACAGTCATGTCCTCTTTTTGGGAAATCAGAATATGGTCACCCTATTTAAAGCAAAACTTTTGATTGTGGCTTGTTATGGCCTAAAATTTAAGAATACCTGAGTCTCAGTAACAATGAGGTCATCAGACCTATTCTTAGACAGACCCAGTGACAGAGATATTTGTAATAGAGCTCCTGCTGATGGCCTGCTTTCCTCTCTGTGCACTCATTTCATCATCAGAGTGGTTAACCGTTCCCCACAGTGACCCAGCTCATGATGCCACTCTTACACTACTAATTGCTTTTTAAATAACAGATGGAAATAAAGCTTACCAATAAACTCTTTTCTTGTCCTATCACGCTGCCTCAGGTCATCCGCCCCAAAGATGATGGCGTTGATCACACTTAGCAGTGTGACCATGTACGGGATGTTGTCTGTGGCCTGCAGCTCGTTCATGATTACACTGAAGCGATACTGCTGTGTCTTCACACCCTGAAGGGGAAATCAAAGTCAATGTAAGTATCACTGAAAAGAAAAGAACAGGTTTGAAAGATTTATAAAACCTGTATATTCAATCAGCCACTAGAGGGCATAACATGGTAGTCTATGAAGCCAGAATGATGATGTGGGGTCATGTGAGGTAAATCTAGATGCAGATTCACTTTTCCAAAACAGGTGTTTCAGGTGTGACTTTTTTTTCCATGTTTCTGTTACTTGCCTTGTAGTGATCCAGGGCGTCTAGCGCCAGGCGGTGGCCTTCTGCAGAGAACATGCTGAGGGCGGCAAGCAGTTCAAATACTTGCTTTTTCACCATGATGTTGGAAGTGTCCAAGGCTGTGAAGTATAAAGATCAGCCACATCAAGACAGGTCTGGTTGAAATAACTGTGTTTGCAAAGCAGGTCATCTCTTTACCCTTATCTCTTCAGAGAGTGAACCTAAGCAGGATGTTTTGTTCCCCAGATTTTAAGGCAACCGAACTTGAACTTTGCCCCCAGAAGAATGAATGTTGCTTTGTACTATAGATAAAAATGTGTTGTTCACTTAGAGGAAATTCAATATTTAAAACCTTGTGTGACAACAAATGGATATTGTGAGGCAGCTCTGAATGATTCATCTCTGCTCAAAAAGCTGAATACATGTCTGGAAGATCAAGATCAGCAGAGTGAGTCATAGACAACCATTTAGTCCCCTGAGTAATGACCCATTTGGCCAAATAGTACAGTTGGTACAAATTATGTAAAACAGCAGTGCCTCGAGTCCTGAAACTTTTTACTGAATGAAAATGTTGTTTCAAATATCTTGACTGAGGATGTTGTGGGACAGGCTAAGGAAGAGAAAGAGCTTCTTTTGTGGCTATGTTTCGTTATTGCTTAAGTATGCTTGCTATGTCTTGTTGTTTTGTATGATGGTGCTTTTCCTGTGTGTGCGTTTCAAAAATGAGATGCTGCATCTCAAGAGGCTATCCTTAAATTCATTCAATTATGTGATTTTTAAGCACATTTTTGATATCATCTCTTTTCATGGCCCTGGTTTAGCTCAACAGTTATATTGTACACCTCATATTCACCAGCTCTAGACTTCTAGGCAGGCAGGTCTTGCAAGCCTTCTTTGTTGTGTGTTATTCACCATTTTTTCCCAATTTTTTCTTATCCTTTCAAAAAGGTTATCTTATAGAAAATGTATACAGTTGATTTCATCTTTGAATGTATAAAGTCACTCTGAGTTTTAATCATGTGACACCATGAAGGATGTGTTCAAACCTTGTGTGAGCTGCCGTATGTATCCTTCATTCTCTATAATGAAGTCGATGCCTGCAGAGGAGTTCATGACCGCCCGCACGCAGCTGACGCAGGTGAGTTGCAGGAGGGCGTCTGCAATACGAGAGCATCCCCGCCCTGAGAGCCGATCCAGGGCTTCCAGGAGGAGATCCAACCCGCTTAGCTCCAGGAACTGGACCATCCATGTCTGGTCACTGCCCTCCAGGCGGCGCTTCAGCCCTGAGTAGTTAACCACAGTGGGGACTTGCAGCAGCCTGATGCAAAGCTCTGGATCGGCGCTCTCCAGATTGGCCTCCTGCTGGGTGTCCGAGTCCTGCGAGGAGCCCAGACGGCCTCTGACTGCCGCCCACTTGTTCTTTATATCTGACTTCCCTGACATGATGGCTGTGTAGGATGGAAGAGAAACAGCGTTTAGTCACTGTTTATGTATATTGATCATTTTCAGCAATTAATTAAAGGAAATCATCTTGTTATAGCCTGCTGATGGTGTCTATTTGCAGGGCTCGCCAATGGTTTTTTTTGTCCAGTACACAGAATCACCGTTGCTATCCAGACTACAGGAAACAGGCCAACATGGGGCCTTATCAGAAAGGAAAAGAGAAAAGAAAAGGAAATGATAGCTCTGCATTTTCATGTCAGCAGTCCAGTCATCACCAGCCCTGCCAAACATTCCTACTTAATCCTGCTTGAAAGAGAATAGACAAACAGGCAGTTTGTCAAAACTCTCCACATAGCATGCCTCGATGTTGTCTAGACTGAAATTTTTACAGTAAATAATATGAATTAATAATTTTTCAAACATATGCTTTGATGAAAACATTAGAAAACATGCCCGAGACCGACTTGTAACACAACTCAGGGAGATGAAAGTTTTGAATCCTTAAACCAACATATCTGACATGGATCTGAATGCATACATTGATCCTACAAGTGCTTTAAGTTTTCCGGCATGACCCAAGAGCACAGCCACCTCATTTAACCGAGCTGCGTCACCTTAGAGCTTCTATAAACGTAGCACAGCAATTCATGCAACGAGTATAAACATGTTCTCACACGCTAACAGAATCAACAGGATAAGGGTTCAGACCAAAAAAGGGGAAAGCTTTCTCCAATAATCCAAAAATACTTTCTCTCTGAGCTGTGGCCTCTTAGATTAGGTGATCTGGGATGAATGAACAGTGTGAGTCTGCCTCCTGTTGTTGATTTCCTTCTTGGCATTTTAAAGATATACAAATGAGACATTAAGGTACGAGTATGCACAAACATATTGCTCTGCTAAAAAGTTCCTACATGAGCTAGCCTGGAAGGCATTAGAGATCTTAGAAGTCTTTCTGGTGCTCCTTCATCAGTAAACCACGCAGTTTCACGCAGCTTGCAGATATCTTGCATATCTCTCCCTCAGAAGCAATGACTTGTGAAAAATCCCACAAATTGGATTTCTATTCACTCACTACAGTCAAGGTGAAGTGAGGCTTTTTTTTTTCTTCCTTTTCTCACATTTTCTGGCAAAGCATTTGTCAGCTCTGACTGCAGCATTTCATTCCCACTGCCAGTGTGAGAGTGTTACCGTGGCAGCGAGCAGGCTGACAATGGCGTTTCACAATAGGCCTTCTCAATACTCTTCAAAGAACTCTGTTCATTAGCCACAAAATGGATGGAATGCTCCCCTGCCCTCTCCCAGCTAATGAGAGTTAAATCAGTTCACCATTAAAACTCTTTTCTGACTGAGGCGTGGATTGAGTGTGCATGCTTAAGTATGGACAGAACAAAAGTTGCAAGTTGATGCTTGTAATGCGGAAAATTTTCACAATCATCAAAACTTGGGAAGCTAACAGAGTTCATTGACAGAGTTTTGTGAAATGGATTCACTCCTAGTGAACTCAAAGGTATGACTAAGACACTGCAAGGGAAATGATGAGTGTGTGAGCCTGTGTGTGTCATGTGGACAACCCAGCGTGGCTCAAGAACTTTTTGTAGGAAGGGCAGGGTTTTCCCGGGGCAGGAAACTTGGCTGAAGATAAACATGCTGTTGTGGCCGCTTGTGTTCCTCTTTTGCAATTTCAGTTCCAGTCCTGCAGATGTTTATTGGATCAAAAAACAGGCAAATATCTTATGTGCATGTACAAACATCTTGGTTGTAAGTTAAGCAACATCAAAATACCGCAGACAAAACATGTATTATGTTTTCTGTGCACTCCCCAAGTCAAAACAACTCTCGTTTGCAGACCTTGTCTGCCAGATCTCCCACATATACCTCTAATAGCAGGCTGATTCACTGAACGCAGGATAAGCCTACTCATCTGTCCTCTGGTTAAACCGCCCACACAGCAGCCCACTGCTACTGTACAGCATCTACACTTATGAGCATGCAGAAGGAGCTCGTGGATTTATTTCCTGAGACATACGCAAAAGCTTGTGTATTGTATTTATTTTACAGAAAGTTTCTGTTAATTTTAGCAATAATTCACGAGCGAACAAACAAATAGATTCAGGGGGAATGAATTCCACCTCACAATTCTCCTATCTGGTTTTCCCTCTACAGAAATATTCCATATAATAAGATGAAGAATGGGTAAGCATGTTATAAAATTAGATTTGGGCTTGATAGCTCTGCAATTATGACAATGATGATTTCATGGCACAAACCATATGCTAAACAGAACCAATGTTAGTTGGTTATTGTGTGCTTAGAGATTTAGGCTTAATCCAGAATCATTTTGTAGTATTTGCATAATGATTATTACAACAGAAAACATCTGGTAGCCATTAAAGTGAGATCCAAACCTCATCTCCTCCTCTCTATGCTATTTAAGGGAGTGACCGACATGCCTGCAAAGTCCACAAGCACATTTTTGGAGTCAAAATGTAGCTTTGAACTGTACTTTGATTTTCTCTATTCCTACACAGTTTGGCGCTTTCTTGAGCTGTTGTCAGACAGATTGAAAATCTGCACCTCTGCGCGAGTGGCATCCAACGTGATCAGAACTGCCTGAAAACTGAAACCCTCAGTTCCAGCGAATTGTGGCAACTCGGGTTTTTTTTTCGGCTTCTTCCTTCCCGATCTGTCCAAGATTTGCATGGAGCACTCGATTACCAACCAACATCAAAAATGTGAAACCACAATACATAAGCGATCTTCAGTCTGTATTTTACAGTGATCTGTTGAGGTAAAAAGACGGACTTGTTATAGCGACACTGACGGTGCAACATCAGCACAATGCGCTGCGATTTTGCCCACATTCCAGGGGGCATAACGGGACTGGTCACCTTACTGTGTAAGAGACAGCAGGAAAAAGAAAACAATAAAGCGATTTTCCTCAGCTAAAAGCCTACATATGCCTACTGTTATGACAGTTGCATCGATATTTACACATGATCCATATACTGAGTGTACCACCTTACCTGTTTTTATTCCATAGATATGCACTTAGAAGAAACGCGTCCTTTGCTCTTTCTCAAAAAGGAGATCTCTTTGTAGTCATCCAGACAACCTTTTATTCTACCAGAAAAAGAAATTGAGACATGAATCCCTGAAAATCGTTGTTATGTGTTGCAGGTGAAGCCCCGTGGGTCTGCGGATGGCACCGCTCTCTCTCTAATCGTTAATGCTACTGGGCTTTCACTCACTTGTGAGATTGGCACTGTCAAGGCAAACACATTGTTGATATGACACATCCGGTCTGTCCTTTCGAAATAATACAGCTACGGGTAACCTTAAAAGTTTGAGCTGGAGCCAAGAAAAAATATTTAAGAAGAGTAATCGAGCTAACTTACAACGAACGTACAGAAAGGCATGACCTCAAATACGCTATAAGCCTAATTATATTTCTGTTGATGAAATGGTGAAACACTGATTTGATGAATTTTTAACAGTGAAAACACAGTAAATATAAACGTAAAGAGAGAATCAATGAAAACAACCTGAATATACAATCTACAAAGAAAAAAAGTAGCCCTAACTGAGGTAAACTGTCATGTCAGCACTTAGCTTTTATTAGCTAGCTCGGCTTACATTGCACCGAGTGACCGGAAATAAACAAAACAATTTTCCTAGTTAAATTTTAAAACAGAAACCCTTACATCAAATGTATTATTCTTCATCTGAGCTTAAATTACCTGCAAGATTGTGTGTTTCAACAGCCAGAGGTCTCTTAATGTTAGTTAAGCTTTAACTGTAGTATAAAGAGAACTACACGTCTTCTAGCGACTCTCCCGCCGAATGCGCACAATGCTACTGCGCAAGTAGTGGAACGAGTACAACGCTACTGCGCAATATTGCTTTCAGGAAATGGAGAGAAAACGCGAAACTACTGAGAGCTTTTTGGCTTCAAATCCGTATACTGGCAGAAGGCGGTACGAAGTTATCCATACAGTCAATAGCAGTATTGTGGTAACCACCGAGGGTTTATTATTTATATATTCCGATGCTGGTAGTTGGTCTAACTTTAAAAGCAGACTTAATGTATTTCCGGTTTAAACGAGCCTGTCGTTGTCTAGCTTGTTAAAGTGTTTATGATGCTGAATACAGCCAGTGGTCGGGCCCTCCCACACTCCCCATCCCATTAGATGGATCCGACCTCGGGCGGGCTGTCGCTGCTGCTCGAGGGAAATTAGCTTGGGCTGCCTGATCATCTGGACAGTGCAATCCGCCTGCACTGTCACAGCATCTATTATAGCCTAGTCTTTTGATAACAAGGGTTTTTAATCTGATAGAGGATGGCAATCAGATATCTTCCAGAGTGCGAGAGTCGGACAGATTCGACTTGTTGGGTGTAACAACAAGCATTACAGAGAGGAGAGTTTTAGGCAGAAACAAACATGTTAAAAACACATAAAAGTAATTAAGATCACAGTACAGTATCACAATGGAATTTAAAGATTCATGAACATATCTCCATATAGGTGTTTTTGGCCCATTAGTTGAAGTTAAATGGGTGCCAATACAACACCATCCATGTGACTCAAAATAATAAATGGGGTTCATGTTACTGCTTTGAGTCTGCCAGCATTAAAGAAAGAGATATTGATGATGATTTGTTTGATAATGATGTTGCTTTGTAGCTGTTCTCATCCCTCCTGTGATTCAAGGCCATTTAGCTTTCTAGAGTTTCACTTCTCCACAGTAATCATATTGTTGTGCTTCTTTAGGTCCCCTGAGTTTTAATGTGTCAGCCCCATAAGATGCTTTGTTGATGTACAGGAAACTGGGGCCTATATAACATAGACCAGTGAGAAGTCAGTGAAAAGGGTACTCAAGTTACAACACCAGCCTTTCTGCATTATAGCTGCATGTCCATCCTGTTGTAGTGAAAATAATGGTAACACATGAGACCTATTGAAAAGCCACTGAGTACACATTACAGCTCATCATGGATAGCCCACAACTCTCCTACTGAGCTTGTTCAACAGGATCGTGAAAACCATCAGCTCCCAATATATCAAAGTAAAAGTCAACACCATTGCCATGTTTTTATTAAAGGATCTGTGTACATATTTAAATGACTGATGCACTTTAAACTTTATTTTAGGCACACCATTAGTATTGCTGTAAACCCCTTACACTTATGAGCCTTTGTAAGGGGTTATACTTTGTCAAAAATTATTGGAAGTGGTTTCTCAAGTTGTTTTGGGTTTTAAGTTTATTACAACAATTACAAGTGGCTGAACCAGTTTCTGTAATACAGCTTTTTAGCTTTCTGAATCGAAACAGTGTTACCTTGTAGGAACGTAAAGAGTCAGTGATCATAAAACTATGAAAAAAATTAAGAAAAAAAAAAAAAACGACAAAAAAACAAACAAACAAACAAAAAACCGCAAATATCATGTTATCATGTTATATTAAACTGAGTTCTGGGAAAGGCAAAGCTGCACCAAGACATGACAGGGCATGTTTTCCAACTCAGCAGACTTATGGATTCTCTTGCCAGGAAATCACACCACTGACAAACTGGGCAAAAAGCGAGGTTGACTTAAAGTGACAGTAAGATCTGGACAAGGAGGCACAAGTTCTCTTTCCTTCGTAAATTTACTAGTGGTGTTAAATTTAGAGAAATCCTACAATGTTTTGCTACATCCCCAGAGTGCAGATGTCCAAAGACTTGTGTGTAGCCAGCTGATGGTTTGCTGCTGCTGTGTATTGCTCAGAGGGGTGGATAGAGTACTGTGGCAGTACAGCTGTTCATTTTTTCTATTTTAAATTTAGGGTATTTTAAGGTCCATGTTTTTTAATGATTCATCAACAGAAGTATTACTCATCTTTTAGAATTCATATTAAGGACCTCTTACTGTTCCATAGATCCCAGTCAAGACACACACCCATCTGGAGCTCATCTTGTGCTAGGCTAGAAAGCCACAATACTTGTTTTAAAAATAATTACTTAAGTAAAAATGATTTGAAAAAGGGCTGGGTGAAAATTGTATAATTGTCAGCGACTTTTCTGTTTATTTTCTATCATTTATAAAAGGTGTTGCCATGTGTAATTAAGCAACACCAAAGATTAAAGCAGGACACAACATGAGCTAAATGTAAACAGAGGTGTAGCTGGTCTACTCAGCATAAAAAACACAAGATTATTTGCAATTATCTCAGTAGAAACCAAATGCCTCACTGTCAGACTGTGTTTTACAATTGAAGTACTAGCTCATGACAAGTGGGTAAGTATATATGAGTGTATGAGTATGAGTATGTTAAAGTATGTGAGCAGGCAGATTTGCAAAAGGTTGACCACTCATATAATTCAGGAATATAGAAAAGAGTTTGAGGTTCTTTGTAGAGACAGTGTTGAGATTATAGATTTTGTCCGCTAGAGGGCACTCAGCAGTGTGATTCACTTAAGATAGCTTAATAACTCTTTAAGATGGATGATTTTATAAAGCCTTGGGAAATATGTTCATGTATGAGCCTTAATTATTGGCAGTAATATGATTATGTGAACCTTTTGTTGCCCCATTGCATTCTCAAAAAATTAAAACAATGCACACAGTATTAAAAACTCAATGCTCAGGTATCAGCTGCAAGACTCCAAACAGTAAAAAAATGGCACAATGCCATTCGTCCCACTCAAAAATTAAGTCAAAAGCACAGCTTTGCAAATATCTGAATTCAAATTGTATTCTTTTGCACACTTTGTTCACCTGGAAGCAATGACCCTCTAAATGCACTTCAGGCATTTGTCAGAGTATACAATAAACCTCAAGTCACTTGTACATCCGTGAAGAAGAATAGCAGGATGCGTAAATCACTCAGCTGCTTGGCTAGGAACACTGTGACATCCGATGTGAATGGAGTCCTCTGGCTGTACTAGGACCAGAGTTGAAATACAGAAGGATCTGTTCCAAGGCATTTGTTTAAAGTTTCTTTGTAGTGTTTCTTTTTTTAAGAACACAGAATTACTGAGCTTGGATGCATACTACTTATATAAGAAGAAGAAGAAGAAGAGCTTTATTAATCCCTGAAGGGAAATTCAATATGGGTGACATTTCTGTTATATACATGGAGTAGTCTATTGTAAGTGCTAAATCAGGGGGAAATCTTACTCTTTAACAAAAACTAACATTGGAAAGTTATTTCCACAGACTTGTTTGCATTTGAAAATGTAACATGGCCCTATGAAGCTCGAGCTTATGTAAACATTTCTGATGGTAGTGTTTAAAAAATTGAACATCAGTGTTTATATGATGCTCCATGGGATAAGCATGTGGAAGCTATGTGCAAGGGTTTGGTTGAAGGAAGTTTGGAGAAAAGGTAACATGGGTTGGAGTGCTGTTTCATTTTCAGAAAGATTTGTTGAGTTTTGATAAAGTTTTTAGGTCTGAGACTGTCACAATGCCGAGGAAAATTTTTTGAATTCTGACTTCTATATGGAGTCCTATGGCAAAGTGTATTTGGGGGATCAGGATGGTTATGGACAGTAAGAGGCAGAATGAGACTACAGACAGCTCCTGTTATCAGTTGAAGAACTTTGTGAAGCCAGGCGCCAGCTGGCCTGCACAGACTTTTACAATTGAGGGTAACAAGCCGTCTGGGCCTTGTGCTTTCTTGATCCTCTGCTGTGAGAGTGAAACTGTTGACATGCAGCCTCTTCACTGATACTAAGTGCAGGTGAGGTATCCGGACGAGAGGGTAAATGCAGTGATGTTTTTCATGCTTTTGTGTTCTAGAAAGACTAAGATGGTTAAAAACGGTAAAACTTGCATTTACAGTTTTTACAAAACACTTTAACACATTTACATAAACTTTGGCTCAATTTCTTAAAAGTTTATACACAAAGTTAAAGAGCAATTGTGTTTGTCAAAATTCCACAAATGTCTTGCTAATGAAACAACTCACAAAACCGTGTTCTTTCTTCTCTAAATGGATTTCTCCAAAACTGTACACACAGCTGTTGTGTTCTTATGTCTTACAAGTAACATATAAACTCAGATGTAAAATATTTAAAATCCCACCATAAAAAAAAGTGTTTCAGTCTTGGCTTCATAAGGCCATGTCACAATTACAGATAATAAGTTTCCTCTTTATTTTTTGTTGAAGTACAGGGAACTGTCCTGAGATTGTATTTACAGTAGCCTCCAACATGTGTATGCAACACAAATACTCTGTTATCAATTTTATGCAGTATGAAGCTAAACTCAGTAATTGTACCTGTGAAATTCAGTGCACTGACACAACAAGGAAATGAAAGAAAATGTTTGCTGTGTTTCTATTGCAATACAAAAAGTTCAGTTAAACTGACAAGTGGCAAAATGCAATCGAACAGATTTATTCTCATCTCAACATTGATACAGGCCAAACCAGAAGACCTCACCCATTGACTGCAATGTTGCTTCCCAATCTTTTTGCCTAAAGCATGTAGGCAATGAGGCCTATTTTAGACTCTGAAAACTGACTTTGAGTTTTCTTCTCACTTTTACATTAGTAGGCCATTGTTTACAGGTAAACAACATGTGCTACTGAATGTAGTTTGAGTAAAGAAACGTGCAAAACTGTGATTTAGAATATTTGAGTGAGACCAATGAAACCGTGAATAAAGACGAGCATTTTGGAGTTATGTTAAATAAGCTAAAAGATTTCAGCATATCATTGAAATGACGGAGTAGCAGAAGAATACAAACTACACTTCCCAGAATGCTGTGCACATCGTGGGTCAGCTTTTGTGACGTTAATTACATGCGCCTCCAGTTCGACTAACAACAAACCATTTGCCAAACGTGTACTTTACGCTTTAGTTTTTATTACTCTGTTAGTGTTAGTTTAAAATCTATAGATATGTCCGGAAAGGCTAAAGACATCCTAAAGATGGACCTGTATGGTTTACTCGACATTGATAGCACCGCCACAACAACAGAGGTGAGTGAATTGTCTGACGTTAGCTTCAAGCTAAACCATTACTTCTCAATAAAACGCATACACAAAGCACATTTTGTTAATTAAAGGCTAGAATTAGGATTTATTCTTTAAAGGAAGGCTGGCTGAGTTTGATAGAGATACTTAATTGGGTTGTTTTTGCAAATAGGGCTACTTTTGTGTGTGTTTGGAAGCTAACTATCATAAATTTCGCCTGCACGCTGTGTTTTTGCGTGGATGTGTGACACATTATTGAAAAACATCTTAAGTGAAGCTGTTAAAAAAATTCTAGATGGATGAAACAAAATCTGATAATTTTTTGCATTAATGATGGCCAGGCATGGAGATGCACTTCTGTCATATGTCCACACGGTGATGATGTTGCACTACTCTGTGTGGGTCTCAAAGTTTTACTGAAACGGCTGCAGACAGTGTGAGTGTTTGTTCTAGTGTCTGAAAAGGAAATGAATCTGCCATTTCTGTCCAGATAATCGATCAATCATGAAAGTCACAGTTTTAAAAATGATAACATTTTATAAGTTTTGTTTGGTCCTAGACAAAAAAAAGAGAGGAAATCATCACGTCAACTCAGTTTAACTCACCATTTCAAATAAACACAAGATCAAGACACCTTCCTCCCACACACTGATAATGTCCCCTTGTCTGAATATGTATGCCCCACTAATAAAGCACAAAGCATACCACACTCCCAAAAGCACCTGTATGGTGGTAATGTGACTGTATAAACAGTCATTTTACCATCTACCCTACCATTTGGTCCCCAATGGCTCTGACACCCTGACTGTGAAGCTGAATGGGCCTTAAATGCCAGCACATCAACAAGGTTATCAAGGAGACACTTGTCATTGTTATTTCTTTAAGTAAGGCTCACAACACCAGAGAGCCGAGGAAGGCTCTGGGGTCTTAACCCTCCTCCTGTGTTAGGGTCAGCACCGACTTGTTTTTGATTTCAAATGCTTAAAAGAACCACTTCAATTAGCTTTTTTGCATCAAGACTTTTTGACTTTGTCAGGAACCTCTATTTCAACGAAATAAAAATAAAAAATAGAAAATTGACCAAATTATAAAATGCTCATATTAAGATTATGGCACTTGTCGTGTTAGGGTCACTGTTGACCCGGTTAGATCAATATCTAATAATTAGAGCAAAAACCAAAATCATAAATGCACTGTCAGGCACCACACTGACAGTCAGATCCTCTCCCAATCATGTGAGATTTAGGAAATTTTACCAAGTTTTTTCCTGCACACACACACACACACACACACACACACACACACACACACACACACACACACACACACACACACAAAATTTCAGGCATGTCCAGACATGTGAGATCAATTCAGTAGATGTCTGTGTGAGGGGTATACTGACAAAAAAAGGCCCAGAGGCCCACTACAAAAAATATTACAAACAATATTTTCATGGATAATGAAGCCTATCAAGATATCCTAGAGATGAGAACGAAATTGGATGATAAAGAATTGTTTTTAGTGTAATTTACAGCTAATTTAAGACACGGGTCAAAACCGACCCTTAACATGGTGTTGAGATAAAAGAGGGTAGGAAACTATAACTCACCCCTGCCTGAATACATTAAGGCACAAAGTTTAACAAAGATGATAATGGAAGAGCTAGAAATGTGCGTGAGAGTAAGACAGTTCTTTAAATGCATTAATATCAATTGACAAATTATTTTATGCCCAGTTTAAGCCAGAGAGTATGACTATGGGATAAATTTCTTGATTTGATTCTGCCAACTCAGTGTGATCTTAAATTAGATCGATGCAAATACAACTGATTGCTTACTGTGAGGAGTTGTAATGTCTACCACATGCTAAAGATAGTCTACCAGCTAATCGTTGAATTTATCTTTATCCCTTTCCGTGTTGTTAAATAAATGAAAGACATTCTGTGCTTTCATGAATTTCCAAATCAGCTCTGGGAAAGTTGCCCTTACTCTCTTCTTCTTTTCCCAGCCATAAGCACTTAAACATGATGTCCTGCGTCCAACCTTTCCCTGTGACCACCTCTCAGGAAAAAAAAGTTTAAAAATTTCCAGCATCTAGACTCCACAGGCCTGATGATGGGGAATAGAGTTGTAGCCAAAATGAGGGAAGAAGTTAATTTCTTAATTGGATTTCAAAGTCCTGTCCTCCCCAGACGATTATCCTGGAGGAAGTTAGCGGTTGTGGCTTTGGTGGAATCAAGAGCCCATGATGCAGACGGCTGGTTCTGTGAGGTCTGCTGATGGTCGAAATGATAGCGAGGGTTTGCGTGTGAGTGTGTGGATAGTGCACTGAGTCTGGAGAATCTAAAAGTCAATCAAGTGTGCGTTAGATAGGCTACTTATCCCAATTGTACCGACCACTACTCCTCCACCACTATCAGACATGTTGTTTATCACATAGAAAAGGAGAGAGAGCGGCTCATCCCAGACCATGTTTATGTGGGCTTAGCTTCGGCTTGTAAAACATAGCTTTGACGCAGGAGGATTTGCATTCTGCATCTCCTTCTGGTCCCGTTTAGCAACTCATCGTTTTATCACTGTTTTTGACCATTTTTGGAGCTTGGCTGGCTGACAGGTTCTTGAAATACTGACATGTTGGAGTCTATGATTTCGTGACTGAATTCAAGCTAAAGGCAAACCTCAGTTTAAAAAGATGTGCGCATTGATATCAGCAGGACTTGGGCAATAATTACGTCATTTTTTTTTACCTACCACAGGTTTGTTAGTGAAGTACACAACAGCCCAGACCACACAAATGTTCTTGTGGTTTATTCAGCTAATTAGATTTACGTGCATCTAATGTGTAGCAGTGTATTTCCTCCCACACAGAACAGCCAAGCACAGGTGATTCCATTACACTATAACAATAAATTTTAAACTCAAAGCTCATCACTTTAAATGTGGTTAAAACCTGATGAAGACATTGTTTAACCAGCTTGGAAACTTTCATTTGGTAGAATTAATTAAAATGATGACACTGATGATCATATCATCCCATTGCCGCCCTGCTGAAAGTAATATTAGGACTGTTTAGAATAGAATAGAATAGAATATTCCTTTATTGATCCCCCATGGGGGAAATTTTTTTGTCACAGCAGCATCACAGACAAGACAAAAAGTGCAAAAATGCAGTTATAACAATAAGGGTCCTAATATTAAGAACTTAAATAAATGTAATAATTAAGAAAAAAATTAGAAAAGGGAGAAGAAAAAATAAAGCTTTCTACAATATACACACAAAATCGAAATTTAATCGAAATAATTGGGCAAAATGAGCTGTGGTTACATTTAGGAGCACACACACTCACATAAAAAGTCAGCTCAAGTGTCTCGCCGCGTCCCTTCCTCATACTTTCAACTACTTCTTTCTTGTAGATTCATGTCCTCTCTGCGTCTGTCCTTCTGTCCATCTGTCTCTGTCGTGCCTGTGATTATTTTCCTCTTGCTGATAATGCCCCGTAAATAGCAGAGCATTGTAATTAAGGAGGATGGGCCCATGGCAGATCAGGCAGCTAATCAGCTACACAGGGCAAGGGGCCCATCGGGGCTGTGCTGCGTTTACACCAGGACCAGTTTTGTCAACTATAATTGGCACCAAAGACTGCGGTAATGAAGACAAGATGTGAGCATGCAGTTAAATCTGTGGCAGGCTGGGATCAGGGAGGCACACAGTCTGTTTTTACCAGGCACTAACCATTGGGCTACTGTTGGCCTGCTGCTGCAAGATGGGGGTTTTTCCTTGATTTCATGGAGTGTGGAGAGATTTCTGCTGTTCATTTTGTCTCATGTACAAGACAAGGAAAAGAGGCAAGTTTTCTTTTAGATGAATCTGAAGTGCAAATGATAAAAAGTATTCATCTGGCCCAAGAATAATACAGCAATTGGTTTTGGCTCGGGAGTTCTTATAATTGATACAAGAGCCGACCCTAAAAGCTCTTGGTGAACTGAAAAAAGTTCACTGCACAGTAATTGACTGAATTAGTCCTGTAAGGAGATGCCACTCGATCTGAGAGCTCTCATCCACACATGTGCTAACCTTTTTAAAAGTTGGCCTGCTGTGACTTCGAGTTTGTGAGACCAAAGGGCTTCAGGGTCTTCCAGCATCAATTAAGGCTTGCGTGTTAGGGCATTGATGGGAGTAATCATGTATTATTTAACAGAACAGCACTGGAGGCGCAGGAGAGACAAGATATCGTGAAGAAGGATGCAAGTGGAAGTTAAAAGGAAAAGAAAGAGGAGGAGGAGGAGGAAGAGATGGAGGAGGAAAAAAAACGAGAGAGAAAGTTGGATAATGAAATGAACTGCAGAGAATTTAGTGTGCTTACTTTGTCTCTCACTTAACTTAGTGAAAAAATGATGATGACGTGCAACATGCTTGCTCCACCAGAGGACAGGTTGTACTCATCCATCAGCCGAACGGGCTCGAGACATTTTTGTCCTAACATTGTCAAACATCTGCTGTGTTTCCATACAGATGTGGAGACGTGTTTATCTTGTCAGCAGACTAAATGATGAAAACATGAAGAGAAGGATAAGTGTGAACTGAGGACAGCCTGAGCTCTTAAAGGACCATTAGAAGAGTTTCTTTATATTTGATCAAAACTGAAGTATGGTTGTATTTTGTTTTATTTATTTTTTTATCAGAGCTAGGCAAGGCGAGTTTATTTGTATCACACCGTTCATACACAAGGCAATTTAAAGTGCTTTACAGATACAAGGAAATGCATTAAAGATTAAAAAAGAGAGATTAAAACAATTTAAAATCAGTAAAATATTCAAATACAATTTAAAGTTATTAAAATAGTTGAAATCGACAGCTCAAAGATAAATAAACATGAACAGTTGTCATAGCTCACCACTGTCAAAATTTAAAGACAGCTTGATTTCAACCTTTTCTCCAGTGCTGTCATGTGACATTTTAGCATCCAGATGTCCTAAAATTTACCTTTCTTTACAGTTCATGACCCCCGTGCTTTAAAAAAAAAAAAAAAAACTGTTGGCCCGCCGCTGCTGCATTATGGTGGCCTGTGCTCAGATGAATATAAAGATTCCCTGAACTTGATCTTGAGTCGATACTCCCTTTGCTTGTACCTCACCAGAAGCCTCTGACAAGAATTTGACAAATTTAGGATAGCAAAAAGAGGGAAGAGAAAAGGGAAAAACAGACAGAGGGAAGGTTAAAAATGGGAAGAAGGCTTAGGCCAACAGCAAGCATATGTGCTTGGCGGCAGTCCACCGCCCTGTGTGTCAGTCTCGATCTGTAGGAAGACTCAGTGCGCCAAGCAGCCAGACTAAATATCTCTTAATGAAGTCTAGTCTCCCGAAGCCTGCTCATTGAACCACCCTCTCATTTACTATTGAAGCTATAATGAGAAAAAAATCTGACATCAACCAAGAGATAGCAGGAAGGACTTGTGACAGTTAGTAGCTGTCTGAGCCATGATAATCTCCAGAGGACTCATGGTGGTTTCTTTCATATAATTATGTGGAGGCCTAGTTCTTCTAACCCGGACAATGGGCACTCAGCCCGATCTGTCTAACTTGACTGTTACGGACACTTATTGGAGCTGCTGTTCAAAAATACTTGGACACTGATGGATTACACCCCTTCGCTGAGTTCCCTCAGAGTTGTGTTTTGTTTTTCTCCCCCCGTAAAGTCAGCTTTGTATGTTTTGGCGTGCTTTATTAAGATAAAATTGTGCAAAACAACACACAGGGAAATGTGAATGCCAGAGGACAAGGCGTCCAATGCAAACGTTTCCCAGACATGAAGAAAGGAGCTCCCAATTTCTGTGGCCCATAGCATACTGGCGGGGGGATTGATTTGTGTTGGGGGGGGGTATGTGGAAACATGCAGCACATTGGCACGGCTGATTAAGGCTGGTGAGAAAGAGTATGTCGGTATGTGTGTTTTCGTCTCAGCCTGGATGTATGGGGGATTTATGTGCCAAATTCTTAGCATGCAATGCATATATATGAGCGTGTGTGTGAAGCAGACAGTTCCAGCGCTGCACTCTACAGCCCCCTCTGGTCTCCACGGAAAGTTTTTTTCTCTGCTTTTCTCTAGAGGAGCACAGATCTAATGAAAACCACCTTGTCATTAACTGGTCCCTTGAAGGACCAATGAATGGCTAACATTCCAGGCAGTGACCTGGAGTTAAAAAATCAGCTATAACTAAAACCTCATCTGACATTACAATTCTCTGAAGTATTGTTTGGTTTCTCCACTTCAGTTCTCTAACCTCCCCTCAACAAAAAAAAAAAAAGCTCTGGCTACCAGCCTAAAATATTAATGGCAGCCTTCTCAGATTTGTTACAGACAATGGCACTCTGTTTGTGTATGTTATTGTAACTTTTTTTATTTTTATTAGTTTGAATAAAGATAGACTTAAACTGGGCTGCGACTCAGGCCACATTTATCTTGCAAACTGGCAGCGGGCCCAGCGAGAAGGGTTTTGAATTCTTGCGTGGGTAATTCTCTGCACGGTGTGGTTAGATTCCATTAACAACATGTCAAAAGAACACAAAGCAGAGGATCAGCTCAGGTGTTGATTTCATCCAAACGCTTCAATTCCTGATTCTTATTTAAATGCACACCACATTTCAGACCCACTGCTTTCATGTCAGACTGTTACCATTAGTGCCATTATCTCAATGAGACCATCATTTGTTACTCAGACTTTGGCTTTCTGGGCCAAGGACGGTGGATTAAAGATGGTCAGCAGCACTGAGAGTAAGAATTTAACCTTCACATGGACAGAATCTTCCTGAAGATGATCGGGTGTCTGTTTGTCCCACTCAACATTTTCCATGTTTCCAACTCAAGGGGTTTTTCTGTTTTCCATTTCCTAGATCAAGAAAGCGTATCGAAAGAAAGCCTTGACATGCCACCCTGACAAGAATCCAGACAACCCACAAGCAGGTGAGTGAGCCACTTGGTAAGTCTGTATACATGTTTCTTTGTCTTCACTATCCATTCTTTGTCTCAGACCTCTGGTAGTCACAAAGGTCCAAGATTTTATTATTTGCTAATTTAATTCCTGCATTGTTTACATAAGAATTGGGATATGTCCTCTGATCCAGCAGCCGCTGAGCTGCAGATCAGGAGTGAATGCTCTGGTGTAGCTGTAGTGACAGGCCGGCCTGTCAACTCTGTATGAAGCCTAACCAGTGCTTCACTCTCCCGCTGGCTCTCAAGCCAGGCCGCACCAGCCAAACATAACCAGCACCACCAGAGTTTCCACACTCCTCGGTTTTACGAGTCCTTCCGCGGCTTGTCGCCAACCACCATGTCAATAATTAGACCAGGAAATCTTAATGTAGCATTTCGTCAGGAGAGAGGGGGGAAAAAAGGCACCTTGGACAAAAGACTGGATCATGAGGCATGTTTTTGAGTGAGGTTTCTGCGGTTTCTGGAGGGTTCAGACAATTCCTGATTATGTCAGGGGGGGAAAAAAACTGGGAAATTGGTGGGGTTTGAGGGGTTGAGAGGGATAACACAAAAGCAGGGGGTCGGTTTCCCAGAAATGGAAACCAAGTGGTTTGGAGGGCCTCAACACTTGAACCCGCACATGGACAGACTTGGTCTCTATCGCACGAGAGCGGAGCAAGTCTTAGGACTCCCTGCCCCTCGGGGGGAGCTTGTTCGCATGAAAGAGGTGACTTGCGGGTCATGATTCCTTCACAGACTGAAGACGCTGCTGTTCCTTCTCTGCCCCCCATGTTGTGACACTCTGAGCTGCCCAGTGGGTATGCCAGGTCCCCCCTCAGTTGGATTTCATTCCAGCCCATTATATGCTTGTAGGTAACCTGAGTGTCTCTGCTGGCAGCATGATCTCCAGAGCCTCCTGTTAGTGAGCACTGCCAGTCCCCACAGGGAGTAACAGTATCGCGCTGTTTGGCCTCCCATAAGTGAATGATTAAGCCTGGCTAGTTTAGTGTAGTAGTGTGATAGTTGTGTGATGCGGTTCAGGATTGCAGTCTCCCTGTGTACATTTTTTGTGTGATGCATAGCAGCGGTGATAGAAGCAGTAGTCCCTGGAGGTGCTCTAAATGTGAGACTCCAAGGGTTTGTGGAGAATGCACGATTCTCAGCGGACACACAGATTTGGTGAGACTTTCAGCACCTTTTTTAAAGAATAAATTGTCACAGCCTCATCGCCAAACCGGATCTTCGAGAAATCTTGCAGACCAATTAAACAAAGCCTCTTTTGACTTTAGTTCCCAGCAAATGTCCTGTTTTCTTTCCAACTTCACTCTTTCTACTAAATCTTCTGCATCAGGTGTCAAATTGGCAGTTCAGTGTGTTATCCAGTCTATTTTTGAAACTGTAGCTGTTTTTGGAAAGTCACTCTGTTTCCCAAAGCTACAATACAAACACATGAAATGAAGTGTCCAGCAGCAGAGTTTTCTGCCTTCTTCTCACTGTTTCTTGTCTCTTTTTTTTCTAGTGGAGCTCTTCCACCAATTGTCTCAGGCTTTGGAGGTGTTAACTGATGCTGCTGCCAAGGTAAAAACCACTAATGCCAGCAGACATTTCATAAATGAACTAAGTCATAAGTACACATATAACCTGACAAAGGCAATTCATCCTGGTGTCTAATGCTGTTGACCAGGCTGCCTATGATAAGATCTGTGCTGCCAAGAAACAAGCAGAAGAAAGAAACCGAAAACTAGACGACAAGAGGAAGAAAATTAAGCTTGGTAAGACTCTACTCATGAATTTCTCTTATGTTTGTTCAAATGCTTAATATTTGTACTTGTCTGAATATGTTTCTGGCTTTAATATTCACAGTTTTAAAAGAGTATACACAAAAGATACAGCACTTTAGAGTTGTTTATGTTTACACTGTTATCAACTTACCAACTTGTTTGTGGATGATTTTGGCGTGTGAGGTATAGCCCATATCGCCCATCCCTAACATGAAAGTAGACATACCTCTGACTCCTCACTATTGACTGTGCGTGAGTGTTGATGTGTGGGATTTCACCCTGCCTCGACAGACTTGGAAGCCAGGGAACGACTAGCAGAAAGCCAAACCCAGGAGGAGGTGCAAACACGCACACTTGAGGAAGAGGTAAGACAATTCAAAGAAACCATTTGAGACATTTTCAAAGCACCCAACTCTGCCAGGACAAGATCTAGAAGATGAGCATAAACATCTTTCCGCACTGTGGGCCTCAATTTTGTGTTTAAGTGAATCCTGGAAACGGCGGAGCACATGCAGGTGTTCTTATCCTGTTTTTTGTCAAGTTCCCCCTCCTGATTGAATCCTCCAAAGACTTGGGTCAGGAACAAAGGCTGTATCTGAGAGAGGCTTTTTTTCACTGCCCTATCATAATTATCAGTAAATCCGTTAGGTGATATTGCATGACTTTACGCACTTTGTTCAGAAAGCCAGCGCTAAATAAAAATGGTGTGCGTGCTTCCTCTGTGAGTCATGACATGTGCTCAGTGTACTTAATACATGTAGATTCCTGGCCCGGTGCCACAAAATGGGAGAGGGGGAAAACCAGAAGATGGCACTGTTCCATTTTTTCTCATCTTAAGGTTTAATTGCCTTAACTGATTATATAAGGTGGTGTGTATAATCTCTTGGAAATGCTTCATCACAGAAAGGTTGTCGAAGAGTGAGAGTCAAGGAGAGCCACATGAGGGCTGAATGACATCAGTGTTTACAAAGAAAGGACAGATGCATCACTTTCTGACACTCAAAGCCACTTGTTGCCACCAGATTGTCCGTTTAAGAGAGGAGGGCTCCAGACAGCTGGAGGAGGAACAGAGACTCATCAGGGAGCAGATCCAGAGGGAAAGAGAAGCACAACAGCAGCAGCAAACAGGAGGCTACACTCCGGCAAGTATGTCTGCTTCCAGTCCAGCTTCATCAACACAGTTCAGCGAAAGCCCTGTTCTGCTGGGATGAATCAGTCAAATCCAATATGAGTTCTTTTTACTATCCTGAAAGCCTGACTGAACCCCTGTGTTTCCCCACCATTATGCTGTCAGGCCAACCACAGCGACCCCCACTCCCCCAGTGGTTCACCAGATATTATTCACATAACAGTAACTGAATGCATATTTGAAATTTCGCTGTGCTTCTAAACATTAAGATCTATTTTAGTTTCGAGGCAGGAAGGCCACTTGGCAAGGTTACATAGGAATACCAAACATCATGCACAAAAACTTTTAACCTTTTCATAATATTTCATATATAAAGGCTCATTTTGGTGACATAAAAAATAAGAGTCTTTTTAAAGGATACTATGGAAGTGTGGGTATGTAAGACAAGCACTGATTCTTGGCCCTGGAGTAGACCTCTTTTGTGGCTGCATAGTCAGCGTGTCCACAGCCCACTTCTGGATCAGCACTTTGTCTTTCCTCTCTCAAGGGGCACTCTGCAGATAATCAGGCTATAGTCGGAGCCATACATTCACCGTGTGACAGCCAACTTTAAATTGCCGTCTATTTGCATGAGTCCCATGATGGCTGTTATGTGCTATGTCATTGAACTCCACGAAACTATTGTTTCTTTGTTTCTCCTCTGCGCCGCCTCGTCTCTCCCTCATGTTTTTGTTTCTTCTCAGGCTCAAGAGTGGAGGGATCGAGCAATGTGACCCCCAAACTGAAGGTGAGTCTTACAGATATGAGTTTAATCAGGGGATGAGATTTAAGAGGATGGGGCTGGAATGAGTATCGCATTTGTGGGATAACACAGGAAGAGGAACTGCTCCATTTGAGTGAAAGTGCAGACAGAGTCTCATCAGGGATTTTGATCCGACTTTAAACATTCCTAATTCATTATTTGGAGACCACATACGCTGTCTGACCACTGAGAGAACAGGCTGTTCTAACGCCCATTCCTCAGGAGAAGGCGAAGCATTGTCAGGAGAGCCGCAACTACGACAAGAGAAGGAAGGCTTATTATATTTCCTGCTGAAGGCGGCCAAGCCTGTGCATATTGACAGACACTGGGGATGTTAGCTAATGTGTTTGGACATTAAGTCTCATTTCAAAATTTGATCCCCATGTAATGTAGAGAAGTGTATGTAACAGTTGGTTATCCACTTCTAAAAAACTGACAGCAACACAGCTTATCCAAGAAGATCTATCTCGTAGGCTTCAAGTCTTCTCTCTGAGTGAATATTTCTATCTTGTGCATCCCTTGAAATAATTAGGTTTTGCTTCACTTGCATAATTTTTATCTGTTTCGTTATTTAAACCAGGAGCAAGACCTCATAGCAATGTGTCAGGGCTGTTTTCTTGAACCATTGACATGACATTATTCCAAAAAACATCTTGTTTTAAGATGAATGGGTAGGAACATTATCAGTAGGTACTGGAGACAGGCTCTTGGCAGGAGAAAGCACAATTTCAACAGTAATTTTTGGTAAAAGAGGCAATGAAGACATGAAAATTCCCAGAAATCCCTCTTTGACAGTGAGCAGAACGCTGGAGCTGAATCAACTCTTGGTGCGCGTCATGTAACTACCACTCAACGGGCAGAATTACACAATATCTCCTGTGAGGAGGAAGAGTGCTAACAACTTGTGGAAGCTGTTTTAGTTATCTCTAGTTTTAAAGCAAGGATTTTCACATGACAAAATGATAAGTGTCAAAACTGAAGTAAAGATGGGGAAAAGCGACCAAATAAGTCAACCACAGTTCAGACAAAGGCCCAAGACATCCCTGAGGAAGGACTGTTCGTCTGCTCGTTGCATTAGACGCTGTCCTCTTTGAATCATGTGGTCATTTCAGTTGCTGATGCTTTGATTTATTCTGTACAGCTCTACCCAAAGAGGTGAATCACAGTGAATTTATCAGTCCAGGACTCAGTGTGTTAATTTTTCTTTTTTTTTTACTGTCTGGACCCTCGTTATAAATGGAAATTGACTGCAGGTCTCACAGGTGGTGCCAGGGTGATGTTCACATCGCTCAACTATGTTTTCCTCTTGCAGTATCATCAGGGCCAAGCCTGCGTGGCACGCTTCATCTTCCCGTCAGCTGATTTCAATCAATTGTGCTCTAATGATTAGACATCAACACGCACATCTTTACTTCTTTAAAGTCTTCGTGCTTCTTTTTTTTTTATTACAGCTAAAGTGGAAGTGTAAAAAAGACGATGAGACGAATGGAGGCTACTCACAAGACGTGCTTTTCAGACTTCTCCAAAAGGTACGCGCTTGGTTCCTCAAAGTTACACGACCACTTCTTATACAGAAACGCATAACCTGGATGTTTGTGGGGTTGTTTTATAAGGTACAGAATTCCAGTAATGTAGCATTTTATGATAGGTTATATAGGGATAAATTCTCTGTGACTGCTGTTATAACAATGCTCTAAATATAGTTTTCATTATCAGGGTATAACAAGGCAGTGTTGTAAACTTGAGGCTGCTTCACAGGACTTTTGGATTAAGAGGAATTTTCATCAATTTGATAAATAACAGTTACAATGGGTGGTTTTTTAATTCACTGCATTAACCCAAAACAGACATTTTTAATAGGCATATTTTTTCTTCACAACTTTTAAATTATTTTCAGAAAATTGAAACAACAGGGGTTTAAATCTGTTCTGCGTTGGCAGGAATTTTAGAAATAATCTGATCTTTTTACTCTCACTGTCCCAAAGCAGAGCTTCACGGTAACAAACCGGCAAGCAGAGTCCGACCATATTTAAGGTCTGCATGACATCAGCGCAGTAGATTGTTTTATTCTCCTCCTTAAACAAGGCCCATTAAGTTTTGTTGCAGTGAAAGTGCTGAGGGCAATGTTGTAGTGCCCTTTTTTAAAGCCATGCACGCCATTATTTGTGCCCCTCTTACCAGGTGATTAAGCAGTGCCAAGGGAGGCATTAGGAAATGTGCTCTTCTCATGCAATCCAGAACCACCTTATGCAATGATGCGTCAGAAGGGCTGTTTTTTAGGGGCATAGGTTGGCCCTGAAATGAGGGAATGGGGTGAGAGTCACTGACGTCAAGCTGTTCGGAAAAGGCGTTTGAGTTCTCTCCTCGGCATGAACTTAGTCAATATGGTCCCTGGCAGGAGGGCTGTGTCAAAACAAACACTGTGTTGTTCCTTTTTGAAATTCTTCAGTTGAGGGGAACATATTTCAGGAAAAAAATGTTGTTTGAGATGGCAAGGTCCAATGAGTGACGGTTAATGGTTTGGGCAAGAAGAAATATCCTGCGAGTGTGGGAAAGCTAGCAGAGTCTGTGTCTCTGTACACGTACGTGTGCGGCTCTGTGTATTTTGGCCGCTTTAGAAAATACATCTTTGTTATAGAGCGAAAAAAACATGTTAATAAATTTATATTTTATGAAATCGAGGCCTTTTGAGAGTCTCTTTTGTCACTGTTGGCTTGCTCCATGGTGTCCTTAGTAAGCATTAGTGTTCCAGGACTTTCCAGTTCCCAGAAAGCTACTTTTTCACAAGATAAGGTCCTCAAAGGAATTAAAAAAAGAACTAGGGCCCCGGTGGGGCACTGGCGGGCCGCCCCCAGCGCGACCGCCTACCCCTCCCGATCGCGTCACACTCAAGGTCCAAAGATGGTGTGCGCACTTGTCTGTGGTCATTTACCATAATAATGAATGGGAGGCGCAGTTTCTACCAAAAATCTCGCTGCAGACAAACTCCATGTCCTTTTTGAAAAAATTCTGGACCATGAGTGAGGGCACAAACACAGCTAGTATATATCCAAATGGCAAGTTGCTCCTCCTTTCGGTTTTGCCGAGAGAGCGATGCGTTTGAGCCATTGAGCGATGGGCAGGAAAAACTTGACTTTTTCTCCTGCCATGGGGGGGCGCTCTTTTGGGGAGAAAAAATTCCTTCACAAATGTGTTGATGACTGAACATTGCATCATCCTAGAAAACTTGGAGGCCAGTGAGGACAAAAAATGCGAAATAGCCCTTTAACCGTACATTTTACAGATACGCGCACATTGACTTTTTCGTAGATCTTATTGAGATACACGTGATTGTCAAATTTTGTGTCAATATGACAAAGCGTACAGGCGTGACACTCAACAATGTGTATTTTCGCCTTAGGGGACAAGAAAAAATGGACTTTTTTCTCCTGCCATGGGGGGGCGCTCTTTTGGCGAGTAAAAATTCCTTCACAAATGTGTTAATTGCTGGACATTGCATCATCCTAGAGAACTTGGAGGCCAGTGAGGACAAAAATAAAAAGTTATAAGACTTTTAAGACTGTGGATTTTTTTTAAGACTGCGCCTCCCATTAATTAGAATGGTAAATGACCACAGACAAGTGCGCACACCATCTTTGGACCTTGAGTGTGACGCGATCGGGAGGGGTAGGCGGTCGCGCTGGGGGCGGCGCGACACGGCTCGGGCCCGCCAGTGCCCCACCGGGGCCCTAGTATTTCTTAGTGTTTGAAAAGGCTTGTGTAGGAGTTAAATGGGCCCATTTCTACCTTTCTAGGTGGTTACTACTTAATTCAAGGTGGCGCATAAAATTAAGAACACCTTTAGAGTGCTGAAAATGTGCTTTTGGTTACACTGAGGGAGGAAAATATATAATCCACAGGTGAAAAAAAAGGTGAAAAAGCACTCTCTTTTATCAAGAGTGAGATGTTTGGTTATTTAAAATACATGCATTTTGATTTCTTTTCAATATTTTAAAATGATTTGTATTGCAGTGACATTTCATTTCTATGTGCAGCCTTGCATATATTTAGCATAAACCAGATTGAGACTTGAGAAGTTGAAGTTTAAAGGAAGGCAGCTGGGAGCGTAATCTTATTATCTGTTTATAAAGATAATTAATATCCCACCCACTGTCAAATGACAGCCAATGAGAGACGGGATTGTATTAAAGCTGTCACTTGGCCTCTTTTGAAAGCTAGACCTCGACTTGGACTAGAACTGAAACCATAGAGTTGTTTGCTGGAGGATATCTGCACACTTGCCCGAGCAGGTATCTGTTCAGAGAAAATATTAATGCAATCGTGCAATTTGGATTGAATCTTGTGTTTGCATTTTGGACACATTGACCTTTTAAAAGGAAAACAATATTGCTTAAACATGCTAAAATGTTTGAAAGTGTTCAAAGCAACCATGGTGTAATGCTCAAAGAAGTTTATTTTTTGGGGTTAGAGGTCCAAGCCTGGTGTTAGGAGGACTCTCCTGAATCGGCAAACTCAGTCTCCATGGCATGTAGCAGGTTGTCTCGAGGGATAATGAATCTGTCCCTGTTGACCCCGGACACCACGCAGCAGCTGACAGCACTGCGGGAAATCTCCATGTCGGCAGCCTCAGTCCAAGTATTGTTTTTGGCGTCGTAGTATTCGACGTTAAATGAGGTGGTGAAGCCGTTGAAGCCGTTGAAGCCCCCAACAACAAAGAGGTAATCATCGAGCACTTCAATTCCAAAGTTGCTGCGAGGGTTTTGCATGGAGGGTATGTCATTCCAGGTGTTGGTATGGGGGTTGTAAGCCTCTGCACTGCGCAGACGGGCATGGCCATCAAAGCCACCAACCTAAAGCAGTAAAGTTGGAGAATCAGTGAAACTGGACTGAACCCGATTTCCCCACATTTCACAATTATATCCCAGAGTTTCTAAATCTGAAGAAAAACAACGGTAACACTTTACAATAACCATAACTTATAAATGGTAAATAGACCATTTATATAGTGAGCAGATAGTTTATTAATGTTTTATCATCATTTATAAATAGCATATAGACCATTAATAAATTGTAAATTTTACATTTTTTAAATCCTAACCCTAACCCTAACCCTGACTTTACAATAACCATCTAAGTAATGTTTATAGGTGGTTTAAAAACCACTTATTCATCATTTACAAAGTATTACAAACATCAGTTGCAACTTTACAATAACCGTCTAAGTCATATTTATATTTGTTTTATAAACAAAATATTTACCATTTACAAAGTGCTACTGACACACATTTTAATCTAGATGTTATACAACCAATATTTAAACCCTATGTAAACCTTAAATAAATAGTCTATCAATAAGTAATGAAAATTCTTAATCATAATTTCATTGCTTATTAATGATAAAGTAACTATATAACTTACATTAATAAACTATCTATTTGCCATTTATAATTGGTCTATATGCTGTTTCTAAATGATGATAAAACATTAATAGACTATCTAGTTACCATTTATAAATTATGGTTATTGTAAAGTGTTACCAAAATAACTATTTAGAACTTATAAATGACAAAGCAGATGGGAAAACCTATGTCAGTTTGTTGATTTTAACATCTAGTTTGTTTTATTGTTTTTGGAACAAACTATCAGTGACTGAATGGACTTACAGCATAGATGTAGCCTGAGTATGCCACGACGCCAATCCCACTGCGCAGGTTGTTCATGGGGCTGATCACTGTCCACTGGTTAGTTTCTGGGCAGTAGTATTCACATGTTTGCAGGCAGTCCTGCCCATTGAAGCCTCCACATTTGTAAACCTGGGTAGAACAGGATAGTTTTTCCTTTTTTAGATAACTTTGTTCCTACTATCAAGACACACACAAACCAAACTTAACGAGCACAACACAGATGAGACCTTGTCTTGTCCTAACCTGCATCACTGGTATCAGGCATTAATTATGAGAACAAATAAATCATCAGCTTTTTCCCCTGATGGTTTAGTTTGCATTTGTAGGTCATAGAGAGACACCAATATTAATTTCAGTCTGTTTTTATCACCAGCTGAAAAATCCTCACAGGGGGCTTTAAACACACATTTGAAAGGTCAAAAAACTAATCAGGGATTTTGAACTCATTCAGTTTCCTTACACCTGTCCTTCTTAAAGTGCTGCAAGTTTGACTGAATCAAATCTTTTTTTAAGTAGATACAGCAAATCAAATCATCAGTGCTCTTCTGTCTCACCCACCTTGTTATTCAGTGTCGTGCAATCAGCATCGCTCCTCCGCTCATTCATGGGTGGAATCATACTCCACTGGTTGGTCTCTGGCCTGTAGCGCTCAGCAGTATTGAGTTGTGTATGACCATCAAACCCTCCTAAGGCATAGATCCACCCATCCAGCACAGTAACACTAACATGGCTCCTTCGGCAGTACATCGGCGCTACTTCATGCCAGGTATATGTGCTCAAGTCCAACCGGCAATAGTGTGAATTTTCACCTTAGGGGGCGCTATGGAGCCATTTTTCATTTTTTTGTTTGGGCGACTTCAGAATATCAAATTTTTCACCAGGCCCGGTTGTCCTGCCAAATTTCCTGAGTTTTCGCCAGTGGGAAGTGGGCCATTTTCCAGTTCAAAGGGGAGGAAAAAGAGGAAAGAAGAAAGAAGATTTTTCGCCTATGAAGGAACAAGAGGGCTCTCGCAGCTGCTTAGCAGCTACGCTCGGGCCCTAAAGAAGAAGAAAGAAGAATCCATCAGGAACAATAGGGCTCTCGCAGCTGCTTAGCAGCTATGCTCGGGCCCTAATAATAATAACGAAAGAAGAATCCATCAGGAACAAGAGGGCTCTCGCAGCTGCTTAGCAGCTACGCTCGGGCCCTAAAAAAACAACATTTGTGGCTGCTACACTGAATTTCCAGTCTTCCTTCTCTTCTCTCCATCACCCTGGGACAGAGATCAGGGAATGACTGAGATGCTCTTGGCTTTGCTTCCTTTGGCCAACTTTCCTTCCCTGTTCTGATCTGTGGCAGGAGTTGACTGTATGGCACTTTTAAGTGAAGTTGGTTTGGTTTTTTCGGCACGAGGAGTCAACAAACTCCTTTCTTTTGAAGAGTCAAGATCACCGTTTTAAATAGGGTGTTTCTGAAATACTTTTGAATGTTTGTCTGGCAGTCATACAAAACCAATCGTTAGATATTAGCTGTCAATGAATAAAACAAAAATTGAACCCTCAATTCAAGTCCAAAAGTCTGTGATATCTTCCTGAGGTTTTTTGGTCTGCATATGTTTTGAGTTTTCATGCTTATTGGTTGTGCTGTGAAGGGATATACTAATTTGAATGTTCTTCATGTCTCCTCTTCCCCCCCCTTTCCTTTTATTCTCTGATTTCTTCCATGTAGTACGGTGATGTTTTACATGTGATTGTCTCCAGTAAGAAGAAAGGAAGTGCTCTGGTTGAATTTGCAACTGTGAGAGCAGCTGTAAGTACCTAACTCTTCCCCAGTAAGTGTCCTCGCTCCCCTAGCTCAACAATAGAAACCTTTGTCGAAGCAGATATTTGCATAAAACATTCACTTACTCGTCAAAATGCTTTTTTTGTCTCTGATCACCTGCTGAGGCAGATTTTGACCAAATATGACACCTTTCATAAACTTGTACGCCTAGAGACAGATTCTCCAACCAAAGCTAATGTTTTAGTCATTCTGGTGTACGGAGATCTGCGTGCTGATGGCAACCACTGGACGGAAGGACTCATTGTTCTTCACTGTCTGGATCCTCAGGCTGTTTGTCATGATGTTGTACTTTTATGTTGTGGCTTGCTCACCAAGGCGTGTGGTTTCCGTCCAGTGGACATGTCTGCCCGTCTACTGGGATCTGGGCACAGGCTCTGTGGTCTGGCCATGTCCTTATCCCAGCCTTGCTCTGGGTGTTGGCTCAGCTACAATCCACCTTTGTGCTTTGTTTGCATGTGTGCTTCATATGTTTGTTATACCAAACAACCCCGCAAAAATACCCAATTTATGCAGATTTTATGACAAAGAAAATCTATTTTTCCTCATGAGAATATTGGCAGAGAAACTGTCCGACTTGCTAAGAGTTTATTTTTGTTTTCAGGAGCTTGCAGTTAAGTATGAAAGGGGCCTGAGTGAAAACCCCTTGAAGATCTCGTGGCTCGAAGGACAACCTGAAGTGATCACTTCGGCAGCTCATTCCGGCCAGTTCATGTCTACACAGGTAGGTTAAGAAGATGTTGCTGACAATTACCTGCTCACGCTCCCATAAACCATGTCAGCTAGGTTCCTAAAGCTTCTCATGTACATAACTTCCAACACAAATACTGTTGCCTAAACACCGTCCCAGAAAAAGAGGTATGCGAACCCTCTTTATTTTCAAATATTGCACTCCCCTTGCATGGACTAGAACTATGTGTTTGGTTAAATGACCCTCGGTTTATTTGCTTTGGATGTTGTGATGATGATCCAGCACTGGCTCAAGGCTGCTGGTCGGCCGCTCATTAATGGGCCTGACCTGGGAGACCCCAGGAATGCTAGACTCCATAAAACAAAGCACGAAAAGCAGTGTGCAGTAAAGGTAGCCGCGAACAAGAGACAGAACAGATGCTTACATTTGTTTGGTTATTTCCCTATATCATAAAAAAGAGTTATTTTTTAGAAGATATTCTAGAGGATCTGTCTTTTTTGATCGATGAGATTCTGCTATGTGTCCAACTTTTTTCTTTTTAGGGAATGTGTTCTTTTGAAATCTAAAGGCCCAACTTTCTGTAGGCCAAACGTTTGATGCACTGAACTGGAATGTTTTATTTGGAAACAGCTCTTCAAAACACTGACCCTCTAATCTGGTGCCTGCTGTGATCTGGAAATCACAGTAGTCTGTGTTGCAAGCTTCACTATTTTAATTGATTTTGTACGCCCAATATTTTGTCTTTCACTGTCAGCACAGATGTATACACCAAAGGCCCATTTACTCTTTTCCTGTCCAAGGATAATCGCATTTTAGCCATTTCCACCGAGAATCCACAAAGTTTTTCTTTCTGCTCATTAGATTAGTATGAAGTCATGTTTTTCCCCTTACAGCGTCCATTGGCTTCTCTTATATTGTGATCTTTACCTGTGAGGGATTACATATCAGTAGACTCTCTGTGTCTACTTATCTGTACCTCCAGAGCTGCTGCTGAACTGCATTTCACCCTGAAACCCAGTGTGGAGTCTCAAGGCCCCATGTCGGGGCTAGCATGTGAGACTGAGCCTGCACACCGGGACTTGTCACACTAATCTCTTTAAATGTTATTATGGTAACCCGTCTTAGCTTACAGATATCCAAAACTGATTGCTTCATATTTTTTTTTTGGCCCTGCCTCCGAGAATGAAAACATTACTTTGGACGGGTAATTTTCGCATTAGTCCTCAGCAAGAATATTTCTACAAACATGACATAATGGGTTAACTGTAGTAGATATTAGTAAAGTTGTTCCACATCTGGCCTGGGGTCAGTGGACCTGGCTAGGAGTAATAAGAAGCTAGAGCCTTGGAGGTCCTGCTCCGTCTGCGTCTCTATCTGGAATCAAAAAATCTGATTCTTCTCCCTGTCCTCTCTCCTTCCATCGCTCCTCCACTCAGGCCAGCTGCAATCACATAGGAGCCACTTGGGTGAGGACTTGCTTCTTTGACCTCATCAATCCAAACATAGAGCTCAGAGAGTGAGAGTCTCACTACAGGGAGCTAAAAGAAACAGACATATGACTTCAGCCTCGGCTTCAGTTCCAGCTGCGCGGGGCTTTATAAATGAATCCAGGGCCAATGCGAAAGGCAAACAAAATACAGGATACTCATGGACAGACAACCTTGTGGGGCGCTAGATAACACACTAAAACTGAAAATCAGACAAAGGATCCACACAAACTACTGACAGCTACCTATTTAGTGATCTTTGTCAGACATTTACTTAACAATGGGGCATGAAAATCCAGGATGGGCAAAATCACAGCACCAAGGAGTGCTGAACAGGCTCTTGAACCTTTCTGCATGTCAGAGTTTGGCGTGAATTCAGAGTACACACAGAACCGTTCACAGGGATATGTATTTCAGTGTTATTTGGACAGTGTCACTTCCTATGTCCTCTATGTGGTGTTCGACCAACACTCAATTATCACGCATGAAGTTGCTGCACCGAGCAGAGTGCACATGTCATGACAATCAAGCTGTGTTTGTCAAACACGGCTCGCTGGCTCTTGCCAGATTGAGGCGCTCATAGTATGACTGAATATTGGCAGGTAGTAGTGTTTAGGTCTGGACTCTCAGAATAAAATTTGGTACAGATTTAGCCCTGTGCATATGTTACTGCAACTGCCAGTTACATGGCAACATATCAACGTATAGCACATTGAGGCAATGCCATAAAAAAAAAACCAACAAAAAAATATTACCAAATAAACTTTGGAGATCTTTTTCTGCTCAGTGTCTTTTTAAATAGCTCCATAAATCTAGGCTTGACTGGATAAAGGAGTGAGAAGGGCTTCAAAGCAGAAGCTGTCAGGTTTGTGTCGTGACCCAGGAAGGTTTTTTAAAAAGCCTTTATAGGTCACATGTTTCGTTATAAATGTCAGACATTTAGGTGAAGTGCATAGGCATTTTGATTGAATTTGAATGTTTAAGTTTGAAGAGTTTGTCACTGTAAAAAGATAAAGATGGGATATAATGACAAATTAAAGACGTTGAGCTCTCTTTGATTTTGGGTTTAGGTGCAAGAGGCTCATTTTTCTGTCCTGATACCACATTTTAAACACCTTGGGGAAACATATACGCAACTCTACTCTCGCAGTCCTTGCAGTGTATTCTGTGCTCTGTCCCTAATAATTACAGAAACAGATTCACCTCTCAGCTTAGGAACTGCTCGGTACTCTCAAACTTGATTATTCAAGTGCTGATTAGTGTTGGTACCCACTTTAGTGGAGGGCCTTACTGATTGGAGACCAAAACTCCCACTGATAACACCCCTCAGCGTTTGTAGACCTTCGCAACACAAACTGTGGCACAGTGTGTAAGAGTTTCATCACCCTCACAGAGACACAGAAGCGACCTGTTCAACTATTGGTTCTTTTTAATTCTGCTTGTCCAGAAAGCTGATATGACATGATTAATACCAGGCCCCTGCTGCATTCACTCAGTATTCTCACCATGGATATTAAAAATTACATAACAGGTAAGGGTCAAGTCCTCCTCTCTGTGAGGAAATGCTCCCCATGCTCTCAACTTGATTCAGACCCCTCATTTGGGAAAGGATCTAGTTTCATCTCCAGACTGTTCTTCAGTGTGTCTGTACCTTTTAACATAATAAACAGTCACAGTGAGAGATTGAGAAACAGCATGTCACATGCATACATTGGTGCACACATTTCTATTAGCATTGCATTGTACAGATTTGCAAGTCTCAGTCAATCCTTCAACAACTGATCAGCCAATTTATTTTATTCGAGATATCAAAGGATTTATTAGAAAAAGCAGGTCTAGACCAGAGTCTTTGGTCTGTCATTTACTGAGGCCCAGTGCTAAACCACCATGAACTACCATTTGGTAACATTTAGCATCAGCTGCAATAAAAAACTTCCTCTTAACAGGCCAAAACCTCAGGCAAAACCAGACTCATGGTGAACAGCCCAACATCTTCACTAAATGTGAAGAGATTCCGAGATAAAAGGAGATACAGAAAGAGAGTGCTGGATGAAGATAACCAGAATCAGCTTTATTGGCCAAGTATGTGCACACAGACAAGGAATTTAACTCCGGCAAACTTTGCCCTCTATGTACAAACATTAAACATCAACAATTGTTACAAGAAATGTACAAGCAGTAACTAGACATTCAAGTTATATACAAGACGGTTGTGCAATGATAAAGAGTGCAGAGGAGTGAAGAGTACTTGGAAAAAAAATACATGTGATATTACAGGTGGGTTATGTACATGAACTACATAACCCACATTTTATGTTTCACAATATAAACATTTAAAATAAGTATAATGGTGTGTGCAGTGGTATGTGTCTGATAAGAGGAATGATTATTTGTTTAATAGTTATATAAGTTACAGTGGTCTATCTGTGGCTCTGTGGACATTAGGGGTTCATCAGAGAAACAGCCGGGGGGAGAAACTGTTGTTGAGGTTTTGGTGTACAGTGAACTGTTACGTCTGCCTGAGGGGAAGGGTTTAAACAGTTTATGACCTGGGTGTGAGGGGTCTGCAGTGATGTTGTGTTGCATGACCCTGGACCTCTTTATATCCCAGGTTGAGGGCAGGTTGGCCCTTATGATTTTCACTGCAGTCCTGATAGTTCGCAAAGCAAACAGTGCAAATGGTGATGGATGTGTAGAGAACAGACTGAATGATGGTAGAGTATAATTGGCTCAGCAGCTCCTGGGGTAGGTTGAACTTCCTGATTTGTCGTAAGAAGTACAACCTCTGTTGGGTCTGGATGGTCCACTTCAGGTCCCTGGAGATAGTCTAGATAGAACTGGAACATGTCCACAGTTGACACGGTGTTGTTGAGGATTGTGAAGGGAGCAAGTGTATGAGGGCTCCTCCTAAAGTCCACTGTCATCTCCACAGTCTTGAACGGGTTCAGCTGCAGATGATTCTGACTGCACCAGAGGACGAGCTGATCCACTTGTATACAAACTCATCACTGTCTCAGATTAGACCAATGACTGTGGTGTCGTCCGTAAACTTCACGAGATGGGTCCCCTGAGGTGCCATCTCAGGTGTAGAGGGAGAAGAGAAGAGGGGAGAGGACACACCCCTGGGGGGCACCAGTGCTGATGGTGCTTTGGGGGATGTTCCCCAGCCTCACCAGCTGCCTCCTTCTCTGTCCCTCACTCTGCTCAGCTTGTGTCTGTGTACATAAGCACCTGTGTTTTGTGTAAAAAGGATCTTTTTCTGGACTGAAAAAAATCTTCCTCAACACAGTGACAGTGTCTGCCAGATTGTTCAGAAGAAGAAGGCCTGATTATTGAAAAGGCGTACCTTCTGTACTACTTCTAAAGTCTTTGAATAAATCATAGTGTCTCCATGATCCTGAAATAAGACGATACATTTGTTTTTCATCAATTGTCATTTGTTTGGGGATGTTTCAGGGCTCAAACAGAGGTAGTGCTGTGTTTTACGAGAAGTCTTGAGTAGTAGCTGTATCAGTCTGTGATTCACCATGTGGCTGCCCTTCATGGTAAGACAGAATCAAATAAATGAACCATATCCCAACTCTTTGTCAGTCTGACTGTCTAAACATACACTTTGTCTTACGTCTGTGTCTTCATGGATGTAATGCCAACATCAATCACTGTGTTGTGATTCATCGTTTATTACACAGTTCAGCTCAGTAAATTGTGTGTTCTAAAGGATATAAATTCAAGCCTTATACGCCTGCTTCTCTCATCCAGAGCTGAAGAGTCATGGCACGCTTGTCACGACAAAAACCAGATGCTCCAGTTTAGCTATTCTAGGATTGTTTTTTTTCCAGTCAGACAGTTTGCTTGTACTTAAAAAGTGGCCTCTCACCTAAAATAGCCTGTGTCTTTGAGAGATCCACTGTTTGTGGCCATGCTGTTGGTATTATCCACCCTGGCTTAGCTCCTTCTCTGAATCAAGATAAGGGAATTCTTGGAGGGAGATGAGTATGATTCACTTCTTTAAGCTCTCAACAAATCAAGTGGTAAGTAAAAAAAAAAAGTAAAAATTTACCTGTTTAATCATAATTTGTTAGTCAATACCCTGCTCCTGCATCTCTGCATCCAGAGGTCTCATTCTTTCCAAAGCAAATGGCCGTTATCAACTAGTGGAACACTTAGTAAGACATTTGTGTGTTCAAACTGGTGGATTTTGGTTGCACTCCAAAGCCAGGGGTTATCTGCTTTGTCTGAGCTTTTCTTGTTTTCAGGTTTTGTTTGGTGTGTGTCATTACACTTAACCTACACCCATTGGCTGCTTCAGTACTCCACTGCAATACCCGATCAGGTCCCTGAGTGTAGGCAAGGCCATGAACCGTCCATATCCCACATCAGCCAGGTACACTTTGATACTCCTCCACCTCTGCTTTGCCTCCACAAGCACAGTCTGTCTCATGCAGCTTCTCGGTGCCAGAGGTGCCAGAGTATCATCCTACCTTTATAAACAAGTAGACACAATGATTGCAAATGGTTACCTGTGAAGACAACCAATAATGGGCTTTGAATTGAATAGCCAAATCTGATTTGATTGATTAAGCTCAGAGTTTGTAACAGCGTCTGTGTAAAAAATAGTTTTGTACCTGATGTTTATCATGTGTATCAAGTTTTACCAGAAGGAGAAGAAAGAAACTTACGAGGAGTTGTTGGTGCTACATTCTTCATGTGGAACAAAAGACCAAACTCTTTGTAACAAAGGTACATGCATTATGTGTAGGATGGCTTGGCATACAGAGTCTTTTTCTCACCTTTTATGATTGGAAACTGTATGAATCTCCTGGTGTGAGAGAAGTGTGTCCAGGTTACACCCAATTCATCATGTGTGTCCAAGAGGGGAAAGCTGTTGTGGATTAGTTTCGCCCTTCCTATCTGTAGCTTGATATTATGTTGTGACATGCTACAGAAAACATAAACACTATCAGTTTCAGAAGATCCCCTCCTGTTTGTGAGGCTGTGTTGATCAGGCACCTTCGTTTAAAAGCATCATTAAATTCTTTCTGGAGCATGAAATCACAGCATTACACCTCTCTTTATTAGACAAAACAACATTTTTGATGTTTTAGCCGGTACCTGATAAAATGAATAACTGGTACACTCTGCTCTTCTCAGTGAGGTGACAGGGTTCCCTGGTATTCTTCACATCACCGAGTTTAGATTTTAGAAGGGGTGAAGCGTTACCAGATGTGATCGGGGTTACTTGACAGCTCGGCCAGTTTGTGCAGCGCAGACAAGATAATTTGTCTTCAATTACAGCCTCTTTCTTCTCACATCAGTCATGTGGTAGACACTTGTTGGGCCAGATTCTTTGCACTGAGAAAAGAGGACCGAGTCATGGCAGCCAAGGACTCTTGGCTACAGCAAGCAGATGTTGATGTGTGAAGGTTATGCTAAGTATGGATGGGTTTCAATCAAATGTGTCTGGCAAAAAAAAAACATAAAAAACAACTTAAATGCCTTGTTGTTTTTTGAATAAATGAGACTTTGATTGTTAGGAGCCATTGTGTTAGATGAGGGGGTTGTCAGAAGTAAGGAGTGACCGAATAGTGTCTTTTTCTGCTTGTGCTGGAGAGTTCTTTATACAGAGATGTCTGGCATGTTGGATACACCCTCTTTATGCCAGTCAGTAGCTGTGTTTACATGGGCACAAATAATCAGAATAAATACTCGATAGGAATAAAAATGTGTCACGTAAACATGTCGATCGTTAGATTCTGATCCAATTGAATTTTTTTCAATCAGAAAGAAATTGTATTCCGATCGAGAGGGGTGGTTTATGTCTATCGTTATTCCGAAACGCGTCCATGGAAACACTTACTCTGATCGTGACTCTCTTACCTGACTTGATCTTCACTCTTCAGCCTTTGGCTTGTTTATTGAATGCAGTACAGTACAGTACTGCCGTAATGGTGCCACATCTGCATGCACAGTGCATCCTTTGACAGAAAAGTAAAATAAGTAAGCAAGGGCGCCAACTAGTGACAATATTTACTGGAGGGAACATCCTGAGTAAGATGGAGTGAGCCACTACCATGTTCCCAATGGCTCACTCCAAACTCCATACTCTTACTCTGCGCATGTCCAAATGCTTCTAATCTGAATAAAACTTGATCATGATTGAACATGATCGGATTATTTGATTTTGCACCCATATAAACAGTGAATTCAGATTATCCGATCCCTCATATTTTTAATCGGATTAGGAAATTTTGCCCATGTAAATGTGGCTAGTGTCACTCCCTGTGATACAGGTGTTCTCTTTAGCAGTGCATGCCCAACGAATAAACACATACTTTAAAACCCTGTTTCCTGTACTCGAAAATTTGTGACTACACACAAAATACTACTTGACATGTCTGTCTAATTTAGGCTTGTGCGCCTGCCCTCCTCTAAATAATATTGTGCTGCTTGTGCTTGTTGTGTTGGATAATTCAAGGTTATGACTCCTCCAGAAACTGTCCGCTTTAAGTGAGAGACAGGGCGTATTGCTCTCACAGTGGCTGCGGATGGTTAAAAAGCTAAATAAATATCCAACTGTCCATCACTGTGTGTACACAGTGTTATATGAGTTCTCTTCAACATGAGCGCTTCTATTCACAAAACCACAAATGATGGAATTTAAAATACTTTTTCTTTACTTCTCCAAAATACCAAACAGTACATTTTTTTTCAACGCAGGAAATGTTTCACAATGTGTTATTGTCGTTCGCTGAACAAATGAAAAGAGGCACAGATAGCCAGTTTAAAATTGGAGATGCTAAAACAGATGTACAGTGCAGACATACCCACAAACATTGCTGTTTCTGTTTGGACATACATAGTACTCTAAAGCAGGACATTTGTGGTTCTTATATTTTGAAGCATTACTCGTGGGAAACTTAGGAATTTGACTGATTCTGCGTTTCCCTTGCAGTCTTTCCTGACAACCCCTCCCACACACACACACACACACACACACACACACACACATTGGCACAAGCTAAGGCTCTGTCCTCTTAAAACCTTAGGGAAGGTTGTTGCACACACGTCTCTTCATTTCAGCCATGTGTGCTCAAATGTACATACATGTGAGGTGGTGTACGTGCGACTCACGCATGTATCTTTCTCTCGTTGGGGGTCTGTTTGGTCAGAAGGTAGTGTTTAAACCCTCATCAGGACTTTTTGCTGCAGTAATGGATGTTTCTGGTCCTCCTCCCTCGACACCCCCTACATATGTGGAAGTATCACGTTCCCCCTTTACCACTTTCCTCCTCGTGTGCCACTCACCAGAGCGTTGGACTCTGATTTGCAGCTAAGAAAACAGCCTGCGCTCGCCTCTTTTCTTTTTTTCCCTCTGAGGTCTTGGACTTGTGGCCTGACTTGGTCCGCAGCCCAACCTGCCACCACTGGCTGGCTTTTATTGGAAGCAGAGCTAAGTGTTTGTTTTCACTGCATTGTTGAGAACGAGAGATGGGGGGTACCTTGGTCTACCTTTGAGTGGGGCCTCTGGGATGCGTGCGGAGGAAAAATTGCCCTGTGCACACAATAGATTGGCAAGCACGCCAAGAGCCAAGACATTGCAGCTTGAGGACCTTGGATTCCAGCCGCAGCTTTTCTTTTCTTAAACACAACACTCTAAAGTCTTAACAGCCGTTTCCAGCGCTGTGCCGTGCTGAGTTTGGGATTATTATAGCAAAATAAGAACGAGAGAGAAGTCTCCAGTTTGAGTTTAATATTAGCAGAGTTCAATTATTAACTTCAACCTAATATTCACCTCATGCAAAGGCTGCCTTGTAGGAGAACATTATTGGTTATTGTTTTCTTTTTTTATTATTTTTTCAGTTTAATTTTTAAACAAGCCCGATAAGTAGGAAATGATTTGCTGAAAAAGAAAAATTTATCTGTTTTATATATATATATATATATAGCTGTTCTCTTTCAATACAAAAAAAAAGAAGTCTGAAGGGGTCACAAAGTCAGATATCTCCAGTTGACAAGACCAATCATTTGTCCATCGCATTACTTCAGCTTGTCTCTCAAAGCCTTCCTGACAGTTATCTTCAGAGTATGTCCATCTCCTGTAGGACTCCCCTCAGACCTGAAGGCTTATTGCTTTGTCCATATTATCAGTTTGACATGTACCTCTTTTACAGATTATAAATCTTTTATCAAGTTCTTCTCTCCTGTTCAGCAAATATGTTGTCTAGTTGTGGAGTTTGTCCATCACCTGGAGAACGTCATCCAGGATTGAAGGGCCCAGGTCGAGGCTGAAGGAAAAGCCACTGTCCTCCCCCTTTTGCTGTCCAGCACTTGTGTCACAGGTGTCTGTAGAGTCTCCGTCCTTGTCTGAGCTCAGGCTGCCAAATCCAGACCTGTGAGTCTGATTGGAAGTGACTTTATTCCCTCTTTGGTACCCATCCTCCTTTTCCATCTCTTCATCGCCGCTGTCCAGTAGTGGCATAGAGCTGCTTTTCTCCCTCTTCTTGTATGCGTTGTTTTGATGGCCTGCGTTCCAGTCTGGACTCTCAGAACCTTCTGCCTCGTCCAGGTTCAGGCGAGGGGGCTTGGGTGGAGGAGAGCAGGCCAAGAAGAGGTTCTGCTCACTCTGGGAGCTTTGAAGAAGCAAGCTGTGGCCCATTTTAAGGAAGGACAGGTCCCCAAAGCTGTCTGTATGGGCATCGTTGCCAATATGTGAGATGTGGCGAAAATCAGCCAGTGGGAGGCTTATCATGTTGACAGACAGTACCTCCCTTCGCTTCCTGCTGGGCCAGCGACCAGAGGATGGCTTTCTGTACTGTGATGTTCTCAGTGGCATCTCTGCAGATGTGTCAGTGTCTTAATGAATCCTCAGAAGTGTTTCCTTCGCTCATCAATGAATCCTTAAAAGCACTCAGCCATCTGCAAGAAAACACAAAACAGTTCACAAATGTGGTCTGATAACAAGTTTCCTAAGGCTGCATTTTTTTTAATCAACACTGCTCTCTGTATCTCATCTAGCTGGAAAATGGATCAGGTCTGTGCTTGTGCTTGTCATGTAATAGAGCTCCAGATGTGTGCGTGGTGCTTCGTCACTAGACCCGATGTGAATCAGCAGCCATGTTTAGAGATTGCACCTGCTCTGCTTGATTTTGATCAAATGAAATTCAGAATTATTTGGCCTCTGCGTTATGTTCCACAGTCTTTCATCTTTAAATATTTACTTCTCAAATCCCTGTTTTTCCCAAAAGTGCAGGTGTGGTCTGCAGCCTGGACTCTTAAGGAAATAAATTAGCCCACTTAAGACTTCCAGTAACTAAAACAACAAAAACAAAGATTCCCAAAGGGTTATTGTTTCCCTGCATGTAAGAAAATCTATCTCTTCACATTTAGTTTTGGCAGAATGGGAGGCTTTTACCGTAACCTCTGTCAGATATCAGGACTACAACTTCACTTCAGAACACATGTTTATGATTTGGGGGAAAATACAAATAACAGGGACGTAATAAGTTCATTTCGCTGTGGTGTGAGAGTAATGCACATTCTGTTGATGTGGTTTTGGTTTAGAGAATGAATTATTTTCTAACCATTTATCACATCACACTCCACCACAATACTGTTTAAAATGCAGCCCTTATGTCAGAAAGGTTTGGATGCAACAAATCATTTTAAAGCCTGTTTTGTACATTTTTCAAAATGTATTTATTTTTTAGTTTTTACATTTGATGCCAGCTAAACATTTGAAAAAAAAAGTTGAGATTGGGTCACAGTTGTTCACTTTGTATACCTCATATACAGAGGCTAATTTAGTGGCCACTAGGGATAAGCGACATGAGCTAAAAAATTTATCACGATAAGATTTGCCATTCTGGTGATAACGATAAAAGTCCTGATAAAAAATATCGTAATTCCAATCTCTATTTTTGACTCATTTTGTCTTGAGAACACCAGTTAGAGTAATTAAATAAGATACTTAACCACAAGTTTAGTGGTAGGTTATCGAGAAAACTAACGACATCAAACAAGTCTCACGTGAAAACATTTTCAACTTTTATTGAAAACTCTTATTGCACAGAGTGAGCAGCAGCAGATCCACTGTCCGATGTCAGGCATACCTGACTGCACTCACTCATTCGAAGGAAATCCCTCATGTGGAGCCTCGCTCAGTAACAAGCTGCTCAGAAAAGTCTTCTTCGTTACCTTCAGCCATGTTTGTTTGTTATTCTGCTCTGTGTGGGCTATGGCTGCGAGTCAGTTGCTCGCACTTACATCATCAACTAGCATTTACTGAATTTATCCTGAGATGAAAATATTTATCATGGAGGATTTTTCTGACAATATATCGTTAAGATAATTTATCGCCCATCCCTAGTGGCCACTGCTTCCACCCCCGGCTATAACCCTTACTGTAATGTCTACCTTCACTCTCTACTCCCCACATTTTCTATCTCTCTTCAGTTATATCTATCAAGGAAAAAATAAAAGAAAAATGGGAAAAACTGAAGTTTGGACTGAGACCACAAATAGCTGAAAAGGTTGTGTAACGCTAAAGAAAACACTTGGAAGAACATCTCCTGACTGATAAGACTGATTTACTACAGGTTAGTGGATATGAAAAGAGCCCTTCAACGAGGGCTGAGTCTCTGAGAAGTCAAGATTGGAGGAGGTTCATCGCCCTGTGAGAGACTGAGTGAGGAAATAGTCCCAGGGTAATGATCCTGAGTGTAAAATTACAAAGAATCAGGGATTTTGTCAACTAGGGTACATTATATCATTAAAAGATTTAGGGAATCTGGAGAAATCTTGGCACAGATGGGATGGGATTAAAACCAGCACTGTATGGCTGAGGTTTTTGGGCCTTTAGCCAGCATTGCATTAAATACAGTCATGACTACGCATAGGTAATCACTGCTAAAACACAGTTCTCTCTGCTTCCACAAACGCAGGTTAAAACTGTGCCCTGCAAAGAGAAAAACCATGTTTAAACATGATCCAGACATGCTGGTGACTTCTCATTGAACCGTAGCAAAGTGGAAAACTGCCCTGTGGTCTGACAGATCAAAATCTGGTCTCCTCGGTCCACAAACATTAACAGGGTGTTGTAAAAAGAAGTGGTGATGCGGTACATTTGCCTCCGTTAAATTTTTTGGAGTGTAAAACTAACAAAAAAAATTGAAGCATATATTTTTCATGAAACCAGAATTTTTCGGGCTATCTCTGCACTGTTTATAATTAAATTTAGACTTTGAATGATTTGCAATCCATCAAATACAGTTTTTATTCACACTTTATGTAACATCCTAACTTTTTTTTAAATTGAAGTTGAAAATGATCTGTTTTGTAGTGTAATTTGGGGCTTTTATATCATTAAACTATTACGAACACTAACACAACCTTAAAAGAAACATTATGTTCAATATGAAAGAGAAACAATAATACTTTGAATTACTGTTCAACTCCACCCTTAATGGAGACCAGTATGTGTTCCGTGACCTGTAATCATTGTATTAAGTAAAACAGAACCCAGTTCATCAACACTGGCACGCTGATTAGATAATCCGCTAAGTGTCTGTGATTTTACGGTCTCACACAGCCCAACAGCTTTGCCCACATTAGCTCTGTGTTCGTGACTTGAAACACTCACTCTGTAAATTTGTAAGCCACTACAGCAAACAGGTTTTGTTGGCCTGTAAAGGTTTTACCGGCACTTTAGTAGCAGCGGGAGATTGGAGAGCGCGGACACAACAGCATTCCTTTCCAAACATGTCAGTTTGGCCAAGGAGGAGTCCTAGGATTTCAGCCACGAGTATTGTGTTCAGGAAACACTTCAAGGCCAAGTCAAAATTAAAGAAGCCCATAAAAACACATTGGCCAAGAAATGTTTCTTAAATTATCCTCCAAAAAGCTGCCATGAATGATCCATCTTCGAGACAGATGAGGAATATGTCTGATGAAAACTTTAGCTGAGAGTTAAAAGCAGACTTCTCAAGACTCTTCTTTCCCAGAAGTAGTTTTTTTTGTTGTAGGGTGAATAAAAAAAAAAAGAAGATTGATTTGGTCATTCTTACCTGTCTCGCAGAGCAAATACAGGATAGTAGAGTCCCACAGATGCACACACGTCTCTGTCAGGTAAGTAAGCAGCTTCTACCTGCACAACCTGGCAAACTCTTCCTTAACATGATGGGGCTTGTTCAGCAGTAACAGAGGAGTCCTGGTAGAGCAGCCTTCAGGAAGAGAAACAGGGTAATTCCACGCTGTGTGTAACAAAAACAACTTTAAAATTTTACTCGTAGAGTTTAACTACCTCAAAAAGGGCTTCTCACCTTTTTCTTTACGACTGATCAAGTGAGTATTTGGATCCTTTTAGCTCCTTTTTCTTTAGTGCTAACTCTCCCCAGTGTAAACTCCTTATTACATTGCAGACCCCTCCAGGTGTGCTGCCGGTGAAAGTCCTCTCTGTCTCAGAGATAAGCCAGGTGAGGTCAGAGTACAAAAGGTACTCAGGTGGAGGCTTTTCCTCCGTTTTTTTTCCTCAAAGGCTTTTTGTAGTTTGTGTTTGCAGTAATCCTCCTTTAAGGTGATTGTCAGCCCTCAGATGATATCATCCTGGTCGTGATATGAGTGGGCTTTTGAGTCACAAGTGTCACACTGAGTCTTGCTGGTTGGCTGGCTGCACCCGTTACCTGAAAAAAAGTGGGGGCAAAGTGGGAGGTCCTGATCTAACGCCTTTGATGCAGAGAAAGGGTGATATGAGGGAGAAACGTTGTGAATGTGGTTGAGAGAGAGAGAGTGTGTGTGTGTGTGTGTGTGTGTGTGTGTGTGTGTGTGTGTGTGTGTGTGTGTGTGTGTGTGTGTGTGTGTGTGTGTGTGTGTGTGTTTCATAGATCGTGTACTTGTGTCTAAAAGGAAGTCATAGTCGGTGAGCAAACAGGTCAGAGGAGGGAGGGGGGGTTAACTGATCTCTAATCTCCGTGTCATTGTTCCTCTGCTTTGCTGATTTCCTGATTTCCTGCTTACTATCAGCTTGTCTAAAGCCCCAGGGACCAGCCCCCTTCCACAGGCCCTTCTGCCTGACTGGAGGCCTATAGCTCCTCTATGTAATCACAGGCCCTATCTCACACAGACATGTACGTACAGGCATGCTGAATTGCACAAGTGAGATAACTTGTTTCATTTTCAATTCTCACGCCTCCAGCATGTTGCCTTTGCTGTTGGAATGTTTTAGCAAAACATTAATGGGAATTGTGTCACAACGGCCGACTTTTCTGCCGAATGGAATTTGTTTGTGTTGAAACAGTGTGGCTTACTGCTCCTCTTGTACCCGCAGACAAATGCTTGGGTTTATTATGACCATTTCATTGTCATATTATTTAATAACTACAACACTGTTTAAACCACTCCAGCCTTTTTTCCAAAGTGAATGTATATCAAGTCAGAAGTTTGTCCACAGTGCTTCCCCTTATTTACTAAACTAAAGCATACAGGATGTGAAGGAAGAGGACAAATGGTATCTTTTACTTTTCCTCCAGTTCTTTCAAATCGATCCAGTAAACATTAGGCGTGCCGCCTGATCCTCTCTTGTTCTCCCGCTCTGCTCTCCACTGCCAGAACAGTCTGCAAGACCAGACACAATTACTCACGCAAATGAAATTATCATAACATTTACTCAAGACCGAAACAGAACATTTTTGAACATTTCTCTTCTGAGTAACCCCCTCCTTCCTCTACCTTAGACTGAGGAGCTGCTTTCATGCTAGGAGACAATCAGGAGTAGAAGCTAGTGTTATATCCGGTGTTTGGAAATGACCTCACAAGACCTGCAGTCTGACCAAGGTTGGGCTTACTCTGTAAGTTGTGTTGTCGTGCTACGTAGCTTCAGGGTCTGATGCGTTTAGCCGTGACTGGATTTGTGTATAAGCCTCTTTTCTAAGGCTTGACCATAGTGGGCAGTGTGGTTTGATGCAGCTATGCTGGGCCTGAAATCTGGGATGCTGTGTGTTTTTGTTGTTGCAGGATAAAAAGTGTTTCCAGATATTGCTTTGACTGGCGCTAGAAGCCCAAACTGAGGCTTTGGTGGATATTCTTCTGGCTCTTTGTTGTGTGTTCTCAAGCTTCCGCCGTATCAAGGCTCTTGGAGAGCCAGCATTTCGAATGGATTTAGTACAAGAACTGTCTGATTTTTTTATATGAAAAACATTTTTAATGACTACAAACAGAGCACACTGGACTTAAATTCACCTTATGGTATGCTCATTTTTACCCAGAGTGTGAAAAACACTGGACTATGCTGACGATTCCTTACTTCAAATTACAGACTCTGCTACTCTCTCTGCTTCTTGTCTCTCAAACAGTTTCTGGAAGCTACTCTTTGAAACATCCTTTCATCATCCTAGTCATTGTCGTCACTGTTTGTCTCCAAAGTTATGACTCAGCGATTAGCTTCTTGAAAGCACTCCAACAGAAACTTGGCGGTCTGGCTGTTAACAGGAGAGCGCTGACAGACGGTCTGTTCCATGACCGCCACATGACAAAGATCTGACAACAGTCAAAGTCCAGGTGTTATGTTATACAATACCAAAGCACAGACTCATTAAAAGATGACAAAGCCTACAGAAGCTTCCAAATCAGCAGAGTGAGGTCTCATCAGCTCCAACGCAATATGTGCGTAACAGGTTTGATAAGCCACAGAGACACAACAGCTTGATTGTTAGTGATAGATTTTAGATAGAGGTATGTTTCTCTCCCTTTTTAGGCTTCTAGCACCACATCATGTAAGGTCATATCAGTGTCCCATAGCTTGCTCTTTTTTAACCTGCCTAATTCATCCTGCTAGCATACTTACTCAGGCTAACCTTGTTGGGAGTGACGTCAGTGCATATCTTGTGTTTGAGTGCCACTCCTTTTTCCCGCAATATCTCTGTTGCAATCTACCAAAGACAAGATGCTTCCCAAGAAAATACATCATGTACATATGTTATAGACCTCCACTTATTAAGCTCTATTCTAGCCTTACTGACCACTCAAAGTGTTTTTTTACATTCACATCATCACAAAGTACGACCCATTTTCAGTAATACTGCTCATACGCTTCCACACACCACTGACAACCGCATAGGGAGGATTTTTGGGTTCACGATCTGCCCAAGGACACTTGGAAGATTGAACTGCTGACCTTTAAACTAAGAGACAACTGACTCCATCCATAGTCTGTTTGTTGTTAGCAAACAAAGTGTGGAAAAGTATGGAAATAAATTTGATTTATTTCCAGATCTTAAAAAGTATGGGAAATGAAAAATAAAGTACGGAAAAATATTCATGTTTCCAGACTATTATCACAGTTCTAAAATACTGTTTTCTACAATAAAAAAGTAGGTATTTCCAAAAATTATTCTTAAAAGTAGAGTATTGAAAAGTATGGAAACTCCAACTGTGTAGGAACCCTGTATTAAGGCAGAAACTAGATAGATGTCTAGACCTAGGCACTTAGAAGCTGGACCTGCTATCTTGACACATTTCTTAGTACCCTTGACAAGTCATACTTAGTAGTCTAAAGATTTGGGCCATTTGGAATGGAGTTACCTCTGTTCAGCTGGTCCGACACCACCTTGACAAGGGTGACTCTAGATTTTAAGATGCAAAAATCCTTCGTGCTGCGGAGCTCCTCTCTCAGGATTTGCAGTTTGCATTAAAAATATACATATGCATAAGCTATAACGTACTACTCTTTTTTTTTTTCAGTGACTGTGGGCGGTCAGTGTGGGCTGAGAATGTACTGCTGTGTCTCCTGGCACAGAATCATTTGTAATTATATAATCATGGTCAGAGTATTTGGATTTCTTTGAAGACTGGAGATATGGTGTAAACAGTGCTCAGCAGCAGAATACATTCCAACAGCTGTTTGTTATGCACACTTAATAGATAAGAACCGTGTTAATATGGGAACATATACGTGCACATAGACAAAGCACAGACAGTTTACATTTTTTGTACAGGACCTTGATTTAATTTTTCGCTCGTCATATTGCATGAGCTCCTTTTGACATCTCCAAGGTTCAGGCTGCATTCTTACCAGTCCTGTGGCCCCTTTTTTGTTTTAATGTGAAATCTGTTGCAATCAGAGGGCTTTTCCCGGCAGGCCAGGATGTGAAAGACATAATTTTGCTTTTACAGCAAAGTATTGTTGGATATTAAAGAGGCCAAACCCCCACATCTCCCTATTCTAGGATCCCTGAGCTCATCCATCATAAAGAGAAATGCCAGGGCACTGGGAGTTCAGCTCTTAGCTGCCATTTCTCTTTTTCTGTTTATTTCTTTTACTTTAACAGTTTCCAAAGACACTCTCCGTCTCTGTCCAACAGGCTTCCTCTCTGTTCAACACCTTAACCACATACAACCACATTTATATACATACACACATATACACCAACTTATATGGCACCTTACATTTACCGCTGCCTTTCCCCTTCACTTAACCTCTAAATGCAGATTCTAACATCCTCAGACAGTTTCCATACATGGATGCAGTGAGAGTAGAAGCTCTGTGATACCTTTTAACCTGATAATGGTAGAAACCTGCAATATTTGGACATGCTGTGGAAGCCAGGTTTGTAATTTATAACTGCTGCAAAGAACCATCAGAGTTCGGTTTGTGTAAATGCCGTGACTCTGTACGTTTGCTGAAGTATTTTCATTGAGTTGATACGTTTCTCAGTTTGGTTTCCAGGATGTCTGTGTATCCTACAGCTTTTTCATAATCAGTGATCTGTAGATGTACTTACAAAGACTTAGATTTGCAGAGTTCTCGTCCACAGACACATGACCTTCACTGTCTAATAAAAGGGGGTCTTGTCTCATACTTCCATTCAAAAACCAGATGTTAGCAGAATATGTGTCCATGTAAAGGGTTAAACGCAGGAAGTCGATTTGGGTCTTAATCTCTGTGTAGTGTTTGTTCTTCACTAACAAAAACAGTATAATAGACCAGACCTTTGGGGATTTGTGTCTGCTGAATCTTATAACCAACGATGATTAATCCTCTTTCATTTGCAAAGCTCGACTTTTGTCTGCAGAGGAATTTCACCTCGGCTCCAACATTGCATGTGCAGTACCCCTGCCCGCTGCCTGTTTGTTTGAGTTAGCAATAGTGCTGGGGCACACACACACACACACACACACACACACACACACACACACACACACACACACACACACACACACACACACACACGCTCCCTTACACTCGCACACAAATGATCTCTAAATAAGTGTTCGCCTCTCATAAATCACCTTCTCCATAGCTCAGTGACACACACATCCACAGTGAAACACACACACACTGCGCCACCACACACACTGCAGAGAAAAATAGCTCCTTGATTAACTTCACCAGAGTGCATTAGAGGCAGAAATGCTCACTTGGACCACAGAGTAGGCTTCCTTAAAGAGACCGTTTTTCTCTTGGCAACAAAGATAACTTCTTGGCCCAGTGAGCATGTAGCTCGAGATATCTGATGGCTGATGGTCCTGGTTATTAATCCAGTTATCACATGCAAACTGCAGAATAAAGCAGGAAAAAGCGAGTGAAGCAACAAAATCAGTTTAAGAGTCACTGTAATTGGACTGTGAGTTTAGCCCACTCAGTGGAGTAGATGCTCCAGAGGTTATACAGTCCGTGTTGCACTGGGGTGGGACCAGTTCTTGCTCCCAGTAATTATATGTGCATCTTATATCCTTGCCCTCTCCAGGAATATCATTGAAGTATGTTGGTATTCTGGATGAGACAGTTGGGTCATCTGAAGAGAATGATAGAAAGAGCTGGCTGTCATCTGCATAGCAGTGATACGAGAATCCATGAGATTAGATTATTGCTCTGAGTGAGATGTTATACATCGAGAAAAGTAGGGGTTCAAGCACTGGCCCCTGAGGGGCCCCTGTTGATTGGCAATGTGGTTTGGACACTCCATGTGTATTCTAAAAGATCCTCTTTTGAGGTTGGACAAAAACGAATGAAGAGCAGATCCAGAGTTAGCATGTTTGATGAGTTGGAGAGGAGGGTTTGATGGTTCACTGTGTCAAACGTAGCAGACAGATCCAGCACTGGGAAAACCAATTACTGACAAGCAGCTTTAGCCAAATAGCTCTGTTACTGATAGAGGAGCTGTATCAGTGTCCCTGTCTAAAGCCAGACTGATGTGGATCAAACAGGTTGTTGTTGTGCAAGAACTCGGAAACCTGATCAAACGTGCACTCTAGAATTTTTGATAAAAAGGCAGAAGTGAAAATGGCTCATAGTTATCAACCTGGGTTGGGTTGAGAGTGGGTTTCTTAGGCAGTGGGGTGACCAGAGCTTGTTTATATCCTGTGGGGAAAACCACAGGATGGTTTAGTTTATAGTGTGGGAAACTGCAGAATTGAGTGTGGGTAGAATGGTAAGCAAGAGGTGGACGTTACCTCCAAAAACCATTGTCTCTGAGCACAGTTTGTTATTGCATGTTTATTTTGTACCATACAAAGAGGAGACCACATATCAAGATATGAAAATGGACTAAGGCAAAATGAAAAACTGTCAGTGTCAGGTGGTCTGACAAATAAAAATTTGATGTCCTTTTTCAGGAATTGTGGATGCCACTTCCTCCACTCTAAAGAGGAAAGGGATCACTCAGCTTGTGAACAGCTCTCATTTTAAAAGCTGGCATCTATGATAGCTTCTTTATATTGTACATGATTAACGCTGCATTATATATAGAGCTTTTGGAGTAATGCATGCCACCCTGTAGACAACACCATTTTCAGGAGAGACCTTCCATAAAGTTACTTTTTAACGTTTTACAACAGCATGGACCGGCAGTAAAAGAGTCTGAGTGCTAAACTGGCCTGCCTGCAGTCCTGACTTGTTACCTGTTGAGAGCATTTAGGGAGTTATTGAACCAAAAAAAAAAGAAAAAGGAATGGCTGACATCCTCCATCAAGCAAGAATGATACAACATTTTACTCTTAGTCCCTATTCTTGGGAAATAATTGACTGTTTCTTTTCCCTTTTTTGCAGCGATAGCAGCAGAGTCATCTCTAGCCTGTGCACTCCCCTCTTTAATGCATAGACACACACTCACTTCCTCATATACTTACTCACTTGTGCTAGAAGTTGCTAGACTCACACTCACACGCACTCACATCTCTCTCTCTCTCGCACATAAACACACACTGGTGGTGTAATGGTGTAACGTGCAGCTGATCTGACAGCTTGTGCCGGAGGAACTCAGCGGCCACCTGCGCTGCGAGATGCCTCCTGCTGCGTGTGGGAAGGAGTGTGAGAGTGCGTGTGTGTGTGTTTGTGTGATACACTCCCTGACTCACAGCACTGGTGGTATTCATGATGTCATTACTGGCCTGGGGTCAGACTGGGGTGTGCTGTTCGGAGGGCCTCGCCATGTGCTTATGTCACATCACTAATCCTTAGCTTGTTTGTGAATGTGTGTGTGTGCGTGTGAGGTTTTACTACCATCCTACCTCTGCTGTGGCCTCGTGCCCTCCTCTCTGGGCTTTGTGCAGGGGCTTATTGTTAGTGTTCTGTGGTTTCTTACTCACTCTGGGCCCCAGTGTTGCTTCAATACACACAGACACACACACAGACACACACACACACAAATATATATATGCAGGCATATGAACACAATCAAGTGTTTGGTTACAGTGATGCACTGGCCAAACATGTACATTATAAGTCAACACCTGAGGCGAGGAAACATTCCTTATTGAGAGGATGAATGCGTCACATTACCCATAAAGCACCTGTTAATCCTCAGAATTCCCCTACATCATTAGCCCTATGCCGTCTGCCCATGACCACACCAAGTGCAGAAAAAGTCAGCCCGATTCTAACTAGATTTTCAGTGCAGTTCAGCGTAGTGGCCAGTAGAGGGCAGGGCAGAGTCAAGATCCACTCAGTGAAAAAAGGGAGCATTTTCATAAGCTTTCTTGTGTACTTGCTTGTGTTTGATTTAATCTAAAGATGCAAGGGCTGTTTATTTACCTAATGGCGTTCGCGTGATATTTCAGAGTTACGTGTCAGACAAGGGCTTGAGCTCACATTACTGGAATGATAATAGCAGCTTTCCTCAATCCAGGGGCAGGATGAAGGGGGGGCAGGGGGATAACTTCCCCTCCTCGACCCTCTCCTCTCCTCTCCTCTTCCTCCACGATTCCCTTCTCTCTCTCAGCACATGGATGCTGGAGTCCCCGTGATGTTTTCCAGATGCCTCAGCTCAGGGAGCACATTGACAAAAACCTACCTCTCCTCCTACAAATGCTTTCTTTTGCCATCTCTCTCAGTCCTTCGTACACACTCACTCTCTCTTTCTCGGACCCTCATGCACACACTCACTCACTCGCTCTCCCTGTCAGCTTACTGTCTTGTTAAAGAGACACTTCCTTGGCCCAGCAGACTTCCTTTGTATAATCCTGTAAAACTCTGGCTCAGTCTCTGGACACATGGTCCGATTTGGGTGATGGTCTCTATAAGTACATCTGAGTGTGTTATAAACTGTAAACATGCACATTGTAAACAGTGCTAGCCTAGGTCCATATATAGCTTTTCGTGTGCACAGGCCTGTGTGTGGCATTTGTGTCCGTACAGATCTTGACCTGCTTGATTAGCCATAAGCCAGCCTCTGCCCTCTCCACTTCCCTCCTGCCCTAAGAGAAGTTCAAGCCCATAAAAGAACTCACACAAACGCACATACGGTGAAACCCCACTGTGGCTGCCAGGCTTAATCTCAGCCCTCATTTTGGGGTTAAATGACCTCAGGCAGCGGAATAACCCCGTCATAGCTGCTCTGCGGGCGGCTGCCTCATGCATGTTCAGCCTGCCATCATGTTGATGGTAAATGAGATGAAAACATATGTCCAAAGCCGCCTCCTTCATCCAAAGAGCACGCATAGACCCCGTCGTGAAAGCAAACAGACAGAGGATGGTGACGGTGGTGGTAGTCTCTCCATGTGCCGCCCTTAGTCACCGTTTTCATGATGCAAAATACATATGTTTGATTTGACTTTTATACCAAAGCAATGGCTACATCAAATTGTCTGGGATTATTATTAAAAGGAAGTTCAACTGATTTTATGCATCAAGACCAGTTTTGTGATATTGTCTAGACTCTTTATTCACAGAAACCCTTTATTTACAACAAAACAGAGGTGAACAATTATGAGGACTTGTAGCATTCATAAATCGCAGCAATTGTAACTCAACATGTATTGTGTTATGTTATAAGATTGACAGCCCAAGGCAAGTCCCCCATTTCTGGGATACCAAAAGGTGTAAGTGCTTGCATTAGAGTGAATGTAGGAACCAGTGCCAAATATGTGTCGAAAAAAAAAAAACCTACTACTACCTCGTATATTTACATTTTAGCTAAATTCTCTTAGTTTTAATGAAAATACAGTGTTCCTCTTGCTGACACTCTAAGGCCACATGTGTGGATGCAAGCAACTGAGCTTCTCACCCTAGCTTTACCTGGACATTTCCTGCTAACCCTTGAGTAAAATGTTCACAGCATGTCAGAGGGAGCTCCAGCAGGTAAAAGTCTGGACGATTCATCACCACGGAGTCAGTGGAGTGACGACGTTGTTCATGTTAAGCAGAGTTTTACTCATTACTCTTTACTGCTCGCCACAGTTGTGCCAATTTATGGTTTTCAGCTGTTGTTGTGTTTGTGTAATTTTTTTTGTGTTGTGTAATAATAACACAAAACAGTCACCATAATGGAACATTACTCCTCCTCTTCCTGCATGGGCATGTCAGCCCTCCCCCTCTCACCTAAACCAGAGTATACTAAGTGGTGAAAGACTGCAGAAATCTCTTGCAGTTGTGTAAATCAGGCTTTTGTAACATGTTCTTTATTAACATTAATCCCTTTGTTTTATGTTGTTTGATGTCCATCTCTCTCTTGCTCCTTCTCTTGCAGGGCGCCTTGACAAACGAACGGGACTATGAGAGCGTGGTGATGATGAAGATGAGGCAGGCTGCTGAGCGTCAAAAACTCATAGAACAAATGCAGAGGGAAGATGAGGAAGACGGGAAGTCATAGCACAGCTGGACCACACTTGGAACCAGCCTGCAATTATTCAATCGGCTTTAGTTTCATGAAGCCTCTCCAGTGTTGTATTATTTTTTTATGCTTTACACTGTGTGACCAAATAAATCTTTTTGATGGTTACAAAATACTTTTCTTTGCCATCCATGGTTTTAATCAGTGTGTTTTGTCTTTTTTTGATTGAGAATGTAGGAGGAGTGAAGGAGAGACAGAGTAGGGAGGAAGTGTACTGCAGCATCAGTGAGCATAGACTGTATATACTATGGACAACTTGGCCCCGTCTTTTGTCTTTGTACGAATTTGAAGCCGAATTGAACTCGGTATTTACGGGATTTTCTCCACTTCCTGGAACCACCACTCGCGCTGTAGCGTTGTGCGCATTCGGTCGCTGAGAGTCGCTGTGATGACACTCAGCTCAAACAGTGTATCGCCCAGGTGAGCTATGCAATCTTTGTCCGCCTATAGGCTTTATCAAGTGTCAATCAAAGAAAACATAAACCCCCTGATAACTTTTACAAATAGAGCTGCACAGAAAAAAAGAGGACAAGAGCACAAACCAGTCTTACAGTAACTACATGTCAACATCACAAGCAGCGGGGAAAAAAATGTATACCCTGTGTAATAAACTTCTTAAGTTTGTACACCGCTTCATAGGTGTGCAGGAGGGAGCGAGATTTATGACCTGTCCTGCAGCCGGTCACCAGAGGGTGCTGTTCTCACGGTGGCTTCATCCAGCCAGGAGGCAGACGGTGTCTATTCTCTATACAGTCTATGTCAGTCAGTCAGAGGTATGACTCCTAATACTCCGCTTATATTAATAAATCAAAACAACACTTTCTCCTTCGACAGCATTTTTAAGATAATGAGTACACAACATGACTAACTGTTGGAATTCCCTGTTTCCAAGAGACAGAATTACTACAGTCAATGATGACAGTTTTAAAAGCCTGCATCACAGCTCGGCGCTGCAACCAATGTTGACAAATAATAAACAACAGACAATCAACTGTGATGTTATATTGCTTTTAGTATATTGAATCTAACTTGATGCTTAATTTTGAATATGTACATTGATCAAATCAGATTTTCATTTCATTAAGACTCCAACTTTAATAAAAGTTAGAAACAAGTTAGAAAGTTTATTTTGTGTCTATTATGGTGCCCCCTGTGGGCAAAAATGTACATCTACATTCTCTGCTGATCTTTTCCTGTATGTGCTGAGGTAGTAGTTTCTAAGTCTCTCACCCTGCTTCCTTTTTGCCGTTTTGTAGGTCATAAAAAGGTGTCAGGATCAATTCTAGTCTGTTCCAAAACTAATCAAAAACTCCTCTTAACATCGTGATGATTGTAGCTGAAGTTTTCATAGTCAAAGATAAGACACAAAACAAAATGTGTTGCATCTTTGCATAATTATCCATCCCTCAAGCGTTGTTTACTCTTGTAGCTTCCAGTCAAAAAGGAATGAGCTCCTTTGTATGCCTCTCACGATGATAGACACTGAGACGTGGGGACAGCATAACAACAACAGAGCTTTGTTAAGTCGAATCACTTTTATTTATTACAAATTCGCATGAAGGAGTTTCACAATCAGCACAGCAAAAGACATCCTCTCTACCATCTTTGAATAGAGAGACAGAAGACGTGCAATGATTTACATGCAGCAGCATTACAAATGTTCCTGGTGAAAGACACGTGTCAATCACGTTGTTTTCTATATTTGTTGCATTATAAATATCATGGGAGATCGGCCATGCAACGCCCCTCATTACCCAAATACATTATTTGTATGGCCACCAAGTGAGTGTCAAAAACTCTTTTCTGTTGTCTGCATACTTGTCCGGTTATTTTGCAAAACGCGATGAGTGATGTACAAATCTAAACCGCAGACCATACAGTGTGACTACATAGAAGTCATTTCCTCCTCATGATAAACCCGTAATCAGGCTGAGATAGGAACACCAGGTTGACTGTAATGGGAATTCTTGTGGCCTCCTGTGATGAAAATCAAACCCACACAGAAGGCCCTCCGTTTAAGATCTGGTGGTTTCGATGATTGCCTCCCAGAGTTTGTGTACAGTAGAGCTCAACCTCAGCAGCAGACTACATGGGCCTTTTATGACTGCACAATTTCAAGAATACACACTGCTCTTTGTGCAGGTCTTTATTCTTGGTATGACTTTAAAACTTTTACGCAAACATAAACCGACCGTATATGACTCTGGATTTTTAGATTTATGAGATCTCTTGTCCAAAAAGTTTATGTTTTAATGTTTCCTTCCCTTTATTTCATTTTCCTACAGTAAAATATCACACTAAAACAGTCCAAATTAAACCGTTTGCAAGAGGAAGCTGTTCTGTTTTTTGCAGCTCTTCAGAAGTGATGACAACACCAAGGCCATAACTTTTGATTAGAAGGTAGGAATGGGTCCTTCCCAAGCCAAAAATGTTGAGTGCCCCAAATGTAGAACATGAATATCTGAGAGAGAGGCTTTTATTTCATTAACATGAAATGAATACATTATGAATGACATTGCAGGAATAGGTGAAGACATTTTGTCGAGGTATTCCTTGTGCTTTTTATGTTTTAGTTTGTCCAGTCTTGGTTCTTACTCCTGATGGATCATGTCAAAAGCCACCAATAAACCTAAATCTAAAAACATACTGTTGCTTTAAAGGCTGTCTGCAGTCTGTCCTCTGATACTGACCTCAGCACATTTTGTCTGACTTAAGTTAAAATTTGTTCTGAGCTGTTTCACAATAATCTTATGTAACAGATGCATAAAAGATACTCAGTATTGCTTATTTATGCTTCCTAGAGTGACACGCTACAGCTCCGTGACCCACATAAAGTCAGACGTTTGAGTGCCAAACTGTTGCAATCATCCGTACTTTTGTAACGCAGTCCTCTGCCTCTGGAACATCCATCCGTCCAAATAGTCTTATTTTCTGTCCCTTGGGCGACAGTGGAGTAATCATGCGTCTGTGTTTGTGGGCCTGTGTTGTGGCGCTTTCTCCTGTCATTGTGTTATTTAGGAGCCACATGGCCACTTCACAACAGTCATCCATCTCTGTGCGACTCCTCGTCGTGACTCTGTTACACAATGTCCAGCTGTGGAGCAAAGCGGTGTGGTGTGGTGTGGTTGGAGACATCTGCTCCTCTCCTCCTGCAAAATCCCCTCTTCACATGGTTTTGTTTATGCGTAGCCGTTTTCATATCCCGGCAATGTGAAAAAAAAAAAGCTTAGGAACACACAAACTCTGTCCAAATGACAACAGAGGAAATACAATTACAGGAAACACACTCACCACCAACCCGGCCCCAAGCCCGCAGTGGCTTTTGCTGCATGCGAACCAGGATGGGAAGATGAGCCTGCTGCATGCTCTGTCTTATCATAAGCTAAAGAAGTCTCAGAATCTGCATCGTTTCTTTTTTTTACCCTTTTTTTTCTTACTTTGTCCTTAAACAAACCTGTCACATGGATGTGTGCGAACAATATCAGGAATCCCCATGTTTTGCAGAACAAGGAAGTACCGCCACCTTTTGATCTTTAGTGCTGAAGTGGAAGCCAAGTCATGTGTGAGGCAGCAGGACTTACCAAGTTGGCAGAGTGTCTGGTTTGTGATCTGGGCTGGCCCCACATATGTTCTGGAGGACCTGGGGCTGGGATGAAACCACCCACAATTTTTGGCACTCTGTGCCTACAGCGCTGCAGTTACTCATCCTGGGACATGCAGCATCCGTGTAAGGTGGTGCAGAGCTGTGAGCACTTCAATGAAGAGTCTGTTTAATGTTTTAAGTGTCTGTTTAATGGATTATTAGGAGGCTGCATATGTTCCGTTAAGTCTGATGCAAATCCCATAGGGATTGTTTTCATCTAATAGGAAGTACAAGACAATCCTCATCATTACATCATTTAATCATAAGCATGTGAAACACTTACAAAAACATCTTTACACAAAGCTCTACATACAAACTTAACAAACATAGTGTTTGAGTTACTTCGACAGGAGAGAAAGAGGACTGGGCGAGGCCTAGATTTACAGTGGTGCTTTCAATTACATTCTACTGCAAATTGACATATTTACAGTAAACCTGGTCCTCATGCCTTATAATCAGTCCCCATTTGTAATCAGAACATAATTTCTGCAAAAGCATGTGGAAAATCTCTGTGAAGTAGTTTGGTATTCTCCTGAAATAACTGACCTATCACCTATTGAAGGTGATCTGAGATCATACATCTCAGATAATCTCAACTTTAGAACTTAACTTCTTGACAGCTGATGCTTTTGTCACCAAAATATTGCAGAGAACCAAAGTTAAACACAAAGTTCCTAGAAGACAGTTCATTCACCCTCTTCCCACTGAGCAATAGACGGCTATTAGACATCTAGTTTTTTTTTAGATCTAATTTCAACCATCTAGATTCTATATATTTTTAGACGGAGTTTAGACGTTGCACTTTAACCCATTATTCAATCACTATTTACTTATTTACTCCAAAAAGCAACTTTAAGTTGCTTAACTGATCTCCAAATACTTACCAAATAATTATGATAGCTGTTGGGCAATATAAAGTTAGACCTCTGTTAGCGGCCTGGTCTAAACTGGGTATAAATATAGACATCTAAATAACTTTCATTTTTAGACCTGTGGTAGTCTGATTTTAGACCTGTTGTCTAGGCTACATATAGACCTATATTAGACCTCTTTTAGACCAAAAAATGCTCAGTGGGTTAAAAGGCTTTCAGAGGTAATTCAGTGGTCATCTCTTGCTGCAAGGCTGGTCATTCTATCTCTTTATGGAGGCACCACACCAGTGTCTGCCCCACCCCCGTCATCGTCAGCACGCGGAAGCCGATCTTCTCCAGCTTGTCCAGCACCATGCGCGGAGGGTCGTCCACATGGTACTCGGAACTACAAGAGCATAAACACAAAGAGGTGCACCTTTTCCACACATGTTCGATTTCTCTGTCTTTCAGTATAAACTTTCGTTGCAAAGTAGAATGCTGTTAATTGTTCTGGTGCTTGTTCACTTCCCTCCACACCTTGGTTCATTTCCCGGCAGCATTTGAGTCAGATTGCCAATGACAACACTTCCCTGATCTGTATTCTGTCAGCTTGAATAGTTTATTCTAAGTCTGCAAAGCAGGAGCCTTTACTCGAACACATCTAGAATTTTTTTCTCCCTCCATGTGAACTGATCTTGGCTCTGCCGTCAATATGTACATGTTTGCTGCCAAACTGAAAAAATCAAAAAACAAAACCCACCAGTGTTAAGTTCCTAAATAAGGAAATTTGGTTACACTTGGGAGTCAACTCTGCATGTGTCTGCAGAGCTTAGACTGGAAGGGTGCCATTACAGCTTCGTATTTCCTGTTAACAAGATGACTCTGGAGGTGGTCTCCATAAACGATAAATATCTCCATAGATATCTGTCATATTACTGGTCAAGTTACTAATTCATGAGATGACCCTGATGTGTTGTCCTAAAACACATGAATGGTATCAGCAAGTGTACCAGGTTTAGGTGACTTAAAAGATTGGAGGACTTTTTGTGTCTTTATCAAATTGTTCGTCACAGCTGTGTTTGCACAACTCTGTAATAGTGGATGTCAGACTACCCTGCAGTGTCGTAATGTGTGAGCTCAATAAGTAAATAAAAGAAGCTTTTAGCAGTTGTTTTGCTGGATATTCCCATTCAGATTGATCAAATTGGTGCTTTATACACCAGTTCAGGTATCAGAATCAGCAGAAGGGAAGAAAACTTTTATACCAGCAGAAGATTTTTGGGATGAACAATGATTCGGGTTTCATGTTTGTATTTACTTGCTGAACTATAACCTTAGGTATATCTTTAACTGCTTACCTGTAACATTTTCATCATACCAATCACTCTTACAGCAAATAGTCTCTGTTTTTAATACTTACAAGTTGTTTCCAAGCATAGTGGTTTTCCTTGCTCCCAGGTAATTCATGACAGCTGGGTCAGAGTACTCATCTCCCACATTAGTTGGACCATTCTCCTGTGAAAAAAAACAATAGACACTTAACTATCCATGTCACTGTTTGCTTGTGATTGACGGAGTGGGAATGGGAGTATTGGTGCAGTAAGATCTATTGTGTGTTTGAAATGCGCAGCTCTGCCTTCACCTACAGCTCTCGGGCAGGTGCGGATCATAATCTGCGCAGCCTAAAAATAGATCATCCATACTTCTCAGAAGCCATATAGCATTATGTAGCTCCAGTCTGTAGGTAATAGATTGAACATGCGCAGCAAGAGGCCGATAACAGGGAAACATGTGTGTTTAATTTAGGGCCCCATGGCAAAAAGAAAGAAAGAAAGAAAACAACACAACGCAGTGCTTTCTCCGCTTGCAGCGTTTACTGTTTGTTGTTATCCAGCATGCAGAATATTAAAAGCCACTGCAGAACTACAATCTGCAAGTGTCGAGCCTGATTGATTTGTAACAAGCTCTGCGTTGTTGTGCCAAGTAAAATAAACCTTCAATCATTGACTCAAGCGTGCGCCCCCGTAAAGCATGACACGAGGAGTTTACAGATGCAGGATACACACCAGCCGGATCTGCGTACTGATGAACATGTAAGGCATTCCTACTCCCGTGGTGACAGCCCGCTATTCCTCCGGGAATGACCGAAGAGGTTTTCCTCACAGATGCGACGGTCCCCCTCTCCAGCTCGCGCTTCTGCTGACAGCTTTTTGCGGAATGCGGAAACACCCACCGCGGCGGACCAATCACGGCGCTGCTCTCAGCATCTGTGTGCTGCTCGGCGCAGAGACTCTTGCTCAACTGATGTGATCAGTAGTTTGTTGACATGAGAAATGTTGGCATATGTGCAATATCCAGAGGAAGTGTTTTTTTTTAGTTCAGAGGAACAGTTAATCATTCAGTTTAAATCACCCTGCCCTGTTTATTTTCCTCTGAGTGACTTCCTCAAAACAGAAATCCTTTGCAAATCATCACCTTCCAGCTGGGAAATGAGAGTTTTACCTGAGTAGATGTTAAGTTAGAACTGGTTTGAAGACAAAACAGCCAAAGCACAGGACATTTTATTTTATTACAGATCTTTCTTTGCCCTCCTCCTGTGTTAGGGTCTGCACTGACCTGTTTTTGTTTTTAAATGCTTAAAAGAAACACTTAAATTAGCTTTTTTTGCATCAAGACTTTTCGACTTTGTCAGGAACCTCTATTTCAACAAATTAAAGATAAAAAAATTAAATTGACCAAATTATAAAATGCTCTTATTAAAATTATGGCACTTCATCAGAGCAAAAACTGAAATCACAAGTGCACTGTCAGGCACCACACTGACAGTCAGATCCTCTTCCAATCATGTGAGATTTAGGAAATTCTAATTTTCCCATGTTTTTCCTGCACAAAAAACATCTGGCATGTTCAGACATGTGAGATCAATTCAGTATAGATGTCTGTATGAGGGGTATACTGACAAAGAATATGATATTGAATAGCTTAGAATAGATAATGAAGCCTAACAAGATAACCTAGAGATGAGAACTAAGTTGGATGATAGAGAATTGTTCAAACAATGAGCGTGGTCTAGACCTGCTATTGTTCCTTGAAAAGCGTCTTGAGATGACGACTGTTGTGAATTGGCGCTATATAGATAAAATTTGATTGATTGATTGATTTTGAGTGTAATTTACAGCTGATTTAAGACATGGGTCAAAACCGACCCTTAACATAGTGGGTGCGTAGTAAAAGCTAACACAGGCGGAAGGTTGATCAGTAAAACAAACAAACAAAAAAAAAACATTTCAAGTGTTACAACTTTGCCCACTCTGTTTATGTAACCACAGATTCAATTTGCACAATTTGCACAGCTTCAAAATGATCACGCTTGTATGTACTACAATGGCTGCCACACTGCCCACACTGAACGGAGCTACAATTCCCTCTACAGAGATTTATTAATTTCCTCCTAGCCGCGACAATAATAAATGTGGATCAGATTCATGACAGAGGGAAATAAAAGACCACAACTAAAGGCAAACGACAAAAGACTGATAAAATCATCGGAGGACCTGGTGGACACTGAGTCAGGCTTTGCATACAGGGTGTTTGAAAGTCTGATTACTGCTCTGTATTAGATGACAGACATGAATAAAGGGAAACAAAACCTAATCAGTAATCCTTCGTGCAACAAAAAATTCTGAGCACAAAATCCGAATGTGTTTTTTGTCAAGAATTTGTCAGATGTCGTCACTTTGTTTAAAGGAGCTTTGCATTTTTAGACTTCATAGCTGTAGTTTGCTAAGTGTTGGGTAAATTTCTGCCTTAATAATGTGATTTGATGTTCTCCAGCACTTCCAGGGGGGTGCAGGTGCTCTGCGGGTACAACTGAGTCGATTACCACCTCCTGGCTTCCAGTATCACAATCATCATTTTTGTATGACTTGTCTGCATGGTTTTTCAATCACATCTTTTACATGGTTCAGAAACATCCATAATTCCACATGTATGTCATAAAAACCAGCTCTGTCTAACCAGTATCTCTTGTCTTGTGTTAAATCTGTCCCATTTACCTTGGGACCTACTTGAGGAAAAGAAAACAGGAAAGCAGCAGGGTTTTGCAGCCAAGGCCTCGAAAATAAACCAAAGACCCCCCTCCTGCATCAAAAACACTCTCTCCAGACGTATCCTGACCTTAGCTCCTTCCTGGAGTCCCACAGTGTCTTCTGTGCCGGCTCATCTGCTGCTGGTTATTGGAGGGTAGGGTCAGCTCTTCTGTGACCTGTGGTGACAGTGGAGCTTGTCTCTGGTGGGTCCACAGGAAGCAGTTTGATCTTTTGATGAGGTCTGGCTTCACCTTCTCAGCCACAGAGCGATGGCGGCCTGTTGCAGGAATGCTTCTGTCAAATGATGTCCTCCCAATGCTGTAGAGAGACTTTTCTGCTCCTGTAAAGATAAAACTGTAATCACCAAAACAGCTGCTACTCTAGTTTGACTACTCAAACATGACAGAGTCACCAGAAATACTGTCTGTCTTCACACATGTGCTTAACTCCTGGAATTTGCTGTGTGGGCTCAAACAGCTACATTTTAACACCCACCTATGTAGGAATTTTTCTTGCCAGCCCCCTGGCAAAATTTCCCCAAGTGGTCTGGGTGTGCTGATGTATGAACACAGCAGTTAAAAGCAAGTGTCTGCATGAGGGGGTGATGTTTATATCACGTGACTGGTAACAGACCTGTGAGATCTGTTTTTACACAGAGTAACTTCTTTAATAGAGTGAGGGTGCAAACTATGGTTTTGGATATTATGCATTTTCTTTTAGACTCTATACTTACTTTCTGATACCTCTTTAAAAGCTTTACATGAGCTTTACATTGAGATAAAAAAAGATTTAAATTTCTTACAGGGGTGTATTAAAATATCACTATTTAGCCTCTGTTGGAAACACTTCATTTCAGCTGTTGTCTCTTTAAGGCATTTGTACGAGATTTGAGCAGCAACATCTATTTTCTAAGATTAAGACAAAATGTGTTTATCGTGTGAATTGAAACTTTGCATACATGTAGCACAGACACCAAACATTGTAACTTTGCATTTTTTGTAAAAAATGTGGTGACATGGACCAAGCAGTTAAGCACAAAAACACAAGTTTAAAGTAAAAAAACAAACAAACAAACAAAAAAAAAAAAAACGGGTTTATTTTCCAAAAATAAATAGTTTTCACTACCCTAATGACTTAAGATAATGAAATTAGAGTTATAGGGCCTTTAAAAGATATAATAGACCTGCCTAAGTGAGACGCTGGGTCAAAATATATAGTGGTTGATCAGACCAAAATTAACACACAGGGGGGAAACTATATGCATAATAACTCAAACTAACGCAATAAAATCCTGATTCCCCCCATGATGCAGGGCCTCTTGGTCTGGTCTGTAGGAGGGACTTCAGCATAAAACCCTGCTCCGCCTTTAGCACCATCTTTTGTCTGCCCAGCCCCAAGCAGGAAATGCCACCCAGCAGCCAGGTAAGTCAAAGAAAAGAGAAACGAATTACTACGAACAAATGGCACAATGACAAACAATGTAAACTAAATGTGCAGAAAACATTGTGTTGCCAAAGTACAAATAAACCAATTTTAAACAAGACAATCTATGTGTGCTGTATTTAATTTAAGTGACTTCAGCTCAGAGTAACTGAACATGTGGTATGGTGTTTGTGAGTGTGTACATGCTGCTACAACCTCTGTGTGGCTGTGGGCCTGGCCATCACATGTGGCGCTTTCTCAACTGGTTGAACTATATTTGCCTCATATTCACTATCTAGCGTCCATATGTATGGCTGCATTAGTGTGTGTGTGTGAGTGTGTGGTTTTAGGGGACACTGTATGTGACTTTTTTTTGTTTGTTTTATTTTTAACGGACTTTATAGCACTTTGTGTTACATCCTTTGTATGAAAAGCGCTTTATAAAAAAAGTTTGATTTAATTTGGTTTGATGTAGAAAAGCATGATACCCCCCCTTTAATGATAGAAAGTATCATAATGATAATGCAGTATCGTGATTTGTGTTACTCTCTTGTAATCAAAAGTTTTACCAAACAATAGAGCAACTAAACCAATGTTACATAACAAAACAAACAATAAGAAATTAAGTGAGTGGTAAAAAGAACCTAATTTCACAGTAAAATGGTATCCAAAAAATTAAGGGCAAGAATTAAAGTAATTTTAAAACAACTGAAAAACGTTGTGTCTCCTGCCTCAGACATCCCACCTTCAGCACAAAGCTCTCTCTGATAGATTCGTATGTCTGATGGATTTACTTGCTGTGAATATGTGTGGGTGAAAACCTGCGCTGCTAAAGCAATCACTTTAAATCACTGAGTGGGGACTGAATAGGAATGAATAATACAGCAGCAGCAGCAGACGGTGTGTATGTGTGTGTGTATGTGTATGATGATTTACTGTAGGTGTATGTTAGAGGGATATTGTGTTATTCAGTGGAGAGATTTAAACTGTGGGAGGGCAGATAGACATGCACTCTCTGATAGATTGGGTGTTACAGTTCTGTTTAATAATGATGAATCACTGCATTGTTGAGCTGTGCATTACCTCCTCAGACTTTCACTCTTGTGCAGTTCTACTTTCGTGTCTACATCTGCCTGTGCAGTCTAATATCCCCTGTAAGATTTATGTTATTGACCTTCTTTCCTTTTGCTGTTTTCCAGATTATACTCAGAAGCTTGCAGAGTGTCTCCATACCGCAGTGATATTCCTCAGCAGCCTCCATAAGGTTAAATTCTTCTCTCCTCCCCCTCTCTTTGTTTTTTTTTCTCACCTTACCTCACCTCTCTTCCTGCATTTTTCTGCGACTCTCACTGATTGGTGATACAGCCCCTTGTATGATTTACACAACACTTCTTACCTACACAGCTGTGAGAAATTTCAAGTGCTGTCAGTAGGTGAATATTTTGTTGAGAAACACCAGGATGAGGTTACAATCGCTGTAGATACTGGCAGGGAAACTTTTTCTCAGTGATTAAGACAAATACTATCAGAAATGTGAAATGACACTTAATTTTGAAGCTGTGTTTTTTCTGGGATCAAGTCTATTCAGAGCTTGATTTTGTGCAGTGGGCATGTCTTTTTGAGGTAACACTTTTGGGATTTATTGGGCTACAAGTAACAGGACACGATATGATTTTTAATCAACACAGAGGAGCACTGATCTGAGAGGGTGTGCATGTATTTACCATATTTCTCAGATTGTCACCCTGCATTCCTTGTTGTTGTCTGTGACGCTTCCCAGTCGCTATGACCGCAGTAGTGGGAACTTAAAAAGACTATTTATCACTTCTTAGACACAGTAGAGCTGGCTAAGAGGGAACAATTATCCTGTTTTTGAAAAGGGAATTATCCCGACCTGGAAATAACCTCTGTTCACCACAGAAACTTCCAGAAACAGCTGCTCAATATGGAAGTCCTCAGTAAATCCTGTCCAATTACACAACACCCACTTTTTCAAACCCTGATAACTCAAATCATGCTCATGTATATAAGCGCTCAGCCTGCCTGTTCTTTCTCGGGATAATTTCAACTTTTCCTCCAGAGTGGTGACCAGAAGCAGGAATTACTGTGTGACTCCCGATGTAATACGATACAGTAGAATACACAATTAAAAGATACAATATATTGTGATATGGTATGATACAAAATAAAGATATAAAGTAAAATCAAACATATGGTAGAGGTTTTTGTCGTGGGATTCCCCCTCTCATTACTTGATCATAAATGTCATTAACAGTTGGGTGTAATCCTTGTATGATACTGAATGAATCTTGCAGAAAACTATGTGTCTTATCTCCAACTTTTTAAGCTTCCAATAGTGGTCTCAATTCATTTTTCAAAATGGAGTTTTTTCTGAAATAGGACTTCATTATTTTGAAGTGATTAGGCTCTAAATGTATCTCTGTGTTAACTGTAGTGAGTTTAAATATTCATTTATTTCTATTGCATATCATTATGTGGAGTTGACAATGGTGTTGATGTTAAAATACTACATCATCTCTACAACGAGAACATCGTTCAGCTGAGTAGAATCATTTCCCTTAATCTGAGCATGCTAATGTCTCTTAAAGGTTTTTTTGATAGAACATGGAGCTGGATTAAAAGTCCATATAAGAAAGAAAGAGGGGAATGACAACATGAATGCATACCGCTGGGACTGAGTCACATCATGGTTTCCATCAGGCCTGTGGTCATTATCATGTTTTTTATTATATGTTGCAGCATGTGGTTGTTGTTTATGAACAAGTTCGGCAGAGGTAATCTACTCAGTGTATCACTGAGGCTTCTCCACACCAAGAATGGCTGCTCCTAGAAAAATAACTACGACAATGAGGTTGGCAAGCGCCGAGGGACAGCTTGACTTTGTTTAACACATAACAACAACAGCAGGACTGCTCAAATTCTGCCCTGAAAGTTGCATTTTTATCTTACAGGGAGCTCTGTGAAGCTTTGCTGTTCTCCACAGCTGTATGGCGTTGTGTGCGTGTTTTGATGACATTTTGAAAAGTAGTGGTCAGTCTCGAAGTTGATTTTTCACATCAATTCATTCCTTATTTCTATATGTGGCTACTGGTAATGACATGTTGCCAATATATCTGAAAGGTCTTTGTTTTTTAGGGGAAGAGGTGCTTAGTGATTTTAAGTGTATTACCCACAGGAGGTGCCGGCCAGCTCAGCTTCTTTGCTGACCCAAGCTGACCCAAACATTGAACACAATGTGAGTGCACACTATTAAGTAATTTACAGCCCCATATTTGATGTCTTTGCTTTGCTTTAACACATATTTATGGATACAACATGAATATTACTTTGCCACTGGACAACATGATAATACATACAACCCATCTTAAAAAAGAAGAAACTATCCCTTTAATACAACTCCAAAATCTACCCTAAAGAGGTGGTTCAGTTTTTCAAAGAGAGGTAATATGGATGCACAGTAAATGGTGACTGGGCCTTTTTACAATTAAGACTTATCGATGAATTACGCCATCTTAATATCGGCTGTTTGTGTCAGAAGGTGCTGTGGCCTGTCCACATGTCGAGGTGTCCTTGAGCGTGACCATAGACTGTAAATAGAATGGACAGTGTCTGCCTCCTCACTGGGTGGAGCAACCCGATAACAGCACCCTCTGGTGACGGGCTGCAGTATAGGTCATAAATCCTGCTTCCTCCAGCAATCCTTATGGAGCTGTGGACAAACTTTAGAAATTTATTAGACGGAATATAATTTTTTTATGATGATGTTGACATATAGTTACTGTAAGACTGGTTTGTGCTCAAGTCCTCTTTTTTCTGTGAAGCTCCATTTTTAAAAGTTATTAGGGGGTTCATGTTTTCTATGATTGACATTTGATACAGCCTATGGGCGTACAAAGATTGCGTAGCTCACCCGGGGATTCGCTGTTTAAGCCGAGCGTCATCACAGCGACTTAAGTGACTCTCCCGCTGAATGCGTACAATACTACTGCGCAAGTGGTGGAGTGCTACAATGCTACTGCTCAATGTTGGTTTCAGGAAGTGGAGAAAAATCGCGGAAATATCGAGAGCT